CCCTGAGGCTTGTTTCCACTCAGCACATAACTTGGTTGCGCACCGCACCGCATCGCACATCGTACATGGGCACATCGTACTATTACGGAGCCTCCGCAGCAAAGAAGCACCGACAATCCCCAGCGACTAGTCGAGCTCGCCGCGTAAGGCTGAAGAAAAAAAGATGTGTGTATGTGTGCGTGTGGCATTCATGCGTGCGTTCTGCATTCTCCGTTCCTTGTGAAGCCAACCTCTAGATTCCCTATTCAGACGCCGAGTAGAAAGCTCTTGCGAGATTGGTAGATTCTTATGATCATTTGATATCAACCTTCTTTTTTACCACCCACACATCTACCATCTCTCATGCAATATCTCAAACCACCATACTTTGACTTCACCGCCGTCGATCACGCATTTTGTCTTCCGTCGTAAAAGCGTCCAGAGCTTTGCACGAAATGGTCGAGGATTTGGTACTTTCACGTGCGCTGCTTTGCCTTACTTTCCTATTTGGGGTATTTAACTCACATTAGACGGAATATTTTCCATAGATGTAAGTCTTGATATGTAACGAACGCTAGGCTGGAATACGGCGGCTTCGTTAATTAAGCTTGTCTGGATTCTTTTCTTTTGTCGCTACATACTGGCATTTTTGGTATCTAGGTAGGTACTTGCCAGTTAACGAAATTAAATAATGCCATCGGTTTAGGATACTTTCCCACGAGATTCAAGACACTACTACCCACACTAGTAAATTTCTTTCTATTCCTAGGGATCGGTCGATGATTACGAATATATTGCAAAATCCCACAGGGCGTAGGATAAAAGAAGAGGACATCTGTGCCACATTATTGGGGGCTGGTTTCGAAAGTGCCAAGGTCCGTCTTCTGTTCTGGTGGCTCAAATAAGGATAGGGGAGGGAAAATCATATACTCGATTGGGGTAAAACATTTATAGTATATCCCGCGAATTTCCATCCTTGAAAATGAGAGATCGAGGATATATCGTATATCGAACCAATCAAAGGTTTATATCTCTCTGGTAATGAGGAGAGGATCTACTATCTAGGCAAAGGGCGAAGTTTCTGGGTCTTTTCTTCATTCATACTTCCAGGACGTTCTATCTCCGCAATATCCTTTGCATGTCGTCGTCTCGATGATTAATCATGAGCTTTAATTTTTGATTGCGCGTGGTAAGCAGGCACTCACTTCACTCTAGGTAAGATCTTACTTTTAAAATTGATACTTTAAATACATACTGATCTACGATCAAAGCCAAACTTTACTCCTCCCAAGCGCTGCTTAGAAACCAACTCTGTGGTCGCTCCACGGTTGACGGCGGGGCTAACCAAGACGCCGCGGATCCCACTTAGCGATTGACTTGGGTACGGTAACCCTTTTTATTAAGGTCCTCCCCATACATAGTATTCGTCGCTTGGACCCTGATGATTCACGAAAATCCATTAATCATCACCCATATACATACCCATATGGTGAATCTTTCATATGATCACGGGAATATCCGTCGCTGCTATGGACAGATGGTAGGAGTCACAGTGGGGAGGGTGGACCAGTTGACCCTTTTCCACTGTTTGGGTTCTTGGAAGCTCCTTATTAAGCATCTATGCGATGTATCCATAGATTGCAATATTGGCTCGTGATAACTTTTTCATATAGGTTATGGAGCGACTAAATGCGCCGCATTGAAACAGATGATGGGATTGATCATTTACGTTTGATCCATTTGCTTGGTGGAGTCTGGAACTGCTGGATAGGATATGGTGATTCCGTGGCCGGACGGGTAACGGAATTCCCTTTTCTCTCGCGGAAGAGTACTGCCGCGTGAATGATATCGGGACTCCACTGAATGAACCGTCTAGTCTTGGTCTTTTTGAATCGACAACTAGGAGCATCCCACAACGAACTATAAACATTTGGTCTGCAGCCTACTGGTGGTATACGCCGTAGGCTGAGGATGTTGCTCCCTAAACTACGGGGTTCCCATGTACATATAACCTTATCTCCATCGTCAAAAAAAACCCATGTGAAAGACAGGCCAGCCATGTGGTTGCAGAAAGTCTGTTTGGGCCGGGTGTCCAACACCCTTGCGAAAATAAATATGCAGGGTAAAGATACTCCGTAGATAAAAAAGCTTCAACCAGCTCCCAATCCAGTAACTCGTATTTTTGCAAACGGACGTGCTTTAACACAATGGAGGTTACCGGTAGCCTACGGCATCTTCCCAATACTGGAGAACCACCTCGAGATTCTGGACCTGTACAGTAACCAAACGGCAACGGCTGTGCATTTGCTGCTTGTGATCTTTCACGTACAATTTCTGATGAATGAAGGAAAGTGGGAAGGATACGAAATTTGGTTAGGCTGTCTCGAGTGGAACTGTTTTGCATGTGGACGCGTCTTCCTTTGAACCAAATGCACAGAAATTATTCTCTCACAAACGAGGGGGAGCTCATTCTGTAACCGAGCTCGCCTCTACGCTTATCGCGATTGAAAACCTTGAATTGTCTCAAGAATTGAGGTTGAGGTTGAGGTTGATAGGATGGATATCTGAATTGAAAGTACAGGTCTAGACAACATCATTCATCAATCATCGTATACCTTCTCCGAGTTCGTCCGAGGTCGTCCGAGATTTCAAAAGATCTGGAGGTAAGGAGGTACATACATTTCATTCACATCACATCCCCACAAATGCCAAAATGCCAAAATGCCATGTCTCTAATCCCTGCCGCACATTTATCCATCCATTCTACCAAGCCTATCACCATCTAAAGTACATGACATTAAATTCGCATTCGGTTCCCTTCCCCAACCCGGGGTTTTGCCAACTTTCATTCCTTTAACCTTCATCCAGATGATCCGAGGAAATAAATAATAATAATCCTTTCAATCAAATCTTAACAATAATGTAATGATGTCCTTTGAATAATGGATGATGCTGCCGAGCCCTTACCCGTTGTTCCGGCAGGCCAAGATCAAATCGCCATGTGGATGCATGTGTGGAGGAGGGAAATAATTAACCATCTGAACAAAAAATAAATACCCTGTTCTGTTCTTCGTCTAGGCTTGGGCTTAGGCTTAGGCTCTTAGGCTTAGGCTTCCATAAATCTTCAAACTCGAGCCAAAATACGCCATCATCTAGGTAGGTACAGTACCAATAGAACGGGAGAGCATAATTATTCCCCCCAGAAATCAAGTTTTGATCTCAATCTGGCTGGCACTCACGGACGGACGGACGGGCTCGGGATAATATTATTGCACCCTTTTTTCGTTCCCGTCGCGCGCTGCTATATTGAAAAAAAGCCTTTTCCGTTTTGGAATCCAGCGTCATATACGTAGGTATCATACGTTCGTATATATGCCAGTGGCGAGGCGGGTCAAATGATCAGAATGTTCCCAGCATTCAGGTATTGGAAAAGGCGCAGTGCAGTGCAGTGCATCGAGGCCGAAAAGCGAATGTCTTTAACATCGACACTCTTTTCCAGTAAAGATCTTCAGATAGGCGGATTGGAAAGTTGTGACGGATTGTGGGAGGGAAGACATGCTGGTTATGGCTTTGCGGTCTCGAACGTAACATGGAGTCGTGATTCATCGTGCATGTACGGAGTATGTGTATTTTATTGCGTTTCCATAATTCCCATACTTTCTTTACGGAGTACTGGCTGTGCTCGCTTGATGGCTCGATTTTGGGATGTCCTGCCTGTGCGGGGTTGTTCGCTTTAGGTCGCTTTTGCATAGGTACCATGGCATAGCTGCCATTTGGGACGGGATTCGTTCTTTGTTGCTTTCTACTCGCCATTGGAGGCTGGACAATCTCTGCGCGGTAAAAAGATTCTAGATATCGGTGTGAGTGGTGGTATAGGGTGGTTTGGTGAAAGTTTGGTAACTGATTATACTATACGTAACTAGCCTGCTATTGCATCGGGGAATACTTGTGTGTAGTAAATGATGTATGTTACATTTATCCAATGCGTATGTTTGAGGCTCAATCCTCCATCGCACGCCGAGATCTCGGTTGGTTCCACCAAGTTTTTCTATTTGGCGCGTTAACCGTTGCTTAAAATCGCCGACTGTTGTTATTTTGTATGTGCCAGACGAATGTGAGTGTATCAAACTGTTATTTGATTGACTTACACGCGCATACCTAATTTAGCATACCCGAAATCAAGTCGACAACAAAGTCCCGAATTAAGCTGACTGTATTTTGAACTGCCGATATTTATATCGGAGTTTTGACTCTTTCTATGGGAGAAGCGGTAGGCTGGGATATCGGAACCGAAGTCGGGCTGATTCGGTGTACTATTTCAGAAATTTCGTCCAGTATCATATTAGTTTTTAGCCTCAGTATATAGAGGCTCTTTGGTGTGTATGGGAAATTGTAGGATCTGTAACCTACAGCCAAGGCAGTAGCTTTCCTGATCGTTCCATTTCGTCTTACTCTAATCTGATTTTACGCTAGATGAGAGGCACAGCATATTTGCTAGACAGGGGATGGAAATGAGAAGGAAGATGTTAACGTTCTTGCTTCAGAAAGATGATACGGTAAGGAGGTAAGGCTCAACAAGGGACTTGAGTGTATGGTGGGTAACTTCCCCTTCTGTTGCGGCTTAAATGATATCTATTGCGTGCAACCTTGAGGCTGTTGAGCACCTGCGCTTGTTGTTTATGATTGATTAGGCTCAATGGCTTTTTGGTTGTAACATTACATCTAGACGTGAAAGCGAGTTGAAGACGATGGAGATCAATTGCGGAAAAACATTTCTGTTAATGCTCAGTAGAATCGTGGAGATCCACAAGGAAGGCAACAGTTTGTGGACCAACGGAGGAAGAAGAAGAAGACGACGAAACTTTCCTTTCTTGAAGCCGGTGATGAAGTAGGTCAGATCAGGCTGGCATCTGCTGAATGACGAATCTATCCCTCTACTCTCTCATCAACCGAACTCAACCATTTTCTCTTATGGCTGTAGATCATAATGCGCTAGTATTGTGTCGAACTTTGTTCGAGTTCCTATGTATCTTCTGAGATCAAGTGGAACGCATCATGAAAATGCTAACAATATCTTGACAATTTAGGTTTCTCTTCTTCACTCACTTCTATCCGTAAATGAAGATTCTGGAATACCGCAATGTTAATTCCCAATGAGTAAACGGACTCCACCCGCTCCTACGCGTTCAGACTAGAACAACGTAACAAACATGGATGAATATGAATATGATATTTATTAGGAATCTTCGCGCAAACTACCTGATGAAAATTTCCATCCATTTTCCTCCATTCAATAGTTGAGGACTTGGTCGTTGCACCTTTGAGTGGATTGAGTGTCGTTCATGAAGGCTGAAATGGAAAGGTAACTAATCTGCCTTGAATCTTCCTCCTCTAATGTCCATTTGTATTCTAATCCGCTTCTGCTAGGCACAATCAGAACCAGAGACTAGTTTCACCCTGATAGCTTATTGATGATGAAACATAAAAATACATTGTTGCTCCATTAGTCTGGTCAAACAAACTTTGGGAAGGAAGGAGCGATATTGTACCTACTACAACTTCAAGACCGAGGTGAGTCCATTTGTTCCTCTTCAGCTAATACCGCGAGGTTCTACAGGTGCGGATTAGCAGATCCAATTCCATATGCTATCACCTTTATGTCGTTGTCCTGCTGCCGGAATATTCTTTTCAGGTTGAGTGCCATTTTGAAGTTCGCAAGACTTCTTACCCCAGGCCATGCCAGCCTCCGCATCTATAGTGTTAATGGAAATATTACATGCCACTTTCAAGAATTTCTCTGCAACATCAATCTGAATTCACGGCTTTCATGAGATCATTCTAGTTGAAATAATGAAATTAAATAATATTGTAGGCATGACGATATCTAAAAAAGTCATATAGAGCCCCTAGTGTAAAACAAGATGCAAAAAGAAAATCCGAGTTTATCCTTCATTTGGCGCCGACGTAGGTCAATCGGTGCCTTTTCGCGTGATATGTGTGATCTTTGTTCTTTCTTGTGCCGAAATTACACACCAGAAATGCACAATCATAACCATATGTTCCTCTTAGGCCACCTTACTTCTCGCTGATTTCGTCCTCTGGACCTTCACCAGTTCCCTGCGTCTCCTTCGCCTTCTCTGAGTCCTCGCGCTTCTCACACTCCTCGGCCATCAATACCTGGAAATTCAATTCCTCTAGTGCGATTTGCCTTTCTAACTCTATTCTCAATTAGTCAGCTGTTTTGAACAGAGTGATCGGAATACTTACCAAGAGTTCGCAATTTCTCCAATGCTGGAAGCTTTTTATTCAGTTGGTAGTATTTATCATCTATCATCTGCTTATACTCAGCCGAGCGCCTGTCAGCAGGGTTATTCATAGGTGGTGGCTCGTAGAATTCCTTCCAGAGTCTGAGTTTCTTTGCGCGATGAACTTCGATGTGTTTGGTTGTCTTGTAGCAAAATTCGATCATGGTTGCCGCGAGATTGTCATCTAGACCAGCAAGCATGGCCTCTACTTCACGTCTGACTTCGTCCATTTTGATTTCTGGGTCCGTAAATTTGGTGGCTAGTGCTTGAGATATCAAGGGCGAAACTGTATTTTAGGTGTGGCCTCGTGGGAATTGATGGCTGAATAAGAGCTTGTGATGAGACTGCGGCTACTACTGAGTTTCGAAAGATGTGATAGGTAAAGATCGATTGACGCAATGGGAGATAGATTGGCGCGATGGATCAAATTGTCAATGTAAGAGAGTAAAAGACGATGAATCGAAGTAAATAGTAGCTATTGTGCAAGCTTGTACTGGCTGTCAGTGCTTTGATTAGCACGAATTCAGGAAGATGATGCAGTCAATCGATTCGCTTTAGGACTTTGCAGACTATTGAAGAAGGAAGTGGTGTGTTTGAGTGGAGGATTGTTGAGCTTTAATATTGATGGAAATGACCGACCTCTGCAGAATTAGTCAGTGACTGTATATTGAAGAAAGGCGTAAGTCTCAAGAGCGTGCTCTTCGATTTGTTTTGACGAAGAGATTGCAGAAACCAAACCGTACAAAACCATGCAAGACTGTACCATACACCCTGTGGGGAGCATGTAGAGGTATTGAGAGATTATAGTAGTTTCATTCACTAATAACCTCTATGACGACTGTACTGTCCAATAATTTATTTCCAGAAAGCTTAAAAACAGACTTTTCCACGGCTACATACAGTAACACTCAGTAATCCAGCCCATCGCTTCGCTGTACACAATCTGCCACATACCTGACACTGATTCCTGTTTTATGATCATTCAATGTCAGCCATCCAATGAATAGCCTACTTCACCACTTTCATTCGCCATCTTCAACAACCTCTCCCTCATTGCATCTGCCCTATTCCTCTCCTCTTCATTCAATACACTAAGATCAATATCGCCAACCCACTAAAATCACCAATGAATCAGAATTGTCGTTAATAGTTATTCACTCGAAGGAGTAGAATAGATCCAACTTACCTCTCTCAATCCATGTTGTAACACGTTCCTCGCCCTTACACCTTTCCCATTCCTATGTCCCACACTTCCGTGCAACGTTGCTCTCTCCTTACTACTTTCATACTTTCCCCTATGCAAAATATTATTATCATAAAACACCACATCACCTGCTTTCATCTGAACTCTAATCTCGCCCTCTACCCCCGTTGCATATTCATTCATCTCCCTCTCTGCATCGGTTCGAGCTCTCTTGTGAGATCGGGGAACTACAATGAGGGACGTATCATCATATAATGCCATATTCCACTGCGCATGCCATGCCGGTTCCGCCAATCTCGCAAGTTCCACTTCAGCCGTGGCAGTAGATGGGATGTCGTCCCGATGCCAACGGAGCTCAAAGTCGCGATCAGGACGAATCAACAAGTTGAACAATTCCATGACCAAATCATCATCTTCGCACTGCAGAAGCTCTTTCACCACACCTAACATTTTGTCCGAAAAGTATACCTTGATGAATGCTGGCGAAGTTGGAAGTTTGGGATGCATAAGTGATTGAACACCCCAGATACCATCTTTTGCAGGTGATTCTCCTTCACCTATGTTCCATGGTGGGAATTGCTTGGGGAGTGTGCGAACGTATGGCCATGAGCCAGAGCGAGCGAGATCGACAGTACTTTTCGCTTCGAGACGGAGAGAATCCACCTCCGTCTGACTCAAAAGAGAGGGAATGAGAACAAAGCCATCTTGTTCGAGAGATTCTAGGAGTTTTGATTTTTGTTTCGCCATTTCCGATACTGCGTGTTTTTTTTATTAGAAGGAGACAAACTGAGGGCTGAGCGAAGTATTATATGGCTAGGTATTATTTGTTAAGGGGTGAATATGCCATATCAGGTGATGATACCATGAAGATGTGGTGGGATATCCTCGGAGTTAAACATCCGTCCATCGAACATCTTGATGCGGGGCTGCTTTTTGGCGGGGTATATACTGTAACGTAACAGCTGCTAGTTTTGCGCATAAATTTCTCGTATTTTTCAAGCTGAAAATGGAGCTGAATGCCCTTATGTTGCAATTGATATCTGCATACGAAGTAGTAGCGAGATTAAGAACGAGAAAACTTGCTGCCTAGCACCTGACTCTCACGTGATATTACAGTGATATAAATTAAATGATGTTTTCCAGTGCTAGTGGTTCAAATGCGCTTGATACGTATGGTGGAATAATATCTAAAGCCCAGGATATAGAACTCTTCAATTTTGACCCGGGTGTTCATTAGCCAATAACATTGATCCCGCTAGGTAGCCCGAACACTTGACTGTTACCTTCAAACTGACACTTTGCTGTTATAACATCTCCATTGTCAGTCTCAGCCAAACATGCACCAGTACTAAGGCTAACGAGATTACCAGTAACGTAGTACTCCCATTTTTGGGTATTGCTCCCAGAACATGCAGTCAGTGATACCTTTCCACCCCCAAGATCCGTAAGACACTTAGAAGTATCAAATATCCCCCTGACAGTACCATCTTCAATCGTTTGCCATATTTGGTTATCTGAGCCGACAGAACCTGCCCATGATAGGCCCTGAGTAGAGTAGGTGAGGACATTTAGTGATGCTGTGTTGAAAATCATACCTGTGGGTATGACCTCTATGTCCCCATATCCAGAAGAAATCCGATATACTGCAGTACCATGAGAAGGCACATTAACGGCTGTGACTAATTTAGACGTGAATACTGACTTTCCTGTCCATAAGTCCTTGACTTTAACTGTTGAAGCCGAGATACCAACCCTCTGAAATGGTATTTTGTAAGTGGCTGTAGAATTGCCTCGATTGATAACCGTAAGAAGCCGATCACCATTAGCTAGACTTCTAGTCAAAACATCCCAAGTACCATCTTGGCTAACAAGTGTAGCCTGTAAAGCCAGTGCGTCCTGATTGACAGCTATTAGATCTTTATTCGTGAGATAAGCAATTTCATCTGCACTGAAAGCCGGAATATAAGCACTGATAATGAGAGGAGCCGAAAGTGAGGCCCAGATAGCGAAATGCGATCTCTTTTCATTAAGTGATAAATCAAAGTGGTCAACGATGAGGAAATCTGGATCGTTGAAGTAACCAGGTTTTTGATATCGTGCCAGTCGTACTTCTTGTCCATAGTTGAACATGATGGAGTCCCACCCAGTGATGTCCGGCCAGTATGAAGTTGAGTTCCAAACCAGCGTATCACGCGAGTGACGAGCAAGTTGTCCATATTTTGGAACCCAGCCCATCACAGCATACCAATCCGTTAAATTATCCTGCTCTGCAAAATATGCCGGAGCCGACTCGGAAAAGACGATGGGGTTCTCCATGGCACTTAACACGCTATGCCAATGTCCATAGGCAAGCTCATACTCTTGTTCCGTCGCAACAGGCATATTGCAGCCATCGACTTTGAGGTAATCAAAGCCCCAAGAGGCAAAAGCTTGAGCATCAAGCTCCTCATATCCATACGATCCCGGATATCCGCCACAACTGTTGATTCCAGCATCAGTGTAAATTCCCGAATTAAAACCCAGGCTTTTCAGATAGCTGGTCAACCATGGGAGACCACGTGGAAACTTTTCAGTGTTCCATAGCAAACTCCCATTGGGTTCCCGACTACCCTTGCTCCAACAATCATCTAGATTGAGCCGATTGTAACCTGCCGCAAGTAGGCCTTTCTTCACCATGGCCTGGGCTGTCTCAACAAACAGCGATTCGTTAAGACCACACATAAATGCTGACCAATTATTGAATCCTTTGAAGGTCAGTTAGAAATCATTGTTAAAATTGCTTTAGGAGTCTGCGTACCCATCGGAGGAGTAGGTTGAAGTAGCGAAGCGCCGATAGCGACATCGTAGAACGCCACCCCAGCAAGAAGCAGATGTCTCAGGAATGAGGTAGACATCAGAATTGAATAAAATTCGAGAACGATCAAATGCAAGACTATAAAGGAGCTTCAATTTTTTGCAAACCTTCCTTTGCAGTCAACTTTCCGAAATAGATAGTTATTAATTGGGAGACATCCTATATACTTAATTAAAAAGAGGTTGGAGTTCATGATAAGAATGATATGCAAAGGCAGATGCATTGAGCGAATGAGCAGGTAGTTTCACGGGATTCGGGACTCGCTGTAACACTGCAGATCCGAAAATTTATCCGGCATCTCAGCTCCCCCGCAATTACAGGTCCAAAATTGTCTTCGGTCCACGTTGGGTAGTCCAAATTCGAATTAAATTGTGTACATAGGTGGGATGCTAGTGTATGTACGTTGAGCAGACAACTGAAACGTTGCGCCGCGCCGCACTTGCAGCAAAATAATACTCAAGTATCTATTTCGGAAAATTTCGATCTAGGATAGCGTCTATCAGGCAACCTTGACGGCATGAACGATGAAAGTAAGTGATCTTTTGAAAGACCAGTTCGTTTAAAAGCCTTCTTTTTTCAAAAACTAGAGATTCCGTATCTCAATGGCTGCGTGGAAAGTACCACAGATTGGGCCATTCATTGTGCATTTTGTATAGATCATTGAATGAACCATTTGTTCCCCATATTTGAAGATTTCAAGTACATAGCAGAGGCCGATTGAATTTAATAAGGGGAAGCAAGGATTTGAACCGATGACGAGTCAGGGAAACATTGCGGAGACGTCTGAGGATACTAGGAATAGGTAAAGACTGGCTAGCAAATCATCGGACGATTAGCATCTCAAGAGTGCATCCGATAGGAATTATTTGATGTTCCCAAGAACTTATATTATACACAACGCATGGAGATATATGGTGGTGAAGATAATCCAGGAGACAGTTGCAATGGCAGGCTGGATTTACCGATTCCGAGAGAGTGTGAAGCTAAGGACGGGGAGGAAATCAAAAAGGCTAAGTCAGAAGGCCAAATCAGAGAATGAAAAGGGTGTAAAAGAATATAAGTTTAGATGAGTGTTCGATGAATAACGTCTACTAAAAATCAGTTTTTTGCTGCAGTCGTGAATGCAAGTAAAGGAGAACACTTAGCGGAGAAGGACGAAACGAAAAGAAAATTGCTCTCCTAACTTTGAATCAATCGAAAATTGAGCCCTTGACGGAGGATAAAGAAGACCAAAGAAGTAATTGAGAAGTTCACGAACTACGTAGCAAATTAGCTTTGCCAAACGGTATAGTGATCTTGCCACCTGCTGCCTATTCAACGCCGAAAAAAGGCATAGCGCCATGCCAAGGTCTGGGTATATTCTACTTTGATGGTTAATAGAATCCAATGTTATATTGTAGGAATAATACCTGGACAATTCTGCAAGCCAAAGTGTAACGAGCCTGGTCACCAATTGTAATCTTAACATAAAAAATATCCTGACCACCAACGTTTCTTCACCGCTGTTGTCAGTTACAACTATATTATATCTCAAAAGCAAGCCTTCGGGAGCAGAATTCTCAGCTTAGCGATAAAATGGTTCTTAAAAAGGTGGCTTTCAGATTTAAAAATGTTGTGATGTTCACTTGATGGTAGTGTTTTGATTCCTTCAGCGCCACCTACGGGATCAAATGAAATCAGCTTCTGCGACAAGATATCGCATTTTCTTTCCCCTTCCATTTTTGAACCATTCCCTTTGAAGCGGAACATACATACAAGCGGACCCTTTTCCTAATCCGATATCGAAAATTAATCGTGGGGGACAAATGTGTCACAAAGGGTGGCTAACCGAAGAATATACAATAACACAGGGTTGTAAGCCCTTCTGCATCCAAATATTGGCCGTTCTGTAGATGAGAGAGAAAATTATTGGTAGATGGAGGACTTGAATGGTGTAACTTTTGAAGTTGCACTTTCCCCTTTTCCCCTATTAGGCCGGCAATGTAGGGGTGTGGGGTTTTCGCTGAATACAAGCGAAGGATAAAAATAAGGGCTTTCCCCTTCTTTCCTTAATTTATCTAGCCACTTATCTAGAGCCGCCGAGCTCATTTCCTCAACCATTGCATATTCCTACCTAAGAATATCGTCCACTTTGGCAACTTATCTTTCACCTGTGGTCCTTCAATTCAGCCGCTTAATTGAAGCCAAGTAACATACTTTGGAAGGTATGAATAAAGGCTTGCAAAATATACTGTGAGTTGGTGCGGGATGAAGGATTCAGCCTGGAAAATAATTGACATATGCTACACGCCATTTCAATAGGAAATTCGCCAAGTATTTTACGTGTTGACCATATGGCCAAATGCGGAAACTGAATTTTTATGAAGGAGAAGTCTCCTCTCCTAATGTTTCTATATGTCTTCTGCTATGATGCACTTTTGTTGCTTGCAAACACGTTGTGTTACTGATTTCTTTTCGTTTTCGCGCGTTTGCGCTCATTCGGTGTCAAACAATCCGTGCTATCCAACGTCCTCATCATCAACATGGTTCTGCCAGCTTTCGTATTCCTTCCGCTCTATATGTACCCATACAATTCAACCTCATGGAGTACACTTACCACCTCTATTGTCGCTAATCCAAATCTTAAGTTTCACGTGGTTGTTTCCCCCAATTTAGCATTCACGGACCCCGATGTCAACTATGTTGCGGGCCTTACAAGCTTGAACAGCCATCCAAATGTCCTTACTCTTGGTTATATCTATACCTCTTACGGATCTCGAGATATCTCAGATATTGCAGCAGAAATAGAGAAATATGTCAAGTGGAACACAGCAACTCAACTACCAATCAGCGGACTTTTTTTCGATGAATCACCATCGGATAACTCAACATTCCCATACATGAGTAATCTTACCACATATGCGAGAACTTTGTTAGGGGCCGGTAAAGATCATATATCTCTTAATCCGGGTGTCCCCGTCGATGCATCCTTCTATACCCTCGCCGATAGCATCAACGTCTTTGAAGAGTCTTATGCGATGTTCAATCAGACTGCGTTGACTAGTCTGGATATGAACTTAAGAGTTAAATCAACGTATACAATCCATGACTTTACAGGAACCACGACACAACAAACTGCTCTCGTGAATCAGCTTGCGTCGGCAAACGTAGCCGGAATGCTAATAACGACACAACCTGGATACACGGCGTGGTCAAGCTTATGGTCTTCGTTTTGCTCTGCAATGACAAAATTGAACCTTGGTGGTGGTTGGAATAACGGAGGAGATGAAGGAGGTGGAGGCTATGGCGGTGAAAACGACTGTGATGATGACGAAGAATGATAAATATAGCGATCCATACTCTCCCACACATTCCTGATGTTTAAATCATACTAAGGCAACAATCATATCTTTTTGGGCTCCTCTGAATACAACATGTGGCCTACATTATAACTTTCTAGACATATATATTTATCTCGTCAAGTCTTAAAGAAAACCATTTTATGCATTTTAGACCAAATTAAACAGCACAATTGTTCAACCCATTGTATACACGCTCCACCGTCGTGAAAGCATCATGTCCAAGGGGGAGAAATGATAAGCCCCTGAAATTGTGTGCTTCCAGGCACATTTAATTGTCAGAGTGTTCAGAGTCTCAACAGGAACTCTAAGTCCTTTTTTTACTCGATTCAATCATTATCTTTTGGAACTCACATTGACTGAAAATTGAGGAGAAAAATATCACACAATATGGGATGACTCTGGCTTTTGGGAAAAAACCCGTGGGGTTTTGCAGACTTCCAGCCAGGTCCACGTTTTTGAATTTGGTTCAAGATTACAGGTTTGACTCCTGCAGCGGTGTCCGATTGAACAGAATAGTATTTATAACAAAGACTAAACAGAGAAGAAGAAGAAAAATACAGACTTTCACTGTTCTTACACTATCCTTACATTCATATTCCGGATCAAGTACACTCACTGTGTATGCTGTACCGATCCTTTCCCTGTCTATTTGTTCAAGCTTAATTGATAAGCTGTCTTACAATACCGTCATGATCATACTTGAAAGTTCCTATTATTAAACAATCAAGCTGATTTACCACCTTTGTATTGTATATGATATTACCAGTCCCCTAGTCTTCATAATATCTCAAATAAATGGTTCAGATATTAGTCGTTTATCTTCCCAGATAAGTTCAAGTCCCATCTTGTCAGAAGTAGAACTCTGTGGAAATCCAGCAGATAAATCCTGCGACCTGCAATTTACCAAGCCTGGAGGGAAAATGTAGTTAGCTTCATTTGGTGATTTCTTGAGCTTACTATTAACATATAGAACCCGGAAACTTTGCGCTGAAAAGTCAGAGAGACTCTAGCTGCTTTTAAGATGACCTCAATACCTTGATATAACTTGGATGAGAAGAGAAGGTTTCATGTTAATAACGTCTTTGCTATATAAAAGATATACATGCTCTGCAGAAAACCGATTGTGAAGTTACCCTACTTCTACTCAGGGCTTACTTAGCTGCCCACGAATACAAGTTGTTATCCAAAAATCGATGACCATAATGGAAAGCTAATGCAGGTAATCGATCCAGCCTCTCCATCTTCCTGTTATTTGATCTTCCAAAGGATCCAGCTTGTGCCGAGATCGAGTTTTTCTGTATTCGATTGAGCTAATCGCGCGGATGAGCCATGATTGTTTAGGCGCGCTTTAATGCAAATTAACTGACGTCCGCAGCATCTTCTATGCCCTATCATCGTGCTTTGATACCCCTAAAGATACTCCAATTTTCAATTCTCGTAGTTAATTATGACTTGAGTTCTATCATATGTGAGTAGGCATAATGATCAAGGGGTAGGACAGTGTGAACGATGATGGCTTCTAAGACTTATCTTCGTAGTCTATGTTGTAGGTAGTGAAATCACTTCTAATTTATAATTAGCCGCAGGCTTCGACCAAAAAGCCGGAAATGATGGGGAGGAGAAAAATTGAAAATGGCTGGAAGGGTTCTTATGTCGTGGAGGGATGATATAGTACTAGTCAACTTCGGGGAGCTGTAAGTTTTTGAACTGCCGGTCAATGTTAAAGATATTTTACTGTCATTAGGCGCGTCTATTTAGAGAAAAAATAGTTTTTAAGTGGCAGTAGACGGCCGTACATGGATTTTTTCTCTCTTGAACATCCTCGTTCGACTTTTTTCTCCCAGGGCTTCGGCTTCAACAATTCTACAGCATTTACTGTACGAAATTAATCCTCTTCCTCTTCGTGCTCCTCGAATATTCAACATTCTACCCTTCTCAAATCCATTAGACGTCGACTCACAGCAATCACACTCTTTGAACTCGGACGGCCAAGTCGACAGCTTAATCTAAATATTGTGGTGTTATTGAGAAGCATTACCATGGTTGTCTGCAGGATCCTCGAACAATCTCGCAAGATGGCCATCTGGGGCTTGGATATAGAGAGAAAACCTTCCTCTTTGTGCGGAGTAGCTATCCCAGACAAACTGAATACCCTCTTCGTTTTAGCAGCAGTTGTAACTCGCCGTTTTGTCCAGCATCGACCTTCCACGAATTCCTCCTCACACTCCGAGTTATATTTGAGTTCGCATGGGCTATTCATTCCGTTACTCCGTTGCATGAACCTCCTATATCGATTAGACGTAGATCCCAATGTCGGGTTCACTGCATGGCCTCGAAGCATGGGAATTTTCTCTTTTAAGGTGCCAGCTATGTTAAAGCTGTTCCCTCCTCTTGTTCCGCAAAACTGAACAGCCTCTTGTACTTGATTAATGATAAATGCAACGGAAATCGGAGAAGGAGCAAGGGACAAAAGGTACATTCTACTTCAACCTGAACTTCAACCTGCACAAAATATCCAAAGCACCTATGATATTGAATCGCCTTCAAAACAGCAAGTTCCGCCAGCTCAAGACTTCCGCCCCTTCCGTAACCCCGATAATACGAGGTCATCTCTTCCAACTCAATTTTCTCCTAGTTATCTCTGTTACGGATTAGCCTGTGACTGAGTCTAATTAGCACGCTCAAGAAGTATAACTCAAACACGGGTCAGTTATTTCACAGGAATAAATCAAGAATAAAATATGCTAACGAGCTAAGTATCTATCTATTTATCCTACCGAAAAGAAAGATTCGAAAGCTCCTAAACGCAGAAAATTAGCCAGGGGTAAGAAACGGGAACATGAGTCGGCCGCAAATTGATACATCTATACCGAAGGGAATAACATGCACAGAGAGATAGATTTGGACGGGCTAAACTTCCTTTCAATGAGTATGCGCCCACAGCAAATTGAACTCACATTGAGTTAACAAGCAACACAGATAGCAGTGATCAAAAGTGGTAGCCAACTATCTCAAACTTGAATCTATGTGACCGGAATCCAAAGTTCTGTCAATGCGATACAATATCTTTTGCGTCCAACCACCTTCTATATCACTTTCAAATCATGGGCAACCTCCGAATATTCCTGTACTAGCAAATAGCCTCCAGCCCTCGCGCGCGAACCATAAGTAGCGGGTTTTTAGGAGAAGTTGTCGATATCGAGGTGAGTTGAGTTGGTAGGTGCCTTTAGCCTGCCGTGAAGATTTAAAATCCTGTTGACAAGCGCAAAATGACCGAGAAGCTAACAATTAATAAAAAGTCACTAGTACGATAGCATAAAATCAGAATTTAGCTGAATACCTAATTAACAAATTTGCAGTATGGAGTCTCAGTGGTTGACGATATTGAAGTGATTCATTCTGCGAGGGAACTTTCGACCCTGGCCTCCCGCCCCTCTTCAACCTTTGACATAGACATTTACAATGCTGAGGATCTACCAGAGATAACGGCTTACACATCATGATTGATATCATAAAAAATTAAATCCAAAAATGCTAGTAATAGGTAGTTAACCTTGACTTATCAGTATTTTTCGGCGACTAATGAAGCGGGGATCGAATGCCGTGGGAATTAACGACCCATAACTGAGCCTCCAAAGACGAATAGTTATAAAAAATATTAGTCATGGGGATCTGTGTTTTACAATACTCGATTGAGTAAAATGTATCTTTGGTAAAGCTTTTCATTATCTCAAAATATTCAAGTGAGGCGCGTGTATTTTGGCTGCCTCTGGTGTAAAAGTGGATTCGAGACTAAGGAAAAGCTTATGGCAACCGCATTTCCAAATGGACGTTAAAGAAACGGTTACTTTTTGATAAATCTAGCATATTGAGACTCTCTCTGGTCTTTCAAATACCTGTTCTACAGTATTTATGCTTCATCTACCCAGACTTCCAGATCATGGACGGAACATGATGCAGGGAGATGGGAAATTCACACTATTGTTCATCACCCTTTGATAATACGATTGAAACTCTTTCAACCATTGACTGTTCTTCTAACCAATCCTAAGCAGTATGAGTGGTGATCTTGATAGTATGGCAAGTGGTGAATCAATATCATTCTTCGTCATCTGCCGATAATATAATTCGTATTCGGCCCATCATTACCAGCTATCCTTACCTGTCTTGAGCCGAATCAAGCAGTAATCTTAGCATTGTCATACGACCAGAGCTGTAAACAAAGGTTCGGACGAACTAGTTTATGACTTTGGATGAATATGATGAGCTGCAAATAGCCAGCCACCGCCCCATCCCTCTAAATCATGGTGTAGTTTGAGCTAGCTTGATATAGACACCTGTATGGCTCCATTGTAGCAGCTTTTTCCACCTCCTTCTATCATCAAGTTTGCTCCCTGTCGTTGGGTGAGAATACTGCAACTCAAAGTAATAATAACCAGGATTCCTTCAACTTTCACCATTCAAAGGCTGCAGTACAGTGAATAGATCTAGCCGAAAGGCGGGACAGCACCATTTAATCTCAACGGTTTTATCCGCCACCCCAGCCATCCCGATAGAAATTAAGGCTACCTAGTATTGACAAGGTAGTTGAAAATATCCTGCACTTCAAGCTAAGCCGCTTTTGTTCCTCCATATTCTTCAAAATGCATGAAGACCTTTCCGCAAAGCCCACCTACTCTTCTCCAACAAAACTTCAACCTTCTTCTCCTTTACTCTTCCCATATAACTCGATCATAGCCCTACTTACACTCAACTAAAGACAAAAGAATCATAACAACTCAATAGCTAACTACTCTTCTATCGAGCCGTGGCCATCTCGAGGGGATTTGACATCCCTTGCTCCTGTTCGTGATCCTGCGAATAGATCTTTTCGTTTCCCAAATCAAGCACATATACCTCGCATCATTCTCCTGGGGAACAACCATTTCGCTTCTGGCTATAGCTTCGCGTTATTGCTAGTAGAACCAAATTTGCTTGTAAGTATCACCCTCTTCTACCTTCCCTCACAGGACAGCGTCTGCGAACAGTACTCTCCCTATATACCCCGCCCCCCTTAACTGTCAAGCTCATGTTACAGGGCTTTCTGTTAGCGATCTAACCGTGTATAAGGTGGTTTAGGTCTAGAAGAGCGCGTGATTTTTGTCCTGCGAGCAGAGTTCGTTACCTTGTAAGTACCGCCATCTATATTATCTCACGGCGCAATCTCAATCTATAACATTCTTAACTTTCATCTTTCTCCTCCTTCTACTCCTTCTATCTCGCAATTTATCTATCGTTGTCAACGATCTAACACATGAATAGTGGTTGAGGAACAAATATTGCTCGTTTGTTGCTCTGCCGGCAGATCTAGATCACTTGTAAGTATCACCTCTCTCAGCATTCCTTGACAACACAGCTTTAGCAGTAGCACAATCATCCTCCATTCCTTCCCTTCCGCAAGCGTTTAGGTCTATCCTTTTCTATCACCAATCTGACAGTTCAAGCAGCGATTTAAAATCAAGAGATCTTGCTTTCGTCGCTCTTCAGCAAGCTCAAGGTTGTGGTAAGCGGTAACTCTTTAAACTTCTCATCCACTTTGCAATTAGCATCACAATACGCTACCCTATATTTTCTTTCTTTCTCCTCATTATCGTACTCTCTAGCTTCTCCATTGTATCTAAAACTAACACATAATTTTCAACACTTTTAGGTCTTTCTTACCTTCTGCATTCTAGTCACAACCTTCGTTGCTAGATTCTCCTTGTAATCAAAAACTCGAAAACTTATTGTATCATCCATTAGACGCCAATTAACTTTACAATAATCTGGGTCATAAAATTGATACTTGAGACGTATCGATGCACAGTTGTTGCTCTCAGCTGGTGCATTACCGGTGATATACAAACGCAGTATCCTCTGCGGACTACTATCTCAATTAGTATCATTTTCTCGGATATCCCTCCAGATTATAATCTACCGTCCACCCTCTCTCTTCTGAAGTTCGATTATTCTTGAAGGTAGTCTCCAATATAAAGGCTTATCATCCAGAGTCTACCGTCCAAGTAAGGATAGTTGTCGGCAGCGAAGTCAATCAATACTCAGCACCACACACGATTATCCAGCGAGCATCGGCTCATTCTTCTCCGGAACTCACACAACCGATCTATACTATCTCACACTTCTCATCTCAACATCTATCAATATTCCACCGTCTGCCGAAAGCAGTCATGGCTTCTGCGAAGAGACAAGAAGACAACAACGGAGTGGCCCAAACTTCTTCCGCCGTCTATCATTCTGCTATTCCAACTATGGACGATAGTACTGATGATGGAGATAATTATGAACAGAGCTTTGACCCTGAAGAGGATGGTATTGAAGACAACCCGGCCCCATCTTCATCCAAGAAAGTCACCTTTGACATCAGTGCAAATGTAACCCGTAAATTCAAAAATCCAGTTATATTTCAGCGGCGCTACATCCCCGACTTGGATAGTCTGCCAAAGACAGGAGTTTGGGCTTCTGTTTCTCCAAGCAGACATACTGAATTTCATCAGATCGTTGTTCGTACAACAAAGTGCGATTATTGCGGCGAAAAGGTTAACGTCCAACCTGGAGAAGAGAGTAAAGTCATGCAGAGATGTAATAACTGCAACACACAGTTCTGTCAGAAATGTGTGCGTAAAGTGGCCAAAGATAAGCTACACTTTCCAGTCAGCGCTGACTTGGTATGGGATGCCCAAACTAAGGTTAACGCTAAAACTCGGCCTGATAATAACTTCAAGGAGAACATGTACACCAGAAAAAAGCCGGAGCCAAATCCAACCAGACCCTTGACGGCCTCCGAGAGGCTGCAAGGCATGCGAAACATTGCACCTGGAACATTCAACATCACTGTTGTCAATACCCCAGCCTCTTCACGTCCATCGCACGCCCGACCAACTAAGGCTACCAAGAAGCCCAAGAATTCTAAGAAGTCCCCGAATACTGCTCATACCACAGAAGGAGGGGTCGACCCGCACGACAAGAAATATGCGGAGTGGGTTTCGACGCTTTCTCCTGCAGAGCAGCGTAAGGAGAAGAAGGAAGCTGATATGCGAAATCTTCTCAGAAAGCGCACTCTTGAAATTATAGAGGAACCGGTCTCATACAATGCTGAGTCACCCGCATCAGAATATCAAGTCCGGACTCCTTTGCCAGCTGCTGCTAAGCGTCATAAGATTGCACCCCGTTCAACTACTACTCCAGCCGCTACTCGACGACAACTCAGTGGTATTCCCGAGTCCACCAAAAATCAGTATGAGTCTAGCTCAGATGAGCAAGCCATCGTTGCCGCTACTGGCGCTTCGGGCAGTATTATAACCAGCGAGCCTCTACGAAACATCCTGGATGGACTCGCTAATGGCTTTAGTGATGACGAACAACTTCCCCAAGGTATGAATGAGATATCTGATCACAGCGAAGAACATATTGCCAATCCAACCCATGGTGAATACAATCACCAAGAATATATTCCGATCCAAAACGATGTATCCGAGGAGGGAAACTCCGAGGATGGACATTACGAAGAAGAGTAAATAGAGTACAACTGAGTTCAGATGAATCACACATTCTCTTGTTTCTAAATGAGTGGTCTAATGCTGCACAATACTGGAACCTCTAGCACAATCATATTGGCCTCTCTGCGCATTGGTGGCTTGCATTTAGACTAGTTTTGAGCTCGCAATGGGAATGTTATGATCTTCACCATGTTTCATTCTCCTTGTTCAGCAGCCACAGCCGGCCTCTCACGACACATGCATCCTCGGTATGCTTTCTTTGAACCTCTCCCACGAAATCTTTCTAAACAAAAGTTCAAACAATGTGGTGGAATGGATAACTCATGACTTTTACTTTTGTTCTATTTCTTTCCAAAAACCAACATGTTTTCTGTTCTTCTTTTATTTCAATTGGATAACATATCAAGCGTCGTCCTTAGGGGCACTGTACTTCATCAGGGATAGTTGCAGCATAAATACAACAGGGAACGATCATGGTATTAATGATGTCAGAGGGTAGGATATGTGGTATTTTTGGTATTGCGGTTGCTGCCAACTGAGCATAGTCTTCCATAGATTCTTCCTAGAAAACTTTCGGGAAATATAAAAGTCATTGATATCAAATTGGATCTACCTTTCATATCACTGCTGTGATGTGTACTTGTGTACTTGTGAATTCGACTGCGATAAATAAATAAGCAACCTTGAAAACAAGAATAGATATTTGAAGACAAACACAATCAGCCTAAGGACTGAGTAATTAATGTTTTCGTATGTCCTATATCAATCAGACCCTTGGTCCATTCTTCCCCGTTCTCTACTATTTCTGTGTATCCGCGTGTCTATCTTTAGTGGTCGCTCCGTGTCCTGGTCAATTGCAAGTAGAACAACCTTTTCCAGCAAGCAACTATGCATTAAAGCTTATATTAATGCCGAGATTATGATTTCATCCATAGCGATCACGCATCTCAGAAGTCTAGGACTATTGTAAAAGAAAAATTTCTAATGAATCGAGATTCGTATAAGAGTTCTTTTATTGACCGATTATAGCAGATGAAGAGTGTTAGAGCTTGTTTCGGCAACTATGATCTCTTGAATAAGGTTAACCCTGCTTTTTATGAATCCAAATCTAAATCTAGATCTAGATCTGGATCTGGATCTGGATCTGGATCTCAATTTGAATATATAAATTTAAAGCTTGCATTGAGATGATATACTCCGTAATAGTACGTAAGATTATGTTAAGATATCATTTTCGTTTACATAGCCACTCAAACGAATTCCCCGGCCTAACTAAATGTCTAACCCAATTAAACCGCCGGCTTGACACATTTAGGGCTCAATAGTCTATATTCAAAGTACCCTAATACTATAATTCCGCTAATACTGGCCTACTTGGGCTTAGACGTCCATTCGTTCAGGTGAACACTTCTGAGCTGAATTTTCCCACCCCACCAATAATGCCTGTCATATGACTACCACGTGCTCCACTTACTATTCAGACCACGGGAAGCGTCAGATTTCATATCAGATGCGTACCAATAGGGCGAAAGTTAGAAGGAAAAGACGGATTGTGGCAACCGAAGCAGACGGCTCTATATCTTGGTGTAAGCTTATCTACTTGGCGTGGCGATTTCTCGAAAGGAAAGGGACGGCACGGATCACTAGTGCGATGGAGAGAAATATCCCAGAAGCTTTTGATCCTTCGATGTAGTAAACATCCAGGGAAATGAAGCTGTGAGGACAAGAGCCAAAAGACTAGAGCCAAAGAGAAGAGGCCTCCGAGTCTTGCCACGTCCCTTGCGGGTATTTGTCTCATGTATACAAGTCATGGTCTGTCCAGGCAGTATATAATAAAAGACCAACACTATAGACTTCGAGCCGGAGATTTTTCAATCACTTCACCACTCAAGACTAAACAAACCAACACCATGATGCATATGGCCACCCCCAACACCGACCCCACATTCCGCAACTATACCAGCTCACAAGCCCAAACCTACGCCACGCACCGTCCCTCCTATTCCTCCAAACTCTATGAAACAGTAATAGGACATCATGAGAAAACGGGTGGAAAGTTCAATGTAGCACTTGATCTAGGATGTGGACCTGGGAATGCTACTCGAGATATCGCGAGGGATTTTGAGGAGGCGATTGGATGTGATGCTGGTGCGGCGATGATTGAGACAGCGAGGGAAAGAGGTGGGAAGACGAAGAGCGGGAGGGATATTAGATGGGTTGTTGGGAGTGGGGAGGAATTTGCGGGGTTGGAGGAGGTGGGTATGGGGGAGGTGGATTTGATTACTGTGGCTATGGCGGTATGTGGTTGATCTTTTTTGGTTGGTATGATTATTGATGAGTGTTGGGAGGGATTCTTTCTTAATTTGAGTGTGTGGCTTGTAGGTACATTGGTTTGATATGGATAAATTCTGGGCGCAGGCTGCAAAGGCATTGAAACCTGGTGGGACGGCGAGTAGCTCTTTCCTCTCGTAATTCTTGGGATGAGATTTACTAATATAAAACACAGGTCGCTCTATGGACCCGCGGTAGCACTCTATGTTCACCCCATCTCCCTTTCCTCCCCACACCCCACTAACACCCCTAAGCATCCTTCTACCCCCACCCCTCAACCCCCAACCGAGACCGACTCCTCGAAATCTTCAAAAACTTCGAACAGAAAATCCTAGCTCCCTACGAACTCCCCCCTAACCGTCTCTCTCGCGACATGTACGACAATCTTCCTCTCCCCTGGAATATCCCCCATCCCATCCCCTCATCCACATTCCCCCCATCACAGTTCCTAAAATTAAATTTCGACCGCGACGGAATACTCTCCGATGCGACATCGAATGATTTTTTCGGCGGAGGAAGAGAAGTGACGCTTACGGAAGCAGAGGAGGCGTTGGGGACAGCTAATATGGTAACGAGATGGCGGGAAGCGCATCCTGAGAAAGCGGGAACTGAGAAGGTGAGCTTAAGTTTCGTTTGTTTGTGATGAGTTGAGTTGTGTATTCATTTCTATTTCCCGGTGAGTTTATACTAATTAATTTGGTTTTTTTCTAAAGGATATCTTGAAGCTTCATGTTGGGGAAGTGAGGAAGGTTATGGGTGGGAGGGAAAGTATGCTGGTTGGAAGTAGCACTGCGATTATTTTTGTTAAGAAAGCTCTTGAGGAGGCTTGAATATGCGTGGATATCTAATCTTAATTGCTAGTATTGCATAGGATAGGTTAATGTGAGGTATTCTGCTTTTACTTATATTTAGACCACTTAATCTCTAGATCTCTAGATTAGAATAATTGAGAGTTTCTTTTCTATCTTCCGCTGATTATGATCTACCCGAGAAATATAGCTACGATATAAGATAATTAGGGAATCTATTTTCTAATCACATACACCACTCCACGTATAATGAATATTCCGCCCTCCTATTTCTTCAAAAGGAAATCCTTTTAAACAGCGATTCCTAATACAGTACAATACAATACACGCCCACCCTCAATTATACACAGGAGTTCATAATGATCATCTATAAGAATATGATTAAAAAAAAAAGATATTATAATTATTTATTTTAAACGAGATCAAAAACCTATATTATTATTTATATTAATATTTATGTTAATATCAATATAACAATATATATTCCCAAACTCCCACTGAGATAAGATTTAATATAAATAATATATAAAATATAAGATGAGTAGATAGATATTATAATATAACTAAAAAACGACGATTATTTGGTCTTTATAACAGCCAATTCCACACAAGCCAACATCCATTTCAATTCCTAAGAACTATGATGTGAATCCCATTATCAAAATAATTCTCTGTCCAAATCTTACGGGTTCGTAGATATTAGATACAAAAATAATTCCATTGCCATTGCTATTGCAAGCCGCTAATTTTCCTAAACCCCTGTACACCTACCTGTATTATGAAGTATTTTCCCAAAAATAGCTTAAATGAAAGCTTGTAGGTGAATAAACCCAACTGCCCAAAATTTACGTCTAGAAGAAATTCATCTCCAAGTAGAATGTAAATTCGACCTTGTCTTTCTCCTTCCCTTCAATCCCACTTCCCCAGCACCCATTAGACTCTTCCATCTCTTTCCTACACTCCCTCTATCCTTCCCTAGGCTCCTCGCGCAATCTTGCCAATCACTTTTACTCAACTTGAGCTTTTCCAATACTAACTCTACTAACATTCTATCCTCCTCCGTTGACCAATCCTCTCCATCTTTTTCCCCCTCCTTGTATTCCTGTGCTCCACTCTCAACACGCTGTGAACTTTCCCCCGCACTAAAGATAAAAGCGCTCCCATCATTAGGTTTCTCCATTTCGGCCAAGCGAAGAGTATGGAAATCACTCCTCTCCAAGCCCAAAGGTAACACCTCTGGTGCGATTCTCCGCCTACGTTTCGGTGTACTGGGAGCTTGGGATCCTGCATTCTCATGTTCCTGTTCCGAAATATCACCCATATCCTCACAAATGATATCATCATCCATCGCTCTCCTCCTCTTACTAATTCCTCGTGGAGCTTCTCTTTGTGCTCGCTTCGTAATACGTTTCCTATCTGCGGCTTCTGGGCCGATTTTCTTTGCTGTGGACGGTATGCGCAATCTTAGCTTTGTAGGCGAGTTGCTAATTGTAGGAAGCGATGAAGGAAAATCTGCGTGAACTGTGGGTGGCGAAGGTAATTGTGTTGGAGTTGTGAGCATAGATTGTAAAGCGCGACATGATTGGAACAGATTGCTGATGGTAGGTGTAGAAGATGGTGAAAGGGTAGGTGAAAGAGGTGGTGATGCGAATAGGAGATTGCGATTTCGAGACTGTTGTGAATGTGGTTGCGAAGAGTCGCCACAGGCGAAGGCCGATGGTAATAACATCTTTTGTTAGATGCAGTTTTGAGGTATATGTTTGAATGATTTGAGGCGTGAGATATGATAACGAAAATAATGTTGTGGTAACAATGGGAATTGTTTGTTTATTCTCCAGGCAAAAAAGTAAAGTGATGCTTGCGACAGAGGCCGAATAGTGATGCGCCGGAAAGCGTCGATGCCTTGTAATCCTGTACTATGTTCTTGAAAATTAGATCCAAAGAATCGCACGAATTTCTTCTACCGTTCAAGGTTCTTATGATTCGCATGCGATAATGATGATGTTGTGATATTTCCAATTGGGTTGTTCTTATCTTGAAACGTTTTCAGATTCGTTTCCGTTGCTATTTGACGTGACAAGAAAGGACGAACGAGAGGGTCCAAAATATCCAACGGGGGCGGCTGGTTTAATGTTAATTAATGCTCACTCGTTAATAAACTTGCACAATTATGGCAGGGGCTTTGGATTTATGGATTTTTATGGATCCGTGAACGTGTGATCAATGCTGCATTAAACTTTTATGGAGACGTCGACAGACGAATGAAAGTTAGCGCGACTTGTCTGAACAGGGATAAAAATATAATACACCGAGAGAGACTAGGTAAGTAGGCAAGTAAGAGGTAGGTGTCTACTCAAGTCTAATCCCTTCTGTCTCTCTGTGTTTGAGCAAGATTAAGTTAGGTCTTGATTAAGTTAGATCTTGATTAAGTTAGATCTTAATCAAGTTAGATCTTAATCAAGTTAGATCTTAATTAAGCTAGATCTTAATCTTGCAGCATTGAGCAGCGAGGAAAGAAGAGAAGGGTTTACAATATATGGATTTTGATCAACTCTAGTCTCTACCTGCCATCAGTGTACCTAAGGTCCGACCTATCTACTACTTACATAAGACTTACCATGATCTATAGATTGTAATTATTATATCCACCTTCTTCCCCATCTTCTAAATCTACGAGTGGACTTTCGGTGAGGGGATGGCCAGATCCTCTCTCTTCTTCCCCGTAATCGACCTTCTAATTCTTCCTCGCTTTCATGCAGACACCGTTACAGTACTAGTACCACTCACTCTCTATGCCCCCTTGCCATTCATCCCGAGTCAACTCAAGACTCAAGTCTTCCACTATTGTGGTACATCATAAACCTCACACTGTCCCACAACCTTTTCTACTTTTCCTGTTATCATTTTACTGGACGAAAGGGGAAGTTCGGAGTGCACACTTTCTACAATTATCTAGCTTGATAGGTTCTATTCTATTCAGCACTCCTTCTAGCAAACTTGCAGAGGTGGTTCTCTCCCTTTCTCTCAGAGACTGTCTTGCTAAGAGTTACAGTATTAAAATGGTCTCATGATCACCTATATCTGCCCCTTCACTTCTCTTCATCATATCTCGATTTGTCGATTTGAGATTTAAATGTCTTTTCGGGCACATCTTTTTAATGCTCCTTTTAGCCAAGTCACCCTTCATGTAAACACAATGTAATTCTGCTAATTGAGATGATTTGTACCCTTCTTGCAGCATTAGCCTTCTCTTTATGGTCTTTCGTATAATGTACAATACGTATTCTCAATGATGTGTATTGGCTCGTATTGCTATCGACTTACCATGGAGATGGAGTGATCGGATAATCCAAATCTCCACTACCTTGTAGTTCGACCTCATGATGATCAAGTGATGTCTCTTTCGATTCAATACAACGCTTCCCTTGCGATTATACGATATTGTTTAAAGTTCTGGGGGGTTAATTGAAGTGATGAAATCATTATTCCGAAACCCCTCAAGTCCCTTATCTACTATCTGCATACTGAAAAAACAAAATAATATCCTACCGTCTGTAGACGCACCTGCCTGCCTGCACACAAGCTCTCCAAGCAAGCATCCTCGCATGTAAAACGGTTTTCAACATGATGGAAACATAATCCTTTACACTCTACATTTCGAACCCCTGGAAAATCGTGCATTTGATGTATTATCTCATTCGTTACATTTTACTCCCTGTCATGCTAAAGTCTTCATAATTTACCAAATAGCGGGGCACCGTGGAAGAGAAAGACGCGTGTGCACCGCGTATGAGCGCGTTTATTCGCGTTTTCGCGTCGTACTTTACGCGCATGAGTCAGCTTGGTTCCGTAGCTCCGATACATTGTCTTTAATTCTTAAACCACCCACTCGCACAACGATCAACCTACCTACTATGTAGATTGAACGTAAGATCTTATGTCTTATCCTGTCCTTTCCTCGCACTGAAAATTGATCGGCTGACTTCTTCCTCACATCCCAATGAATCTATGATATTTCCAAAAGACCTAAAATCTAATTTGAAGACTCCAACACCTAATTATATCTCCAGTCAATCCGAGCAACCACCTTCATCCCTTGTCACAATAATCTACCTACCCTACCCCATCCTTCCTTCCATTTTCGATCCTTGCCGTCCGCTATCAATTTTGCAGTAGCGTCTCGCTGTGCATATACGCCCATCCAGGTATCTCTCTGTGATCTCCGAATTCATGGTCTTCACACTTTGATCATTTCTTTTCCATCAAATCAGATGGTAAAAGAGATATTGTCTAGCATTACGTACATGTTGCATTTGCGGAGATGGACATGGAGAAATGCACTTTTAAGTTGAGTGATTTATACCTACATCTACGTATACCTAAATACCTCTAGTTGTATATCTAGACACAGGGAAATGGGATCATTGACCGGGTACGTCGACGAATATGCAGATCATGAGGATTAGTCGATTGTTTATAATTACCCATTAGTTGGAAATTTGGAATAAAAGTACGGAGTACAACTGAGAATACCGAGATGTTGCAAATCTTGCATGGTAATGGTATTTGAAAATGGGAAGGGAGGAAACCTGAGCAGATTTCCTTGCCTAGGTTAAAACCTGCACATTTTGAATGAGAGGGAGAAAAGGTAAGATTATAGTATCATGATGAGCAACCACCCGCTATCTTTTGTTGAAGTCTAGATTACTGCAACTGCGTCAAGCGACGTGCCTGAATTAGTTGGATGTCTTGTTTACATTTTGGAGGGAATATTGGATACTGGGTTTAGAAGGATCTTTAACTCAGAGCCTTCTCTGGCAGCCGTGAACAGCATTATCATTGTGACCACTAGCCTAGTACACACTCTTCTATCTTATCTCTGATCAATAATACCAGAAGCACCCTTCCACGGCATCACCACATCCTTCATCAGTAACTTCAAGCACGTGATAACCATGTGCAACCCAGCGGAACTTGTTTCGGCAATCTCGGTTCCCGGCCATCCTGTCAAATACCCCTCGGTCCTAACACAAGACAAGTACAAAAAACGATATTAACACAAATACTGCAAATACCAACAAAAAGTCATATGTTCGTTACACGATGCTTCTCCCCACGGGTATTCCTCAAAGTCTCAACTCAATACACAAAACATTCACAAATATAACACCAAATCAATCCCTCGGTATTCCAATATCGATATCGCTCTTTGCCGGCTTAGCTACCACTTCATTACTTTTTTATACCCTCCGCGATATTCGCACAACTACAGATCCAGACGTCATCAAAACTACCTTATCAAAAACAAAAACAAATTCGAAATCGAAATCTAAGATAATTCCCAGTCCTCTCATCACCCAAATTCCTACTCTGTCCCAAGAGGAAATATCCAAATTACCGTATCCGCCGGATATATTCCCCGGAGCGCGTGATATTCCTAGTCCCGTTCGTAAATTCCCATCTAGAGATACCTAATATCCTATAGCTACGAACTAACCAATACCCCAGTATGGCAGTATACGTGCGTATGAATTTGGGCCTGTAGACGGACCCAAAATTCTGCTCATCCACGGGATTTCCACCCCCTGTATTTCTCTGCATTCTCTCGCTACGACACTCGCTTCCTCGCACGGATGCAGAGTTCTCCTTTTCGATCTTTTCGGGAGAGGTTATTCGGATGGTGTGGCCGATTTACCGCATGATGAGAGACTTTACTCGACGCTGATTTTACTCGTTCTTGCTTCTTCGTCGTTATCGTGGGTAGCGGATGGATTTCATATTCTTGGGTTTTCGATGGGTGGAGGTATTGCGGTGGATTTTGCAGTGGCGTTTCCCGGGTTGGTTAAGGATGTGATTCTTTTGGCGCCGAGTGGTTTGATTAGAGAGTATCATTTTGGGTGGATGGGGAAGATGATGAGGAAGTGGTGGGTTCCTGATGGGTTGGCGGAATGGATTTTGAGGAGGAGGGTTAGGGGTGGTTATTCGGGAGTTTCGAATCCTGTTTCTTCTTCCTCCTCATCTAAGGATATACAAAATGAGAATCAGCAGGGTCAACTTGACTCGGAACTCATAACGATCATTCCGGCTTCTCCTATTGCAAAGCAGGATATTAAGGTCTCGTTTGATGATTCACTTATTTCCCCCTCAATACCATATACAACAGTAGGTCAAGTGATGCGTTGGCAAACAAATCAACATCATGGATACGCAAATGCATTTGCAAGTTCAATTATGCATGCGTCGGTTTCGGGTCGTAGTGATACGTGGAGAAAGTTATGGGGGTCTTGTGGTGATAGTATAATGAGAGAAAAAGTTAAAAATAGCAAAAGAGAGAAAATTTTAGTAGTAGTGGGGGAATTTGATGATGTTATACTAGCAGAAGAGTTAAAAGAGGATTTGAAGGGGGTGGTGGAAAGTATTTGGGCTGGGGCTGGGGCTGATGGTGATGGTGATGGTGATGGGAAGAAGAGTATGCAATTTGAAGAGAAGATTATGTGGAAAGTTGTTGAGGGGGCTGGTCATGAGTTTCCGATTACGAGGGGAGAGGAGGTGGCGGGGTATATTGGGGAGTTTTTGTTTGGGTGAGAGGGCGTGGGAATGTGGTTGTGTATCTGGTTTATTGATTTATTTTTTTAGATGAGTGGACATGCTGTAGATCTTACTAATTAGAAATGAGTATCGGATTAGAATGGTGGTTTAGTCTAGAATGTAGATAGCTTATGCGTAGAGGGTAGGTTTTTACACTTAATTATTGATATGGTTTGAAATACCTATATAAACCTCATATCTTAGATGTCGAATCTTCCAGAAACATCTAAACCTCGCTGTTCATTCTACGTCAACATGAACCACCTAATCATAAACAACATTGGAGTTCTATACTCCTATACATACCTGCAACCATTTCTCCAGCCGTTCATTCATCATTCCATTCACAGCACAGCACGCAACATGAAATATAAATCCGTAATCAATCTCTCCCTCAATCTACTCATTTATTATCCTCATACCAAAATGACCAATACCTATCTCCATAATTATCATGTTAAGCATCTTATCAGTATGAAAATTTCACGCTTCGTTAAGAAAATCTGGTGATTTTTCCGCTGGGGTTCCTGCGTCATATTTCGTTTCTGTGAGGGTTATAATTTCTTTCTTTCATTGTGCTTTCAATCTAGTCTTCTTTGGGATTTATATTTGCTTCAAGTGTTTACCTAGTTATGATTCTTTGGGGGATTTTCTGTGCGGTAGATAGATGGAATACGTACACGTGAGTACCTAGACCTAGTCCTAGTCTTATATATATCTTTGATTCTGGGTTGTCGTGCGGGTTAAAAGAATGAGGTTTCATTGACTTTCAGTGGTCTGATCTCATCTCATTTAGATTCTACAGCAATGGTGATCCCAAGCACAGAAATCCAATTAGTTAATCGACAAGTAATGTAGTTCCACATCTCATATATCTATCTATCTCCCAGAACATAAATACCTACCGATCAATACCTATTATACTCGTACCAATACACAGTCGAAATCACGCAAGCATATCCGCATAATACCTTACGCAATACAAGATTAAAATAACCATCCCCGAACACACAAGTATATAAACTACATAGCTAATGAGATGAAGAAGTAAGAAATCATTCTATCTAGACCTCCTTCCACGATATTGATTCTGCATAATCGCTTGCTGAATCATACCATTATTCGATTCTCGCAATGGATATCGAAAATTTTATATTCCTGTGCTGAGTGTATCATTGGATTTGCGAGATTAGAATGGTATCGGTATCGGGTTGTAAGATTAGAAGCTTTGAGGCTGTTTTTTCATTAGGTTTCGATGTATATATACTAGGTAGTTTTGGAGGATCATTGATCTGCAGTGAGATTTTGGGTATATATGAATGCATGAATGGGATGAGAAGGAAGGAGGGAGGGAGTTTTTTCTAGACTGTGAGATGAAATTGCAGCGGGGTTATGAGAGTAGTTCAAGTATATATAGATGTAAATTAGAAGATGAGAGACTCATATTGGGATTTATAGGTTCTACGTTGTGAATTCGAATGAAGTAGATGGTATTGCCGTAAACTTCACATACGATGGATGCACCAACCCCAAATCTGGATTTTAAAATCAATGACCGAGCTCAAGGAATGTAAGCAATGTGAGGTTATTTGAAGGTGGATGTATTTGATATGTCTAATGATGCATTTTTATATCTTTACCTATTCCTCTGTCTAAACATTAACACGCCTAACTTTAAGGATCTCGCAAAAGAAAATGTGGAAGATAAGAACGTAAGGATATAAACCTCCTACACTCCCTGTGAGTAGAACTCTCTTTCCCTTTAAATATCTTAAACGCTCGCTCCCTTGCTTGAGAAAGGAACCTAGTCAATCAAGTGACGATACCTCTGATATCCCGCCGTTTCTGACTTGCTGCTTTTTTGTAGAGCAGTCATGATATTTCTTCTTTCATCTCTCATCTACCATACCACCATATCCTAGAATAAATCCATATTGCACAGACAGACACCATTGAACTTTTAAGTATATCATTCAATCTTTCTATAAACAACAGTCAATAAACTCTGAATTCTCGATAACTACAGTGATACCCCTTTTGCCTGCCTCGCTTGCCATGTTGACTGCATGCTGTAATTATATTTCATGTTAGGAGTACTCTCAAACAAATTACCCACCAGCTGTGTCGAAGAAGACTTATAGAAATATCACAAGAGGAGGACAGCTAGCTATCGACAAAAATTGTTCTCCGTAAAGACGCGGCGTGGTCATGTAATAAAATAAAATAAAGCTCGAACATCACGATTGTCGTATACGTAGCCGCCATCCTAAAAAGAAAATACTCTTATATAAACTTATCAATCAAGTTTTGTCCGACTACCAATATTGTTGATGATTCAATGTTATAAAATGATGCTAACATCCATCTCTCCAGATATGCAAGTAAGCAAATTTAGTATAAAAAAAATCAGGATATCGAAATTGAGAATAAACACAAAATTAGTGCTATAAGAACATAAAAAAGAGCAAAACATCCACAAAAACCCGCTAAAAGCACCAAAAGACCTCCCAAGAATCCGAGCTAAAATCCCTGCTGCCTATGCCACTTTTCTTCCCAACCGGGAAAATACGGACTCTCACTTAAAGTTTCCTCCTTCCAAACTTCCTCTCCCTCCTGCGGTACCACCCACCCCTTCTCCACTTGTTCCTTGGCCCACTTTTCCATTGCTGGAATAACTACATGCTCTATATGCCACGTCCCTTTATATTCCATCAAACTCTTCTTTCCTTCTTTCAAGATCTTGCACATCAATGCTGGGATATATGGTTCATCCCTAAATTCCGTCACGGGCGTGAATAATGCTTTAAAGTTAAAGACCACGCCTCCACTTAACGGTAATCGTCTTAGTGTCTGCCAGTCAACCCTCAAATTACATTCTTCAATTGTCAAATCTTCCTTTTGTGTTTCTCTCAATTTTTCATGCGGATGGCCAGCAGGCATAAATAAAGGAGAATCGACCTCGAGACCCCAGCTACCACGCTGAATCGGAGCATCGGCTGACATCTTGCTGAAAAAGCGATCCATACTGAAAGACATTTTTTCCTTGTAATCTGGGATCGGCTTATGGATGTCCTCGAGCTTTAATCCAATTTTCGTGGCGACGTTCCAGCCTAGTGAACTACAGATGACACCGGCGCGAAAATAGTACATTCCATCTTCGTCATTTCTCAACACAATTGCGAAATCTTCGGGGACGTTGTTGAGGAGGACGTGTAAGGGATGCATGTATTTGATTTCGGTAGTAGTTTTGAGGAGAGCATTGTGGAAAGTTCTTTTATCTGGTGAAAGGGAGAAATAGGCGGGGTAGCGGGCACAGTAGAACTGGAGACACATTTCCATGAGTTCTTTAGTGGCGAGTTCACTTCCAGGAAGATAGTCGAGGACCATTTTGCCGTATTGTTTGAAGAGTCCTTGACGTTCGGCCATGCGAGAACAGTATGTATTCTCGACTTCGAGCCACCAGTCGGATTCCATTTTTTGAAAAGCTAGGACGCATCAGTATATCTTCAACGGAAGATAGGGACGTAATTACACATAGTTTGATGATATTGCCATCTTATAGGCCTGTAAGGTCTAGCAAGAGCGTTTTGGGGATTGAATCCTTTGTAGGGTTGAGGTAGTGGGACGCCGGTCAAGATATGATAAGGTGGAAAATCGCCCATGACGTTAATTTCTTGGGTAGAGAAACCCATTGGTGTATATTTTGGAGTTTCGAATCCGAGAGTATAAGTCTGAGCCATAGGTAATTTATTCTTTGCCATGTGTTCATTTGATGGGTTGGTTGAGGTCAAGACTGTGCCGAATCGTGGAGGGATAGTTTCCGCAACCTGTGGAAGCGTGTAACGTCTTGAGGGAGGCAATACATCGTAGTAATTTGGAGCCTTGCTGATGGAGCTCAATGGTTTATCGGTGCTTTTCTTGCTTGGAGACAATGAACGAGGGGGGGTTGCAGAGGTAGATGCGCGTCGATGCTGGATATGAAGCTTCTTGAATAGGGACCTGTGCCAACTTTGTGTAAATGCAAGTGCAGTGATAGTCAGCAACAATAGAACTACACCAAGACCAAGGGGCCATTGATTTGATAATAAAGTTGCATTGATCGCGATCATTGTGCCACTTTGGAAACCCCCAATAAGTGCCAAGCTTTTGGTGTCGTTGTGCGATATGCCGTGATAGTAAATGATGTAGATGAGTCTCGTCGTGCCCTTCAGTGTGTATGATAGATAGAATTGCAGATATCTATTACTTAAATAAAAGTAGTTCGGTTAAAGTGTACCTGAGAGGTAAGAAAAGCTGTCAATCCATGGAATGTACTAAAAATGGACAACAAATGCGATACAAATAGGCTATATCATATTGTGGAAAGGCTCAAAGGAAGGAATGAGATAACAACTTCTGCAGGAAGCGATTATCCCTGAACTTCAATATTAAAGCACAACATTAAAGCTACACAACTTTGAAAACGTGGACCTGCTTCGGATATAAACACAAGCGCCTTCTCGACAACTTTCAGCACCGCAGAAGCACACCAACCCAGTCATCGAGCTAGCCATCTCAAATAGGGAAAGGAAATCGCGATAGAAGAAGGAATCACCATAGCCAGATTGTGAATCCCGATCCAAGTGGACGAGATAAAGGAAGAAGTGGTGTGCAGCTTTCTCCACTCACATTCGTTCCCCTACGTAGCACATACATGGACTGCGTACAAACTATACAAGGAAACGCCCATATCGTGGTATCATGTACCGGTATCAGGCATCATATCTCCAAGAAATATGACCAAGTGATCCTTCCAATCGATAAGACTTCCTATCTACTTGGGTCTCTGCATTCAGCCATACAACCATACAACCAATATCAACCATTCCTAACCACCCACAAGCTCTGTATTCTAACAAGTTCGAAAGGATAAAATAACCTAAGCTGGTTAAGCGTACATTGGCAACCCCGACATTCCGTGCCGATTGGCCCCACCTTCGAGTTTTGATTACTACATTCAGCGAATTGTTCCCTTTTACTTGACTTTGGCAGGTGCTTTACTTGTATAGTAACCTTATTTTACATAGACAAAGCAGTATTATTGAATCACATCAGGTGATGTATAGATTTGGGAGAACTTATAGATCAGATATCATAGATATACTTCCTTCTCTTAGTTTAAAACGGGCTGTTGTTTATCGTGACGTTGGGACGTGAATACGTAGAAGTATGAAGTTTGTAATTTGAGGATTGAGTGTTGCGATTACATTCCGAGTATTGGATGAAGAACTTGGAGAGGCGAAGTGCCTCTTGAATGAATAGGGCATCTAAAAGTAGATTGGTAATTCTTCGAGCTTAACGTGTACAGTACTTTGCTCCGTGCGGTATATAACATTAAAAAAACATAGTAAGGGTATACAATAGAAGAGAACGATGAGACCTTTTCTCCAACGATAACACCGGATAGATTCTCCTGGCAATCAAATCTTTCCAAAGCTTCTTCGCTCGCTATAATGACAAAAATCAAAACATGAGAACAAAATCAAAAATACATACGCTCGTACTACCCAATCCCATGACCAGAATAATATCGTAGGTCATATCTTCGTTTTCCATTTCGTTATAAAAATCATCTCATTTCATTAAAACCCACCATATTTCTTCCAACGACCGAAGAGACCACCAGAAGCACTTGGCGCTCTAGCCGTCTCGAAACCCAAGTCTCTTTGGTGTTCTCTTAAAGCATCCTCTTGACTGCCTTCTGAGCTTCTCGTAGGTTTCTCTATCTCCTTTTCCCGTTTTCTTTCCTCTCTTCTTCGTCGTTTATCATCGTCATTCCCCTCTGGCCTTGTTTTCCTCATCCTTTTTCTCTCAGCTTCTCCGCCGACGGTGTCATCAACAGGAGATGCCTCTTTGTAGGAAATTTGGTGGAGGTGGTGCATCCGAGTTCTGTCTCACCCAGGAGTCTGTACCGTTATGAGGCCAAGCTGGAGCTTTAGGTTTTGAACGGCTGTAGACGGGACCATCGGCTGGAAGAAATTCCGGCTCTGGGGCTGGTGTAGTTTTGCGACTTGATTTCCGAGGATCTGATGACTTTACCCGATCTTCACGTCTTCGTCGACGAACTTCGTCATCATCGCCATCTTTGTGACTGCGTCTGCGTTTAGAACGCGATGGATCTTCTCCACGTGGCTCGCCATCTGTTTGTGCAGCTTCTCTTTCTTTTCTGGCTCTTCGGCGTTCAGCACGTTCGACCTCTTTTGCTTCCCTTTCTTCTTCGACTCGGCGCTCAGCAGCCTCTGCAGCACGCCTCTTCTCTCGCTTCGCTGCTCTCCGTGCTTCACGCTCGTCTTCTTCTTCCCTACGTTGACGATCCCTTCTTGCCTCCTCCTTGGTCGCTCGTGCATCTTCCCCACCTCGTTGGCCAGCTTCACGTTCACGTTCAGCCCTTCGTGCACGTCGAGCTGCTCTCCTTGCCTCTTGGTCTTCTTCGGAAACGGCACCTGTCATGGTGACATCAATTTCGGGGCCTACATCTCTAGAAGATCTTCTAGTCTTTCGATCATCCCGTCTATATGCACGACTCGCATCTTCAGCGGGGGCAGTACTGCGACGTTTCAGGTCCGGGCGGTCCTTTTCTTTATCTTTTTTCCCAAAAACGCCTCCAAACATGCCACCTAAACCAGATTTGCGAGCGCTTGGATCGGTCCGTTTAGATCCAGATGCTCCTAGGTTTTCCGATGGGCCTGGGTCTACCATAACAATATCATCCTCTCGGCGTCTTTGTTGATATGTCCTAGCATTAGCACCCCAGTCTGTAGTAGGCGTAGTCTTCCTTCGAATTGGTATATCCATGGCGGGCGGAGGCATAGGGACAGGTGGTGCCGCTTGCCCACCAAACACCGAGTCATTAGTTACCTGTGGCTTTCCTTTTCTATCACGACTAGACCTATGACGGATAGGATCTGCCACGTCACCATCAACCACGTCATCATCTTCATGATTGGTGTTAGCATAAGTAAGAATTATGATAACTGTATGGAGTTACGTACCACGTGATGGCCTGGCCTTTTCGGACTTGCTTCTTGAAAGCTTGCCAGGAACACCAATACCAAACATTTTCGCAGCTTTTGCGGGCATTGGAGGAGGATCACGAGAATCATCAGGAAGTGGAATTGGGTAACCAGAACTGTCAATGTTGACGGATTGCCGGCGTGAGCTTGTTCTACTTACACTGGGTCGTTTTTCAGACTTTGAATTAGACCTTGATAGTGGTGTTGGAGGCCCAAACATATTTGATATTCCTCTAGAAACCGGTGGTCTGTTGTCCGCTTTTGATGACTTGTCTGCTTTATCTGAAGATGAGTCCTTTGATTCAGAAGTTTTCTCCTCTCTAGTAGATGATCTTCTGGATTTAGAATGCCTATGCTCGGATTCCCTCGCGGATCTCCTCTCGTCTTTCATGATCGGGGGCTCCTCAAATCTAGGTTCACGGTCTCTGGATGATCTTTTTTCTCTTTCTTCCTTACGAGGCTCTGCTCCCCAGGCTCCCCAAGACGATCCATCACGAACAACTCGAGGTCGTTCCTTCTTGGAGGATTTATGATCTGAGTCAGGTTCCAGGTCGTGTTCTATCTCAGGAGGTGGTGTGGGTGGTTCAACTGGTATAGGTGGTGCTCTAGAAGATTCCTTGACCTTACTAGACTTATTCTTATTCTTCTTTTGAATTGGCATCTCAACAATATCAACAATTGCGTCGTCGTAAGCAGTTCCCGGGACTGCACCAGGAAATACTTCTGGATCTTCAAACCTTTCCTTATCTCTCCTGGATGATTTTGATTTTCTCCTTTCTTCCTTAGTCGGCACAGGCTGCACGACAAGTGGAGGTGGAGGTGGAGGCGGGGGAGGAGATGGGGAAGGAGAAGGCGCGGGAAAATATCCCTCTACTTCCTCAGGCTCGTCGGGCTCATTACACTCATCGAGCTCTTCAGGGGATTTATTTGCTTCAAATGCTCTTAACCTATCAGCTACTGTTCCTCCAAGTGGTTTCTTTAATAGGCTTGATTGTATTGAGGGTGGTGGCCATTTAGATGTCGTGTCCTTGTTCTTAGAAGAGGTTCCTGGACGCGTCGCTTTGTCAGCAATCGCAATCTCATCTGGTCCCGTGCCCCAAGCCATGAGATCCTTGGTGGATGCCTCAGTAAGATTAGTCTTACCAAATTCAATATCCTTGCTTGGCGACGGCTTCTCTATTACTGGTGATTTTTTTGGAGCTCCCCAAAAACTAAATGCTTGCGACGCTGGCTTTGCACGATTTCCTAAAGCAAGTATTTCGTCCACTTCTTCCTGGGTTGGTTCTGGGTCTTCATCTGGTTCTGGAGTGGGAGCTTTGGTCGGTATTGGTGGTGGTGGTGGAGGGATAGGCTCTGGTTCCTTGCTGTGTCTAGACTTCTTACCCTTACTTAACTTAGATTCCTTTCTGGCCCTTTTAGCAGCTTCAGCCTGTTCTCTGGCAGCTTTTTCCTCTGCCTCTCTATTAGCACGCTCTTCTTCCATTCTAGCACGCTCCTCTTCCTCTCTTTCACGTTCCTCCTCTTCTTCTCTTAGACGTTCCTCTTCCTCTCTTGCCGCTTCCTCCTCCTCCGCCTCCCTAAGAGCTCGTTCTTCTGCCTCCTTTGCGGCGGCTTCCTCCTCGGCTTTCTTCCTAGCTAACCGATCGGCTTCTTTTTGTTGTCTCTTTGTCAACTTCATTTTGGGTTTAGCTGCTTCAGCATCTTCAGCATCTTCGGCTAATCTTTTGGCTTCTGCCTCAGCAGCTTCAGCTTCGGTTCTAGCTTGCTCTTCGGCCTCCAAAGCCGCAGCCTCGGCTCTTGCTTGTTCCTCGGCCTCAATTCGTTCTTGCTCCTCAGCTTCGAGCCTGGCCTGTTCTTCGGCCTCCAATCTAGCCGCCTCTTCTGCAGCTTTCGCTTCGGCCTCTTCTTTTTCAGCCTTCTTCCTAGCTCTTTCGGCTGCCTTATCAGCGTCTCTTTGTTCTTTTTTGCTGAGTTTGACAGGAGGAGCTTCTTTCTCCTTAGGTTTTGATTTCTTCGATGTGGATCCAAAACCCCACAAATTATCTGTCTCATGCTCTGCTGGCGGCTCCACCGGCGTCTCCACTGGCGGAGTTGGAGCTGGAGGTGCAGCTTCAATTTCGAGTGTAGTCTTTTTCTTGCTCTTCTTTTCGCTCTTCTTCTTTTGTTTGCTGCCCGAGGCTAGACCCCATATTGAGCTCCAATCGTTCCTGGGAGGCTCTGGCTCGGATTCCGATTCCGATTCGGCTTCAGCTTCAGCCTTAGCTTTCTCTTCGGCTTCAATTCTTGCCCTTTCCTCGGCTTCAACTCTTTCTCGTTCTTCAGCTTCAAGCCTTTCTCGTTCTTCAGCTTCAAGCCTTTCTCGTTCTTCAGCTTCAAGCCTTTCCCGTTCCTCTGCTTCAAACCTTTCCCGTTCCTCTGCTTCAAGCCCTTCCCGTTCCTCTGCTTCAAACCTTTCCCGTTCCTCTGCTTCAAACCTTTCCCGTTCCTCTGCTTCAAACCTTTCCCGTTCCTCTGCTTCAAACCTTTCCCGTTCTTCGGTTTCAAGTCTTTCCTGTTCCTCTGCCTCCTCTGCCAATTTCCTTTCAGCTTCCTCTTTTTCTGCCTTCCTTCTAGCCCTATCGGCTTCTTTTTGTTCTTTCTTGCTAAGCTTAACAAGTGGCTTGGAAGAGGTCGGACTAAAAAAGTCATCAAATTTGGGCTCCTTGACAGGCTCAGGCTTTGGAGGTTCTTCGATAAGGCTCTTTTTCTTCTTCTTTTCTTTCGACGACGTACCCCATCCCATGAAATCGTCAACGGCGGGGGGAGCATCCGGGACCGGCGGAGGTGACATGGGCTCTTCATAGTCATCAACAGGAAGTAAAGGCTCCTCTTTGTTCTTTTTCGTGTTCTGTCCCCAGTTCAACCAGCCGTTGTTACTATCTGCGGGCTCAATCGCTTCCATGATCGGTTTATTTTCAGGTTCATGAGTGAATTCCCTGTTTCTGCTCCCCTTCTTCTTGTCTCTCATTGGAGTAGCAGTAAAACCCCAGTCAAAATCGTCCGCAACAGCTGGAGGTGGGTCAGGAGCCGGTGCAGGGACGGGTTCATCAAAGCCCTCAATTACTCTGGGCTCCTCGGCACTCCGTTTACCTTTTCTCCTCTCTTTGTCCTTGATAGAGGTTTTATCTTTATCTTTGCTCGAGGTTTTGTCCTTCTTTTTGGTAGAGGTAAGAGCACCCCAGATACCCACAGATTCCACGGATTTTGAGACTGGTTCCGGTTCTAGATCCTTGAAATCTTCCTCAGCTGGCTCATCTTTCACTTTGTCATCAAATCCCCAATCAAAACCACCGATCGCTGGAGCAGTTGGTATAATCACATCCTTGGATTGCTTTTTCCTGTCTTTTGTGGAACTACTGAGTCCCCACGAGTCCCATACATTGGTATCTTCCTCAGGTTCCGGTTCAAAATGGGGTCCCGCTTCTGGTTCAGGTGGTGGCGGTGTTGGTGGCCTCACAACTTCGGGTTCTATAACAATGTTCTTACCTTTCCTTTTCTTTTCCTTTTTGGAAGATTTAGTATTTGCAATTGGTTCCGATTGTGGTGGCTCAGGTTCGGGCTCGGGATCTTTTTCGGGTTCAACTACTGGTTCGGGCTCTTCCTCTGGCTCTGGGGGAGGTGCTGGCTCTTCTACAGCTCCTTTCTTCTTCTTCTTTTCTTTCTTAGACAGTCCCCAACCCCAACCGAAATCTTCTTCAGCCTCTTCTTCAACGACAGGCTCGGGTTCAGGTGGTTCCACGACTGGTGGTGGTTCTTCTACTTTTGGCGGTTCGTCCATAATGGCACTTTTGCCTTTCTTTTTCTTACCCGGTTTAGCATTACCCCAAGCGGAAATGGGTTCCTCCTCCTTTTTCGGTTCGGGAATAGGATCGAAATCAGGCTCATTTTGGGGTTCGGCTTCGGGATCCGGTGGAGGTGAATCTTCTGGTTTTAATTGTTCAGCAAGCTTTTCCTTTTTCTTCTTGTTTTTCTTGGAGGTTGATCCGATGTTCCAGATATCTTCCACGGGGGCAGGCTCAGGAGCAGGCTCAGGAGGAGGGGTGGGTGGTTTCTTTTCAACAACCGGCTCGACTACGGCTTCCACTTTTGGAGTTTCATTGACTTTAAGGGTTTCATTGACTTTAGGGGTTTCATTGACTGCTTTACCTTTCATCTTTTTGCTTGTAGCTCCCCAAGCACCCCAAGCGTCGTCCAGGGCAGGAATATCAATGGGTTTCGGAGGTTCAACTTTTGGTTCTTCTTTCGGCGCCACTTCAAACATGTCTATCGCCGATGCTACCGTGCCTTTCTTTCTTTTCTTTTCCTTTTTGGGAACACCAATGCCAAGTCCAATGTCTTCTTCTGGTATCGATTCCGGTTTCGGGTCAGGCTTTGTTTCCATTTTCCGGGAATTTGCTAAGCTGCGTTTAGTTTCATCCTGTTCAAGGGCGCCAAATGTAAATCCTAGGTTTTGATGTTCGGGCTTACCACGATCATTACTCAAAGGGTTTTTAGTCTCTTCCGTGGATTTATTTACTGGAGATGGAGTTCTCGCGCTGGTTGCGCTCCCAATTCCCCATTTCGATACTCCAGTAATCCAGCTACTACCCCATCCACCGAGAACACCAGGTAATTTTGGGCTTGCAGTACTGCCGCCTGTATCCGGATTGAGATTGAGCTTAGGTTTATCATCCAATTTGATGTCATCAAATGACTCGGCGACTTTTATCACGGGGGCTGGGGGCGGCGGAGGTGGTACTGGCTCTGGCTCTGGTTCTGCTTCTGGTTCCGCCTCGGCAGATTTTCCCTTCCTCTTCTTTCTGTCTTTCTTGGTCGTTACAGTGAAGCTGTCCGGTAAGTCTTCAACGGGTGGCTCGACGTATTTCTCTTCTTCCTTGGTCTCTTCCTCTTTCTTCTCGTCTTCCCTTTTGTCATCCTCCTTTTGGTCACCCCCTCCATTAGCCCCAGAATCACCGCCTGCGCCATGCCCATTGTCACCATTATTACTGTCATCCTCGTTCTTCTTCATTTCATCATCTCCATCATCTTCCTTTGGTCTGGATACAGGCGCATTATTTTTAACTTTATGCTTTTTCTTTGCAGCAACCTTGAATCCATCTTGAGAACTAAAATTGACAGAAGGACTTAGCGTGGGATCGCCAAATTGTGAAGGTCCACGTTTTCTCTCCCGCGGTATTCTGGGGGTGGATGGGTGGTTGGGATAGTCTTGTGCTCGGATTTTGGCGAGTGAATCGGTTTCGTGTAGGTCGGTTATACTGTCTTTGTCGTTTTGTGCAGACATGTAGAATTGCCATGTTGGTAATAAATCTGCCGTTTTCAACCTTTCTTGTATACGTCTGCGAGACCGCACGTCTCTCGAATGGGAGGATCTGTTCTGCAAGCAATGTTAGATATCTATGTTACAGAGCCTAAATCACCTCGTGCAAAAAATGAAGCCGCTACTGCATATACAGCGTTTGGCAAATGACCGGGAATGACTGATCGAATTCCAATATGCTCTCAGATTATTCCCAATCTCGTCCCAAGTACTCGCGACCATTGGTTTGAATCCTCAAACCATCAAATCAGAAGTACAATGTGTTTTGCGCCAGCTCAAGCTAGTAGTAGAGATAGGATTAAAATCACTAAAAAGTTGTTGTATGCATACCAATCCTGAATGATACACATCCTTATGTATTCGCGATGCCTCCCAAGCTCTGGCGATAAATCCTAACCTTATGCGAATATCCCCCTCATCCCACCCAATCGCCCAAGGAAACGTAGTAGTCGATCCACAATCGCTCCCCGGACAATCGCTTCCGTACGACAAAGCCTCAACCGCTGCCATTGTGGATATTTGAACGTCTGTTATGGCATGGAGATGTCAAATTCATCGAAGCTGTGTGGTACTCGGCATGAGAGCAGTCTGAGAGGGGGGGCTGGCAAAGTGGGATATGGCTCAAAAGCGTGGCAGAAGGGGTCGAGAGATGTCGGAAAAGAGGAAAGAGAAAAGGCGGAGAAGACTGAGAAGATATAAGTAAAAATACAACAATTCGATGGTATTATGAAGTGAGCTTAAAGTATAGGTAGGTCATGTAGCGCGGGTATCGTATGGTATGAAGAGACCTCCGGATGTGGTCACACGTAGAATGTCTCCCTGGTCGTTTGTATCCTTCGCCAATTCTGAGACATTCAACCAGGTATTCTGTGCTGAGATTGTTGATCCCCCGAATGAAATCCTTATCGAAACCCTATCCGGTCCACTTCCAAATATACCTAGGTCCACACACATCAAACGTTCGCATCCATCTGATATACGATCATTCTCGAAGATGACATTTTCTAAAGAGGAAAGCAAATTATGGAAATCAAAGCGATTAATGGATGCTTACATTGACCAACAAGATTCCGTGAAACAAGATGATGGTACAGAGTAATAGAGCCTATGGCCTATGTATGCAAGTGCGCAATTCACGCATTTCATCGAATGGGACATGAGAACACACGATGACTGGTAAAGTTTCCACTTTAGTGCTAGAGGTTGCGGGTACAGGCAGACTGGACAGGTAACTAACAGGCCCAAGTTGAATCGGTAGGGCAGATCTATGGGAGCGTGGATTTTGGCACGACCTGAGAATTTTATAGCTAAGGTTTGCTTGCTTGGTTGTACTGCGTGAACTGGCCTGCTTTGAATACCTAGGTACGCGTTCTGGAATCATAATTCAAATACTTTACAGTTTGACGGGTTCAATTCCCATGGCTGTCAATGTTCACAACCTCTTCTTCCATTAGTTCTGGACACTTTCAACTCGAGGCTTTGCCATCTTATTTTCTCCACTATTTGACGTTTTCCTACTCCGTATTTACAGTACGAATTTATTTTTGCTACACCGCTTCTTGATATAAGTAAGTATCATTCATGAGAGAAGTGCAGCCACACAATGGTACACATCCCTCCCTCGCATTGGCAAGGCAAGCTGATGAAAGGATCTGAAGATTTTTATCAAATTATATTAGACCATTAGCTTTATGCATAAGAGCGATTATGTTTTTCTCCCGCGGCCATGGGTTTGGTTGGCTGGTCACAAGTGCACACCAAAACTGGGTAGGTGTGGCAACCAAAGATGTGATGTATCAGTGGAAAGATACATTCTGATTCGTTTGAAGGATGTGCAAGTATAACAAACCGCGGGTACCGACGCGCCTTAAGATTATCTTTCTTTTGTCGAGTAGAAAAAGTAAATAACTGGTAGAACCCCAACATCTTTCGTTAACATTCCCATGATGCAAACCACAAATCGCTAACCACAATCTTGCATCGTGGAAGGCATCTCGAGTCAGGACGCAAGTATGAGTTCGAGGCTAAAGGATGAGGCAAACCAAAGCACAGCGAGGACTAATAAGTTGAGCCCAAGGCAAACAATGCTGCAAACAATGAGGCAAACCACAAAGTACAGCGAGCGCTATTTGGGAAGTTGTCAGTCGCACCCGTAAGGAATTCGGTTTACGTTTGGTAGATAATCATACCCTACTTGTGCATAGCAGGTACTTTGTGTGGGTAACAATCGCTCAGTCATCCGACTTTCAGTCCAAAGTAATCTGAGGTCGTCATGCTTTATTTTGTTGTGTGCCGCGTTTATCTTCGCATTTCTTCGCATGTTTCATGGTCTGAAGATAGAAAATTGTTATCGTTTTGCTTTGCTTGGTCTCAAAGTATAATGGTTTGGTTATTTGGTTATGAACTTCGGCTTCTTACTAGTATTTTCGGCTACGGATATCACGAATATTAGTACATACATACAGTACCGCATAATCAGATATTCGGGCTTTTGGCATTTGGCATTTGGCTCAAATTCAAATAATGGGATGAATATTGGACCGCCCTCTGCTTCATTGATTGGCAACCGACTTAATTGTTTCCAGCTAGAGGGTTTTGCCCAATCAACTATACACAACCATGAGTTGCACCGAAAATATCAGACAAGACCGGTATGATATTCATCCGCAGAGAGGTCATCGGCGAATACCAAGAGGCCGAATGTCTCGAGGCTACATTCTGCACGAGTCAATTTGATCGGGTTCAATTGTTCAATTACCTCTGTATTCTCGACGATTTGGCGAGATGATTGTGGCTAGAGAGTAAACTCGAAGAGCCACAGCCAAGCCACAGAATCTTTGACCAGGAATTCCAGGCACAATCGGGCCAACATTCATCCGCTCAAGGATCGGCCGCACACCAAAACCGCGAATGTTGCATGATCGGATCGAACGGTATGGAGTATGTATATGTTTGTCAAGACATCGCCGCATATAGAGTGGGGTTCTTCGGACTTGTTCCGGTGATTAGTGATTCCTCTCACCCAAAAATGCTAGATGCTTCTTGACTCCCGAGGTCTACCACGGTGTTCTCTCCCATTGTACTTAGTTATGGGTGTATCCATGTTAAGAACGGGCATAATGATGTCAAGCGGGAAGTTCCCAGCCAAAGAAACTTCACCCCGCATCAAGGCCCCTCCTTAACAAGCTCAAGAATAGAATCTAGAGTTTTTATGTCTCCACTCTATGAGCTCAATCTCTGTTTCTTGAAAAATGATGATTATAAAGACTACCGGTGGTGCGTGCCTCAAGGTCTCCTTGATAAATAGCCTTTAAATCCTTCAAGAATATCAATTGAACATACCCATATCATCTTACTCTTTAACAACATATATATATATATATATATATCAATCTCCGATCTCCAATATCCCACATTCAATATGCCATCAAACACAGCAGTCGTTGTTCAGAAGCCTGGAGAAGCCAAGGCAGCTGAAGCCTCGATCCCAAAACTTAGAGATGACTACATCTTAATCAAGACCAAGGCAGTTGCTTTGAACCCAACTGACTGGAAGCACGTTGAATGGTTAACTTCTAACGGAGCAAGAGTAAGTCGATGCTATCCCTTCATGTTCACCAAGCAATGCTAACAACTACCCTCCAGATCGGATGCGACTATGCAGGTGTCGTTGAAGAGGTTGGAAGCGCAGTCACCAAGAACTTCAAGAAAGGCGACCGTGTTTGTGGCGTTTGCCACGGAGGAAACGAAGTTAACCACGAAGATGGAGCATTCGGAAACATCATCACCGCAAAGGGAGATATCCAAATCAAGATCCCGGACAACCTCAGCTTTGAAGAAGCATCCACCCTCGGTGTAGGAATCACAACGTAAGACTCACCGAACCCCATGTATGAAAGCCACAACTAACACACCCCCCAGCGTCGGACAAGGCCTCTACCAATCCCTCAAACTACCGCTCCCCAATACTCCCGCCGCCGAGAAATTCCCCGTTCTCATCTACGGTGGATCCACCGCCACCGGTGCCCTCGCAATCCAATACGCCAAGCTTTCCGGCCTCCAAGTGATCACTACTTCCTCCGCCCGTAACTTCGCCTACTTAGAAAGTCTTGGAGCCGACAAAGTCTTCGACTATAACTCCCCAACTTGCGCACAAGATATCAAAGAATACACCAACGACAGCATCAAACACTCCTTCGACTGTATCTCCGAAGGCAGCAGCACGGAGATCACCGTATCGGCCATGTCCTCCTCCGGCGGCGTATACAGCACACTCCTCCCTGTCCCCACCGAAAACGTGCACAAGTTCAACGACAAGGTCGAAAACAAGTCCACATTAGCATACACAGCCGTAGGCGAGCAATTCACCTTCGGACCTAATGCCATCCCCGCCGTCGCCGATGACTTCACATTCGGTGTGAAATTCTGGGAGATCTCCAGGGGACTTCTGGCCGAGGGAAAACTCAAGGTTCACAAGGTCAGCGTGAACAAGTATGGAGAAGGATTCGAGGGAATCTTGGCCGGTATGCAGGCATTGAAGGAGGGCAAGGTTAGCGGTGAAAAATTGGTATTCACTTTGTAAACTTTGTAGAGTAGTAACAAGCGGGTTTTAACGTAAAATATCGAAATAAAAAGAAATGTCAGTAATCCGTTGCGGTCTTGATGATTTGAGGATAATATCCTTAATGTTAAGGCATAATTGCGCCAGTGTAGTTCTGCCGTCCCTAAGCTCCTCTTTCTATAATTTGTACATTCATCTTCTCATCTCATCCCATCCCATCTCATCCCATCCCATCCCATCTCATCACATATACATATATAAAAACCATCACAATCCACAAACAAACAACAAACTCAAAAACACAATTCCATCCCCCAAATCTCCATCTCCATCTCCATCTCCATTACCTAACTACCTAGTCTATATATATAAAAGTGCCCCCTTCCTCCAACAGACAAACCACCTTATTATCATTCTACATATACATCCTACATAGTAGTAATCTTTTATCTCCCTACGCGCCCGGGTATGAAGGTAGGTAGGTAGGTAGTTTATGCTTATTTACCTAAATAGAACATGGTTCTACTTCATTTCATTGCCAGGATCATCAATAATCTAGGTTAGAGTTAAAAATGAGAGGCAGCTTGTGATTGTTGGATCTTACTGGAACTTTGAAAATTAAATCGTTCGGAGCGTTGGGATTAGTTGGGTATGGATATCGTATCCTTCCCAAATGCATTCATCATATACATTCATACATCAAGAGCAAGGCGAGATTTCAGATACGAATGCTTCATAATATATAATTTTATAGGTGTATCATTTTAAGATTCATTTGCTGCTCGCAAGGTTGAATCAATCATTTCCACTCAAGATCCAAAAAGAATCAATAAACTAAGAGAACCTATGAAGCATCTGCCGCTCACCGCAGAAAGCCATAACATAAAACCGATCAGGAAGAATTCGTGGTATCTAAAAGCGCCAAAGAAAAAAAAAACTCATCAATACCTAAAAGTCCTCTCTACATGTCGACAACCCGTGAAGTAACAAAGAAGAATTGATGCGTATGTGCATCAAGCTGACTATCATTACAAAGTAGCTATCGACCACTCATGTCACTCGTGTAGCCAGTATTGTATGCTTCCGCCATCTGAGGTTGAGGGTAACCATGCTGTGGATTGGGACCACTAGAAAGGTACCCCCCGTCATCATTTTCATCGTAATACTCGGAACCGCTAGCATCGAAACTGCTCCTGCCACTATGATCATCATCAATGTTATTATCACCTTGAGGCATCTCTGACCAGCTCAAATTCGCTAGAGCGGGATATTGTGCAAGAAGCGCAGCGGGTAAGCCGTAAGCTCCACTAGCATCCACAGGGAAGCCATTGTGATCCTGACCCATAGGCTGCTGTTGCATATGCATATTTTGCATTCTTTGCTCTTGCCATAATCGTTGTCTTTCCAGGGCTTCTTCGTCCAGAAGAGGTTTGATACAGATTCGGCCAGCTTCAGATCTAAAATGCCGACCCAATGCATCAGCTCGAGCAAAGCGACGGCCGCAACCCCATGAACCGGCTTGCTTTAACTCGCCTTTGCACACGAACTTTTTCTCTCCAGAATGAAGACCCTCGTGACGTTTACGGTCATGTTGGCGAGCAAATGCTTTTCCGCAAACCGTGCAGACGAAAGGTCGCTCATCAGTATGTGTACGCAAATGAGAACGAAGATTGTAGGCACGGGTAAAGCGTTTTGGACAAAGATTACATTGAAAAGTTGCTGGGTGTTTTTGAACCCGCTTCGCACTCCCATTATCAGACGATGCCGCCTGATAATCAGGATCCGCCAAACCAAGAATATAATCCCGATTCGGCAGGGATGATGTGGATTGTCGACGTCTGCCAGGTGAAGTTGCTCCGGATCGATCATTCGGTGATAACGAGCGCGATACCGATGAGTCGTGTCCTGATGGAGACAGCGAATTTCTCATCAAAGGAGAGGTGACTGAAGGACTATGACCGCGCGGGCTATTATACGGGTCCGAGACAGCTCTCCTACGACGGCCTGGAAAAATTAGTTACAATCACGTGTATGTGAAATCGATTTTCACTTACCTCGATCAGGCGGAGTCAACGCGTCTTGGTCAAGGGCAGATTTTGGAGGATCAAAACTGTTCTGCCTCGATGCCGGCGCAAATTCTACATTTATCTCAGGTGGTACCATTTGTTGCGCTTGTCCCATATCCAAAGAACCGTTATGTTGCATCTGTGGGAAAGATTCTTGTACTTGATTGTAGATGTTTTGCGAAGGAAAGCCATTGCTCGCATTTAGCATAAAGGCACTCTGCTGATCCATGTTTGGTATCTGTTGAGGCCCAAGTCGCGGTGATATTGCAGGACTATGACCGGGACTGATACCAGGACGAGGACTTGTGTCAGCCAAAGAAAAAGAGCCAATTGCGAGAACATCCTGGTAAATAGAGTCTTGGGGGTGTTGCATTGGTGAGTGCTGTTGCTCAATCGCATCAAAGCTATCGTGGTGACCTAAATTAGGAGAATGGGCGGCGGATGAAATATCTGAGTATTCAGAGGGTGTTCTACGATGACCTGTGAATTGCGGTGGCATCATACTCCAGTCACCGGGGTTATGCCCAATGGGGAAAGCAGCACTCTCTGGGCCAAGGGATGCGTTTCGTGAATGACGTGATGATGCTTGGAAGGGGCCCTGGTTGAAAGATGGGGACTGATGAGTGGAAGATGGCGAACGGGAGTCACGCGGCATTAAACTTGGTGGTGTTGGTGTATGGGTGGGAGATGACATATTCAATTCTGCAGGATTGATAGACGGGTTCCCAGGCTGAGGCGCAAGCTCATTCATGAAGAAAGACTGATCAAATTGCTCGTTCTGTGCACTTGTGTTAGGATATAATGAGAAATCTCCGTCGAAATTGGCACTCAGGAGCTCCTGGGTAAAGCTTCGCTGTGGGGGAGCAAAGGATGATTGATCTTCTTGTTTGAACTGGGAAAAGTCCTGGGCCTGGCTTGGCGCAAAATTGGTCTCTCCAAGTCCGCCTTGGGTAAATTGTTGACCTTGATTCAAGAAATCGTTGTTGCCAACATATGTAGGCAGTGTTGTGTTTTGGTTATTAAAGTTATCCTGAAATTGTTGGTGGTTGTTGACATTCGAAGGATCCAAAGCAATGCCTAATCCATTCATATCTTGGAAAGGGTGCGGGGATAGAGAATGATTCCTTATATGTTGGTGACTTCCAGATGGAGACCTTCCACGTTGTGAATCCATGACGAAAGTTTGTTTGCTCCTTCTAAAAATATCGAAGTATTGCGAGGTTGTCTTGTTTAGAAGTGAGCCTTGCAGGCACGGTGGCAGTGCAAGTCAGTGAGGCTTAGCAACGGCGGATATCCAAATAAACTGCATGCAATGATTGGTTGATTCAATGGAACTCCGTAAATTGAGCATGAAACTTTGTAAAGTCCTGAGTAGCAGAGCTATTTGAATACGTAGTTCTTTGTTCGAGCTCGTTGGTGTTTATAGCTTTGGAGGGGAAACGTCGCTGAAATCAAAGACGAAATGAGGTAATCTCGATAATGGGATTGCGATTTCTATCTGTGCCGCAGACTATTGGTATGAACCCAAGAATTGCCTTCAAAGATGCGGGCCCTTAATGTAGAATTTCCTCTAGAATTGAGTATTATGATAAGCGCCAACAGAATGTTGGATCTTGAACCAAAAATAGTATATGATTTTCTCAAGCCGACTCAAGTCGTTCGCGACAAGTGGGGATTGTGGTTTTTGTGTTTGTGTTTGTGAATCGCTCCTTCATCTGGCGGACCACATATGTATTAGCAAGAACTTCTATCCTCACGACATGTATCTGCGATAGTAATTTTGTCTAAGGATGGGTGAATATCCTAGAGCGCATCACTGAAAGACAAATCAAACACTTGTTGGCTCTCGAGTCTATTTCTCACTTGAAGACCCGAAGATAGACCTAAGACGCTGTACAAATCAAGAATAAACTAGAGAGGATCGACTTACACGAAGGTAAGAAGTTGGTAAGGATGCGCTTCTGAATTTCAGATTGAATGACTTTATATTGCTGGTAGCAGCAAGAGGTTTGCAGTTGTTGATTTTGTTTGATACATTCGACGACAGCGAAATGCTTATCGTTTGGGGAGTTCTACAATCGCTTAAAGAAGCCTTACCATGCTAGGACTCGCAAAGCTCCGTATTGCTAATGCTTTTCATGCCATATAATAATCGGTACAGCTTCATCTCATAAGTCATAACACAATCAATCAATCATGTGGATGTGGATGAGTAAGCTTAAAAAGGGAGTGGCATGTAAGTTCGCATTCACCCAGTCCAATGTAAACATTCACAGCTGTTGGTATATGAAACTAAGATTGTTATTCCAAATCATACTCAAGCAGTTTAACTATATATAACACTGAGATCTGACTTCCTGTAAGCTTCTTTACGGAGTAATGTATTCGAGTTCTCTAAGAGGTAGATCCTGACACAAAAATACTTCCATCTTCATCTATTCCAAACCCAACCAAGGAAACCCCTCCCGCTCATTAGGTTATGCTTGTGGTTTGCCTTACGAAATAGGGTATCAAAGCCATCGGCCTAATAGGACCCTGTAGAGTCATGGCCAGAGCGTTTCTGTCTTCGTACAGGAACCAAACATGTGGATGGGATGGATGGATGGATGGATAGATGGATGTAAGGTACAGAAATATTCCTGGAACTTTGTATTACTCGGCCATTTGTGTGTGTCTGTCACACAGAAATCCTTCTAGCATTGATGGTGATAATGATACGTCTCTGATGATAAACCTTCCTCCCCGCAGAATTATCAATGGCTACCTACTTTAGACTCTCCAAGTAAGACTCTTACCTAAGTACGTCTGGCAGAATTCGAATCCACCTTTTATTGCTATCACCCAAAACCAAACTCACTGGCTCTTCATACTACTGGTATAGGTAAGTAGGTATGAGGCTATGGTAGATGTATTTGCATTCATCTGCAGCAGTAAAACGCAAATATCAACAAACCAAATTGCTCAAAGAGGAGCTTTAAACTGTAGCGGCAATGTCGCTCCACCAACATGCATCTCGTGAGCCATATGAATTGACTCATGATGAGTTGTATGAATAGAGCTGCAGATAGAGGAACGTGCTAGTAACATAAATTTAATTCCGAATCACCTTGGAACTTTTGGTGGTGTCATCACAGTGCAGTGAGCAGTAAGCCCTCCTCAGTGAGAAATGTTCTCGAACGAAGGAAAAAGTGGATGTATTCCAAAGACCTCAATAATGATTAATGATTACCTGATAAGAAAACGTTTGTAAGTGTATATAATATATGTATAAATTTCGATTATGATGCTGCACAGATGATCGTACACCAGCATTTCTTTGACTTGATGCTTTCAGTAAGGCCGTATCTCCGACGGCAAGATCGGTTGAGCCCGTCGCTTGGCAGTTTCTTTGCCATGACCATGTACGCAGTACTTCGGATTCCGAGCATGTTTGATCGACGTTATCTCATAAAAAAACTCAGAGCTTCAATATGAACGTAGTTTTATGACACTTTTGAATCTGCCATTAGCATAATGACCGAAGACAACAACAACCTATCCTCTTCGAGCCCACCGAAACACAATGGTAAAATTGGCCGGTACCAGGGATTCTCGAATTGGCAGCCTCTCAGTACAGAAAGTACAAGCCCTATGACAACACATGGACAAGGCGCCTTGTCTAGACTCATCAAGAATCATTCAAATGGGTCATTGGCTACCATTCGGCGTACGTCCGCATCGATTCTAGGTAGAGAATCGTCGGATGATGAAGAGCGCCCTCGTAGTGTATTTGACGACCGCGATGATCTCAGCGAGAGACGCCTGAGTGCTGTTCTCAATGGACCTCAGATGCGTAGTCAACGCCTTATTGGCAATAACAATCCGCGATATAAATGGGAAAGGTATTGGAAAACCGAGGAAGAGTTGAAGGGGATGAAGAAACCGATGTAGGTCACCAAAGTGTCACGGGCGCAAACATTCAGCCTTATGACCAAAACTAACAGCCTCGCAGACGCCAGTACTACGAACGCACGAATTCTCTCATTCAACAATATATTTATATTGATCGGCTACTTGATTCTTCGATACCTCATGACCTCTTGAATGAATACGAACACAATGCATGCAGTGGGCGATTTGAAGTGCCCACTACGATATCAGAAGAACCGCGTACACCCCCGGAACTAGAAACCGCAACAAGCAATGGCAATACCTCTACATCCGTGCCGAAGAGAATAAAACGGACACCCCGAGAGATTTACAAGGTAACGGAAGAGACACCCCTTCTCGTCTTCGAGGGAGATAGCGAATACGATGGGCCAAAGCCTGAAATTCCCGGTATGGAGGATGACAGTGTGGAGAGTGGTGATAGGATTGTGCAGATCGCGATTTATATCAATTTGGTTGCCAACACAGTTCTTCTAGCTGGCAAAATTGCTGTCATTGTGCTAACAAGCTCTCTCTCGGTTCTTGCTAGTCTTGTCGACGCCGGATTGGATTTTCTCAGTACAGCGATCGTTTTCACGACCACTAAAATGATCGAACGTCAAGATCAGTATTCTTATCCTGTTGGTCGTCGGCGCCTTGAGCCCATCGGTGTTCTTGTGTAAGGCAGTCCCTTGACGTTTTATAGACTTTTTGCTTGGTCACGGGGAGATATTGATTTACCTCATTTAAGCAAATGCTAACGTAATGACGTTGTAGCTTCAGTGTTATCATGGTCACATCTTTCTTTCAAGTGGCTTTAGAGTGTTTCTATCGCCTCTCCTCGGACGATCGTGATATTATCGAGCTTACTCTACCAGCCATCGTTATCATGTCTTCAACAGTTCTCATCAAGGCACTTTGCTGGCTTTGGTGCCGTCTAATCAAGAACTCTAGTGTTCAAGCTCTAGCCCAAGATGCCATGACTGACGTGATTTTTAACATCTTTAGTATCATCTTTCCTCTCGGTAAGCCCAGTAAAATTTTCATTCTCCATCTAATCTAGCTAACATACAACAGTTGGTTTCTATGCCCAACTCTGGTGGCTTGACGCTCTGGGAGGTCTCCTGCTTTCTTTCTTCGTCATCATAAACTGGGCTGGTACCTCCGCCGGCCATATCCGTAATCTAACCGGTGCTGCTGCCACCGCCGACGAACGCAACGTTCTTCTCTACCTAACCATGCGTTTCGCACGCACCATCAAGCAAATCCAAGGCCTACAAGCCTACCACGCCGGCGACAAACTCAACGTCGAAGTCGATATTGTGCTAGATGAAAGCATGAGTCTTCGCGATAGTCATGATTTGGGCGAATCATTACAGTATGTATTGGAATCTGTACCAACGGTTGATAGAGCATTTGTTCATCAAGATTATGCGGGCTGGAATTTACCTACGCATATGCAACAGCAGGGTGAGTAAGGTAGATTGATTCAGTGATTGAAAGCTTTGCTATGTTATTTTTTTGAACTTCTTCGGATGATGTCCATTAAGAAGTGCTCTTGTAGGACGAGATTCTTAGATTCTTCTTTTTTCTGTATAATATTGTATTATTAATATAACATCCATCCTTGTGTATTGGTATATATTACCCTCTTTTCAACTGATAATAAAACATAACAATATAAAATTAAATAATGAACTTTCTAACTCTTCCTATTCAATTGAAGATCCTACCTAGTAAAGTCTATACCAGTACTCAGTATATCAATACACATATAGAGACTATCAAGAACTTTGCGCTACTGGTCTCGTTGGTTTGAACTCTGGAGTTTAAATTATAGTTTAGAGTTTAAAGTTTAGAGTATAGAGAGAGTATAGAGTATAGAGTATACAGTATAAGAAATAAAAATACTATACTATACATATAACACGTTTTAGAAATTCTAGTTCTAGAATCTTGGATTTTTCATACGGAGAAAGGTTACGGAGTACAGGGTTGAGTGAGTGAGTGAGTGAGTGAGGAGTACGTTGTAAGATTTATCTTGGATGAATGAATGAATGAATGAATGAATACCTACTTAGGCAGTAGATAGATGAGTAATCTTAGATATCGACTTGGCGCCGGGGGATATCAATCAATCACCATGGATACGCTGAGTTGAGTTGAGTTGAGTTGCTTTCGTTCGTTCGTAACCTAGTTGAGTAGAGCAGAGTAGACAAGGTTGAAGAAACTGGGTATTGTGTAAGTTATAATGCAAGTAGATAGTCCGTACTGGGTAGGTACTGTAAAGGCCTTCTAGTCTAGAGTTTAATACCTAGAGATGCCCGGATAGATAGAGTGTGTATAGAGTAGAGTGCGTATAGAGAATAGAGTATAAGTACGAGTAATTATATCAGATAATAGAGGAAGGAAGGAGACTGAGACTAAGACTAAGGATCCGGAGGAAAATGGGGAGGTTTTTTTATACTCAGCTCGGGGTTAGTAAGTTCAAGTTTAATGGGAGTATTGAAGTGTCTATTACTTACCTATTATCTACTTATAATACCTTAATTTTTGGAATCATATCCCTATCGTATCTTCCGAAAAAAAGACGATATTGCTGATCCATCCATAGATTTTCTGTTTACTCTATATATTAATTAATTAATTAATTAATTAATCAATTAAACGATGAAAGATTTTCACGCGAATAGATAATTGATTTTCACCAATTTGATGTTGATACGAAGTAAGGATATACCAGGCATCTATCTATATAAGAACGACTAGAATAGGTAGGTAGCTGCACATATGAAAAAGGAGGTTAAGGCTTGAAGGAGGCTCCTTGTTCGGGGATAATACTCCGTCCGTTTGGACAGAAGTTGTTGGCTGGGTTTAATCCCTACTTACTCCGTAACCTTAGACGCTGGGATATTTTGCGGATATAAGGTGGACGGAATAAAATCAATAGATTAACAGATCGATAGATCGTGCACTTGACTTATTAAGTGATATATATCCTAGAAGTTTGATCGTCGGATCTTTAAGGATAGGTCTTGAGTAGGTAGCCTGTGATTGTGCAGCTTGCATTCAGATGATGAGAAAATCAAGAGAAAGTATTTAGACTTAAAGATAAACTTCGAATCGCAATCTTAAAGAGTGCTAGATATCTAGGTATAAGACTTAGCCTTAATATATTCAGATTTACCATGCCATTTATTTTGTCCATATTGCGGCTGGTTGTCTAGGTAGCAATTGGCGAAGGAGAGTTTAATGATCCTATTTTAGGAAATCGTATGTGATGTTGAATTAATGGTAATCTTACTATGTATTTACCTAGTATTTCCTTTCAGATGTCCGAGGCTGTGTCCTAAATAATCCACGTGTATTGATTGAATGGATGAAGGTTTGAAAAGTGTACACACCCAGTAATAAAAGATTTGACCTACAAACTCGTATTACTGCGTACTATTTGTAGCTGTGGGCATCCATCGTATGTCAGAAATAGCGGAATGCGGAAAAGACGTCATGTCGAAAGGGTCCTGAGAGGGTTTCGTGCCCAGTGAAGATTGATGTTTTGTGGATTCCGATGTGATGGATTTACAGAGTAAATGCGAGATGGTGGATCCATCCGGTATAACCAACCCCTTGAAATCTTCTGGAGCACCAATGTTGTGGATAAGGTTAGTGAAAATGTTATTTTTAAGTTTGAAATTCTCAGACTTGAGAGACAATGTCTGGTACTCGAGGCTTTCCGCACGCCCGTTATGTAAAATGCGGGTTGTTTAGGGTGTTGATGAATGATCTGGTGATGGTGAGTACCTCAGGTGCTAGTGAGGTGCATAAGATAGATTAATGAACCTTTTTCATATGCTTCAAAGTGCATATGTAGAAAGTAGTAATAATGTAGTAATAAATCAAACAAGGCGACACTGCTCATATTCTGATGGCTGAATGTTTCTCTGAATGGCGGCACGGCATTGACCATAAGATTTAAGGTACGCACGCTCGAGCACGGGAGGATTGGTGAAGGATTCCCTCTGTGCAACAGCCGAAAAAGATACCAGGGGCAAGAGAGACTTGGGACAAGGCATCATGCAAGAAGATAGAAGAGGAATAGAATTTCTTTCTCTCGGCCTATCGAGGCTTGCATGCTTTCCACACGTTCAAGGATTTGGAAGATGATGCATTTTTTGTTTATCATTAGTGTCACGGCAACGAACAAAAGAAGAATGATACATACGGACATATGAATGTGCATATACATGATGATATATGCTCCGTAAATGATGAAGAAATGAGAAGCGGGGTTGAAGAAGGGGAGGAGTGATGATGTGATGAAGATGTTGAAAAGGATTTGGTTATATTAGATGATGATGTTGAAGGAGTAATGATGTGTGTATGTAATAATACCTGGGTCCCTAGGTAGGTCTGTAGGTATGTAGGTATGGAGGTATGTAGGTATCTAAAGATATACTCCGTATATACCTGGGTAATCTTACTAGAATCACTATATAAACCACGAAAACTCCTACGGAAAAGGAGAAGAAGGAGGATGGGAAACTGCTTTCTTTCTGCCAACACAAATCTAACCTTCATCCAACTTCCCACTCACCTTGTATTAATCTTCAAGCACCGATAGCATTTCATCGCGGTACCGGTACCACGAAAATACAAGCTCAATAGAGTGAAGCAAGACAGTGTTCTGTTCCTGAACGGCCCGGTGCACTTCCATCATTTAGGCATCAAAACAGGCAAGCTACGGGCTACAATAACCTCAAAGGAAGGCACCACAAACGCTATCAACACTATATTGCCACTGTAACCACTATAACCACTATAACCACCATACAATGTAATCAAAACTTCCTTGGGTCCCCAGTAAAAAAGGCTTTTAGCAAGCTTTTAGTATGACCAATCAGTAATCAATTCACCTATCCAACCCCATTCAACTCACTCACCCATCCAACACATCCATGAATTTCTCTCCTTCAAAACATTCCACCTCCACTTTTGTACCCTTAACCATGCTCTCTCTCATTAAGAAGAATTGAAAGAATTCTTGTTTTGCTCCTCTCTCATATCTTTTCTAACCTCAAAATCTCATATTGAATTCTTCAATCATTGAATTGCATTTGCATTTGCTAGTTCAAAGTCTTTTTGTCTATTGCGTCCATCGCTTTTCTTCAATTGCCATTGATATCTTTTTCATTATTTTCATTTCAATTTCTTTTTCGTCCATCGTTGGCTGTATTTTGGATTCATTCTCTCTCTCTTGTGGTAAGTAAATATTACAAAATATGGTTTCTATCTATTGTCTCCCCTTCGCCTTGGTCTGCCTTCAAATTTCTATATTTAAACTGCGCCCATCAACAAACTGAAAATTCGACTCAATCACTTGCTTCCCCGACACAATTTTACAACTTCAAAGCCTTTGCCGCCCGCAGAATATGTTTATCAGAATCGATATTCACTCACTACCATTTTTTTGATACCCAATCTTTGGCCTGGCCTTGAATATTTAAATGTTCAACACCTTTTTGTCACCAAACAAACATTCACACACCCGCATCCTTGCCTTCCGAGTATTTGCTCGGCGAATACACCACATCTGCTTTTGCCCAAAGCTACACCAATTCTCTCTACGACAGCTTGAACTGCTCGTAAACTACCGATCTATTGAACTGGATACTTGATTTTCACTGTTCCAAAAGGACCTTGCTAACGTCGTCTGTGCCCATTTCAATAGACCGTTCTCTGATCTTTTCTTGCACGCATTTCAACGAAATCTCTCGTATTCATCTCGACGTCCATAACGATTTCTTCGACATTGACTGGTAAACTTCATCTTCGTACTCTTCAATCTTTTGCAGATCAAGCACACGCAGGGCATCAAGCCTCATATCCCATATTTGGATACCTTTTTTCGATCCTTACCACTGAGAAGCTCGAGACCGGGAATCTCGTCTTCCAGTAACCAAACACGAACTATATGCCTTTAATTCCGAAAAATTTTGGGCGACGCAAGTCAACAGCGAATGCTATAGAAAATCCCGAACCTCCTGTCGAATCTTCCTTCAAGGTCTTTGAGCGTCCTCAAGTCGGAGGGCATAAGTCTGGTCCATCGTTCGACGGTGGAGCGAAATTTGCTAGAGGAAGTGGTACAGCGGATTCACATAAGGAGGACAATCTTTTTGAGGGCATGAAAGTTAATACTGTTAATCGGTTAGTACTGAGAATCCACCTGGGAAATTCAGGGGATTTTATAACTAGGGGGTACCCTTGGCATAAGCTGATAAATTTCAAGTGGCAGTGGAGCATCAAATACGAACACCGCATCAACCACAGATAATTCCTCCCGCTTGAGTGCAGCATCTACAGCTCCTTCATCTATGGACACACCTGGTCACGAAGAATGGAGAGCATCTCATGATAGACATCACGGCGACGGTTCCCTTCCACCAAAGACATCCTCAGGTTTTTCTCTAAAGAATGCTGGAAGGTCTCTTTCATGGGGTAGAAACAAAGCCACTGCGTCTCCATCAAAAGCATCAGACGAATTACCACCTTCACCGACCATCCGAGACGATAGCACTTCGATCCGTACCCGCGCTGTGACTGCGTCTAGCTACGCAAGCACTGCTACACCACCAAAACTTGGAGATAGAGACTTAGATCTCACAATGGGAGACGACTTTGGAGATATGTTTGCCGGAATGGCGCACCGTAGAATTGCGGTTTTAGATACCCCTGGTGTCAGAGGGTTTCCTAAAAACACTGTAAGTCGATCCCCAATCTTGATCATAACTACAATCTTACTAACCTTACGTAGGAAATACTACCACCTGAGCCAGCATTCAAGTCATACTCTGCTAATCGTGCCAACAACCAACCTTCACCCCTGAATCTCGATAAACGTAAACCAGTGGAAGAACCACCATATTCATGGGGATCGAATGACGGACTTATGAAAAATACTAGCCCACCTCCGGCGGTAACTCGTAACATGGGACCGCCTTCTCACCAGCCTCCTCCTGTTCCAAGACATGGACCTCTTCATCAAACTGACGGAAACCAAGCCATCCCAAGGCCGCGCTCTAGTGCGCCTCGCCCTGATTCCTCACTCAAGAGAAGTAGTGCCATCTCCATGCGCCGCCAATCCACATTAGATTTCGATAGCGTCGACGAGGACGATGCACTCTTGCGTGATTCAATTCATGCGAGCAAGAATTTGGGTGAAGCACCAAGTAATCCTCCGGCCCGTAAGAGCTGGACACTTCCTTCGCAAGCTGCATACAGTGCCAAGGCGACTGCAAAAACACAACTTCTCGAGCCGGATGAGGATGAAGATCTCTTCGAATCCGCTGATTTAGCCCAGCAATTCCAAGAAAAGTCGGAATCCCCGCCCCCTTCAAAACAAGCTCCTATAAATAAGGTCATGACACCAGCACAATTCGAACGTTACAGACAAGATCAAGAGCGCTTGCGAAGCGTTGGCGGGCGCCTGAAAGATGAAGAAGCCGAGGAGGAAGATGAGGAAAATTATGAGGATGATGAGGACGAAGCACAGAAGAGCAAAAATGCTGCCAAGCAACGACGGAAGCAGGAGGCTCACATGTCAGTTTATAGGCAACAGATGATGAAAGTTACTGGAGAATCGACACCTTCGCCAGCACCAGCTCGACCTCCAATGTTTAGCAGCCAAAGCACCCCTAACCTGGTACTCGATGTTCCAACGGAGGATGGAGAGGAGGAGGATGAAGAAGTTCCTTTGGCCATTCTTGCTGCCCATGGATTCCCCAACAAGAACAAACCACCTACAAGCAGGTTAACGAGCATGGGATCCAATCCAAATCTTAGGGGAGCAGCTCAAGGTGTCCCAGGTATTGGTGGACCTTTACCCGTATTTGCTCGCAACCTACCACAAGATCCATATGTTGGAGCAGGCCTTGTGTACCCAGCTAATAGGGAGTCATTGGCGTTTGGGAATGGTGGTCCTGGGTCTGTTCACAGCATCCCTAACAGAGGTGCTCCTCCAGGAGGTCTCGTAGGTGTGATTGCCACAGAAGAACGTTCTCGAGCCATGCGAAGGGGTAGCCCAAACCCTGGATATGGTCAAATGCCTCCTGGCGGCTTTACTGGCATGGTTCCTCCACCAATGATGGGACACATGCCTCCAGGTGCTGGCGCGCTAGGAATGGGCCAGGTGGGACCTATGGGTGCAATGCCCCAACCGATGCTCAGTCCCGGTGACCAAGCTCAGATCCGTATGACCGAGCAGATGCAGTCATTCATGGAGATGCAAATGCAATTTATGCAAATGATGGCAACAAACCAGAATGGGAAACCCGCTCCACAGGTCAGTGGTGCACCGCAACTCGGGCCATTGGGTCAATTGGGTCAATTGGGTCATATGTCTCAGCCCAACTTTGGGGAAATGCAGCGACCTACAAGTCAGCAGTTGAACACCAGTAATTCTGGACCAAATCTCCGACCAGAAAATGCACAACGTACCATGAGTATGCTTGAGCCTTCTGGTATGCCTTGGTTACAGCAGCACGGACAAGGATATTCACCATCAATACACGCCCAAGGCAACGGTTATGCTCCTTCAATAGCACCTTCTGAACGCAGCAACGTTGGATTACCTGGCCGATATAGACCAGTTTCACAGAGCCCGCCCATTGAAGCCAAGCCAAAAGATTCAACCATGCCAGCCGCAGTTGGGGGTTGGGACAACAAGCATGCCTCAAGCACCATCAAGACCGTCCAAAGGGTAGATGATGACGAAGATGACGAGGAAGCGTGGGCGGAAATGAAAAAGAAGAGAGAACAGAAGAGATCTCTCTGGAAATCAAAGAAGGATACTAGCGGTTTATCGGAAATGCTTGGTTACACGCAATAATAATTTCATGGGCGGGGTAACTTGGTTTTAGATGCGTATGCATTTGCATTTGAGGGGGACAGCTCTGTGATATATAGCATGAAAACTTTGGCGTTGGAAGACTTGGGAGCATTGAACTGGAAATCATACCTCTGGCATGACTGCTTTGTATAGTAGTAATATAATTTCTGATCTGGGGCGGATTTTGTTTCTTTTTGATCTTTCTTTCTGTTTAATGATCGAACTCTCATACTACCTACCTACTTAATCAATGACGCTTTTTTTTATTCTTCATTTAATGCAAGCCTATGCCTGATTTCAGTGAACCAAATCTAGAACCAAAAACACTTCGGTCTCAAACACACATCAAACGCCTGCCCTCATCCAATTGTCGAATCATTCATGCTCTTTCCTCTCCTTTCATCACTCGGACGGACCATACTAACTATTGCATCCTTCTATCCCTCACACAATCTTTCCTGCAGCCCACTCCCTTCTCTTAACCCCTAGCTCCACAGCCGCAGCCCCCCAATCTTCACCATGATTATGGCCTCCATTCCCGGTCGTACCCACACCAGCCCTCATAAGAGCCTGCTCCTCGGTAAGCACGGTCAACAAACCGAAGACGAGCGGAACACCCATGTCCAATTGGACGCGCATGAGGGCGTGCGAAACGCTATCAGCTATGTATTCAAAATGCATGGTTTCGCCTTTGATGAGGCAGCCAATCGCAATGATGGCGTCGAAGGGAGCGGTCGACGCGCTTTGTGATTGCGTGGAGAGGGATGTGAGGTCGGTGGTTGAGGAGCCTAGTAGGTCCCCCGCGGAAAGTGAGGAGGTTTGCGTGGATTGGATTTGGGAGGCTGAGTAGAGTCTAGGGTGGAGTGGAGCGGAATGGTTAGTTTGAGTGATTGGTATTAGGGTCGGGGTTTGAGGTCGAGGGTTGAGGTTAAAGGGTCTCGGAAGTGAGGGGATGGATAAAGGGATAAATGGAATGAATATGAATATGAATATGAATATATAACGAGTAACACGTACTTAGAGCAAGCGATTGGTAACTCCCAACTCCCCGGCACAGATTGCACGACGATATTAGATTCCTTCACTCCACTTGCCAGTAAAGTTTTCTTCGTCCCAGCGAGAAGTGGCTCGATTATAGCTGAGGTGTGTGTCGTGGTTAGCGAATGTTAAGTGCGGTGTACGGCTGAATGAAGGGGGGATGGATGTTTTTTATCGTGTTCTGGGGATTACTCACAGGTATTCCATCTCGCATGTACGATTCCAATACGAAGAGCACTTCCATCGTGCTTTTGAGCTTCTCCTGGTCCTTTGAGTGAAGTATCCATATTGGGCGGGCGGCTTAGATGTGCTTGCTTTAAGTGTTTTTGTTTGTGAGTGGGTGGGTGGGTGATTTGGGTCTGGAGAGGTCGGAGGGGTTTTGGTGGGGTGGAAGGGAAGGATGCATTGATCAATCGTTGTTGACCTTGTGGGATGTATGGGATGGATGAAGCTTGGGCCATCTAACCTACTCCGTTCCTTACAGTTTCAGACTTCCCGATTAGAGAGGGCACGATGGGAAGATGGTACTTTCCCGTGTGAGAATAATGGATTGTTTTGATTTAAAAGCTGTAGATTTTTCATTTATCATCTTCTAATAAACAACAACATACTTGCTTCACAACAAACTTACTCGAAAGTGGACTTAATTGACATTACATTCGCTTTGGCTACATACTTGCTTCACAATATTCTTCGTTGGCATCATTCTTGATTGATATCACGCCCATTGATACTATATTTCTACTTTCCTTTATTAATAGGACACCTTAAGACTACACTCACCACCATGTCGCGGTCTACCGGCCATCCCAATCCCACCATTGGACCTATGGTTCGATTGCGAGGACTGCCTTATTATGCTTTGCCGTTAGGTGGCATAGGTATTCGTCCAGACGGAACAGAAGAGAACTTGAATGCTGATGCAGAAATACATCCTACTCAAGGTGTGAGGGTGTTCATCACAGATGTTCTGAGGGAATCAAGTCTATTCATTGATGGCATGGGGTCGGAATCTGGAACATGGCGCAAGGGCAAAGTTGGAAATATTCTCTCGGGTCGCAAGCAGGTTGAGTTTTATAAACGCGTCGTTTCTGCAAAGGATATCAACAGACTGAGAGTATACAGTCAGCATCGTTTAGTAAAAGATAAGGAGGTCTGGTATGCTAGAAGAAGTCTTCACCTTAATCAGAATGAACCAGGTACAGCTAATTGGACCGAATTTACTCGAGACATCAAAGAGAATCACGCCCGTACAGAGGATGCAGTTTCGGACGATGTGACCGCTAAACAATGCATGCGCTGGGATACGAACAACCTCAGTGTTGACATTGGTGGTGAACAATGGAACAATATCACAATGGCTGTCGTGGAAATGAGGCATAAAATGCCCGTGAGGATGGCTAGGCGGACGTTCCCTGTGGTATTGATTACTGCGTCGCCGAACAGGTCTGAGGGAAATGAATTCCTAGTTATCTCAATACCTATAGTGGATTTCCAGACAACCACGTGGGCCCAATTTGCAAAAGAAAAAAATCAAGTTGTTGCGGCCTATGCATCCGTCGAACGGTTTCGTACTCTCCCTGATGATAATGGAAGAATAGAATGGATAATGGCTACTACTGTAAGATTTCTAAGCAAAGACTCTGTTGTGCTCTACAATTTGCTGACTTATGTGTAGTCAGACCCTAAAGGTAGCGTCTCTCGCCTCATGCCATATATAGAAGGCACCACTATGCCAGGTGTGATAAAAAAGGATGTTGAAATGTATATGCGTTGGGTCGAACGACAAAGGAGAGATGGCGGACAGCCCGAGCAAGCCGTAATTCCCCCACAAAATTAACCTTTTAACGACGATGGCGGATTTCGACAGAACTATTTGCCAGCTTCATGTAGGAGTTTGATTGGTTTTGAGAGATCAAAAGGCCCAGAGAAATTGAATGATCTTCAGCGTGTATGATTCTGGTCGCTGTTCAGCAGCGCTAAGCAATGTGCAAAGGGGCGTTATTAATAAAAGCTATTCTTAAAATAACAATTTCAAGCGTTTACACTACTTCTCTGAGCCCAGAGCTCTTTTATTGCCATCGCCGACCCCTCAACGATAAGTTTGTGTTCCACTTCGTGCATTCTCGCCTCGAGCTTTTCTAAAGTTTCGGAACTCTTACACTCCACTTCTATAACCAATATTGGTGTTCCTCGATCGACTTCACTAATCACATAATGGATCATTATGCCCGTCCTGTTATTCTCCAACCTGCCCAGTTCAAAGTCATCATGTGCCCGTTTAATAGCATTAGCCCCATCATATTTTCCTGGAAGTGCAGGATGAAGGTTTATGATGGGTATCTCTTTTGCAGTTAAGGGGTCAATGAATGTTGGTGCGAGGATATGCATCCAACCAGCACAGATAATCTGGCGATTGTTAGAACCATTTCGATGGTGGTGAACATTGAAGCGGGTAGATATAAATGATAGTAAAGGTAATTGACTTACAATATCAGGTTGATCCGCAATCACGAGATCCGCAAGGTCCGCATCATACTTTTCTCGTGCAGCTTGTATCACCGCGGGATCCCTCTCATCTTTTTTGTGATACTTTCCAGCCAACAAATTGTGATATGTAGTTGGGATGTGAGCTCTTTCTGCCTTCTTTAGTCCTTCCACGCCCTTTCGATTTGAGATAACTCGAATTATGTTCAAATACGGCATGGTAGGTTGCGCGTCATTGGTCCCTTGCGAAGCATCGATGAGAGCTTGAAGATTGGTGCCCGTACCGGAGATGAGAACGGTTGCTTTGGTTGGAGGGGGTGACATTTTTGCTTTTGATTGAATTGAGCTGTGATGAGATTGATGTTTGGTTATGGTCCTATATGGTTATGGGAGGTAGGTAATCTATTTTTATGTTGAAAGCGAATGTGGGCCTCTGACGGCAGGTGTACAATAATGGATGAAATAAAATATGTGAGGTGGGGAAATCAAACGTTAGAGTTGGGGGACTTTGTGGAGTCTATGGTGCTTTAGTGCTGGACTAAAATATAAAACACGTGTTTCAGATTCATTTTATTCCTGATTATTTTATACTGATGCACCTAAGATAGCTCTTACCTATTACAAGGTAGACATATCAAGTTGGTTGATACAAAACCCATCCACATCGTTGTGCAGGAGAAAAGTCAACGGGCAAATTCATGATGGTGGGGTTGCCAAGAAATTCACTGGCCCTAGCATAAATTGTCTGGTTATGTAAGATGCAGAAATGGGGCTAAGATAGCTGCTCGGATTCAGCCTTACGAGTGAGGAGGCTGTAACTTCAATTTCTCTCAAACAAATCACTCTTTCATAGATAAAAGCATTATACAAGTTACAATCTCTAAATTTTTACATAAAAATTTAATTCTTAATTTACAACCTCACCACGATGGCTATTGATGAGATAATCACAGATCCATCTCTTAAACTTGCCCTTGAGACCTCAAATCAAACGCGGGAACAAGCAATTGCTCTCCTAGACTTCGTATCGACAGCCTCTACTACTTCTGCTCCTTCGAACGAAGTCCTACTGCAAATTTCTAAGCAACAAAAACTACTCCTCACATATCTCGCACAGCTGAGAGGTTTACATCGTGATTCTCATGCTGGCGCCCGAGAAACAAAAGCCTTAACCGCGGAAGCGCGTCAGGAAGTAGATAGGCTACACTTACAACTACAAAATTTATACTATGAACAACGGCATCTACAAGGAGAAATTGCTGCTTGCGAATCATACGAGTTGGTTTTCTTTTAATTCGCATGTTTTTCGTCGTCGCACCAACGCTAACACTACTTTACCAGTCACAAATATCAGCAACTTCCCCTGATACCTGTTGACGAATTCTTAGCGCAACATCCGGAACATGCTGATGCTGATGAGAATGCGCTTATGATTGGAAGGATAGATCACGAACATCAAGAAAGATTGAAGTTGGAGGAACAGAGACAAGGACTTTTAAAGAAGAAACAAGGACTGATTGCCGATAATAAGAAGAGGAAGGATGATCTAGCGAATCTTGACAAAGATTTGGAGAAGTTTATTGACGTGAGTTTGAAGCTTGTTGCGACTATCGTTGGGAAAGATAATTCTCATGCTGATTGAAAATAGGCTGCAAAACCGATACAAAAAACCTTCGAGCGTGTGGTATGAGAAGTCGGAAAATTATCACTGTATCTATCTGCTTTTTCCAGAACTTTTACTCCTTCGTGAACCAATGACGGCCATCGGGATGTGGTAACAAGCTTTGCTTTCGGTATGGCAAACAGGAAGAGCTACCATCAATTGAGAAAGTGTACCACGAGCAAGGATTTGCATAGGGATGCGCACAAAGGAGAGCGATGCTCACTCAGATTTGAGTTTATCTATTATTGGACGCAGATTGAATATATAATTTTAAATATACGATGTAACATAAGCATCATGACATATTGGAACCTGACTAAAATACTGCTTGGATTTTCTACCGGAGCAGTGGTACTTCATAGTGACATTCAAATGCTTTCGTTCTCCGGTCCAAGCTTTTCATCCTCAGCTCAACTTGGCAATCATCACCGATTGGACGCCCAACCTCTCATATGCTAACGTCACATTTCGGCCTTGACTTTCAAGCCACGCATGTTAGATATACCCAGAGGAGCACAAGTAACTGCGTCTAGATACCTAGAAAGATGAACGCGCGTTATAACCCATTAACTGCGGAGGAATTTCAAATTATTAGTAAAACCATATCATATATTAGGAAGTCCGATATTCAGGAATTTGGAGAGGGGTATCTTGCCAAGTTTGGCGGCGGACAAGGAACTTTTCCCGAGACGTCTTGATATGAAAATAGGCAAAATAGCTGACAGCAAACAGCAAACAACCATGGAGTCTTGGCTATCTTCGCAAAGAGCAAAGCCCATCTGGGCGTGCATACTTTCCATAGAAAAATCGCAGGTCCGCTCGAATTAGCGATCGTGGGACAATTACCTATGCTCACTTGCCATGTTTGCTTTCCTCATTACCTGAATTCTCTTTCTGTTTTTGTATTCGTTCGTGTTCTGGTCTGATCATTTCTTTCTGGAATCAATACCATCAGATATGATTGTATGAACATGTTGAAACTTTTAATTCCATGGTTTGCGCTGCTAGTTTTAGTTCAGAATAAGGTTGAGGCACATTCGACTACTACGTCTAGTACGGTGCCGACGCATGTAGTTTCGGTAGGGATTGAAGGATTGCAGTTCACGCCGAGGGAATTGAGTGCGAATGTCAGTGATGTGATAGGTATGCGCTTCTTGGGAACGAAGTCTTTATAATTATATAGTGTATGGGACATACTAATGAATCTTTCAGAATTCCGATTCTATCCTCAGAATCATTCGGTCGCAAGGGCAGAATATGGAAGCAATAGAGCATGCATACCATATGAAGTTACGGGTATCAACAAGCGAGGCTTTTGGAGTGGTTTTCATCCAATTAATGTCGTGTTAAATGATGTTTGTACAATCATTGAATATAGTTGGGAATTTGGCATTGCACAGTCTAATTTGAGATAATCTAGCCTCCGAAATTCCAAGTCGTAGTTAATGACACGGATCCGATCTTCTTCTACTGTTCCTCTTCAGGTGCTTGTCATGAGAAGGAAATGATTGGTGTGATTAATGCTGTATGTGCAACTATCCTGTCTCAATGAACAATGTTTAGTTTCGCATACTCACTGTTCAATGTTAGAACTCAACTCAAACACTCGCAAGTCAATTGGCATATGCGAAGAACTCCTCGTTACAATTTAGTCCCGGTGAAAATTTCCCCGTCGAAGCGGAAGCCTCCCCAACCTCAACTACTCATCCGACCTCCACCTCATCCCCGAACCAACCCCCCAGCACGAGCAGCTCTTCTGCCGCAATAATCGTCACAGACCCATCACCTTCCTCTTCGCCCTCAAAACTATCTCCAGGCGCCATAGCAGGAATAGTCATTGGCGCATCCGCGCTCGTCGTCCTAGCCAGTGCGCTCCTCTATCTATGTAGCCGCCAACACACAATCAAAGAAATCATGCACCATAACTCCCGCCCACCAAACATGACCTCTAATCCGCATATCAATCATCCAGGTGGTCCAAATACCTTATCTTACATGCCCCCCTCTGCATCTCTTTCCGAAACAACATATTACACTAAACCCCGCCATCTAATGACCGAAAATGAAATTCGAGGCTTAGGACAGTTTTCCGGCGCGGGAAGCGAAAATCATTCTCATCTCTCTGATTCACATGGGGGAAGTGAAGGTTATGTGCGGAGTCGGAGTCGTAGTCCTGGGGCTGATGAATATGGAATGGTGATTCCACCGTTGAATTTGGGGGGTACTGGGGCTGGGGCTGCGACTGGTAGAGGAGGAAGTAGAAGCCCGAGTTATCAACAGGGGAACGCGGGTGGAAATGGAGGTGGGAGTTTACCGAATAGTCCTGAGATGCCAGGGGCCTTGGGTGTTCAAATAGGGATGGGGGAAAGATTGGAGAGGGACAGGGAAAGCGAGAGATTGAGGGGCTTAAGGCAAGTTATTCCATAATCTTCCTCCATATCCCCCATCAATACACCACCAACTAACCTCATCAAAGGCCATCTCCCTCTCCCGGACCTCCGAATCATTTCCATTCTACCACCCCATCATCAGGGCCTCACGAATTAGCTACGCATCAAGATCAAGAGAGTACGCGCGGCTATAATCGTACTCATACTCATGACCGTTACGATGATCCGGAAATGTGAATATTGAGTAATTTTTCTCTTTTTCCTAGTTAGGCTGATTGGTGGGTTTGTAATCTTACCTACCTTGTTTTATCTTTTTTCTTTTTGTTTTTTTCCTCGAGGGTATTGCATGAATTGTACCTTTTTTTTTTACTTGGGTGTTGCAGTATGTTGTAGTGTTGTAGTGTGTTGTGTCATATAGATACAGCTATTACTATTACTATATATGACATTAATAGACGGATGCACAGATACACGGATACACACTAATATATCATAGAGACACTAGGTTAACCGGTCAAGGAGGCGGAAATACATTCTTTTGGGATAGAGGGGAATCGAGATGAATATTAGTTGCAGTCGGTTCGCTTTTATGTGTGTGTGTGTGTGTATGCGTGTGTTTCTTCTGAAAGAAGAGTAAGGTTATTGGAGTCAGGAGTTGGAAAATGGATGGTATATATATACATACTACTGGACGGTGGATATTGATGGGATTGGGGGGGGCCCCGTGTTTTTTTTTTCTTGAAAGAAGAGGATAGGGGAAATTAAAGCATGAATAAGGATACTCTAAATAAGGGTCCTAAAAATCTCTCTCTGGGTGGCATGATTTATTTATGCAATAATAAACACCTGCTTATATCAAGCTATCTGAATATCTGAGTATTTGAGAAGTTATAGTGAGTGAGTCTCAGTGTGATAGATACTCACTCACTCACTTACGTACTCACATCGCTGAATTATATTATCAAAACTTATTACCAGTATCCAATATAGATTCATAATAAAATTCTCTAATATCTGATAAAATTTAATATCAATAATACCTACCTACCTACCTATCTAATTAATAAATCTTACAAAACACTAGTAAACAGGTATATAAATAAGTGTATTTCAACGCTACAATGTTGCTATTTAGATAAATAAATGATCAAAACTTTGCGGTAGAGATTAATAAAGATCCACATCCTATATATGCATTTTTCACAGATGAGTTGTGAGTTGGTTTTTTTATGGTAGGATTTTGTATTTAAGTGATCTCGGGGTAGAGGGGAGTGTTTTATTTGGAGTGGAATTGGAAATTGGAATAGGGTATTGGATTTGAAGTAAACGGGTCTTTGAAGTACTCCGCCTCTGGGGGGAAGTGTGTAGCTGCAAGTTTTTATGGTTTTATTTTTGAGGTTTTTATTTTTGGGAGAAAGATGAAAGGGTTGTTTAATATTATAGGAGCTACTGGCTGTACGTGTAAACCAAAGTAAAGAGATGTAATGTCACACGTAATTCAGAAACCCATACACATATGGAATAGGGATACCTACTTCTACTCCTTCCCATATCCTAGAAACCATCGCTTAGGAAAGGTGTATCTTTGATTCTTCTAGTCACAAATTCATCTCCTAATCGCAACTGCAACGACATTTAGACCGTAAATCCGTAGACTCTTCAAGCAATTGGTTTGACGTTAGTTAACCATGGTATTCCTAATTTATTCATCTCAAGCGCAATTTGGAACAGATAATCCAAACTACATAAAATATCAGCATCATCCACATCATCAATAGAAATAATCCAAAATAAAAAATAGAAAAACCTACCTCTCACACTGAGTCTTCGCCTTGTGTACTGACTCCCCCCAAACATAAACCCCATGCCTCCTCACCAAGACTGCATACGTATCCGGATATTTCTCCATCGCTTCTTCCAAATACTCGGTCAAATCTTCCTCATGGGGTGTATTTTCAATAACCGGAATGCGCAACGTATCATGATATCCCAAATTTCCTGCTTTCGTATAGCCTTTTCCAAAAGCTTTTATTTGCTCGATATTGTTGATTTCAAACATGGTGGTGTTTTGTGCGGATTCGAGGAGCAGTGTTATGAGGACGGCCCATTGTGAATGCGTGTGGATGCAACATCCTGCGTTGCGCTTGGTAAAGGCCGCCATGAAGAGCGGGGTGCATTGCGAGGGTTTGAGATTGGGGGGTGAGCGGAGGTAGATGCGCTGTTTGGGGTTGGGTTGTGCGGTTATGTCGAGCACATAGATGTGTTCTGGTTTCATGAGTTCTTTTTGAACTCCAGATGGCGCGAGGTAGACTAGATTACTGTGGTGCATTAGCTTTTGTTTGTAGAGGGCGGGAAGGATGGATATACTCGTTGCGTATACTGGCTCCTCCTCCTGTACCGGTTACCCATCCTAAATGCCAGAATTTCGAACATAGTTCCGGGATGAGATTTGCGGGATGTTGGGGATCTTGCGATGTTATAAGGTGATCATTATTTTCCGATTCTTGGACTTCCTGAGTTGAATTTTGTGCCGTCATGACTGTTATGAAGTAAAGAAAAGTGAGAATGAGGTCTAGAGTATTAGCAGAGCAGCGCCGTGTTTATCTGTGAAATGTGTATGCATCGACAGCCTCTTTGAATTTACAAGAAAATAAATTGTGATATTGTGGTTGGTGACATTTTGGTGGGGAAGTAAAGCCTACTAGCCTAAGAGCCTTGCCCCGCTTCTTCATTTTCCTTTGACCGTTGCACTGATTGACAAGCAGCCCCTGCACAAAGCCTAGGTAGCCTGCAGATGCATAGCTAGTAGTAGATAGATATCCGATAGAAAGAAGTCGAAGAGCACAGAGTCGAATGAAGCTAGTAATTGATGGAGAAAAGATGATTTAATCCATCCTGAGGCAAAGACAGCATTGATGCGGAGGATAGGTCTACATATAATCGATTAGGTAGGTCCTTAATTATTATTACTAGCCTTGTGGTCATAGTATATCTGTTATAGAAAGAACAACATTTCAAATTCCCATCACTTATTAAAAAGATAATCCATTATAATTGAACACGTATTAATATTTCCATTTAATGTTATCCAGCATCAATTCCCGAAATTCACCAATACATCCATGTAAGACTTACTGCGTACAGTGTACTGTACTCCGTCGAATGTAGAAGCTTCCATTTAGTGAGGGGAGATTTTAACCTTGTTACTTGTAACCTTTCCTAAACGAGTATACGGTAAAATATAGGACACTGTGGCATATTCTCTCCCCAGCAATCAAGCAGACACATAAAAGTCTCCTACATCGACTTTGTGAATAAAAGACAAGTTCATCTTCTTTGCTTTTCCTTCACTCCATTGAGCTCTGGAAGCAATTACTTGAAGTTGCAGAACTATCCTTATCACTTTCTAAAAGAGATTGATTGGAACTCGGTTCTCCTCTATTCATCATGCGTTTTCATACTACCGCTGCTATCTCAGCAGCAGCTCTATTGGCGGGTTCTGTCAATGCCGATGCTCAATCTGTACTTAGTGAAGCAAGCTCTTCGGTATCAAGTGCTGCTACTGAAGCTTCTTCATCAGTCTCATCTGCCACTTCTACCGGCATTGAACTTCCTACCTTCACTGTAAGTATTCCATAGTTTACGCATCCCGAACTCTTCAACATCTATCGAGATGATTTCCTAACAATTAAATCTATTACAGCCTACCAAAATAACTGCCGATTTTGTCGAACAATTCACCGAGGACTGGGAGACACGATGGAAGCCATCCCACGCCAAAAAGGACACCAAGGGTTCTGACAAAGAAGAGGAAGAATGGGCTTATGTTGGAGAATGGGCTGTCGAGGAGCCCCACGTTTTCAAGGGTATGGAGGGAGATAAGGGTCTCGTTATCAAGAACGCCGCTGCCCATCACGCCATCTCTGCGAAATTCCCCAAGAAGATTGACAATAAAGGAAAGACCCTTGTTGTTCAATATGAGGTCAAGTTGCAAAGTCAGTATAAGTATTCTCAATCAATTAGTTAACATCACTAACATTCAAGCAGATGGTCTTGAATGTGGTGGAGCATACTTGAAGCTCCTCCGCGATAACAAGGCTCTCCACCAAGAGGAGTTCTCCAACGCATCTCCCTACGTTGTCATGTTCGGTCCTGACAAGTGTGGTACCACCAACAAGGTCCACCTTATCATCAATCACAAGAACCCAAAGACTGGTGAATATGAGGAGAAGCATATGACTCCTGCACCAGCCGCCAGAATCCTCAAGACTACCGAGCTCTACACCTTGATCATTCACCCCAACAACACAGCCATCATTAAGTTGGATGGTGAACAAGTTAAAGAAGTTAACCTTCTCTCCGACGACTTCGTCCCAGCATTCAACCCACCTAAGGAGGTTGATGATGCCAAGGACTCTAAGCCAGAAACTTGGGTTGATGAGGCCCGTATTCCAGACCCAGAAGCTAAGAAGCCCGAGGACTGGGATGAGGACGCGCCATTCGAGATTGTCGATGAGGAAGCTACCAAGCCTGAGGATTGGTTGGAGGATGAACCTCTCAGTATCCCAGATCCTGAGGCACAAAAGCCAGAGGATTGGGACGATGAAGAGGATGGAGATTGGGTCGCCCCAACCGTACCAAACCCCAAGTGTGAGGATGCTTCGGGCTGTGGTTCATGGGAGAAGCCAATGATCAAGAACCCAGCTTACAAGGGCAAGTGGACTGCACCTTACATTGATAACCCAGCCTACAAGGGTGTCTGGGCTCCACGCAAGATCAAGAACCCAGACTACTATGAGGATAAGAATCCCTCCAATCTCGAGCCAATGGGAGCAGTAAGTAATTTCATCTTATTTGAACATCATGATACTAACATCGCCATAGATCGGCTTCGAAATCTGGACTATGCAAAGCGATATTCTCTTTGACAACATCTACATTGGTCACTCTGTTGAGGATGCCGCCAAGTTCGCCGAGGAGACCTTCCACGAGAAGCACCCCATTGAACAATTGATTGAACTCGAGTCCGTTCCAAAGCCTGAGGACAAGCCAAAGTCTCCATCTGATCTTAACTTCGCCGATGACCCAGTTCATTACGTTAAGGAGAAGCTCGATTTGTTCTTCACTATCGCCCAAAACGACCCTATTCAAGCTGTCAAATTTGTTCCTGAAGCTGCTGCCGGTATTGGTGCCGTCTTCGTTACCCTCATTGCCATCATTGTCGGTATCGTCAGCATGAGTGGATCGACCCCACCACCACAAGTCAAGAAGGCAGCCGCTAAGGTCAAGGGTGCTGCTACTGATGCCAAGGACAAGGTCGCTGAGGCCGTTGCATCAGGTACTGACGCCGCTAAGGCAGAGATCAACAAACGCTCAACCAGGAGCTCATCGTAAATATTGGATGGATGAAATAATGAAAGCCGGAGAGAATAAGGAAGAAATAGTTAACGAATGATTTTTCAATTACTGGGGGATCGGAACGTCTACATTTGCATGCATTTTAGCAATCTTTTTCGAAGCACTTCATTGCCTTCGAAGTATCGTGAATGGATTAGGAATTCCATTACTGAAAGTGGAGTGATATGCAGGTTACGACGCGGAACTTTGTAATTTGGGCGCACAAAATACTTCAAATGAATATTTGGCTTTACTTTTTTGATACAGTGTTCCTTTTGCGTTTTTGCTGGTGAGCCATGAGACGTCGACCTACCAATCAATGTACAGAGTATGAATTGTATAGCTTAACATACTCATCTTCCTATCTTCTAATCCATTCTATCTGCATGATACTGACATCTATTACTTACCCCAGTACATCCATCCACCATTGAGTTACTAGCATGCCATGTTCTTTTCCACCTTTCATACAACACAAAGTTCCAATCCATCATTCATATGATTCACACAAAAGCTTACCAACCCAAGTGGACGAGTAGTATTCAACCAGAGTCGAGCTGGTTGATGTATTTACTGGGTTCCATATGCGTTATCAGTGTCATCAATACTTCCTGCGAGTGTCACGGTCAGATGACTAAATTGTGTCTCGTCAACACTTGAACACAAAGGTTCGTGGGTTGTCAGCAGTTGACTTCCTCAACATCGATTTGAATCCATTCGAGGCAGTCCTGGAATAATGTTTACCTGCATACATACCTCGGAGGCATTAATAATGTTGTCATGAGGAAATTGCATTTCACCAAAATTTTGGTCTTTCAGCCACACCACCTCAGCCACAAGCTCAACCTTATTGTTTTCATACACATGCCCATCACAGCAAAATATTTTCTTTCAAGCTGCGTGCGATCAGATTCAAATTACTAGAGGATGCCATCGTTAACACAGCCTCATGAACTTATAGTGCTGAGATGAAGTTCGATTCTCCAATAAGATCAAAAGGCCCACGTGTAGTGCTTCTTAGGCTCTCGCTACTCCTATACCAAGGCCTTGAACTGTCTTGGGGATTCTTGGGTTTTGAATCTTTGTTGTTGCTAACAAAACGTGGAATTGTCCAGTGTGAATAGAAGTCTTAACGTCAACAACGTTTGAGAGATTAATGATACCAAGAACAACTCAAGATTACCAAGAGAACAAAATTATACTGCCCATGAAAAGTTTCCTTGGGATGCGGTACACGAAATCCGGCTCTACATCTTTGGCTTGGTGAATGTATATAGTAAATGTCCCTCAGTGATTTCCTAGATATACAACCATCACCAAGCCAAACTTGTGTAATTTCGGTGGTTGGGTGCCTGCATTCAAAATGGCGGTCCTCGAACAATTTGATTACATCTTTGCTATTGGCATGATTTTTGCTTTCCTCGATGCTGGGAATATCGTTACGACAATCTCCTCCTCACTTCCCCGCATCCATTGCTGATAACCAAAATAGGTGCAAACGATGTTGCGAATTCCTTCGCCACATCCGTCTCTTTCAGATCCTTGACCATGAAGCAAGCTATGATGATAGCTACCGTTATGGAATTTGGTGGCGCCGTTGGTGTTGGGTATGTTGCACTCACTATCTGGTTATTGCTTCCACATATTCAGAATTAACAAGTTTTTAGTGCTCGGGTGGCAGATACTATTCGTGGCAAAATTCTTTCCACTCAGGCTTTTCAAGCAGAACCATCTGTTTTGATGCTGGGAATGACATGTGCCCTTGTGTCCTCCTCCCTATATCTAACACTGGCCACAAGATTAGGTCTTCCTGTTTCCACCACGTAAGTATTATTTTAGTCCAGATCAGAGATGCACCCTGCTAAGAAAATTTCTACAGCCACAGCATAATTTGGGGAGTGATAGGAGTAGGAATTGCGGCGATAGACGCCGATGGAGTAAACTGGGGTTGGAATGGTGTATCACAAGTATTCGCCGCCTGGATCATCGCACCTGGAATCGCGGGGTGTTTTGCAGCTATCCTCTTCCTGATCACAAATTATTCCGTCATAACACCAAAGAATCCTGTGCGAGCTGCACTCATCAGTATCCCATTCTATTTTGCGCTTACCACCGGTTTATTAACCAGTAAGTTCACCCTTTATACTTCGCTTAAGCCAAGCCTGCAGATCAACATCTTACTTATGTGATCAGGGCTTATCGTCTGGAAAGGCGCGGCTTCCGCATCAGAAGCTGTCAAAACCTGGGGTCCCGGTGAATACGTTGGTGTTATTTTCGGTGTTGCAATAGGATGCACTCTCTTATCCGCCATTTTTCTCCTACCCTCCCTCTACCGTAAACCAATACTCAACGATTGGCAACTCCAGTGGTGGCATATTCTCCAAGGTCCTTTGCTACTTCGACGCGGAGAGGTCCCTCCCAATACCTCTGGACGAGAGATCATTTAAATTATTACAAGGGACACAAAACTCGTGCGGAGCTTGACGCTGAAGGATTAGATACCGTAAGAATGGTGCCAAGTGGTTATGTTGAATCGAGATCGAACGATGACGCGAATGAGAAACATGGCATTTCAACCATCTCACCCGCATTATCAGACATCGGTTCCTCAACAAGAAACGAGATAACACCTACCCCCGTGCACACAAACGAAGACGACACACCCGCAAAACCCTGGTACGATCCGCCCACCCTCCTCGCCACAGCCAAAAGTCTATTCTTCCACGGCGTCACCGTCGACATCGTCGCCGAACAAAAAAAATCTTCCATCCTAACCGGCGACCTAGAAGCCATGCACGCCCGCGCAACCCACTACGACAATAAAGCCGAACACACCTATTCCTTCCTTCAAGTACTAACCGCAGCCACAGCCTCCTTCGCCCACGGCGCAAACGACGTATCCAACGCCGTTGGCCCCCTCGCAGCCATCTATTTCATCTGGCACACGGGTTCCATCAACTCCAAATCGCCCGTCCCGGTCTGGATTGTCTGTTACGGAGCCGGTGCGCTCATCATCGGTCTGTGGACTTATGGATACAACATTATGCGAAATTTGGGAATAGACTCACGTTACATTCACCTTCGCGAGGATTTGGCATGGAGCTTGGATCGGCTATTACGGTGATTATGGCGACGCGGCTTGCGTTGCCCGTTTCTACTACTCGGTGTATTGTTGGGGCGACGGTTGGTGTTGGTATTGTGAATGGGGATGTCAAGAGTATTAATTGGAGGATGGTAGGGTGGATTTATATGGGATGGATTATCACGTTGCCCGTTACGGGGATTATTTCGGGGTGTTTGATGGGGATTATTTCGAATGCCCCGAGGTGGGGGATGGGTGTCTGAGGAATTGATGGGCCAAAAGGCGGAATTCTCTAAAAAGAGTTGGGGATTCTCCGAGGTATGAACGATGTATGATAGTTAAACGAAAAACGATTCGCTGTACATCGGTCACAATTCATGATTTATTGACACTCACCAACTGCATGCCAATCCATACAACCTAACAAGCACACAAACAGACAAAGATATATAATACGCTTTATGTATATGATTAATTTAGTATCTAAGAACTTATAAGGTATCTGGGTATAAGTACCCACTCCTGCAATTAATTCCTTCCACCATCCGACGAGGGAAGAATTCGCCAGCTCAGTTGAAACTAGCAACTGGAAACAGGACCCAAAAACCAACACAAAAAGCCAGGAAGCTCCGCTCGCTCATCAATCTTCATATTACATGAAGGACGAAAAACTAAATCTAGATGCTATGCATGCAAAAAGGTATTTGAACTTGATGGATGAATGAAAAATAATGAAAAGTACAGCAACCAAAATGCATTCATGCTGGTGAATGAATAACGCCGTGCATGTGCTGCACAACGAATGCCGTCGACTCCAAATCCTCAAAATGTCGGTTTATTACTCCATATAACTCCGATCCCCACCAGCCATGTTGTTATGATACTGCCATGAACGTGTCTAATACTGAAGATATTCGTCGTAATTTGGAAAATACCAAAGACCCAATCATTCAACCATAACTCCATTAACTTCGGCGTCAAGAATGACCTCCTGCGGTTTGCGAGGATCGTACCATGCAACTCGTCTCTCATCTCCATTGCGCCCCCCAACCGTTGTCCAGACATGCTTGAGCTTCTTATCATCATAAATTTCTCGATGTCCCATCCATCGTAAACGTGTCTTAGGCTCCATATCACTGATTCCTAGACCACCATTATGTACCCACTCTTTGACCGCACATCTGATGAATTCAACCTTTCTTCTAAAGTCATTCGCCTGGGGAAGACCTTGGATCATTGGATCAATCTCAGGACGTTTGCGTATTGTGGGTTTTGCTGTCCTCGTTGGTTTGGCCATGAAGTTCAGAAGTGTTTGAAGTGGATAGGAAAGGTGTTGTCGCTCATCGAGAGCAGTCGATGGAAGCGTGCCCTTCTCAGTAAGCTCTCGTGCACATTCGAAAGAAAGGTGATAGAAATCACACCAAAATCCATCTGCTGAAAGAACGACTTTAGTATGATCAGGGAAATTGAATTGAAAATGGCCGTCACTAAATCCCCAACAACCGACGTCACCCCATCGCTGATAAAAAGTGATAACTGTACCGTTCACAGTAGCTTCAGGGTTCTGACCGGCTGTCCAGGATTCGTAAGGATAGTCGGCGTCTCTACCATATGCGAACATATAGTTACCAAACTTTTTCCACAAACATATCTTCTCCCGTTTGCGATTATCAAATGCATCTATTCCCAGAGGAAGTCTCCCAGGCCGACCCTCAGTACTTTCAGCAACCCTATAAGTCTTTGCAGGTACCGAGCCACGAAGCATTCCCCTCTCACCCTTACTTTCAAAGAATTCGACGTTTGGGCCTGAGATTGGGATAATCTGATGCCTATGTACGTATGATTTGTTGGTTCGATTTGCTAGATGCCTCTCTCCGTCACGAATGACAATGCAAGACGGAGCAATGACATTATCTTCACTTTCCGGAGAACCAGCAGGCGTCTCCCTAAAGACGCAACCCACGCTTCCGTTGCTGAGAATATATCCAAGCCCATATTTGTTAGTATAATCTACCCACTTGACGACTATAGCAGGTGTCGGTGGCCTAGATTTGGGAGTGGGTGCGATTGATCTACTGTTTAGAGCTCGATCTAGCTCTGCTTGAAGGCGTTGTAGGCCTTCAAGGATGTGATCTGGTTTACTGCCTGGCAGCCACTCCAACTTCTCTTGAGGCGAGAATAACGAAACAACTTTCTTCGTAGAATGCTGCTTCTTCAGTTCTTGTGTTTTTCGTTCTTCGTCAGCCTTTTTCAATTCGTCCACCAGATCAGCTGCAAGGCGTCCTTCAGCTTCGGAAGAGATTTGTGGAACAGATGGAATAGTCTTCGTCTTAAGAATACCACGGGGTTTGATCTCCGTAATCGTGCTAGTGGCTGTCTCTCTAAGCTTAGTTTCTCTCTGGTTAGGTCGTCGAGGAAGGACACCTCTCAATGCAGCAGTATTTGAGGGCTGATCTTTGACGCGTTGTTGCGCGGCAAAACTCTGACTAACAGCCATTTGTGAAACTGTTCTTTGTGATACAGGCTTCTTAGCTAGTGGCGCAAGGGTCGACTCTGCAATATCTGCAATGTCTGCAATGAGTGATTCGACAACCGTACTAGATACCTCCGGCTCTATTGCAGCTTTCTCTTCGAAATGTTGCTCGTTTTGTTCTCTGATCCATTCGGCATATGGACGGTAGACAATATCCTCGGCCAGAGGTACATGAGGAGTGAGGCCGGCTTTCTCTTCTAAAGCGCATTCCTTATAGAGACTGGTGTACTGCTTCTTTGGAGTCCAAGGACCAACTTCGCACTTGATACATAATTTCTTGAGACTTCGAGCATACGGATTTGGCCTGCCAGGTTTGATAACGACTGACGGGAATTGATCAGGCCTAGGAGGATCCTCTAGTAAATCAGCGCTCATCTCTTCAACCTGGGGCATCCAGCCGCAGGTAAAAAATGGATGCTGAACAATGACATCTGGATGAGGTCGCTCTTCTGCGTCCTGTAGCATGGTGGAAACCAAATCTTGAATTTCAGGTGAAATCATATTGGCAGCAACAAAGTGTTGTGGCCAGGTGTATTCTCTTTCCTTGGCTCGTCGATAAATCTCGTCAGCTGTAGCGGATTGAAATGGTGGTTTCCCGGTAAGCATAGCAAAACTGTATTGTATTGGTTAGCATAAAGACTTTCATACTGAACGAAATGTTGACTGACATAATGATACCCAAGCTCCATATGTCAACTGCATGGTCGTGCCCACCATTGTTCTTGGATAGAATCTCAGGCGCAATATAATTGGGAGTCCCACACAAAGTTGTCCTCCGACATGCGGCCATATCCTTATTCGACATGAGCAATGCTGCAAGGCCGAAATCACCAATTTTCACATTCATATCCTTGTCTAAAAATATATTTCCCATCTTTAGATCACGGTGTATTATACCTCTCGCATGCATATATTTGATAGCTCCAGCGATCTGAACAGTGTAGAAACGAACCTCCGGTTCCGTGAGGTATTTCCTCTTTTTGACCATATCCATTAATGAAGCATTAGGGCAAAGTTCCATAGCAATGTAAGTGCATTGATCATATGAAAATGCTCGGTGAAACCGAACAATATTTGGGTGATTCATTTTTGAATGAATTTGAAGCTCGGTTTGAAACTGTTACAAGGGTTTAATTATGATGCTATGATCGAGGGTCACTGGACTAACCTTCTGCTCCATTTTCTTTTGTGACATGTGGCTTTTGACAATCTTCAGAGCGTACTTCTTCCTTGTCCCTTTGAGTTGACCCTCGTAACAGATAGCAAATCCTCCCTTTCCAAGGCAGCGGCCGGTCCTATATATGGAACCATCCTTTCGGTCTGAACATGGTGGTTCTGGTACCTCACTAGGCGGTGGTGGAGGATGATCCTTTTCTCTTGCTAGCTTAGCTGGGGGAGGTGCTTTTTGCGCCATTGGTTTCGTTCGGATGTTCGTATTGACGTCTCTCGGTGATAGTGCCTCCATTTCTTCGTTGAAAGGAAATTCTTGGACCCAGATGAGGTAATGTTTGATGTTTATGAAAGCCGCTTTCGTGAATTGTTCGTACGTTTGTCCGTTGCATTTATTGCCAACTTGCAATCACCTAAATTCGAGATCCAACTGAATAACCTCATGGAACTTTTCCAATTCAGTATTGTCGTGAGCGCAATAACCCTGAATAGTACAGTAGTCAGTAAAAAATAATATAGTGTGACAATTTCTTGGTGATTTTCGATCACAATTTGCGGGAAATTTGCTGAACTGAGAAAGAACACATCCTATGATATCTAGGATTTCAATTTCGAGAGGTGTTGTTTCCCATGTGAGCTTGTCATATCGAAGTTCCAAATGCCATTTGTCTTCACTTCCTGGATCATCATGTACATATTGCCCCAGCATGCAGCCATGTCTGTTCGAAACCTCGAAAACCTGCGTTAGAGATAGTTTTTGTCTCTGTTTGGCATCTTCTGCAATTGACACTGCTACCAAGCTAATCTTCGGTGTCCAATCTTGAGATAATTGGTGTATGTTGACTTCCTCCATGACCGATCATGGAATAAATTTGATGAATGAGGATTGATACTTACAAATCAGATTTTAATTGTTTTCTGAAAACATATTCCCTCTTCCTGATTATTGAGCAATTTTACTGTCAAGATTCTCGGATGGCCAAGGACAGTGAATTGATGAGGCTGACAGATCAAAGTTGAGTGTATGGAAAAAATGAAGTTCTCCTTCATGGGGTTGAACTGACTTATCGATTGTAAACAGCCTCGAAGCGTTCCACGAAAGGCTTCGTTGGTCAGGGCGTGAACAAGCTCGAATTTTTTGGTTGACACAGCAACGCTCCTTCTCTTCACGGAGTACACGTACACGGGTACAACACAGTACAAATTACATAATACGGTGACTCCATCAAATATTACTCCACTTATCTTTTTACTCTGACACTTCGAAATAATTACTAGGTACGCAGGATCAGGCTGACTAACTTAAACTCTCACATATCTTGCCTGATAGTGGCTTTGATATTTGCTTGAGTTTGCCATACAATGGCACACTATTAATGCTCAAATCTATCCTTTTCGACATGCCAATGGTATCTGCAATATAGAAGCATCTCCAAAGCTTCCAACCTGCCATTATGGTCGCGCTCCCTCTATTTAAACTAGGATCCCTCTTCGTGAGGCACATCTCTAAGTATGGTGCAGTATGTATCAAGCTGGAAATACATTTCGAGAATATTTTGGGAATGCAAGCTAATGCCCCGTAGAATTGGATTAAGAGGCAGGCTCACGAGCACGAGAGATTCCGAGCGATAGCCGCCAGAGGAGGACAAGCCCTGCATCAATGGAACATGCGAATACAAGTAAACCTTCTACGGGACAAACAAGCCGAAAAAAGAGCCAGGGAAAAGGCGGAAACTCCCACTGTGAAAACTGAAGAGCAAACTAAAGCCGAAGAGGCTGCAAAAAAAGCACATCATTACAGTCAAGAAAACATCAGCGTTTGGAGACGGAAATTCAGACCTTTGAATGAGACGAAGGCCGTGGACCTTTTCGCCGATGTTATTGGCGATACCTTCATTCTGTCTGTCGCTATAAGCTTGTTAATGTACGAGTATATAAGGACTCAGTCGAAACCCGATTCGAACGCAGAAAAGCTGGCAGAGCTACAGAAACTCGAAGAAGAGTTAAATTTACGACAGAAAGAGTTAGAAGAAGCACAGAAAAAGCAGCAGGAGCGGGTAGAAGCACTGGAACAACTTTTGGAGGAAATTCGAAGTGCAAATGGAAAGAAAAAGCTGGCATGGAGATCTTGAATCTTGGATTGTTATGCAGAACATCACAAATAAACCTGCGTGAAGAACTTGATCCCATTGTCGATAGAAGGTGGAAACACCTTTAAATATATCGGTTGTCCGTTCGGCAGAAATGCGTGAATGGAGTTGGGCATGAAGGTCCTCTTTAGCCCCGCTGGCTTTCTATCGAGAGGAGAAGCATACTCGTTGAGTATACGGTACCACCAATGGGGCCGGAGTTTGAAGACCTCGAAGGGTGAGCGGTGAAATTTGAAGGGGAAGGAAGTAGAAGTTTCCCCAGGATGTCAAGCTCGTCTGATCTACGCCGGGTGGTATGGGAAGGACTGGACATTCCTGGATCTTTTAGATATACAAATTCAACTCATCGAATGTGAAACATGTGAACAATTACCATTTTTAATACATCCTTCCGGACAACTTCTCTCGTAGGCGGTGCCGAGTTCTAGGCAATTACCTCGTTTGTACAGATCTGGCACTAAGAAAGGTGCATGTTCTCCGCTCTTTAATGTACATCTCTATGTCTGCATCTTGACAACAAATCTTAACAAGAACTCGTTCTATTCCAATCAACGGCGTAAATGAAACCATGTTTTGTTCATCACTACGGAAAAGACAAGAATGGGCTACATTGCCCTCCACTTTACTCATGGAAAGAATGCCGAAGTGGAAAGGTCGCGGTTCTTAAAATGAACCTCAACTTGAATACTGACAACTACATAGAGACAACTCTGAATACCCATGATCTATCACTTCCAATATGGCCAAGCAAAGAAGATGAGCGAGAGTTCTTTCGTGTGCTCTTGTTATCTTCATCTGATATGCAACCATCTACCAACATATCCGCCCGGATTGAAAGACTATATCACCAAACTGGAGGCCGCGACGTAGGAATTATTTTTCTTCTTCACGAAAAGCAAAGTAGCGATAATGGCATGAAACAATATATAAACCTCCAAATCAGGTGCATGAGACATGTCAATCGGACATTGAAAGATAATTCTTACTAACATAGCTTTATTTAGCCTGATGTCCACTTTCAAGATTCCAATTTTGCCTTTGACATCAATTTCACAATTTCTGGAAGTCGTCCAAACTTTTCAGAGACAACTTTGTATTGTTCCACCCTTCAAAAGAGTTGATGCTCAATATGCGCTTCTACCATTCAGCAACGTTGGTAACGCCATGACGGAGCATACCAGGAATATACTCAGTGACATTTGTCGCAGCATTCCAGAATTAGCTTGTACGGCCGCTACAGCTGCTGGACAAGAGCAATTGAGGGAATGGTTGTCGGAACCTGGAGCGGAATCCGCTGAGGATGTTATAGACTTTGTAAGGTTCTCATCAGGATAATTTCCTATTGAATGAATCAATTCTGACTCATATGGATAGTGGAAGCGTGAATATCTCCGCGACTGATAGGTATATCCTAAGAAGCGAGATTTCCCTTGAAGGTCATTTCTTACTTCGTATACTCTGCGTGTCTATGAGTGACGGTTAGTCTAGGAATGGCTCGAGGTCTGCCGGTAAGGATGAACGCTGGGTAATTGAAGGGGCTTGAAAGGGGCTTGAAGAGAAGCATCTAGAAATATCTGTTATATTTGTTCCATCACGATAGGACATAGGAATTCAATTACCCGCGGGATAATTCTTGACATGGCAATAACCATATTCATTGCTTTACTATACCTAGTGATTATTTAGCAAGCAAGTCCTACAATAAAATTTAATTTGGCAGTGACGTAGCACCTTTCATCATTCATTCATTGTGGGGCTTAATATATTGATCCCATCCCAACATTGTGAAGCGGATGGCGCCGACTACTGTATGGCACGCATTAATTCTCTTTAAGCCGTCTATCATCCATAATATTCCAAGCAAAAGTAAGGAACAGAGATGAAATTACGATACCCAGTAAACCCACTTCGAGAACCCAAAAATGAGTCGTGTGAGATCTGTGGTCAAAGTGAAACCTGGAATATGACGTCATAATAATGAGGGGTTCAAATCTCGCCAGGTACCAAGCTGCCGCTGCCAACAATTTACTCGGTGTCGTTTGAGCTACAAAACCAGCCAACGTTCCTCTGTCTATAAATCGTTTCTTCTCCATACATCTCAACATCGAAACACACAAACTCAACTTGCGAATATCAAACGATCAATAACTACCTACTTCAGTTACATACCATTCACTTTCTTTCAACCAAGAATCAATCAACAATAACACCGCAATCATGAAGGTATCAGGAAACCAAACCAAGATTCATTACAAGGGTACCAAGACCGATGAGGACTTCATTGTCTTCGTAGATTCAGACGAAGATCTTAAGAAGTGGAAGGGAGATAAGAGCACTCCTCTTGCACAAGTTGTTGGGCTTTTCAAGGTCTTTGTCACACACAAGTAAGCTTTTCCTCTCATCATTACCCCACACTATGCTGTATATCAGCTACTATACCAGCACTCTTTACCATGCAGAAAATCATCAAATCCTCTCGGTTTCTTCTATAAATCATCAAACTAACATTACATCCCTCTAGGCATGGAGCTCAAGGAAGTCTCGACGAAGCTTCAGTATCTCAATTAGAGAATGAGTTTGGAACTAAGGTCGACGACGAGGTTATCAAGGTTATTCTCGAAAAGGGCGAGGCGCAACATGGTCCTGTATGTTTATTTCTTACTTCCTCTCTCCACACACATATATCATCATTAAAAATGCTAACATGCTCCTTCACAGGCGATGGAAAAGACCGGCCCCAAGAACGATAGCATGGGAGCCATGGCTGCTCACTAGAGTATTCACATTGGAGTTGGCGAATGGTTGGGCACGGACGGTATGGGATGGGATATGAAGAAATGATTATTTTTTACATGCATGATATGACATGACATAACATGGCACAACTTTTGCTGGAGATATGATTTGATACCTTCGCAGAAAAGGATGGGAAAATAAATACGCAGCGTCATGAATCAAATTTGATGACATGTTATCGGCTGCTTAGTAGCGGGGAAGGCACTAGACCAAGGGCTAATACCTAGCTATAGATGCTCAATTAAAAGAAGTAAAATCCATCCATTCATATATGCATTATTTTTGGGTTTGTCTTGCAATTGATGGTAAGATTATAAAACCAAATGTGTCCTATATACCTACCGTATCCCTCACGATACTGTTTTTATAAATCTCACGAAAAGACATGATCCCACCAACCTACACCTACGACGTACTCTGTACACGAATCATCCACCCAGCCCCATCCCAAACCCAATGCCTTGATAAATAATAAATATCTACCGAGTACTAATACTAACGATAGATAGAGTACATTGCAAGTATTATATACAGGTATAAATATATAAATAAGTACTCATCCACCCACCCACTTACTTACCAACCAACCTACCCACCAACCCACCTACCTAGCCAACATATCCTAAAGATTTTAGATTTTCCCACCCTGATCTATCCAGATACCAGATACCAGATACTAGATACTAGATACTAGATACTAGATACTAGATACTAGCTAGGTAGGTACCTACCCAGCCATGTAAATATATACATACATGATTACTTTTCTAATCTTACTTACTTATATCCATCCATCCAGACAGACAGACTTCACGTCATATCCCTATTACCAGCCATCTGTATATATCTATATCTATCGGGTATATATAAATATATAACTAGATATCTATCTATAGAGTATTCCGTACGTAGTACAGAGGTTTGTAAATAAATCATAAAAATTAGTATATTTAGAAAACACATTGAGGGATAGGGTGGATTGATTGATATTAAATTAAATTAAACAGTTGATATACATATTATATATATCATGTATATTATATCTAGCATAGAGGATACGATTTGAGTATACAAGTATGAAATAATCTCTTGGAATCCCTTTTTCTATTTCTATCTAGGTATCCAATATCAACTTATTACCATGCCAGATGTTGAATAAACTAGACGGTATCTTTTAGTTCAAAATGACTATCAAAAGTAGTCAATTCCAATCATGCTCCACATTTCCATCTACATCCTCATTTTCATGTCATCCCCCTCTCCTCCCGCCCCTCCATCCCACATTACTCACATCCATGATTGAACGCCGGTCGCTGATGCATAAACAAAAGTCCCTAAAACTCCAACCCTGATGTGCAACCAGGCGACTGAGAAGTCATAGTCATTCATATATGTCCATATCAATACCGATGCCCAATATTCCATCGCTGCCATTTCCCTTCCTTCCCTTTTCCATCCCCCAGGTCGTTTCGTTTCGTTCATCTTTTCTACTATACTTTTCCCGACGTAGATCGTCGAGGTGGAAGTTTCCATACCCCGACTATTACTTCTCCTTCGCTGTACGCCCAGAAATATACCACCAGCGCAATTGTATAGTAAATGGCAGGATTGGTCGCTTGGTATAGTAACGCGGCAGCCAATGCCGTTAAAGGAAGAACAACGAGTCGAGCCTCTATGCTGCGGTGAAAGGCAGTGCCGACTAAAAATCCGAGTGGCCACTCCCAAGCTAGCATAAATAGACCAAAGAGCAGGTTTATTATTTGCAGTATTGGAATGGGTTTAACTGCTCCGTCGAGATTTTTGGTGAGGAAATCCCAGAAGACCTTGGGCCAGAAGAATCCTTCGATTGCGGCTGCGACTTGATCTAGTTTGTCTCTCATTAGCTTTATGTATGGGATGAAATCAATATTAGTGAATACTAACAGATGGCGGCAGTGAGGACTATTAGACGTGCCCAATGGTTCTTAATAAGTCTTCCCATTATATCTTTGTATGAAGAAAGAACTGGTATTATGTGAAAAGAAGTTCTGGGTATCGAGTCGTAAGGTATAAGAAATAACAAAAAGGGTATCGCTGGTACTGTTCGTTGTATCGTTTAAAAAATCTTAATAAATAAAAAGTTCCCGAGCCAGCGGAATTGTGAATAACGAAAGTAAAATTGCGTCAACCGTAAAAGAATGCTATCGACGATAAAGAGTGCACAGCGCTGTTGTAAAAAAACCGTTAACAGCGAGGCGAATCTCTCTCTACCTATATCCCCACGCACCAGGAACGCGATCACTGGGCTGGAGGAAATGTTCTTCCTCGTAGCTTGTATCAGGCTGGATACTCCTGGTCAAGATAATGACAGGATGTTTAAGGTTCTGTTTGAAGGGAAAAGCCCTTGAGATGATTATCTGATCTTTTCTGACAGCGGGCATCCGAGCGGCGGGGGAATATTATGTGGTAGAAAGATGAGATGATAGCCGTTATTGTAAGGAGGACCCGGTAATCGTTGTATCAAGACATTTGAAAGATTCGGACGTCGTCTGATCCGTGATATCTAATGAGTTTGAGGTTTGAGGTGATACAAAAAGTTGGTATTGAATCTGTGGGATCCTCGGAGTTATGAGACGTGTGAATGTTTTAAGGCAGGTCGTTGAAAGTCTCTGAAAAGAGTTCCCAGATCTGCGGGTTAAGAGGTTTAAGAATCAACAGGGCCAAAGAGTGAATGGGTGTCATGAGCGGGGCGAGGTAATGATAAAAAATATACCTAGGCCACTGCGCTTTTCTGTCTTTGGTTGCCATGATATCTATATCTTGGATCTGCAGCCACTGGCATGCAGAACGGGACTGAAATGCACAAAACGGGGTCTTTCATGTGCACACGAATGGATGTGACGGAACCTTTTGGGCAATTTTCCATCTCTTCTCTGAAGATACTCCCCAATTGGGGATAGCTGGAATCGAGTAGAGATCCAATAGATCTCATTCTGGCTACAGACAAATATTGCACGGCAGGAGAAATATAGTATTGTTATTGGTGATAAAGTTGATACGAGTATCATTGGATATAAAGAATGGTGGATATTGGGTATAGTTTATGAAAGGGTTGATGATTGGGCTGATGACTGGACTGATGATTGGATTCTTTGCAGTTTGCAGAAGGTGTCGGCGCTTAAAGGTGCAGCTAATAGGTTGTGGACAAGGGTACAAGGCTACAAGCAGGGATAATCACACCTCTCGTCTCTTATTTTCATAGCGGAAGTCGTCGGCAAAATCGTGTGTGGGTCGTGTATTGCCCGGGATGATTGGGAATCGGGCAAGGAACATAAACCATGCACAGAGCATTTCTTGAACCCTTGGTTCCTGCAAGGTACTACACCACAGGGAGGTTAAAATCTCTCACGAACTTTATTGGCTGTCAATCATTTGTAGTTGTCTTCTCTGAACCAATAAATCATTTCTTCAGCATTTTAGCGACATCGATCATACATGGGAGGAGAGGAGAGCGAGGAGTATCATCAGCAGAGATTCGACCATTTTCGACGTTTAGTGGCAAAGGAATGTCATGAGCAATACCAATTGAGGACTTAATATATGGGTATACATGACTTCATGGAAGTTCATTCCTTGGGAATATGGAGAATGCTCATCATCAAGACTCAAGAGGATGATTGTAGACTACATACATACCACATAGGTATCCACATGTAACATTACCTGTGGCTTATGATATTTCATTGCAGGTGCAGGTATGTGCAGGTATGATACGTGAACGAAGCGTGCCATTTGATGATCGATAATCTCGTACCTGGTTATTAATAGGTGTGGCTAATATCGATGTCTAGCCATCGGTTCTGTGTTAAAAACCGACAGGTAGAACTGTCTAAACTTCCAAATACGCCGCACTCATCGAGTAGACGGATAATGAGAAACTGTACGGAAAAAGCCACCCGTCTCATGATTGATTGATGACCACATTAACAGCATTCAGATGTATCTCATCATCCCTCTCATCGTCTCATGTTGTACCATGAATGTATTTTGCATGTATTTTGCATGAATGTAAGCCCTGCAAAGTGACAAAAATATACCTGACAAACCTGACGAACCTGCCATCTGGTATATATGGTCGAGAAATAGCCGCTATCTTGAGACAGACAGGGGCTTTCTGACAGCTATGGACCGGGGGCTTTAGTTTTATCTCGGGTCCTTCTAAACGGCTGATGTCGCGAAAGATTGGATGTATTTTCGAAATAATCGAAAAAGAAAATTGGTTACTATGTTACTACATTGATTAATTGAAATCTCATTTCTATTATTTGCTCTCCCCACAAATATCTATATTCTTGTGCCAATAATGTGGTCCGGAAACGGAAAATGCAACTTGATGTTCACAGAGTTGTAATCGAGGCGGTGTGAAAATTGAAGTGACCGGGTTTTCCGTCACTCCCCACAGTCAATCACAAATGGCACTTGCGTGGAAAGTGGATCCCACCTTAAATCCACTCCGTATCTATGCCCCGAACCTTCGGGGAAAGCATCCAAAACCGTTCGTTATCATGAAGCCCATATACCTACTTATGTATGCTTACCTATATATACTTACCTATATATAAATAATGCAGCAGAGATGCAACTAATGTAGTATCAAAGTCAAACCCGGGAAAAGAGAAGTATAACCGTTATCATTCAAGATACTAAATAGCTGTGATCCAATTGTTCCACCAAGAGTGGAAACATGCTATGGTCACGACGGAAGAGAATTCGATAGCTTGCTTACTTACTCTTTTGTGATTGATAGTCAGGTTATCTCAACACCTTAATGGTCCTCCGAGTCGGTTCCAAGAAAGCCACCGAGGACACTAGCCGTTTACAGATGTGACATGCTCGTGCGGTCGGCTAGTATGCAACTCCGTGTGAGATATTATTCAATTCCGAAGGGAACATGCATGGCACGTGAACCGATATCAGGTGGGTAAACTTTTCTGCACGTCTTCACATCTGCACGTCGCTCTTACTTGGATATTCGGCCCATTGGGTATACTCCGTAGTGAAAGAGATATCATTCTCCACTTCTTGTCGATCAATAGATTCCACGTCCTTGAAGAAAAATCGCGAAGATCCTCTACAGACTACGAGTTCCGCAAGCGCCTGCAAGAGCTTGATCTACTTTTGTTCCCTATAATAACCTTGAGAGAAATGAGTACGTACACAGTCTGATTTTACTCGTTTGCGGTGAACCATCAAGGTTTTCATGAACCACGCCCAAAATGAAGGCCATAAACAGGTCAAGGCGGAGCAATTACATGCATCTCGATACCTATACAATTCTAGGGCTGGCAGTGCCATTTTAAGGCCACGGTTTTGCTCGGATATACAAAAATATATACGGTTCTTGCTCATTGAATCATCAATGTATCATATTGTTTTGCTTTACACATCCACGTCTGCACATCTTCTGGCAATTCGAGTAACTATCCCAGCAGCCTAAGTCCAAACCCGGTACTCAGAAAATCCGTACGACGTTGCAATCCGACTTTTTCCAACACAAGGGTGTGAAAATCATGGTTGAATCCGGGACACGGAGTAGCTAAAATGGTATGATGAGTTTGCCGAAATACCCGACATTTTTATGTGAAATCATTTCCTCCGCGCCATATGTGCTTATCGTCGGGGAACCATACATTTACGGCGAACGTCGTGGTCTTATATATCAGATACCATACCAGTGCATAGTTTAGCCAACCTATTCTTGTTCTTATCATCAAGCAAATATATTAACTACGATTTACATGGATATCCGGTCAGGAAAGCTGATAAGCTATGTTATATTTACATGCAGTCATGTCTTTTTATATTCTTCATCCACTTTCAACACCGGTAGACATTACCTGTGTGGAGCGCAAGTCTGAAGTGCAGTAGTCCTGCATAAATGAATACCTGGAGAACCATCATCAAAAAATTGTTTTTTGTTTGCCAACAGGTACGCGCGGTTTTGGCGCCGATTAATTATTGTGTCTTACTTTAATTATTACTAAAGTGAAGATTTCGATCATGCGTATAATTAGTGTCCATGATTGATGATTTCAGACTTGGAGTTTTCGAGTTTTCGAGTTTTTGAATAACAGTTGTAGATTATGAGGATACAATTGAATCCTTGTTTGTTCAGCCCTTTATGACTTTTCCATTGGTGACATTGAATATAGAAAGAGTTGATTAGTATCTACTTTTATTAAGTATCAATATATGGATTCTTATAATGATCTAAACGTATCCTTAATGACAATAATATATCCATTAATCAATCCAACCAGTAAATTCCCTCTCGAATGTCCTTCCAGAGACAGTCAGTTTGTCTCCATTTTGCAATATTAGATACAATCTTTTTGACTATTTTCCTTTCCATCACGGATCTTGATTGGCATCGTAGAACTACTTCTACTCGCCAAAAACACTTTCCCGATGGGAATCGAAGTATACCTGGAGCTTTAGTCCCGACTTGTACATTCTTTTGCAAGTATACGAGTATTGATAAGACCAATCGCATTCCAGAAATATTAATAGTCAAATTATAAATCTGTTTATTCTTATTAATTATGTTCCCTGATTGATCTTCTGTATAGATCAGCAGTAGCGGTAGAAACATGATCAAAATTACATACTATTCTATATACTTCTTCCGCGATGTGAAAGGATGAAAAAAGTTTAAGTAGAATCATGATATATTTCTCAAAGCTTGCAGGTCCAATGGCAGTTGTTCGATTTTATTGCTATACAGTTGGTGATGGCCAGATGTATATCGAGAATGCCTGCCTTTTTCCCCAAAAACTTATAGATGAGATGAAGTTACAGTTGATAATATAAAGGGTTGAATGCTTTAATGAAAGATAAATATTTGATACGGAGAGAGAAAGCTGTAGTATCTTCGAAAATTACCATTATTTTGATCTAGATCCTACCAATCTTACGCTGGGCGTTCATTCACTCTGCAAAATCTACTTTGATGATGGAGTTCTAGGTAATGTATCTAATATATCCTATACGCGGAAATCGCAAGATCTTATTACACACATCACTACATATTATTAAAATATCGCGATGATATCATGTCAGTCACTTCCTTTCGGGTTTTTGAATAGCTCATCCGAATATTCTTCTTAGCTGATTATCTCTCTTTGTTTTTTATAATTGCTAATCTTACTCTTTATGTTAATTTACACAATATATTAAATAAACACTTGTAGCCACAAGTATAATCGATCCCATACCGAATTCATCCACCTGTTACACTATATAAAAATCAAAATCGTTAAAGGGATATCGATGCTAATATATGTAAGATCGTACAATGACTCACAGTATCTTCGCCTAAACACGAGATATTAACATCCACTGAATCTCTAGATTTAAAGTCATCGATTCTTCGCTTTAATCTAAGGCTGTGCGGCGGCGTATACATACATCACTCAATAGCTTCATTTCAGAATTATCGAATGTAAAGTTATATAGTGTAGGTGATTATAATTGATATAAGATTCATGTTAATATGCATTGCGTACGCCGTAAGGCTAGGAATATGAGATGAACTAATAGTGTGATTCTTGGGTTGCTTTATATTGTGATGTAGTGTGTTTTGTTTATATATTATAGTCGACTTGCCGACATCAAAACCTTGCTACACGCGAGGTTTACCAGGTATAAATCAAAGAAATATAAAAAATTTGTTTAAATGAAGCTCGATCCTGATAATCTGATTGGTCTAAAATACCCCGGTAAATAATCTAACAAAAAACTTGATATAAGCTTTACAACCTTAGATAAATCTAACTTGAATCTTTTTTCAACTCTATTGAAATCATTCAACTCTATTCATTCAATTTATCTCATTCAATTTATCTCATTCAACTCAAAATAATAATAATAATAATAATAATAATTTAAAATAATTTTTATTTATATAATATTAAATTTTTTATAGATTAATATCAAAACATAATATATTTGATTTTAATCTTCAAGTGAATATAAATATTTAAAAAAAATATTCTTAAATAAATTATAGATTTTTTTGCTTTTTTGTTAAAAGAAAAATAAATCTAAATTAAAAGTATTTTAATATAATTTAATAATATAAATACAATTTTACTAGTGAATTAATTAATTTTTATATAATTTATTAAATAATATATTTTATATACCTATATAGGAGGCCTACATCCTAGGGTTAGTATGGAAAATAACCGCGACTCCCGCTAAGGTATAGACCTTCCTGTACTGGTAGAAATGTACCTGTCGAGCCGTACAACAAGCGGGCTCTAGCCCTTACCTCTTGAGTATAAATAGGTCTCCATATTACATAGTTATTAATGACAACTAAGAATCAAATACATACTATAATAGTCTCTAAGAAATCTATTATCCTACTTTAATCAATCCGATTACTGAGCCCAAGGTCACGTAATCACGTGTCTCTCTGGTCTGTGACACCAAGCTGCTCTCTTAATTTGCCCTCCTCCATCAAAACAAAAGCTGAGATCGCCGTCTTTGCTTTATTTGTCCAGATTTATGTAGCAAAAATGCATTATCTTGCTCGCATTCCTCATCGACCGATATTTGGTTTTCTCACCAAAGATTATCTTCCGAGATCTAGAAAGAGACTACTCTGCTTCAATTACAGCATCCGCCATAATCTGTCACGGGCAGTATCCACGAATTCAACATCACCTTATGAGCACTTCTTCCGCTACACAAGTGGTCGCTGGCTATGGGGTGAAGAGAGCCAGCAACGTGAGCGATTCCTAGTTTTCAATGTGCAAGAGCTCAAGCGCATTGCAGCCGAAAGCGTTGAGGCGCAATCCTGTGTGTCCATAACCAAATTCGCGGAAGGCGGCTACAACAAGGTGTTTCGCCTAGTCATGGACAATGGTTCTGCTGTGATTGCACGTATTCCAAATCCAAACGCTGGCCCTGCCTATAAGACGACTGCTTCTGAAGTTGCAACTATGGATTTTGTGAGCTTTCTCTATTGATATTACAAAGGGATATTGACTAACACCGTATTTTATCTAGGCTAGAGTAGTACTCAACATCCCCGTTCCAAAGGTTTTTGCTTGGAGCGCATCAGCAAACAATCCTGTAGAAGCTGAGTATATTATAATGGAGGAGGCACCAGGAACAAAGCTAGAGGACGTCTGGGCAGGCAAAACAATTTCTGAGAAAACGAAGATTGTTAAGGGCTTGGTAGAAATTGAGAAGAAGCTCCTCTCAGTGTCTTTCACAAAGTATGTATTCCGTGGGGAAAATGGTATCAAAAAATGGCACTAATCTTTGACTAGGTATGGCAATATTTACTTCGCAAACGATTCTTTCCCCGGATGTGAAGCAGCTGAGATTGTTGGTGATGTTCCTACAGAATTAAAAAGAGCTGTGGCAGAGCGTTTTGTCATCGGACCAGTTGTTGATAGGGATTTTTGGGACAGAAGACGTGCGTCGATGGACATTGACCGAGGTCCTTGTAAATTCAATCCTTTTGCACTTAAATATGAGTACATTTTCTAATGCCAATATTTAGGGAAAACCCCACAGGATTACCTGAAAGCGATAGCTAATCGGGAGATAGCTTGGATAAGTAGCTTTGTTGTTCCAAAAGCGCCAGAAGATGTGTTTATAGCATCTAAAGCTCAGAATTCGCCCACTTCTCACATCTCAATCTACAAAATGTTCTTAAGTACTATACCATACCTCTTTCCCGAAAAGAAAAGGCTTTCCTGCTCTACTCTTTGGCATTGGGATATCCATTCCGCAAATCTCTTTGTAGAAGGCAATCGAATTACTAGTCTCATCGACTGGCAGGATACATGGGCTGGCCCTTTATTCCTACTATTCCAGCATCCAAAACTCGTGGATTATAATGGCGAGGTGCTACTAAAACTCCCAGAGGATTATGAAAGCCTCGAAGAGGGCGATGAAAAAGCTAGCATGAGAAAGCAAGTTGAAAAGTCTGTTATCCTGCACACTTACGAAACGGAAACCGATAAAAATAATCCATTGCTCAGCGAGATTCTCCGCATGCATCATGCCCGAACAAGGAGAGAAACATTACAGTTTGCCTCGAAAACTTGGGATGGGGATATTGTACCTCTTCGGCAATGTCTTATTCGGATCGAACGGTTGGTCTCCCCTTCGTTCTATTATGTTTTGAATTATTAACATGCAAAATGTACAGGCATTGGGACGAATTAGGCTTCGATACTCCTTGTCCAATACACTTCACAGAAGAGGAACTGGAGGCTCACTGTAGAGACGGTGAGGATTGGAACGGCCGAGAAGATTTTTGGGATTCATTAGCTGGGCTCGTTAGTCGTGATGGATGGACTTCCCATGAGACATATGACCAGGCACTTGAGATTTTCGCTGAGCTCAGGGAGGCAGGATTGAAGAACTTTACTGGAAAGGAGCGCGCAGATTTTGAGGCGCAGACCAGATGGGCTGAAAGAAAGGTCAATTCAAATTGTTAGGATAAGAAGGTTTTAAAAATGAATACTTTCGCGCTTTTGCACAGATGCCAAGGCTTTTGGGCTACTTTTTCTGCATGCTGAAGCTTGGCTCCATCAGAAAACACCTCCAATCAAAGGCTGTATTGATAGTGCTATCGTTTGCCGGTACTTAACCTTCTCCTCGCCGAGAACCGCGAAATACGCGAGCATTCTCGATCGCTTAGGTACGCTATTCGATGTCTCTATGCCTGAACTCTTTGATCTCCTCGATTATGGATGTGACCCCGCCCGTGTCAGCATAGGCATGGATCCAGAGGATTAAAATAAATGCTGGAATCCAAACACCCATAGACCTCAGAGTGAGAATAATTGACAAACCTTAGGGATGCTCTCTCTCATGTTCAGTCATCTACATCAACTCGCCGGTTCTCTTTCTGCTGCACCATTTTCCTTCCTCTTCCACAAATGTCGATCTTCCTTTCTACTCATCTTACGGCGATCTGTGATCCTTCTTGATGTCGCCGCAGTCACTGCGTCGGAATTGTCTAAACTTTTAGGTAAAATATTGTTAATACCAGCGGATCCTTTCGTTTGATCTTGATAGATCAATTCACGTATATGGATTAGATAGTTTGGTGCACGTGACAGCCCCTCGACAGATTCAATGTTCATATATAGGAGTGCCGAGATTAGATGCAGAGTAAAATACATTCATAGACTTTAATTTGCGAGTTTTTCTATTTTTTGTTGTAGGGGATATCTCTGGATTCTAGCCGAATTCCAAAATCTAGGATGGCATTTTTGGTGGACTTACCCAGGTAACAAACTTTTTCGATGCGAGCACGATGAAAATGTGATCCAGTTCATGTCTGCTACCAGGACTGGAGGCAACATCCAGCTGATATGTTTATCTGTTGTGCTGTGGTAAAATTTGTACCTACATCTAATGTTTTGTCCATCCTTCGTCCCCATTGGATAGACATTAAAGATCAAGGTTGTACGATAGATGAGGAATGGATCCGGATTAGAATATGGAGTATAATTGTTGGATGTAAATATCCATTCACAGACTTTATTAGTCCAAACTGATAACTCTTAGCAATCACTTATTAGGTATGACGTGGAATGGAGGAATGTGAACATGTAAATTTCAATATTGACTTTATTTATCCATCTCATTTATAGTTTAGAATAAAAATAAATGATCTTGATTCCTAAAGAAGCTTAGCGTGTTTTGTTAACCGCACACTCGTTTAGCTGACCTTGTTCGGTATGTTTCCCCGACCTCTTTCCAACTGCATATTTCATTGTGGTTGCCTACCTCAAGAGTTTCAATTTCAGTAATAATTTAGTTATTTTCTCCAATTACTTTGTGCATTCACTATCTCTACATTGAATTGTCTGCTGCCATTGGAACTTAAGTCAAGGTTCTAAAGCTCCCTACACTCCAAATCGTGGTTAGAATTCTTCCTGATTAGGAGCCGCCACTGTCTAATCCACTTGGCATCCTTCTACTATGTCACTTTTATTATCCTTGCCCCTCGAAGTAAAACAATATAATTATGCATTACTCGCGTCGATGTATTGAGAACTGGGCATTTATGATCTTGACCAAGTGATCTAAATTCCATCTACAACCATAAGTACGGCAAAAAGACACACCATGTTTGTGCGACTGCAACATGGTACTCACAATTAATCTTACACTTTATTCATCTTGTCTCGGAGAATCGGATAATACTACTCCATCTCACATCTCGGGTCATTAGACATTCGAGGTTGAAGAGAGACTGTGGAAACACCAGGAGAGCTTGGACCTCGAGACAAATGATATTCCTCTGCCTTTTCTGAAGGTTAAGATTTGAGAGTAGAGAGTTAAGACACTGTCAATGATATCTACTTTCAATTCTCCTTCTTGAGTATGGAAATGAATATAAGTAGGTAATTCGATATAAGTGAGTAAATGAATGAATGAACACAAGCTAGTGAATAATTAAATATGAAAAAAATTGTAAAAAATTGAGGAAATTTGATGACTTCCATTATATTCCAATGTTGATACCACAGCACCCATTATTATACTCAAGGACCCATGAAGTATGCAAAAATATATATATATAACCATCCCTCTAAATGCTAACTAACCCACAGCAGCCAACCCCATCGCTTACAACCCGGCCTCTCCTTCAATTGCGCGGACTTAACTTAGGCAATCTTAACCTACCCCCCTTCTCCTTCCCAGGCGCTCCCCAAACCCTCTCCAAAATCACCCTACTTCTCTCCTCTCTTATTTCCCTCTTCTTCCTCATCTGCAACCACACGGTTCCCGGCATCAACAACAAACTAACCAGCACCCATCCAATCAAGACTCCAAAATTTTGTCTCAAAGTATTTTTCGTACCATAAATAATAGCTCGCGCACCCATCATATCATGTCTCAGCGGCCAAACAATACCCCACTTGTAAAAATTGTTGAGCATTTCCGTGGGATAGAAGCCCGTGGTAACATTTGAGATGACCCAGAAGACGAAGAAAACAGGCGTGAAGGGCATGCCGAGGAGGTTGTTTATGTTTTCGATGGTGAGGCCAAAGGCCATCATAGAGATCCAGGAAAGCATCCAGTAAAGTGGATAGCCGGCTGAACCGAAGTGGAGAGAGAATGGTATGTGCCACATGCATGAGAGGGTTAGGTAGAAGAGGGATAAAAAGAAGTAGACGAATGGGAGGACGGCTATGCGGTAGATGTAGTAGGTTCTCATGGGTATTGTTCCCATGACTGTATCGCTGAGTTTGTCGAACATGAGAACGGAAAGAAATGAGACGATTATAAGATCTAGATTCTTGGGTTAGCAAAACGTTTCTTTCTTTTCGATGTGGAGAATTGTGTAAGTTGTGCTAAGATACATACAGATTGTTCCGATCTCGGTGGCGGCTTCAGCTGTCTAGAAATCAAATGCAAAGTTAGTCTTGAAATTTAAAGCTAAAAGAAGAATTGAAGCGAAAGAATAACGAACTGATGGTGTGGCTGGTGCCATATTAAAGACTGTAAATCCTGCTGCAACAGGATTTTGAGCCTGTCTCTGCAAAGCTGTCACATCTGACCCATTAATTCCCTGCAGCAAACTGCTCTGTTTCTGCTTCGTAAATTCAAGCACAAACTTGTTCAAAAAATCTAGTAATTTAGGATATACCGCTTGTGCAATAACCAGTGCATTCCTAGATTCCTCGTAGAAAACAGATATCGCATGATTCGGATCATACGGTTCATCCCCTACTTCATAAGCATAATTCATGGCCTTGGTAGCATTTTCCATCACTACAACTCCAACCCAAAACTTCTGGTCGTGCAAAGCTGCTCGAACGTTCTCCACGTTACCATACATGGAATCCCCATCTTGATTCACAAACCCTAGCGAATGATGGTAATCTTTGGCCCGTGCCGCTGTCGTCATGTCTTGGAGATATCTCCCAACCTCTGAATGATCAAAATCAATCACCGCGATGGTTAATACTGGTATGTTGTATTGAAGTGAATGATCACCGCCCCAGTATATAGACATTGTACCCATGATTGTGGTGACTAACAACACAAAAAATACGACAAACATCTTAATCCATAGTTTCCTATTCTCAGCAAGGTGTGGTGACAAAGGTCCGGGTAATGGATATTTGATTATATTCCGATATTGACTTCGACGACTTCCTGTGAGGGACTCTTCATCGGACTGAGGGTCCCGACCCTTGGTTGAAGACCTGATAGTGCTTCCCGGGTACCGTCGCACAGTGGGTAGTATACCCAAAGACCATTCTGAAGGAATAGCTGGTTCCTCTTCCCTTACTTTTCTCTTATCAACAGTATCATCTGTTTCGTTTCCCAGTGCTAAAGAATCCTCCGAAATATAAAAGGTTGAATAGGGTGGCATCCTGCTTCTGGAGAGACGAAATGGACTCTTAGAATCGAGCCGAGAGCGTGGAGGGATTTGGAAAGGCATCTTGACTTTCAATTTATTCTTTTCCTACAATTCAGCTCAATCTTCCATCAAATCCGATTCGATCTACAAGCGAGTAGAGTTAACCTATGAAATGTTTGCTCTTCAATGCTCAGCAATCATACTGCAACTCTCAAAAGCATCGCTGACAGTTTGTGTACCTCGAGCTTCGCAAAACAACTTGGACCATGCGGCAATCCTCATCTTTACATATATCCAGTTCGAGATTGGAATATGCAGAAGCCAAGAGCAAGCAGGATCAAGTATCTTAGCCCGCATTAACAAATCAAAACACGTCCATAAATAAGTAGACACGACCAGCCGAAGCCTGTTTTACATGTTATCGCATGATGAATATCGTATAATATCAGAGTATATCAAGCCTCTTGATGCATATCATCGGTACGGCTGATTATGCCATTTCCGCCATTTCCCGCCAATCGTGTAACGATGCAAACGGGAAAGATTTACCTACCCCCCATGGCCAACTGGGATTCATCAACACTTTGGTGTACGCAGAACCTCAAAAAAGCGAAATCTAAAAAAGCATCTCCAACTCAGAACTATCTTCGCGGCAGCATTTTCAAATTTCCATGACTCATTTGAGCTCATCGAATTCGTAATTTTCATTTAGCAGTTTCGTAATTATCAATTATTATCCCGGGGCGCGGAGGTCCGTAGCGCATCAACGTGCCAACGTGCTGACGCCACTTCACGAAATAATGTCAGCTTCCGCCAGCAGAGCATACTACTTTCAGCCCCTTCATATTTGATTCAATATAAGCGGGATATGATGATGCTATTCATATAATCTGACTGCGTTTTTTGCTCCGTTTGTGCCGATTTTCCCGATCGGGCGGGCAGCTTTTTGTCTCTATCCTGCATTTCTTGGAGGAAGTTAGAACACTATTTCTTATGTTATTCTCTGAAAATGGCTTCCGAAAGCATTGCTCCTGGAAGGACATATAACCAGTGTAGAGAATATTGACATGAAAGTCCTCGTATCTTGATATTGTATCGGCAAAGACTCACTTACATCGCATCATAAACTTCAACACATGACAAGAAGAAGGTGTTTCAAATAAACATTGTTTCAACGGCTAAAACTGTTCATTGGATGATAGTATCAACGATGACTCGGCCTTTTCAGAAATTGGCGTAAAGACGGAAGTATACAAACGAGATGGCTGAAGAAATGTATCTGTATGGTGAGATGTATATTCGCCGAAGTCGGTCTCATGTGTATCGTGAATTTCAATATCGATTTACACTGGGGATGTAAAATTCTGTACTCCATTCTCTACAAAACTGGTATTAGCACTACAATATACTTATAAGTATGGTTTGGTCTTGATTTTGACAAAGAAGAACTACCTCAGACGTTCCCCTCACTGATCTGCCGTACTTTCAAGGTTAAAACAGTATGAATTATCATAAGGTATCCTTAGGTCAAGAACTGAGGTCTTTGTTATAGTGAAAACGCTTAAATTAGCAATAAGCTGTATGTTTGTCTAGATAGACTACGTTGGAGGATCATTAATAGCATCCACGTAGAAGACCGTTGAAAAAACGGCAACACAATTCCCGTAGTCAAACCTCATACCTCTGGACTTTCGGGACCCCCGGGAAGCCCTCCCAGGCCGCACTTACAGATCATGATATCCAAAGGTCGCTAGATAGGGGGCTTTGAGCGTTGCTATACACATACGACGCATTGTGTTTCCAATCTTGACGGCATGATTTTAGAGCTGCAAACACGATTTACTTCCACATATGTAACCGAGGCGAAGAAGCTGCAGCCACATCCATATATTAGATGATGAAGTAGATCCTAGAATACACATTTGTAAAATCTAAAACGACCGTCCATCAAAATGCTGAAGAACTTGTTCGATGGGTGTGATGAAGCCCGCTGGCTATTACGAGCAACTTGCCAAGGAGTATACTATTTCTGGTAGCTTCTTCTACGCCGATAGCGATGATGTTGTTTATATCCAGATGACACAATATATTCAATCCATATTTCACTCAAAATAGGGTTGTGAGAAAGCCATCATTGTGTTGTCCTCACCGCAAATTACGTGTCTCCCTCGTGCGCTGCAAAATGTTAGTACACAGATTGAAGCCATCCTGGATTTGGAGCCTCTCCTTTGGGAGTAAAGACAGATTAATGTGAGGTAGAGCCCGAATTTCCCGTTGCTGATATCGATGTATACTGATTGAGAAGGGACTCGGATCATAGCTACTAGACTCTAGGGCTGGCATGAAGTGATGTAGAAATATCATACATTTCATAATCGTTTGTCCAAGCTCTCAGCTTAAAGCTTGAGCTATCAAGATGAGCAATGATTTGATGAGTATTCAGGTTCAGAGAAGACCGGGTGTTTATTCCGTCAATGATTAAATGAGCCATACTGGTATAGAATAATTAATCTTCAAACCTTCGTTGTAGATCTTCGAAGTACACCCCAACTAACGACACTAAGCCTTGACTGTGGTAGCTATATGAAATTTACTCTTAATACAAGATTCCTCACAACTCATTAACGTAAATCTCTGAATTTCGCATACCTCAACCGGAATCATTTTCGACTACATATATATATATATATCTCTCTCTCTATCAAAGCACAACTTCCCGAGCACACCCATCCCAATTGCAATCCCCTATAATTAGCTATTCCAACAAGATTAAAATCAAAGAAAACACTCTTCACTCCAAGTAATATCAATCACCAAGAAGTGTATCCCGCAATCTGTATCGATTCCCCTTGATCATTAGTGCATCATGCCCGCGAAATTCTTATTCGTAAGTCCTAGTATCTCTCTCTCTCTCTTTATACATATATATATATACATTATATCCCAAGACATCATGATGTCTATATATAAACCACCTACCTAAGTAACTCTAAACAACAACAACAGAGACATCGACGTCACAGCGAACATCTATCCATTCATCCATCAAAAGTACATATTAGCCCTAGACCCTACCAAAAATAAGGAGAAAAGAAAAAGGAAACGGGATCTCGGTTCAAATTTATAATACTAAACTTCAAATCTCCGATTATAAAAGAATAATTTGCAATTGCAACTTGCAAATATAAATCCTAGATATATTTATATATAATTATATAAAAAATATATTTTGTTAAAGAATAATAATATATATTTCGAAACAATAAATTCTATATAAATAGATAAAAAAAAAGTAAATTTAAACTTTTAAATTTTTAATTGATTATATATATATATACTCAAAAACAATATATATTCCAATCTATTTAGATATAAAACAAATATAATAAACTACAATTATTATCTTCATCATTATCATCCTTTATATAATCTCAATATACTCTATTAAAAAATAATAATATATATTTCAAAACAATAAATCCTATATAAACAAATCAAAAAAAAGTAAATTTAAACTTTTAAATTTCTAATTAATTATATATATATATACTCTTTTATATTTATATATATTGTAAGAAAGTTGAAATTATAGACCAAATACATAAAGGTTTTTAACTAATCAATCACATAATCTCCTATAATTAGATATAAAAAAAAAGCATTTTGCTTTTTCTTTTCACAACAACCAATCTTCTACATATATACATTTGAACCCATATAGCATCAACCCCAAAACCATTGTGAACCCCGTTTTACCCATAAGTGACGTATTACAATGTAATCTAATTCAGCTTTCTCTTCCAATTCCCTCCTCACAGCGTGCTATCGGGACGCACGTATCTCGACCTACCACTTTTACAATATATATACTCAAAAACAATACATATTCTAATTTATCTAAATATAAAACAAATACAATAAACTACAACTGTTATCTTCATCATTGCCATCCCTCACATAATCCCAAAATCCCACAATCACATAGTCCGCAACCCTCTCCTCCATACCCATTACACTAACCTATGAAATCATCCCTCCACCAGATATGTACATCTAATCTCCACACCTATCCATCCATCCATCCATCCATCCATCCATCCATTCATTCACTTCATACCTTCTCCCTCTCCAAACACAAGATAATCAAATCAAAAGCCATAACGGAGAAACGATACCAAGATACCAAGGCTACGAAGATACGAAGATACGGAGATACGGTATGTATCCAACTTCCACTATTCCTACCTGGTAAATAATTATAAAGAACCAACGGGATATTTCTCTTAAGATTGTAACAGAAAGCGGAAAGCGAAAAGTGCTACTGAAAGGTCAGTCGACACTGTATTCTCGGCTAAACCGAGAGAGAGAATGGATATCTTCGGGATAGTGAGTGTGTTGCAAGTTCTGATAATTGCGGGATGCTTTGTGGTTGATATCCCTGCAATTTAACCATAGCTATAGCAAAGGGATTCTCGAGTTTCATTTTCTCGGATTATAACTACCATCTTCTTCTCACACACTCTCTAACTTCCCACCTTCAACTTCCCAACACCCTTCTATTCTAATAACTCTCCACCGCGCCCCTCCCCTCATCCGGCATCTCCATAACCCAACCCTTAGGTCTCTCCCTCCCCCTAACAATCATCCCATAAACGGCCGTTTCCACCTTCTCAACACAAGTCCTCATAACCTCCATCTTCTTCTCCACATCCCTCCCTAATCCCACATTCCCACACCTCGTCGTATCCAACTCTTCAAACCTCATCCTAATATCCCTTAAATCCGCCAAAATATTTCTCTCCTCTCTACCCGGCAATTCCCCATCCGTCGCCATCCTCGTAATAGCAAATCTCATCATCTCGCCCACCAAATCAAAGATCCCAAGAACATAGTCATCGCCCGTAAGATTTACCGCCTCAGGTAAAGAAGCCTGAGCAGTCGAGGGAGGAATTAAAGATTGTTCGGTGAGGTAGTGAGAAAATGATACAGCTTCCATGTATTCTTGAATACCGCCCGAAATCTGTCTTTGATAGCGCCAAGAATTCACACCCGTGAGATCAGGTGATATACTGGTGAAGAGATCATGGATTGTAGAGAGTTTCTCGGAAGTTTCTTTAGCTATTCTCTGCGGAAGGGGTTGTTGGAGTTTTTGCACTCTGCATATGTAATCAGCATGATTATTTAATAGGAAAACGTTTTTTGAGATTCAAAAAATCATCCTAGCCCAATCCATCCATCCATCCATCCATCCATCCATAATCTTACCTCTGCAATGCAAAAATTCTACAAAATAATTAGCTCAATTCCCGCATAACAACTTCGCACCCCTTGAAAGAAATTCCTACATTTTCTTACTTCCCGCCGTGATATCTCTTCCGGCCTTAATAATTCTCTCTCTACGATCATGATGTTCATCCAATTCGGCTCTGAAAGCCTCAAACATTGGCATGAAGGGACTTAAAGAGGCTCCTGACTTCTCCTCTGCCCCTTCCAACTTCCTCTCAGATTTCTCCTTGGAAGTACCATCATGTTGACGTTTAATTCCTGGCATATTTTCTGTTTGATGTTGGCGTGTTTCTTGCATGGTGAGAAGAGACCCTGCACTTGTGCAGATTTGTGAGGCGTGTTGTGGATAGTGGAGATGGATGGTGAGGTAAGCAGACTAGGTAAAGTGTGCGTATAGATTAGGGTGGGGTAAGACTATCATATAAACACGTGCAGACTTCAACATCGAAAAGACAAGTACTCGAGATTCAACTTCAGTCACAAGAAGATGACAAAAGTCGAGACAATTTGATTAGTTGTCATGATTGCAATCATACTATAACCCTCAGAAACTCACTCACAAAGACAAAACCCCCAGGTCATCCCTCTCCGAAAAACCATGGCACTATCAACCAGCACCCTCTTCACCCTAGCCATCATCCTCCGCATAACCCTCTTCACCTACGGTCTCTACCAAGATCTTCACTCCCCCCTAAAATACACCGACATAGACTACCACGTCTTCACCTCCGCCTCTCAATACACCTCTCAATCGCAGTCGCCCTACACACGAGAAACCTACCGATACACGCCTCTTCTCGCGTGGCTGCTCCTCCCCACCACATTCAACCCCGCATTTATATTTTTCCACTTTGGGAAAATCCTTTTTGCATCCTGCGATATAGTCGCGGGGTATTTACTCCATGTGATACTCATGGGGCGAGGAATGGATGCTGGACGAGCGGGCAAGTATGCTGCGATTTGGTTGTTGAATCCTATGGTTGCGACGATTAGTACGCGGGGGAGTAGTGAGGGAATCTTGGGAGTTTTGGTGCTGGGGTTGTTGTGGGCGGTGTTGGAGAGACGTGTTGGGTTGGCGGGGTGTTTGTTGGGGTTAGGGGTGCATTTTAAGATTTATCCGGTGGTTTATGGGGTTAGTATTGTTTGGTTTTTGGATCGGGAGACTATGGGGGGTTTCAAGAGTGGAAAAGTCTCTGGGAAAGGGAAGAAGGTGATAAAGGAGGGAGCTGAGAAGAAGAGTGAAGATGTTTGGGGGGAGATCACGGGATTTATTAATAGGGAGAGGATTGTATTGGTGACGACTAGTCTGATGACATTTATGAGTCTCAACGCTCTTATGTATTACATGTAAGAAACCCATTCTCCCATCCTCCCATTAAACTAACCAAAACTCCAGCTACGGATACCCGTTCCTCCAACACACGTACCTACACCACGTAACACGAATCGACCACCGACACAATTTCTCCCCCTACAACACACTCCTCTATCTCCGGTCCGCCATCCCATCCTCCACCCCCCTAGCCCTAGAATCCCTAACCTTCATCCCACAACTCCTGCTCTCGCTCCTCCTCATCCCCCTCACCCTCTCCAAGCACGATCTCCCCAGCACCATGCTAGCGCAAACCCTCGCCTTCGTAACCTTCAACAAAGTAGTCACATCGCAATACTTCCTCTGGTACACCTGTTTATTACCGCTGTATCTCTCCACCCCCTCATGCACACTCATAAGATCTCCGCGCGTTGGGGTTCTGGCTGCGACGCTGTGGATCGCTACTCAAGCATTTTGGTTACAGCAGGCGTTTGAGCTTGAGTTTTTGGGTATCAGTACTTTTGTGCCTGGATTGTGGGTGGCGAGTTTGTTGTTCTTTGCGACGAATGTTTGGATTTTGGGCGTTATTGTGCGGGATGTTGGACGGGGACCAGCGGCTGTTCAGACGAAAAGAGATGCTTGAGATGTGAGGATTGGAGATTGGGAAGGTATAGGTTGGAAGCGAGAAGGAGAGGAAGGGCATCAAGCGAGGAAGGACATGTAAATATCTGTTCGAGATGGAGATGTACACTCGTAGCATGTAAATTCCATTGTGCAGGGATAGATATATCCTAAACACTCCAATGTAAATTCACACATCCATCTCAAAATTCACAAAACAGACGATTCTCATCATTATATATATATATATATACGCTTCGCATAAAACTCTCGACGAATTTACATACAAAAATCTTGTCTTGTTCTCTGTAATTTGCAAACCTCAAAACAAAAGCATTTATTGCGAAAGAAAAAGTACCCCTCCTTTGATTCCGCAAACTAGATTAGAGAACGCCCTGCTAATGCCAGATAAATATTGCCCAGCTTCCGTTCCGTTCCCAGCCCATGCCAAAGCCATATCCTCCAATCAAGTGTTCTGTTCAATCACTACTTTACAATAGCCCTGCCTTATACTCCCAAGGAAACCCATGCTAACAACGAGACGAAATATTCTCTTTCAGCTAAAGCCTGCCCCATATGTGCAATAAGACTTTAGGCCATGATGAGATATCTTTCATGTGATTGTGATACCACCTGAAAGAGCAAGATAATTTGAAACTTTTATAGAGAGTGGACGAAACTTTGAGAATGTAGCAGGCGTGGTGAATTGTCCATCCTTATTCACTTCCAATTCACCCAAGATTTCTGCGTTTTCGACAAAAGATGCAGTGGGTCTACTACTTGCCAATGCATCAACTATGCTGGAACTCCAAATTCCTGTGCACAAGTTATCTTTGAGTTCAAAATATGGGTTGAGTGGCGGGACTTGAGATTCTGCAACACCGTTAGTATTCCCAAAGACGACAAGAAATTTGCTCCATCTCACCAAGATCTATGAATCTAATCCTCAGGTACTCAAGGGCCGCCAGCCTGTCTAATGATCGTACACCCGCCAATACTAATGCTTCGAAAGCGGATATGAACGACATATCACTTATACCAGATCCATCATTCCATTGCTGAGTAGGGCGACAGCAATTTTTAACAATAAGTTCTACGCACTTTAATCTCGAGGTACGGGGATTAGAGAGTTTAGCCGCCGTGTCGAAAAATCCACGACAAACTCTTCCGGTGTATGCCAAGTGCTCAAGAGTCGGAATTGACTTGGCCAATTCATCGCAGAAATGTGTCTTTAGTGCCACTTTCCTGAAGAAACCAGGCGATACAGCTTCTCTGCGATAGTCGTTCTCAAGACATAGGTTGATATGTGTGATATTCTGTGGTATCCGAGGGGCAATCTGCGCAATACAAAGATATGACTTCGATTTTGGTTTGGCATAGGATCCATGCCATTCATTCAGGTTTGGTAATGCTGCAGCAATGTTTTGGAAATCTTCATTCGTACGGATAAGATTCCATTGTCCTTTGCAGACCAGAGTCCGAACGGTATCAATCGTAGGTAATTTTGTTTCGTCCGGGCGAAATTGCCGAACTTGGGGAGGTTTCTTTCTTTCTCCGCCTTCCAAAGTCAAGATACAGGCTTCTGGGAAGATATTTCGAACAAACTGGAAGATTTCTGATAGGGTGCAGTTGTTGTCGGGGGTTTGGTATGTGACAGGATTCGGAGGTTCTGCGCCGAGATGTGCAAGTGAGCGAATTAGGGTAGATCGATCTGGATGTGTCGGGGGTATCCGCATGATTCGATCGAAAGGCAACTTCTTCTGTTGAAATACCGGAAACCATATTTCGATATGCTTCACATACGCACACAAATGTGGATGAGCATAAAACCACTCCAGCGACTGCTGAATGGAATCCGTGGTTCCCTTGATTTTGAGATGCCTGTATAATCGTTCTTGAATAAGATTTCTCCATGAAGCAGACACAAGAGCTAACTCGGAAACTTCACGCCGCCTCGAATGTCTTAGAGCGGTACCCCAACCTCGAAGCACCTTTGACCTTCCCGGTATAACTCGCAGGGAAGCCGCCGTCCTGAAACCGAACAGGTGATCGAGAATGCATTCGTGTATCTCTACTGGAAGGTCGCACAAGGGTGAGCCTGAATCTGGGGCTTGTTGTTGAATCGGCGAAGGCTCTACTCGTTCCACAATATCCGGCTCGATCTGTCGCTCTACAATCTCTCCACCTAAAGACTTCTGTCGCGGAAATGGTGTCGATGCTGGCCTTTCAATATTCAGAATATCATCGACTTTGGTGTGCTCTGTTTCGAGTGCTCGCGTGACTGTTGGTGTGGACGGACCGGGGGTAGCTGGGGTTGAAGCGGTTGTCATGATGGGAAATAAATGCTGGCTGGGCTCATTCTCTCGCGGTAGATGACTTGGATGCATACTGATATTATTTTTTGTTATGGCTTCTGCTTCTGCTCTTCTACGTGCGATATCCGTGATCAATCATGAATGAGGTAAAGGTGAAGTCGAAATGGTGGGTGGATATGAGTGAGATTAGGACGTCTTAATTTGTAAGTAACGAGAGATGTGATTTTGTTGGAGATAACCAAGGCCAGAGGAACTCAGGTGGGTGGGAGATGAACAGCTGTAAAGATGGTGAGGATAGTTCGATATGTGGTGGTACGGTATCTCATATGACGACTGGAACGGCAGATGTATGAATGGGCAGTGCTGTTGCTTGTGCTCGTTGTTGGAGGTTTTGCGCTGGCTACGTACGACAAATCAATTCTTCGGGGATGTTGAAGAGGTTGTTGGGTCGCCTCACAATTTATAGATATGTTTTTGGAAGAGGTAGCAGAGAGAAAGGAAGAGAAGGAAGAAATGAGAGGAAAGGGGAGAAGCAGAAGAAGGAGAGGAGAAGGAGAAGGAGGAGGAGAAGGAGGAGAAGAAGAAGAAGAAGAAGAAGAAGAAGATGTAGATTTTAGAAAGTAGATTGAAATTTAATTTGAACTACCTAGTATATCAGTTTTGTGAGTTGTAGGAGATGGTTGGTGAATGAATGAATGAATGAATGAAAAGAAGATTAATACCTACTACTTACGAGGTAGGAGAGTAAAGTCCAGCCGAACATTACAATCTCCCACTCATACACTATAATTTTTTAGTTAGGTTATCGATTGTCCACTGAACATTAGAAATGAAACAATCAAAGGTCGAGAATTTCTCGTACAATACTTATCTAGTATTTGATTATCAGTTGAACATCTGTCATCTTATTATCTATCCTTCCAAGTTCTTCTATACATTCATAAATGGATACCCAGGTAGATAGTATCAATAGACAGCCTTTCCATATTATCGATTTTCTACAGCTCCTTTGGTCACTAAATGTATTATTATTATTATTCTTATTATTCTTATTTGTCTACCACCTCCTCCGTCCTCCGTACTTACAAACAAACGCTCCGACACCCATTAACTCCGTGCCTACCTACACACTACTTACTCTATTACCAATCCATCCAATTTCTAGTATTCCTTCCTCTATAATAACAAATAACAATAAATTTCACAGTCTCAAGTATCTATCCTCCCCTCCCTCCCCTACCTACACACCACTGCACGGCACTGCACTGCACTGTTCAAGTAAAAGCTATTTACAGAATATAGGCCCTTTTTTTAATTTTTTAATTTTTTCAATAGGTCGTAACCAACAATCCACAGTTAACTTATCAATGATGTTTAAAATATGTAACAAATACATTAGCCCCTACCTAACCTACCATTTTCCCATATTACAAATAAAAATATAACATCTGCAAGATTTTATTTCAAAGATATATGTATATATATATATATATTTTGGTTCCAGGTTGCTGATTAATGTCCATTACTTGCTGAAAGAATCTATCTACGAGCTAATTACGAGTACTGAAAAGATGAAACGGTCATGCTGCTGCGGATTTTGACATCATTTTTGGCGTTATTAGTAGGTAACCTTAGGTGTACGATTCATTAGTACGGAGTACCTTATCAATCTGTTGTGGCCTTACATGCGGGGTTGTTTTATTATTTCCAACTTAATTTTGGTTTACTTTTGAAATATACTTCCTTCCAGGCGCGGAGATATAGTAAATATCTAGGTATATCTAGTATCTATCATACATTATATGTTTTATTTGTTTCTATGTTTCTATCTTGCTTTTCTTTTCTTGGTATGCAAAACTCCCCAAGGTAGTCGATAATCCTCAATCAATATCATCACCATCATCATCATTTGTAACTTTTTCTACCTTCTCTTCCTTCTCAATTCCCCCTTCTTCCCCCTTCTTCTCCCTCGTATGCTTCTCGGTAACTTCTTCAGACAGTTTATCAAAAGGTTTCCCTCCTTCAATACCATCCTTCAGCTTTCCATTCTCATCCACATCTTCTTTCAGATAAAGCGTAAAAAGAACCACGAATAAGACTTCTCCAGTCTTGCGATTTTTTAGCACGTATCTGAGCGTATGTGAGCGCTTTTGCTCTTTCCTAAAGTCAAAACAAAACAAAGGTTGGCATAAAAGATCAAGGACGGCAAAAAAAGAGTTATAGGATCAAGAGAAATACGTGATGGGAGAAGGGGGGATTGAGAAATTTAACGAACCGTAGACCTTGTCCATCCCAGTATTTCATTATTGGCATTGTAAAGCCGGGTAATTTAAGTGCGAAATCTATCAATGAAGGTATAAATGTTAGTATCAGGTTTTAGACATGGGATAACGATGGATAAGTTCAACCTCAAACTTACCATTAAAATCCAAATATGCATTAAAGAAGTCACACCCATAAGTTCTTCCCTCCTCCCAATCCCAATCTTTTCTATTTGCCTCTGTCAAGAAGTATTTCTTCCTCGCCGCTTCCCCATCAGGGATTCCACATTCCCTCCTATGTTCCTCACCTTCTTTATCCCCTCCTTCCTCAAACATCAGTCCGGCATCATCAGCCTCTTCTCCATCCCCCTCTCCCCCTTCACCAACATATAGCACATTAAACGAACTTGCCGCCGGTCCATACAAATACGGTTCATCCGCATACACATCCCCGTCTAACCCAGGATCCACCATCCACTTCACAATTCTAAAAGCTGCATTGAACCCAGGGGGAAGACGATCCCTAATAGGATGATCAAAGTCATTTCCGAAAACCAAATCATCCGCATTAATATCCTTTTTCGGTTTGAATCGAAATCCAATACTATATTGATCTTTATTCTTATCATGCGGTGGAAGATCGAAATATGGAGAAGTAGCGGGAGACGATTTGGGGAGTCCGCGATAATCCTGTGTGAGGCGCGGATAGTTAGTTTTTGAATATACTCTACGTAATGGTCTTGAAGCACAAAACAGAGTAAGAAAAAGGGATCGCCTACCTGAATCCTAACATTCAGATCCACCTCACAAAGTTCATTCTCAATACGCACGCATTTTGCTTGATTGACGGGTACAATTTGATGTTTACTGGCATCATATTCAGAGCCCGCCGTAACCTGCAGAATGTAGTTTTCTGCCATCCTTCCCTCGAGCACAAGGTTTTCTTACGTTTGTATGTGAAAGAGAAGGAAAATTTTGTCTTGAACAAAACTCGGAGTGAGATTTTGCAAATATGAGACTATCGTCTTGATATACGAGTCCAGAATCTTAAATTGTAATTATAATTATGAATACGACACAATCATTGTATTTTGAGTAAAATATTTTGCCGGATGTTGAGTAAATGTTGAGTGGGTGTTGAAAAGCGGTGACGTAGTGGGGTGGAGGGATTTCCCTGCTGCATCACAGTGCATGTAACATGTGGATTTTGAACATTTCATGCCAAAAACTCAAAGTTCTGAAATATATATAGCATGCAAGAAATTGAAGTGAGCATCCATTCTAAGCAAAATACTCGGCTCCCCCATGTACCAATATACTTGATATGGCGAATGATCTAAAGAATATCCGAAATGTAATATATAACGCCAAATATTCGAGCAATCATTAAATATTGTCATAAATCTTCATAAAGCGTTGTTGCTATTTTGCATATTAACCGTTTGCGATCCCCAATCCTACTTTTTGCGACGATGCTGCGCTTACACTTGCACTCGTCCCTCTCTCTCGAAGTCTTCTGCCTTCCATCAGACCTCGCAGACCTCTCTTCTGTAGTCCAATAACGGCACTAATATCGCCTCTCCAAATTCCCCCTACACTATTAACTTTACCAGATTCCGATGCGCTCACGCTTCCGTCCAAATCACTGCCACTGACGTCACTCGCCGCACTGCTTGTCGCACTCATGCTTTCCTCGTCGTCTTGTCTTCTTCCTCCTTGGCCAGTTCCAAGATCGCCCACACTGGTATTGATTCGTAAAGATTGTTGGCTGTGAGAGCTTATTTCGTTATCAAGCCCAAGCTGCATCAAGGTCTCTGCTCCATTTGACAGCCTGTTAAGGCTCCAGGGATCTGCAATGTCGGAAGGTGTTGAAGTAGAACGACCGCCACCAGCAGCCATGGCGCTAGCATTAAAGACGGCTGCAGCATTCCTACTATCTAACACAGCGTGCAACCTCTCCACGACAGCTTCCAGTAGACCATCAATTTTGTAGGGTCTTGCTAGTTGTAGCAGACTACAGAGTATCTGCGGAGTGCAGAGTGTAGAATTATTTGGAGGAAGAGATGATGTGTATAGAAAGTGAAGTAGAGCTTGAAGTGTGAGCTGTGTATGTGGAAGGTAAAGTGTCCGCGGTCTAGAATTAGGTGGTAATGCCCCCGAATCAGGAGGGAGCGCCAAAGAGGCGGGGTCCGATGCGGAAGAGCTATTTAATGTAGATGAAGAAGAAAGACTCGAGGACTGAGCGCCAAGACTAGGTGTAATAGTAATACTGCTATTCCTGCTTTGATTATGTCGGAACACGCTCTCTTGGCGCAGCGTAGCGGCATCATTACCGTCTTGTGTTGCCGTGCCCTCACGTAGTAATTGAACAAAATAGGGTCCCCATCTTCTTGCGATAATGCGAGAGTTTACCGGTATACGCTCACCACCAACGCAAAGGATATCCATATCAGCTAGCTCTCTAAGAGCCAACGCACTTTGTCCTAATTCCTCTGCCGCTTTGGAAAGTGTGCGCCCACCTGCATTCCATCCTGCTTTGCTACTGATATTTAGTGACGGGGTTGTGAAGGGCGAACTAGCCGAGACAAACCCTGACAGCGGTGCTGCCTTTCGAGGGTTGTCGTACAGGCCAAATGCCTCAAGCTCGACCATACAAACGTTAGCAAAATTTATGCGCCTATGATTATAATCTTCCACAAGACTGCGCTTCCGGTTACCAAGTATCACAAATGTATTTCTTCGATTCCACAAAACTCCACGATTCCAGCTTCCTTGACTAAAAACACTGCCACCAGCGTCGATGCGGCTCCATGTGAGAGTTCGCAAGTCAAGAGCCCATAATGCATACTCCTGTTTTGAAGAAGTGAGATACGTCCCACTGACCACGAAATTGGTATCAATAACGCCGCCGTTTGGGAATCGAAGACCAGGAGGTGAGAATGACCCGTGCATGGGCTTTTCTGCTAGAGTTCCATCGGAAGCTCTAACCTGTAGCTCTAGCTTGACATCCAAAAAGTTGTAATTAGAATATATCAGCATTGACGACCCAGGTTCTCTTGAATCCTGAGTCGAACCACCATGATCTGCTTTATTGGATGTTGCCTTGCCTAATTTTGCAGAGACGTGACCCGGGAGAGGCGCCACAACACTACGATACGCCCCACAGCTCTTACCAAGCGCCTGGGTGCTGGTCCATTTAAGACTCCGCAGGTTAAAGACGCTAATTTGCTCAATATAGTGGTTTCCGCTGTCTTGACCACCGACAACAACCATCTCAGCACCGCCAGTACCATCTATATTAACTCCAATGATGCCTTGATTGGGGTTGGGCCCTTGAGGGTTATGATGTAAAGCGGAAGAAGGCGCATTTGCGGACGCAAATGCTGCCGATGAAGGAAGAATAGTAGCGCAGTGCGCATACCTTCCCTGCGGGGTGTCATTTGTGGGTATAAAAGTCCATGTTCTTGATGGCGCATCATATATATATATGTCAGACATTACGACGACCTCTGGCTGGGAATCTTGGCCACTTTGCGCCGAGGCAGCCATTTGGGCTTGGCTCTGCGGAGGAGCTGGGGACATTCCTCCATAGCAGACCAGCTTGGTATCTCCCAGGGCGCATACACTGTGAAAGTATCTTGGTGGCGGGACATCCCCACTAGTCTCAACTTTCGTCCAATTTCGCTGTATCAGATCCAATTCGTACAAGTCGGCTGTCAAGGAAGGGCGCGTCCGCGATAGAATACGACCGCCAAATACATAAAGTTTATCGCCCAATATTGTAGTTGTGGCACCAACTAGGGGGTGCGGTTCCTTTCCAGTAGTTCGATGTACGTTGCACATGAGCCCTGACAGATGCGTCGATGGCGTTGCTCCAGAAGTGCCAGTCCCACTAGCTGCCAAAGAGCGAGGTTGTTGTGCTGGTGATGGCGCGGCCGATGGAGCTCCATTGCTCTTTGGTGTCACAACACTTTCCCGACTCTCCTCTCCCCCTTCACCTCCATCCTGCCTGCTAGACGTAGCGAGACTAGTTTGACTACTGCTCATATCCACTTTGTATGTACCGGAGATCGACTTGTATCCGCTGGATTGGTTTTGAGATGCGCTCGTAGAATCCACTATGCTCGTCCGATTACCTTTCGCGGCCCTTTGCGGTATGCCCTCTAGGGCTTTTGGCGTATCAGGAGGGTCGCCCGAAGTGTCTTCAACGATCGGAGATGTGGGTGTCGAGGGCAGGGTTGGAAGAGGTTTTTCGAGATCTGCACCAATCAAATTCTTTTCATTCTGCGATAGCAGGAAATGGTCGGTACTTCCTGAACGTGGATGGAGGTCTGGAGTAGAGCTTTTGCTTGTTTGAATATTAAAAGGTCGACCACGGCTACCAGAAACAGATCCTAGCTTCCTAAGTCCCCTTCGCACACCGGTAAGGAAAGCACCGTCAGTCTTCTCTGGCTCTCCCTTGAAGTCTAAGCCCTCGTCGTCAGTAGAAGATTCCGAAATGTATATGGACTCTGTTGAGTCTTTCGGCCGAAGAGTTAGCGGATCCGACATGTTGAATCATGCTGCGAAAGACAAAAAGTAATTCATCAACAATCACAAGGAGATAACACCAACAAGAGATATCATTTTGGCGTTCAGTGAGGATATGTATGTATGCTTACCTTAAAAGTGCCCCCCCAAAAAAGCAAGGACTTCCCGAAATAAATACTCGGCCTCGTCAAGGTCTCCCGAAATGTAATCCAAGGGTCAGAGCCTATTTCTTGTTTGGGGTGTAGGGAGAAGACAGGCGATCCACTCGACGCACAGATTTACACGAGAAGAATAACGGGGAACGTCGATGGTCCCTCCGCAGAACTGATGGCAAAGTTGTAAGCTAGAGCGAGCGACGGTCTGTTGGAAAGCGCTCGGTAGTGAAATGATTGACCTTATTTCCTCTCGATATAGTGCCTCCACCGATACATCCAGAGATTCTAGGGTACTATTTTACCGGATCGGATAAGCAAGCCGACCTCACTCACAAGTCTGCAAACCTCGTACTTATCGATACCAAAAGTCTGTACGGAGTACCCAAATGCGCCTGTCCCAGCTCACGAGCCAATTTTCCTAATCTCCGCCTTTTTAACACTTTCTCGAAGCTAGACCCAGGAAAGAAATTTCTGCGGCTCCAGCCCACTTCCTGCTCTTGGGATGCCGATCTCGAGGTCCTGATAATATAATCCCACGTTTATCCCCTTTCTCTGGGTATTTTACCTTCTTTTGTGATTATGGTACCCGTAGATTGAAAAGTATATGCACTGGCTGTCATTCCTTTGTTGGTTCTCTGATCTTCGAAATTGGAAAAGAATAGCCCTTGTCGTTGCTCGGGCGTGTCACAGCGTGAATATGATTGTTTAGAAACTCTTGAAGCAAAGAATAGATATGGGGTTCATCCGATGATGGTGCAATTTTCCACGTGGTTGACCTGTTTCATGCAGCGGAAATTAATTACAAATAGAATGGCCTAATGGTCTCTAGAAGGAACATAAGCTGGGTGCTGTAGCACGGTACCATGTTGAAGAATGTTAAAAAGGAGAGATGCCAGTTCCATCTGCTTCAAATTGATTACTTTCTAGGTGTTAGCGGCCCTGTGAATATGCTACGTACTCGGTAGTCCTGTTGGTCTAAACATAAAACCTAGCAGTTATAATAATGTGCTGGTACAGTGTGTACTGAGGATTAAGTATCAAGTAGGTGCATTATTCGAAAACATCTCGCAGATTAAATTTGTAACAAAACCAGACCTTCAATCAATACAGCTAACAGAATACGGAGAAAGATATAGAGAAGCGTGATCGATCGTCACGTAGGCGAACACATTTCCCAAAGAGCGCTTGAAGTTTTAATATTATTTTTTTCTCTTATTTGGTTTTGCTATTCTAAATACAGCTTGGCAAAGTTGTCAAAAGGAGACTTGATCGAGCCGCTCGAAGACCAAATCATTATCTGTCATATCAGCTACTCATGTGAAAACCCCTTCATTAATTCATAATTTTCCTTCTCGCGAATTTCAGACGGCCGCAGATGTTACCTCCTTTGGCAAGGGTGTGAATCGAAGATATGGCTTGACAATGCGGAATTCCGGGAAGAGGGTTTTGGCCTCCTCGTTCTTGACGCTGGGGTGAACAATCACATCATCACCAGGAATCCAGTTGATAGGAGTAGTGATGCGGTGCTTGTCTCCAGTTTGAAGCGAGTCAACGACCCGGAGAACCTCGGCGGTATTACGACCAGTGGAAGCTGGGTAAGAAAGGATGAGGCGGATTGTCTTCTTTGGGTCGATGACGAAGACAGATCGGATGGTGAATGCAATTCCCTTGGAGTCAACGTTTGTGGTATCTTGGTGATCGAGCCTAGTTATCTTATTAGCATACGACATATATCTAATAGGGGATTTGGTGTTTTGCGCTTACATGTCATATGCATACGCAACTTTTCGCTCCTTGTCGCCAATAATTGGAAAGGTAAGCTTGCTTCCGGAGATCTCATCAATATCCTTGATCCATCCACCGTGTGATTCGATTGTGTTTGCGGAGAGACCGATGAGCTTCACGCCACGCTTTGTGAACTCTGGCTCAAGTTTTGCGAAAGCGCCGAGTTCGGTGGTGCAAACGGGTGTATAGTCCTCTGGGTGGGAAAATAAGACAACCCATTTGTCACCGATGAACTCGTGGAAATCAATGGGACCATTGGTAGTCTCTGCCTGGAAGTTTGGAGCGATGGATCCTAGACGGAGACTTGCACATTGTTAGCAGAGGTCATAGAGGGAGGTATGATGGTAAACCCCAATCATGGCAGACGCAAAGGGAGTTGTGATAATATGTAAAGGCGAGCTAAAGGCCTATACTTCCAGGCTCTAATCAAGAAGTAGACTTACGGAGTTGCTCTCTCTTCAGCCATGATGAATGTGTATTGAGAAGTTTTGTGAGTTGTGTTGGGGAGATTTGTATATTGCAATTGTGTATCAGATCTGATTGAGAGTTGAGGAAAGGACGGAAAAGTAGGAAAGGGAGACGAGAGAAAGGCCCCAGGGACTAGAAGAGTTTATTAAGAAGTATTCACTTAGCCGTTCAATACCTTATTATTACTTAATCATTCATCAAAGTGTCACCATCGGAGAGAAAAGAGGTAGAGCAGGAGGGGTAAAAAGGAAAATTGTAAAGCACGTAGCTATCACGCCATCGACCTTGTCTGATTTGTCTGAGCTTGTTTCAAGCCTTTGTACCGGATAAGGTTTAGGGAGGGGTATTTCCGGATTATCTGATAGGCTTATCACTGCCGCATCAGAGCTGCTCAAGGATTTAAACATCGGGACACATTTGATGGTTCTTGGCTTTGTAACAATCAACTTCGCCCTATTTGAGAATCAATAAAATTACATTGTCCAAGAGGGAGAAGGTGCAAAAGGGAATGAGGCTGGCGCGGAACGGGACATAAATAGTGAAGAGTGGTGTAATAAAGAAGAGAGAAAAAAAAGGAAAAACACATTACACGGCACAAATACTCGATCGGTACAAAATGCAAAGGTTTGTTCCCTCTTTGGAATCCTACCTACCGATCAAGTTACCTACTAGGTAGATTCATTGTGGTGTAGCAATACTTATAAGGCTGGGAAATGGAGAATATTGCCCCTTCATGCATGATGTTGACAGACCCCAAAATGGTTGAATGGTGTCAATATAGCATTATTGATTGACCTAATGATTCTAAACCATGAAGAGCCAAGAGCTTTTGATGAAGTAATCCTTCTAGTGAAGTTATTCTAGTGAAGTATGAATGAAGTAAGAATTCCTGTGGAAGGTATTGGGCATGACAGTATATATATATATGCAGTCATTCAAATTATTATAGAAGTAGCGGCGAGTAGGTAGCCTCTCTGATAATTGAATCGACCGAGATGGAATCTCCTTTGCACTTTTATTTTTCTGGGAATGTGGCATAAACTTACTCTTGCGCACGCCATCTTACATTTCCGACGACTTACTTCTCTTTTACTGGAATTATTGTTCAGATGATAGATAACCTGTTATCAATAAGGAAATTCAAAGGGACTTCCAATACTCCCCTGTGTGTATCAAAGTTTGATATATTGATATTGATCATATATTTACCAATGGCTTGGGTAGGGCGCGTAACTCTGGCGTCCATCCTCTTTTCCCTTTACAGATACGAGTATGCCTGCCAATATTCATCACGTGATATTGAATATACGTGCAGCCATACTTTGAACCAAGATCCCTCTAGCTCACTCCTACTTTATACCCCACTTCTCCGAGAAATCGACCCACTATGAGTCCATGAGTCCATGATCACTGGTGGACCAACCTAGGAACCGGGAATAAAGATGATAACTTTTGAAAGTTCGGAGTTAAATCCGCAGTTCTGCAGCCAATTCGCCAATTCCCTGAGCCGCAGTTCGTCCTCTAGCTAGAGACGGGAATCTAACTTTTCATAGCCTAATATAGTGAGATCTGCGGAAAAGCCTTCATAAAAGGTTCTAGCTTTTTCAGAAATAGTTAGGTACTATGTAAGTAGGTAAGTAATAGGTAATAGGTATTGTTTTCATATCTCCCTTAGTCATTCACTAGGTATACTACCGGTGTCTTCCCATTACTACCAGGTCGTTGGCGTTCTTTTCTTAAGCTGCATCATATTTATATTTGCCTGTGTATATACCTCGTAGGGCTTAATGCTTAATATTTGCTGCTATCCAATTCCAATCTAAGAATACCTAGTACATCGTTGGAACATTCAATCCTGCTGGCTGTATAATCTTGAGCAACGCAGAATGGGCGATGACATAGAATCGGATATGCCGTCTCGCGGTGACCTCAAGCAAACTTCCATATCTGACACAACGACGGATATTGAAGACGATGGGCAAAATAGATTGGAGTTTTATGGCCAATCAACAAAGGTTCCATCGGCGAGAAATGCACTCAACTTGTCAAGTCCAATCATTTATCATTATCTAACATTCGAAACACCAATCCCTTCACCGACAAGCAACCTCTCATCCACCAACTCTTCAGCAACAGGACCGCCGCGCCCAGACTTAAAGAAATTTACTTCACCATTCGACTGGGCAGAAAGCCGCAAAGAATTCACAGTCTTCCTTTCTTGTGTAGCTACTATGTTCACAGCCTTCACCGCCGGTGCATATTCTCCAGCTGTCAAGCAGATGTCGGCACTTTGGCACGTATCTGACGTTGCGATTCTGGTTGGCATCACAACGTTCTGTTTTGGTTTTGCTATTGCTCCTATGATTCTAGCTCCCTTTTCTGAGTTGAATGGACGAAAGCCAATCTTCATAGCTTCAGGCTTGCTATTCTTTATCACCCAGCTGTGCTGTGCGGTGACTCAATCCTATCCGGGCATGCTCGTTGCCAGATTCTTTGTTGGCTGTGGAAGTTCGGTGTTTTCAACAATGGTTGGTGGGGTCATCAGCGACATTCATCATAAGGAGGGTCGAAACACATCTATGGTAGTTATAAGGATTTAGAGACTCGCCAGGATGTCTGTGACTAACCTGACTTTAGGCCTTATTTTCCGGTTCAGCACTTTTCGGTACTGGCTTAGGGCCATTGGTGAGCAGCTTTATTGCGCAAAACACATCCTGGCGATGGGTATTTTGGATTCAAGTTATCACAAATGGACTCCTGCTTGTTGTGTGTATTCTTTTTTGGAAAATGAAACCCCTCAGTTCCAAGCTCAACTGAAGAAGATACTAATTCATATTGCATGTAGGCCATAACACTCTTTTTCCCAGAAACGAGAGGTAGCATACTTTTGAGTAGGAGAGCACAGTGTTTGAACAAATGGTACGAAGATCGAGAACAGGCAGGCTTTTTTGGCATTGACATGCGGATGTCGACGGCAGACGAGAAATTTGAGTCGCAGCGAATCAGATGGAAGGTTAAGGCCGATGAAGAACGAGAATCGCTCTCCCAGATGGTTAAAATTTCTGTATACCGCCCATTCCATCTTCTGTTCACAGAGTCGGTGGTATTTTTCTTTAGTCTATGGGTTGCCTTTGCTTGGGCGGTGCTCTATTTGACTTTGTAAGTGATTTTCTATTCCATGATTTGGAAGCTTTGTTTCTTAAATGTGCTAATATACGGCTTTCCTAGTGGTTCCATCCCTTTGGTATTTGAGACTTCACATGGCTTTAGTCTTCAGCAATCGGGTGCAGTATTTGCTGCCCTATCAATTGCAGCTATGATATCCACTTTTGTTTCTATCTATCAAGACCGATGGCTCGCGAAATATCTCGAGTGGTCGTCCAGGAACGGAAAGAATCCTGGTATAATTCGAAGAAATGTTGATCTCTCGTCCCCCGAAGCAAGATTGTACTTCGCTTGTTTCCAATCGGCTTTGCTGCCTATCGGTCTTTTCTGGTTCGGCGTAAGTAGCATGCCTTTCCCTGCGGTTGTTTTTGAGGAACAATTTGATTGACTATCGTTTTAGTGGACGCAATTCTCTTCGATCCCTTGGATAGTTCCAACTCTTGCTATTGGTTGCGCGACAATGGGCGTTTATTCTATTTATCTCGCAACGTTCAATTACCTTGCAGACACTTATCATAGATATGCGTCATCTGCTCTTGCTGCTCAGAGTTTCTGCCGTAATGTTTTGGCCGGGATATTCCCTCTCCTTACTACTAGCATGTTCAACAACCTCACGTTCCAGGGAGCAGCATCTTTGCTTGGTGGTATCGGAGCGTTGTTGACCATAGTACCTTGGGTGCTGACTCTGTACGGACCGAGAATTCGCTTGAGAAGCAAGTTCGCAAGCGAAATCATGTAACATTGCTCAATAGGAGAGAAGCAATGCTGTTGTATATTGGAACCCGTCATCCCCCAAAAGCTTTGAAATTTTGTCTGTTATTCGAGAGATGCTATGTAGCATGCATGACTTATGATTCACGACCTTGGCCAAAGAGCCACAAATCCATGGGTTAATTGGAGACCCAGCCACAACAGGGAAGGCTTTAAAGTCACTGGATGATATGGAGATAGAAACGTAAGTTGTTGGTTGAACGATAAAGGAATTAATCCTGCGAGAAAGAGATGGAATGAGGAGCGGGACAAATGTTAATAGAAGGGCACTGATATAGACTGTAGATAGCAAAGGGTTAATAGATAATACTTGTAAATACCTTATGAAAATGATTCCAAGCATCAATGCTGTAGTAGACAATAGGAAAACATAATCCCAAAGGAATTTTGTGCTTAAACATATCATGCCCTATGTCTTTCTACTCGTACCAAAGTATGGAGTCTTTCGTTTGTTTCTTCATTCAACAGTACAATGTCATTCTTCTAAACCGTAAGTGCAATCTTCAGATTCACTCGGCTGTCCCATAATATCGCTAGAGAAAGACATTTCATCTGCAGGACCGCCACCCCTTGACGTTAGCCTCTTTCTCCGCAACACGGGGACTCCAAAATTTGGACAATTGGATGAATCCGACAATCCGATGTCGCCGTATGAACCTTGCTAGCAGCAATGAACCCCTATCGTAGATCTTCTGCCAAGGATAAAACAATTTATTTATTAAACAAATATTGGTCTTGAAAACATAACAATTCATACCTACCCACTATTTACCAACTACCTAAGTTCCTACCTACTTAAATCAAAATCCATATTTTGTCCTATATTTCTGTTACTTCCAGATTCAAATAACGGGAATTTCCATTATCTGTCAAGCTTTTTAAATAATCAAGCACAAGATGTTGCGTTGGTGAGTATTCTCTTATCTCTTGTACAGCCACTGATATCATAATTCTGTTTGTCTCAGTTCCACGTTTGATAGCTAACATCAATGTAAAAGGTATCAAATGAAGTTGGCAGCTCGCCCTGTCCTTACTCAAAGTATCACATCGGCAGTTCTTTTTGCAACTGGAGATGTATTGGCACAACAATTGGTCGAAAAGAAGGGCATCAACGATCATGAAATTGCTCGCACAGGTCGCATGGCACTGTACGGTGGTGGTATGTACAAAGTAGCTAGATATAAGATGGGAAACAGGTATTAATGAATTACTTGTAGCTATATTCGGTCCAATCGCTACCAACTGGTTCAAATTCCTCCAAAATAAGGTCGTCTTGAAGAACAAGAATCTCGAAATGGCAGCTCGAGTCGCAGCCGATCAATGTATTGTCGCCCCTCTCAACTTGGGCTTGTTCCTTACCACCATGTCTGTCCTCGAAGGAAGCGATCCTAAGAAGAAGCTCGAAGCAAACTACTCTACTGCCCTTCAAAAGAATTACATGATCTGGCCTGCTGTTCAAGCTGTCAACTTCAAGCTCGTTCCTCTTGAGCACAGAGTTTTGGTTGTCAACATCGTCTCCTTGGGTTGGAACTGCTATCTCAGTTACTTGAATGGTCGCAAGTCGGATATCACAGTTGAGAAAGTGGTAGAGAAGGTCAAGGAGCTTTAAAACATGTATATACATGGTTAGAGATTGGGTTTGGTTGTATACTTTGGACAAGGACGATTTCGTAGATTTCACAAGATCTCGACTAGACAGACTTTTAAAGGTACAGCATCATATCATAGCGAGGCGTTTAGGATTTGCTTCAGTTATATTACAGATATAGAAGTCTAGGTCATATATCAAGCAATGCATTTGGGAAGGAGAAATGAATTTCCATGGTATTCTGAGTGTATGAATCAGTGATGTGTAATGGAATCTGCTATTTGACATCTGTGTTTGGAATATTCTCCGGAATCTTGTTATGTATACATTTACTTTTGACAGAGTCGGCCATTACTTTATACCTTCTATCAACGTGTTGTAAATCTCTGCACACCAAGTTCCAACTTTTCGACAGCAGCCCAACTAATAAAGCATCGATCAACAAGTACCTAAATCACGTGAATGACATCTCACTAATGAGCCGAGCCTTTGACCAGCAAGGGCCACCACCATCAGCACGCGGGTAATTGCAAGTCTAGTCGCATCGCATTTCCAGAAAAATTGAAGAAAGTGCTAACAACCAAAAAAATTCAAGATCCCAAAACGACAAGAGAACGATATTCTCCAAAACATCCAACTTAGACAATTTGCCTGGAGCAACAAGTCGATCGAATCAAAAGAAAGCGAACCGAGCACACTCGTCTTAAAGACCATTTACTATTTATTCACTCATCACCCCGCCACGGAAATAGAATTTCGACTAGCCTCACATTCAATTCTGCCAAAGCACAAGAACTCTACGAGACTTCTCAGCTTTGACCCGATTCCACTCATCTCACTCATCTCTTGCTCGCCCTTCTTCTTAACATCTTTTTCTTTCAACACGATCCTACCTCGAAAATCATACAAATATGGCAGCCGTCGCAGCACCAGCTGGTGAACAAGTTGACTTGTCAACCATTCCAATCTCACCTGAAGGCGCCAGCAATTCGAACGAGAACACCAAACCAGCTACCGATGGCGAACAAATTACTGTCTTTCATGACAAAGATAACTTTAATGTTAAGCATCCTTTGATGAACAAATGGACTTTGTGGTTCACAAAGCCACCTAGTGGAAAGGTAGTTTTACCTACCGTCAAAATTTGCTACGCAGCATACTGACTTGGTTATATATAGGGTGATAACTGGAATGATCTTTTGAAGGAAGTTATCACATTCAACTCCGTCGAGGAATTCTGGGGTGTCTATGTAAGTATATTAATTTGAGCAGATTGCCATTCCTTATTGTCTTTAGCTTGGCTAACTTTTTTTTTGGTGCAGAACAACATTGCACCAACTTCTGAACTCGCTCTCAAGTCCGATTACCATCTTTTCAAGGAAGGAGTTCGACCAGAATGGGAGGATCAGCAAAACAAACATGGAGGAAAGTGGTCATATCAATTCAAGGAGAAGCGCAACGTTCCCATTGATGAATTATGGCTTCATGTCATGTTAGCAGCTATTGGAGAGACTCTCGAGGAAGAGGATGATGGAGAGGTGATGGGTGTTGTTGTCAACGTCAGAAAAGGATTCTACCGTGTTGGTGTTTGGACTCGCACAATCGGCAAGAGTATTCCGGGAGGTGGAGATGGTGATGTCGCTGGAGGCAAAGGAAGATCCACCGAAAAGGGCAAAGAGATCTTGATGAACATCGGCAAAAAGTTCAAGGAAGTCTTGAAGCTCCCAGCATCGGAGCCTGTCGAATTTTCTGGTCACACCGATAGTGCACACAGCGGCAGCACCCGTGCTAAGGCCAAGTATTCAGTCTAGACGCTTTCAACATGTACATGAGATGAGACACGATTGCTCTTTTACCTGTGTTACGATTCCGTGGTTCTCTCCTTTACGAAGATACCACGAAACTAGGCTAGGACTAAATGGAAGGCGGTTCAACAAAGGTTTCTGGTTTTTAGGGCTATATTTGCATACATTATTGAAGGCAATACCTTAGCTTGGCCTCCTAATATCATGGGGGGAGGAGTATTTATGCCATATTGTTTTTATTGCTCTGCTACTACACTGCTGCTTTTGGTGGTGGTTATTTTATGCATGGCGTTATTCCACACTGGGCAATATAGGCTCAGATATCGGAAGCATGTTCATAGAGATGCGAAAGGCGTGAATTAAAAGATCAAAAGTTACATATCTATTGAGATGACCTAGGGTGGTATTTTGACACCTGGTCATATATGATAGGACTGGTAGATGTAGTCTTGTGGCCGTGTCTATTGATAAGTCATCATCTGAAGTATATATCAAGGGTGGAATGAACGTAAAACTTGACATATTTAAGCGAACTCATTCCTGTTCCCTAAGGCCGTTTTTGTTTTTTTTTCCTTGTACAATCAATCCGTCTTGTAAGTTCTGCCTAGATACCCACAAGACTGTTATCTAAGTCTTACAATTTTGCTGTATTCGCATGCTGGGTGATATACGGAATGCATTTTTTTTTACTTACGCATGGCCATACACAAAAACGGGAGTTTGGGGGTTCGCAGCCATGATAGTTCGTGTTAGATCTTATAAGTCTTGCATTTTATTTACGCTGGGTGTGTTACGTGTGAATTACCTTTTTTTTTTAATTAAAAAAAAGAGCCATGATGTTTTTTACCTATTCGTCTGTCGTCTTGCTCATCTAACCGTCGTATATCTAGATATAACACGTCGCATCGCATCACATCGCATCCCGCACTCTAAACCCTCTGTCCGATTATATCATATCATATCATATCGTACAGAGAGAAAGGAAGACAGAGAAGAAGAGAGAAAACCCTACATCTCATCTCCACTAACATCATCTACAAAAACGGTCTTGACTAGTTCCTTTTTATTAATCTTCCCCATGGCATTCCTCGGAATAGATTCCACAAGCCTCATCACCTGAGGGATTTTATAAGCCGCCAATCGTTCCCTAAGGGCTCTTCTCATATCCAGCGGTCCCCATTTCTTGCCCTGCAGATATTCGTCATTTAGGACCACGACCGCTCCGACTTTTTGACCCCAGTTTCCCGATGGGACGGCACAGACGGCGCATTCTGATATCTGGGGCAGTGATAACATTTCCCGTTCTACTTCGAGCGCGCTTACTTTTTCTCCTCCGGATTTGATGATATCAGCTGATTTGCGACCGCGGATAAAATACATGGGGCCTTGAGCCCATTGTTGATTACTTTTCCCGGCAGAATCAACATAGCGACGAACGGCTACATCACCCGTTTTGAACCAGCGACCGCCACCATCGGCATCTTCAACGTGTTCTTTGAGGGTCGCTTCTGGGTTCCGCCAGTATTCTTTGAAGATGGTTGGGCCGCGGAGTTGGATCTCCCCATCGCGTTCTTTGCCGTAGGCGTCGATTTCGGAGCCTGCGTGGATCACTTCGTTGGTTTCCGTGTCCACGAGTCGGACTTGAACGCTGGGTAGAGGCCAGCCTACGCTACCGTCTATGCGGTCTGTGGGGGATAGACCGCAGGAGAGAGCCATGCCTACTTCGGTCATGCCGTAGCGTTCGAGGAGAATGTTGTTGGAGGAAAGGGTGGACCAGGCGTTTTTGGTCGGGGTGGGAAGGGCCGCGCTGCCGGAAATGTTGAGGCGGAGGTTTTGAGGGGTGATGGCTTCCTTTGCTGCGGTTTGAACATCAGGAGGGAGGTCTTTGTGGGTCGCTAGGAGACGGTTGTAGACGGTAGGAACAACTGTGAAGAATGTGATGGGCTCTTTTGTTTTGGGATTTGGCAAAAAAGGGGCAGCGAAGCGTTGCCAGACGGCTGTGACGTTGAATGGGAAGAGAAACTCGATTGTGGAACCGGTGAATAGCGGGGCTAGAATGGCATTTACGGTGCCGTGAATGTGGTGGAGCGGAAGCACGTGAAGGAGATGATCTTGTAGATTGTAATCCCAAGCTTCGACCAGAGATTTTGACTGTGCTGTCAAGACGGATTGGGGAAGCAGGACACCTTTCTAGATTTCTGTAAGTAAATGTGTATATGCTGGGGCCACTGGGGAAGCTCACTGGTCTATTGGTTGTCCCTGATGTGTACAACATCATTCCCCCGCTACCTCCCGACGGCCCTTCCAACGTGACTTTTCCATAATCCAAGTTCTCCAGCTTCTTCTCCAGCTTAACATGTTTAGGTTTTGCCTCCAGTCCAGTATTCATCACTTCTTGAGCCTTGCTCTCGAATTTAGTTGAAGACAATAGTATTGAAGCTTCACTTTGTTCCAAGATGTATTGTAATTCATGGGCAGGAAATGCTGGTGACAGTGGAACAGCTATAGAGTGTGTCCCAAATATGGAGAGTAAAGTTACTATGCATTATCTTAATCTACATTCTTTTAAAATATGGATATTTCGAGTTGCGCACCCACATAATCATAGCTATTTTCTACAAGAAAAGCAATCCTTTCTCCCTCTAATCCTTTTTGCCCAGCCTCGTTTGTGAGCTTGTCTTTTCTTTCTGCTACATCATGTAGTAATTGACCATATGTGAACCGTCTCCCGGATGCTGAATGTATAATTGATGTAGATTTTGGATCGTGGCTAGAGATAGCTTCGAAGAGGGCTAGTTTCGGTAGTGTTGATGCCATTCTTGCACTGAAGAGAGTGAATCGAGTTTTGAATGATGGGCGGAGGAATGGTGGTGGAATTCGTGTTAAAAACGGCGCTGTTCTTCCTGTACATAACATTGCGGCGACGGGGCGTTGGAGGGGCATTGGTAAGGGTGGTTCATTGGATGGCAGATGAAATTGGATCACGAGGTGGTCGTCCGAAGTCCGGGGTGGAGTTGATGCTGATGTGTTAAGAGAGCTGGGGATAAGAAGTCCGTCGAAAACAATCTACTTTAAAATATCATTGCTGTTCCTACCTTACATTCCGCGTTGAAATAAAGCTGGTCAACATGTTTTGGTAACATGGACATCTAAACATTCTTGTCTAAAGTAAGGTTTTTGAGGTTCTAGAATTTTGATGCGGGAAGGCTAAGGTTATGGATAACATCCGCATTTGCGAGGCGGGGTCGCTTAGAAAAGTCTAGCTTCAAAACCACAAGGCTCCTTCCTTTATCCTTGACGAGGCAAGGCTGTCATGTAATGAATGCAATAACCTCAAAATCAATATCAGAATAGTTTGCATTCCAATCAAACATTCATTACCCTCTACTCAATCTATTGTGAAGCAATAGATTAATGCTTCGCATACTTCGCCCCGCTGTTTCCCGGCGACATCTATCTTCCATCATGACGTCCAAAACTCCCTATGAAGATATTATACGCACTCGAGTGAGTATCTTCCCTCCAAACACTACTTCACGCCGCCACTAACATATTACCTAGCTAACGGAAGAGTTCAAACCTACCCGTCTTGAAATATTCAATGATTCATCCAAACACTCACATCACAAAGCTATGGCTGGTTCTACATCCCACGAAACACATTTCCGAGTCGAGGTCACCTCGGAAGCTTTTGCCAAAAAGATGCAACCTGCAAGACATAGAATGGTGTATGCCCTGTTGAAGGAGGAAATGGCGAGAGAAGGTGGAATTCATGCTTTACAATTAAAGACAAGGACACCCGACGAAGAGGCCCGGGAAGAGGCCCGGGAGAAGGCGAAGGAGGAAGGAGAGGTTGTTGCTGAAGCGAGTGGGCCTTAGGAATGGCATTCGACATTCTATCTGACGATTGAGATGCCCTCTTCGAAATTTATTACAAGACGGAACATTGGATGACCGAATGAGATGACTTGTAAAGCCTAGTCTATGTACTTATGCTATTAGTTGGAGGTTGTTGGAGTTAAGGCAGATCTGCGAATACACAGCGGACATGTTGAGCGAATACTTGCAGCGATAATTTTACAAAAATTGCATATACCCAGACCATTTCCGTCTGCTCCTCAATGTGCAAGTCACACCTTTGTCCAACTTATTTACGCCCAAAGACGAGCACACATTCAATCAAGATAAATCGTCTATTGTGAATCCTTTCTATATATGCTCCGGTGCTAGTCTTCAACCCAAGATAAAAATGTTATAAGGAAGGATGCTCGATAAAATCAGGCAGGCAGATCAACTGTCAAGACTCCCAATTTTTTGGCCAATGCGAGCATAGGATTTACCACGGCCTCGACATCCCCAGATTTGATCGGAATCCTATGATTGCCATTCCATTCAACCAGCTGCGTACTTCCTTTCTCACACCAAATCTTCAGCAATTCCCTATGTAAATCTAATCCCGGATCACTCATCCCATGAACATGAATAGTCGGCAAAGTCAAAACATCATTCTCATCCACTGGTCCCCATCTATCCTGATCTCTCTCCAGACTAATCAATGGCCCTCTTCCCGCTATCAGTACCGCGAATCTCCAATCCTGTCCCTCCAAATCTCTTCCTCCTTCTTCTCGAATCTGCCTCCTCAACAACAAACTCCCCGCTATTTTCGCCCCCTGACTAAACCCCAGTAGTCCTACCCACCCCCCTGTAGCCCCTTTAGCATCATCCTCTCTCATCGCTTTTTCAATACTCTCTTCAATAGCAATGGCCTCATCACGTGGGTCTAAAACTTCATGTTCCGGTAACCAACCCAGCCAGCGTTTAAAAGGTCCAAAATCTCCATAGACACTTGTGACATCAGGCCCGGCCCCAGATGCAAACGGCGCTTCGACATATACGAGACGAAAATAGGGTCTTAGATGAAAAGAGAGGGCTCGGCATTGCATGGTAAAGATTACGGCGTTTGTTCCTCCGCCATGGAGACAGAGTAGTCGGGGAAGATCAAGTGTGGGATCGTGATGTGTAGCCATTATTGTTTGTGGCAAGTAACTTTATTTGATTCGGTGCTATTAAAGATGATTGTAGAGTTCGGAATATGAAGGTTATGTGATAATATTGATTGCTGACAGATCAGAGTAAGAGGCGCTAAATTTAGAACAGGTAGACGTTGGTGCTACATCCTTTAAACTCGTGCTTTGACGGATGAAAATATTCCACTAATCAACTAACCAACTAACCAGCTAATCAATCAATGCGAAGAAATCCGGTGAATTCAAGAAGGTGGTCAATGATGTACATATGGAGTAATATCCGATTTACCTTATCTCTCAATCGGATGTCCGTGGGGGTTTGTCTCTCAAGCGTCCAGCACACCTTGCGGATCTCTAGAATACCGATCTCTGATGTCTTCGGGATAATCAGAATTGAGATATGGATAAGAGAGGCTGGATAGACATTTAGATTCTCGCTAAACTAGTGCGACTTCTTTTTACCTCCAATATCACCAAGCTACAAGTACTTCAACCTTGTATCAATAATATATGTTTTTCTCACCGTCAATTTCTGTCTCTCCAGTATTCGTTATCAGTTACTCTTATTAAACTCGTTCTTGGGGAACTTACATCTATCCTTGGTTACAACTTATCCACTCGTCTTTACTACCCCAAGACCCATCGTTCACTGCAAGCTCGGAGATGCCTAGACTCTAGATATTATGGTTAAACCTATGTATTCTAGTGGGCTTACTTGCATAGACTGATGGATTATGAGTAAATTCTTAAAATAGTTTCTGAGAGGGGCTTCAAGGATATCCAGAGGACAAAAGTCACATCTAAGTGGTTTCGAACTAACCCTCTTCAGATTGCCTAGTACCTAACACTTCTATTTCTTCATCTTTGGGTCTCTTGCCTATTTCGACGTTTTTCTAGTGATATCAGGTCATCAGTGACAAAGGATGGAATTATGGGATTTGCAACGTTGTTCACGAGCTGTTTGCCTCGCTGGATTCTATTCTAGCTTTAGCTTACCCATGGCACAGCAATACTTCCAGTGAGACTTTAGAGAATGGTACTTCTATTACGCTCGATAGTTGGCATAAATCATACAGTCGTGCATTTACTTTTGACTCGTCAGACGTATTATTCAACTACGAAATCAGAAGTGAAATAATGAAGTTTAACAATTCAACAGTCTCTAACACTCAACCGTATAGATATATAATAGATTCAAACAGAAACCAAACAATCCTACCATGTATCTACAAATGCTACACTTAGTGGCCTCTCACAAATCCATCAACAATTCCTTACAAGTCACAGCTAAGTCAACAATCACAAAATGATAGTAACTCTCTGACTGAATCTGTATCTGCAGCAGGAACAAACAACAAACGGCCCCATCAATCCACACCAAACCTAAACATGTGTGTAGAACGCCACCATTATTACGCCTGCGGACACGTTACCTATAGGATTTACGGCTGCGCCCACCAGCAAGCAACACAATGCCATCCACCTCTCTGTCCTCTCTACCGATTCGAAACTTACAGCGATTACTTTCCATTGTGCTGTAATTGTAATAACGCCGCTAACAATTCTCAATCTTGAGGCTCAGGTTCATAAGTCGGAGAGAAATCGCGTTAGTTAAGTCAGACGAAGATGAAGTTGTTGCGTGAGAGATGGTAGGTCTGGTACTTGCCCTTTCTTACTTTTGAGAGTTCATCTTGCGTTTCTTACTTTCGAGAATTCATCTTGCCCTCTCTTCTGAGAATTCGTCTTGCCCTTTCTTACTTCTGAGAAGTCCTCATAGCAATGAAATATTTAAGTCTTTTTGATTATATAAATATCAGTAATAAATAAACATGAATGTGAATGTGAATGTGAAACACAATGTTAAGCTTACAACCCCTTTTCCATAAATCAAGCCTCCCCTCTTCATTTTTCCCAGCCATGCTCTACGATTCCCAACGGCGATGAAATATCCGGCCTTCGAGCTACACTTCCACAAACCGTTTTACAACAATATCACTAGAAATTCTTTTTTGCTTCTAGATCCCGCTTTCGAGCTATGCTAATTTCCCGCCTCATGGGAGATGATGCGAATGGCCATCTCCCATGAAGCCCTCTGAGCTAATGGTATCAGAATTTCTGAATTCTTTACAGATTTAGTCGCCGGCCACATTGATTGACCGAAACACTTGATGTACTATATCAGACATCGTTCAAATCAATGTAACGAAATCGTGAATAATCAGTCTACTTACATGCATATGCCCGGAACACATTTCCCACCTATTGTGTATCATCATGTGGTAACATACCAGAGATTCTTGACACAATTACTAAACTAGTACTCCTAGTTCAATGCATTATCACAACTACTGACTGTTTTCCTGCCTATTGTTGCCAGGGATAAAATAAGTATTGATCAAAACCGAAGAACTTTGTAATATATAACCCGGCTTTGACAATGAGATTTCGATGCTAGCTACGTATGATCAACATCTTCTTGACAATGCAGAGAGGGTGTATCTCCTAGAGCAGCTTGGACGCTAAGAAATAAGTTTTGGAGGTTAAGAAGCCCTGTGAATAAGTTTAAGAGTGACCAGTCAATGCTCATTTAATTCGTAGATATAAATCCTTGATAATTTTTAGGGTTCGAACTGACGCTAATTTCGAAAGTCCATAGAACTCTTAGTAGCTATGCAGTTCTGTAGTATCTTCTCGACGCTAGAATTAGACTGGTCTTCCTGAGTGGGATCAGATATGCCAATACTTCGTAGTGCGAAGTAATGTCATTATTACAAAAGAAGGATCGGATCTCTTAAGGTTATGGTGTGGATTTAGAGACCGGTAGAGTGTCCTTGCATGCATTGAAATGTAGTTGCGAATATGTGGATTTTGCGTACCGCCATGTATGATTTCGCCTGTAAAGGTGTGAAAATTTGCAAAAGCAGTCGGTGGTTTCCATCTTTAGATTTTCTCCACGAGATGTCTCATTTATAGAGGAGACGAACTTCCGATCCTCTCATGCTGATATTCGATTTCCATTGGTTTTATCCGTATGTTCTTGTGCCACCGTTTCTATATCGAAATATATCTCCCTTGCTCCTAGGAAGAACTAAGTAGACATGCGAACTCATGTCTGCCTAATAGCCTCGCCAGTGGCCCGACGTTCATTCACAACATTTCCCCGTAAGTGATGATCCACTTCCGCAATAGGATGTGGGTTTCTGCATTCCGAGCCGTAACAGCACTTCCAAGCATATTTTCAAGTACCAGCCAGGCTTTAGACTTTGGTGGTGGAAGCCATTTTCCTTTGCCAAGTATTCCGCAGACAGGGTAAAACTAACACAAATAATTACGAGAACGAGGTCGGTCATCAAGATTATTTATAAACTGGTCATTCAACATCCCTAACTTAAGATTGCTTGTCGCTTAATGTGAGGAAGTATTATAGAGAGAATCACAGTATATCAGGGAAGAGACTTTGTGGAGTGTCCGCCTTTCGATACCGGGAAATGGAATTGTGAACTCGGAAAAGTACATTCAGATAATTCCGAAGTACTAATAAAGGAAGACCAATTATTTGGAAGGAAAGTATATGATACCAAAAACTAAAACTGACGATGCCATATAGCTACCCATAGAGTTGGGAAGGGACTGAAAGTCGAATGAGTCTACTGTGATGTCTATCGCTAATGTTCAACATGCTTTGAAATATAATACGGGAAAAGGTATAAGTCCTTAATGGCATCTCGTTTGGATCGTGAAATATAAATGATTCGCTGTTTATCACGACTTGTAAAATCATATCCACGTCGTAGCTGAGAGGGAAGTTTACTCAACGCCTCCTTTTCCCAACATTCTGCTGACTTTCAGACTGTGTGATGCCACCGGGTATGGGCATATATGAGAGAACCTCCAAAGTGCTATCGTAAGATTATCGGCTAGCCTTTTATCCGGAACCTTGAGTTTCTCACCAGTCTGAGCTCCGCATGGCATACATTTGTTTTAATCTTTATTTCCACCCTTCCAAGCTCAATGTCCCTTCCCTTTTGCGTTCTTGATAGCTTCAGACAGGAAGATTTTAAGCGAGAGTAAGGTTAGGGTAACTAACCTTAACCCTGGGTGCGTACGCAAGGGATAGTTAACTACTCCCTATTATAGAATAAGGTTTTGAATATGTAATTGGATGAATTGCAAAAGTAGATTGATGAGTTGAAGATTTCTAATCTATTTTAGTTAATTCTCTACTAGAATATAACAAATAATAAATAACCTTAATTCAAATGGGCTTAAGGTACAAAGTACCTCGGTTTTAGACGGTAGACTTGCCGCTTTTGATTTCCCATTAGATTGGACTGCTGAAATTCTTGGCGATACAACCTCACAATTCCACTTACGCCCATCTAAAACCTGCAAAGTAGGTACTCAACGTATCGGGCATCAATCTTGCCTCACACTCACTCCTCATTATCTTTACTTAAGGCGTTGTCACTCATTCTACCTCTTCAGATTACACTACATCGGACTCCTTCTCCATCGGTATGTCTTCATCCTCAACCCCAATAGCAAACCCCACGTGGGTGGACAAGAACACAAATACCACCTTATTCATGTTTTCGGCCTTGTTCATCCTGATCTGGCCCGGAATCCAAGGGACAAGATCTTCCAATCGAGGTAATACAACAAGCCGAAAAATCCAAACAACTGGTGTTCGTGTTCCTTACTTTCGGGACCCTTAGCTACTCTGTTTCCGGCCCGAGACCGCTCTACACCCGAACGCCTCTACCAATATCCTCACGACTCAAGTGTCACGAACTCTGACACCAAAAGCAATCAATCTAATCTACTTTATACTACCTTACGTGTGCACGTTCGACAGGTACATACAATCATAAGCCTCAGTACACCTTGCACCGCCCTTTTTCGTTTGTACTTCTAGTTCCTATCCGCCATTATCCGAGACTTAAAATTAATACCGACATGGCATTTATTATCGAACTTTGGAAATACCTTAAAAGAGATTAATGCGGGGATACACAAACATGGGGAAATGCTTATTTCTCATGTCGTGATGCTTGGGAGCGTACATTATACTTCAAAAACAACCTTAATTGCATCCTATGGGATCAATTACCGCAGTGTCGTCGACGATCTTGTAGATATTTTTCGATTCACCGCCCCTTCTCGTTGAAAATTTCTGAAGTCGATGTTTTCAAAGGCGGATGGAGTTCACCCTTTTCAGAGCTCCCATAATGTTATTTACTCAAGTTGGGTATAGAAGGAGGATTTCCTCGTGTAATTCAAGGAGATTTTTGGAAAGTAAGCACGCCCGTTGAATCGATAGTCATTGGCCAATCATCTTTTAGGATACCAAGGGGGGCTAAAATATTTGTTTGGATGTTTTTATCATCCGTAGTAATCAAAGTTGTTTATGTATTCTTTGCACTCTAATGATTCGAGAGCTTTCATTTCCATAGTTGGAATCATCTCCCATGCCCCTACTCTGTATGCAGCACTCAGTGGCAAATATACGTTGCCAGTCTTGTGTATCACCCGTCTGCATTCATTGATCACGTCAAATCTAACCCTATTTATTTGCTATTTCTCTCGGGTACTTCACTTCTGGATACCTCTCGACATCCCATTACCATCTTCATTCAAGTCCTCTACATCTGAGTCACCTCCCATAAAGTTATCCAAAATAAGCCTACTTTACAATGTGTGCCTCGAGCCAGAAATCCGCTTCTTCCTCAACGTCCTCAAAACAGTACATTTCGACTCCCTCAACCTCCTCAAAGACAAAGTCCACCTCATCTTCCTCTTCTCGAAAGGTCCAGCACGGATCACGTACCTCTCACCACTCTTCATCTTCGTCCGCAATTTCATCATCCGCTTCTCCATCTCGATCATCTCACAAGGATCCAGCAAACCAGAAATTTGAGGGTGAAGCAATCAACCGATATGAGAACGAACCTAGGGATTACAAGTCTTGGACCGTGGAGGAATATGATGCATACCAGGAGCAAGCGAAAGATGAACATTGGGATTACGTGAAGAGGAATGTGGAAGGTGTTGAATGGGCGAGTTGAGGCGATCTTGATTCGAGAGGAAGAGACAGCGGAGTCTATGGGTTATGCAGCGGTTGCATGATGTGATATGGAAATGAGCACCAAACAGTGCCAATGGGACTAAAGATGTGTTATGTGATGACGGGCTTACGATTACGATTTTCCTACTATATCTAGGGATGGGGATCATGCTATTCAACATGGGACTTGGAGGAGCGGGGTAAGAAAGAGACAAAGACATGTATAGAGTGTACTATATACATACAAGACCAGCTTATAGGCTGATCAGGATAGAAGTATGAAGTAGAGATGGCTCGAGGCCTTGGGCATGCATGACACCCGCTAGGAGAAGATTCAAATTTAACTCATTGAAAATATCCAAACGTCGCACGAACAATGCATGATACTGTGAACTCTACATAGGTAGACAATGAAACCAAATGCAACCCCGTCAGCAAGTAACTCGCAAGTGCGGAACCGGACAACAGCTGACCGAAAGACGTACAATGACATTTCCTCCGACTTGGCAAAGAAACAAACAAGTTTTCTCTCCTGAACTTGCTCTGCTGTTCGATAACCTACCTGCCTGTCTACGAGCCTTGTTCCGAAAACGTATCACGATTAATCCCGCCCCGCCCATCGTGTGGAGTCCTACCGCATGCAGATAGACATCATCCATGCAGCGATTGAGACCTCTCGTCAGTGTCGGCGGTATCTTGCATGTGTGCATAAAGGATAGATGAGTCAACATGTTGAGGGAAATGAAAAGAAATGGAGTGAAATAATTGGATTTTCTGCGTCCTCGTGCTTCTTTGCTGTGCGTTTTGTTCAAGCGAATGAAAACGACCAAGCGAATGAACGGGGTTGTAGACTTGGTTTTTTCCAACAATATTTACATGCTGTATAACTGCTACACAATGGAATAGCATGCGTTTGAGTTGCACGAGGAACTTGCATGATCCGAAGCTGCTTTATTGTAAGCGCGATATGCGACAGGAAATATATTTTGCTTTTTGATATGCCTGTGTGCGTGGAAATTTTTAATTTTGTGGTATAAACAGGGGGAGTGGGTGGAGTCTAGAATGCCCAAATGTATCTTCGATGTCGTTCAATGCTGTCATAATTATGTGGATATGATAGGACTCTTACCGTACATTCTATCAGCAATTCCATGTTAACTTTACCTATTTTCCGTGTACTTCATGTATGCTATTGCCTTGTGACCTATCTTCACCTAGACCTCAAGCCATATGTTTCTTCTTGCTCCTTCGTGATCATCCCGGGGCTTCCTACCATAGCGTCCTCTCCTCTATTCCCTTTTGGAAAGAATATGACATCTCTTACACTCTCCTGTCCTGTCAACACTGCAACCCATCTATCGAATCCAACAGCGAACCCGGCATGTGTTGGACAACCGGCTCGTAACGCCTCAAACAAATGCTTGAAATCTGACATTTTTTCATCACTCATTTTCAATACGTTCTTCATGATGAATTTTTGGACCTCGGCTGAATGGATACGTTTTGAGCCACCGCCGAGTTCGACACCGTTAACAACAAGATCATAGTGATCGGCAGTGACTGCGAGTGGGTCTGTGAGTAGGAGGTCGACATCAGCAGCGGTTTTTGGCGCGGTAAATGGGTGATGAGTAGAAGAAAACCCTGCTGTGCCTCCTTGACCAGGATCGTCTGGCTTGCTAGTATTGAGTGTAAAGAGAGGGAAGTCTGTGACCCAGAGATAATGGAGTCCCGGGATAGGAGCAAGAAGCTGTTCCGAGATTGCAGCTTTATAAACTGCCAGTCGGAGTTTACCTAGAGTAGTAGAACCACCGGAATGGCGCGCATTGGGACGCGCTTGAAGGATAAGTAAATCTCCTTCATCAAAAGTGGTTGCGGCGTCCGGTCCTCGTGGGTCAACGAGTTTTTGTGGAGAGGATGGAAGAGAAGAGTATAGATGTTTCAAGGCCTCAGAACCTTCAAAGCCAAATGCTTGGAGACCCTCTAATGGTCTCTTGGGATCGAAAACAAATATTCCCGGAGGACCATCAGGGTTTTTCTGAAAGGATTCGGCATCTGGCGAGTCCATAAAGTTGCGGATGAACTGTTGCACCTTTCTAGGATTTCCGCTAAGCCGGAATTTACAGGCTTCAATTATAGGGTTTTCAATTGAGGTCAGCATTCCCTTGAGGTTTTCTGGAATTATCGTTTCCACGCGATGGATCTGTAATAATTAGCTTCGCTCAAGAAATAATGATAGATTTTTTACCAAGTCCACAATTCTGAGATCAGGTTTGTCAGACCCATGCTTTGCCATGGCTTCCTCATATTTCACTCTTGGAATTTCGCGTGTGAAGTTATTTTCAACGTGGTCAGCTACAATCCGTTCATCCTGTATCACCCTATGCACTTGTTTTACAAGCCCTTGAACAACCCTCATGACACGTCGACCGTCCGACCATGACATTTCCATATCAATCTACATGGTATTAGTACATGTAGAGCGTGCCATCTGGACATTACGGTACCTGGGTAAACTCTGGCTGCCTATCCGCACGAAGATCCTCATCCCGAAAGCATTTAGCGAATTGAAAATACTTGGTGACGCCACTTGCCATCAAAATCTGCTTATATTGTTGCGGACTTTGTGGTAGAGCATATGCATAACCTGGCTTTCTAGTAGGAACGAGAAATTCTCTGGCGCCTTCAGGAGTTGACTTGAATAAGATGGGGGTCTCAATCTCATCGAAGCCGTTGGAATTGAAGTGTGTTCTTACTATTTTAGCTAGCTTTGACCGGAACATTAATCTCTGATAAAGATTTGGTACGAATCGAACCTCAAGATGTCTTGAATCGGGCCCAAATTTCTGTGCAGGCCCAACAATAATGTCCTTGGGAAATGAATTGATTACTTTCACGTCTTCAGCATGGATCTCAAAGTCTGATGGAGAATGATTTGATTCGACCGAACTAGAAAGCTCTTCGGAAATGGGCCTCTGCGATTCGGGTGTAACCTCTGGCCTTTTGACTTTGTACTGCAAAACTCCTGTCACAGACACAGCGCTGTGTTCCTTGATACTTTTGAAGATATCTCCGATCTTCCCTTCCTCGGAGCTCTCCTTTAATATAACTTGGATACCAGCATCTGCTAAAGGCCCTGTACATATTCTAGCAAATATGAGTCCTTTACTCAGCTGCTTCTTATTGCGCAGGAAACCGACAACAGTGATGTTTTGCCCAACGTTCGCTGGCCGAATCTTGGCCCGTGGATTGAATGGATAGATACTTGACTTTGGAATAGTGACTGTAAAGAAGATGTTAGCAATATATGAAATAATAGAAAGGCCGATACTGACAGCTGTCCTTATATTCTTTCCAAAACGTGCCATTTGTGTCAATGTTAACTTGCTCTTCCGCACCGTCTGATCGAGGTTTGGTATTGGTAAAACTTCTCTGGTGAACTACAAGTGAGCGGAACCCAATTGTGCGAGCCCTTGGTACGGCTTTGCGCAAATAGAAGCTTCCATTTCTCAGTAACTGCCTGCGATAGCAGGATACTAAGGTCATGGCTCAAATTAATTCCTTAAAAATTCATGAATAATCGAATTACTAGAGTGCTAGATACTCGAAGCTGTCCAGGCGTGGTTAGCGTCTCGGCAAGATCCGCTCCTCATTATTTTTATATATTGTCGCGAAATTTTTCAAAGTCTTTTTTTCTTCTTCATCCTTCCAAGTTTTAAACATGTAAGACCCCAACATCAAATCCTAGAAATTTCTGTGCACTTTGCTAATGTATATTCTACAGATGATGAAAAGCCAGCGTGTATTATTTGAGTACGATTCCTCCTTTTCAAGCCTGCAAACTCTCCCTTCACCGGGCTTCAGTGGTCTGCTTGCGAGAACTGGATGGAAGAGTGAAATAAGCGTTCGACACACCCTCCTTGTTTTTAACGGACGCGATAAAGGCATCTCTGAACCCTAATCCTTGGAAGGCTTCAATATTCATAGTTACCACGCGGTGGAGAAAGCGATGGAATGAACCTTTTTAATGATCATCATCCAGAGCTCAAATACATACTTCATCGACAGCCGCATTCATTCAAACTTTTAGTTTCTCATCAATCCTACTGGTGTATTTGTTTTCATTCATGCATTCAGGTGCTGTGCTGGGGAGTGGAAAACGTGTTGGCATTGCAAGTAAGGGAGCGACATCTGAAGGACAATGCATTCGAAGCGAGGGGAATAGTTTTGACTTTTGAGGTAGGCAGTAAGGTAGGTAGGTGATTTTTACACCACAGCCGTGGTACAATTGAGCAAACATACCAAGGTAGCATACATATTTCAAGATAAATTAATTATGAAGTTTCAATCATGGCGCATTATTGCCCATTTGATCTGATGATGGGGTTCCCATGTATCATCTCATCATTGTGTTTACTCCCAAGAGAAGTGCCCAGTTCGATTTGCGCTTTTTTCCTTGTCGCCAATCTAAATATTCGTATCCCCATGATAGTAATTGCATTTGTGGTAGTAGCTTGGATGTTTGATTTGATCCAAGCAAGCAGCTTTGATGATGGCACATTGTACAGCGCATGAAGAAACACTTGGTGAACGGCAGATTGTAAGCAGCTGGAAAGAAGGATCTGCATCTGCAAGACAACGAGACAATGCGGTATGCCCGGTTTGGGTATGAGGTATGAGTAGATATATACTATGGAGGCAGACACTCTTCCGTATAATATCATTTTATATAAACCTGCCCGATGAAGATACGACACCCACCCAGTCCGGCAATATACCGAAAGATCACGGACAGTCCAAGACCAGGAAGAACATCAGAAACATCATTTCTACGAATACCTACTACCGTACTTACTAACCTGACCGTGCAGTAGTGATACCCGGATAATCAGTTGTTCATCATCAGTGCAAACTTATCCACTTGTCTCTGCGAACGGGTCCAAGGCTTTAGGTTTTAGGTTTGGTTAGGTATTGAATGCGCTCCTGGCAAGGTGTACATGGAGAATAAATGGAGAATAAATACCTGACTACTATCTACTATCCTGTAAATCAAACAAACCTGATTTGAACAAAATTCCAATAGCTAGCTACCTTGCTTACCCGGTAGGTACTCTGGTAAGACGCTCCGATCATCATCACCCATTACCCCCGTAATTATTATATCTTCAATCAGTCCTTTTGGTCCCTTTGATCCTTTTGTAGTTTGCAGGGGGGTTCTTCATCAAATTACCTGGTACTCCTGGTCATCATTTCGATTAAGCACACTTACGGCACCGCCACGGATTTATACATAAAGATCTTACAATCGAGACTACCTAGGTACTGGAACTGGAATATCACGGACGACAAAGCCGGGCGAATAAAACAAGCACCGTAAGCCGCCGACGACTTTCCAAAGTTCCAACTCCTTTTAGTCTCTAAGCTACCCTTACGTCGCAAAACTCAAGCAACAATTATATTTACTACCCCTTTGCTCACTTGTACAATCCCGAATACGTCTGGGCCTACATAATATAATAGCTATTCCATCTCGACCAGAGGGAAACTCCCCAATTTGGGAGTGAAGTACTCTCCCTTGGCTGTTAATTGTCGCATTGTAGCTGGAAACACCAAGGTCTAAGATGTCGACTTCTTTTGAGAAGTCTGTGAAAGGCGCGACAAAGATTAAGGTATGACATGTTCGACATTGTTTTAAATGTCCATGTGGTTGAAGATCAAATACTGAGCATTATTGTGAACAGGCTGCCCCTCCCAAGTCAAAGTACTTGAACCCGGATCAAGAGCTTCATCACGAACGTTGGACTAATAATCAAACAGATATATCGAACACATTCTGATAGCCACTCATTCGGGCGAAGCGGGAGTCGCTGAAGTATTCCGAGCGTTACAAAATCGTCTTCGAGATTCGACATGGACCGTGGTATTCAAGAGTTTGATCACAGTTCATCTGATGATTAGAGAAGGGTCTCCGGATGTAACATTGGCATATCTTGCGCAGCATAGGAATATGCTAGCAATAAGCAATTTCACTGATGGTGTGTATCCAGAGAATATTTCTGCGATTCTCTGTATAGTGGCTTAGCCATGACAGGCAATATCATAGAAACCGTGCTAACAGAGCATGGCAAAGTGCAAACCCAGGGACGAAATATCCGACATTACACAAACTATCTGACCGAGCGCGCGAGATCATTTCGAGACACAAAATGCGATTTTGTACGTGGTGCTGAGGGAAGGTTGGAGAAGTTGTCGGTGGAGAAGGGTCTGTTGAGGGAGACGGAATCAGTACAGAATCAGATCACATCATTGCTGAAATGCGACGTACGTCTGATGCCCGCTTTAAGGTAAACTTTGCTAAGCAATAGTGTAGGTTTTGGATAACGAACTCGATAATGAGATTACGATTACAGTCTTCCGGATGCTAGTATTGGATCTCCTAGCATTGTTTCATGTTATAAACCAGGCCATGATCAACATATTAGGTACTTGATCTCAGAAGCGGCCAGTGTATCATGCTAACAAGATCATAGGCCACTTTTTCGAAATGTCAAAACCCGATGCAGAACGAGCTATGGAGATATACAGAAATTTTACCCGACAAACAGATTTTGTAGTTTCGTACCTCGGTGTTGCCAGACAATATGAGCATCAGACGCGAGTGGAGGTTCCAAAACTCAAGCATGCGCCTGTAAATCTTGGAAAACAGCTGGAGGACTATTTGATGGACCCGGATTTTGAGGTAAACAGAAGGCAATACCTTGCAGAGCAGGAGTCTACCAAGAAAGGGAAGAGTGGAGCCAGTAGCGCAAGCAAACCTTTTGCAGTACCCTCCAAGAGCGAAAGCGATGACAGGGCCGCTACTGGACGCTCTTTTCCTGATGCAGTACAAGCATCTTCTTCAAACACTACTGCGCAACCCTCTAAAGCACCGGCTGCAGATTTGATTGACTTTTTCGACTCCATTGATACACCGCAGCCAATGGCTACCCAAGTAGGAATACAGCAAGCACCTCAATTCAACGGGGACCCTTTTCAAATGCAGCAGCAACAGCAACTCCAACAGAACGGATTCGCTCAACAACAAACTGGCTTCCAAGATCCAGGGCAGTTTGCTCAACAGCAAGGCTTTAATAATGTTTTTACCATGCAGCCACAGGCACCTTTACAACAACAGCAGCAGCAACAACAACCGCAACCCATGCAGCCACATTTCACGGGCGCTGGATATGGTGGCTATACTCCACAGCAATCATTCCAACCGTCAGGTCTCTCGGCCATCCCACAAGAATCGGCTGTAAATTTCCAGCAGCAGGGACAGCAACAAATGAATTTACAAACTCCTCAAGAGACGAATCCTTTCCGGCAGTCGACGATGACAAACAATCTAGGAATGACTGTACCTTCATTCCCGGCATCACCACCTGTCGCGTCTCCAGTAATTCGACAATCGACCAACCCTTTTGCCAAGTCAGCATCACCGCAACTACAGCCCTACACTCCGCCACCAGACCAGCAATTCCAGCAACAGCCAATAGCAGCTCCTCTCAGAGCGATGCAAACAGGCACTAATCCCTTTGCCAAGAGCTTATCCGTTCAATCAGCAGAGCGACCTCAAACAAGTGGCGCCAGTCTTGCGCCACAGCCTACTGGAAATACAAATCCATTTCGACAAAGTCAATTTGTCAACACAGCTACGGGCATGGGCTGGCAAAACGCTCAGCAAACTATAGGAGGTGGTTTAGATCATATTCCAACAGTTCCCGTCTTCCCTCGACCCGGACAACAGCAAGCCTGGCAGCAATAGCCGAAGAAGTGAAACCCGTGAAGTAAAAGTCCACACAATTTCTGGACGATATGGTTCACGTGTACATTTGTGCTATGATAAGAAAATTTTATTGGTGTTTCAAGGATCATTACAAGCATGGCGTTCTGAAGGTATTGCAATTTGCAGACGGGAGCAAGGTTTAAGGGCGTCAAGATGCATGATGTGATATTAAATTGCCTGTACCTACAGAAGAGGTATTTCGCCATAGGTAACTAATTACAAAGGCATGGCCTTTAAATGTATAACTATGTCCAAATGACTACGGAATCCATTGACTACGCCACTTCTCTTTAGACTCCATGAACCCCAAAACTCCCCCATCCCAGTCCACCCCTCCATATTACATATAAATTAGGTGTTGTATCAAAATAAATCATCCGACTCCGCTTTGATCACTAGCTGTTTCTTCTCTGTAGATGCTTGAGCCGCCGCTGTAGTGCCAATAGAGGAAGAGCCAGGCTGATGCCGATCTTTAACCTCATTTTCGATGAATATCTCGAGGCCACCGAAGGCATCATGCATGGCTCTTCCGTAATAATCATGGAGGCTATAACCGCCAGCCATATGCTTAGGGTCATGCTTGATACCCTCAACCCACTGGTTTTCATAATCATCCTGCAATACGTATCTTGAAGGTGTAAGATCGACACCTCCAAATGGATCGTAAGGTTTCTCTGCCACAGGTGCCGTCTTTTTCTTGAGTCCTCTGATTGTAAGACCTTCTCCATCCGCGCTTCCGGTCCCAGCATTGATTGCTGCATCCCTCTCTCCCAAGGTTCTTCTCGCCGAACTCTTCTTCAAAATGACCTTATGCGCTTGTTGTGTGATAGCTACCGCATCCCCCTCGCCGCTAGCCAATTGATCTAAAACCTGTTTCCGACTCTTCTCGATATCAGCCTTTTCCTCGGCGTCCTCTCTCAAAGCCGCCAACCTCCTCTGCCTCGCCATTTGCCTCTCCTCCAGTTCCCTCTTCCTGCCCATCTCCACCTCCTTCAACCTGGCAACCTTATTCTCCTCGATTGCCCCACGATTCGCCTCTCCAAATTTCCTTAACTTCTCTTCCGCCTCCTGCTTCACTTTGCCTTTCCCATTCACCAAATCCCAGATCAAATCTTCGGTATCTTGTAAATAATTATTGTAATCTAGTAATGTTTCGAAATCATCCTCGCTGCGATTAAACACCTCGCTCACCCGACGTCGAATGTCGCATTCACGCTCTATGGCTAGATCCCCGAAAAACGCAGCTTTGAATCCTTTTTTCCGCAGCGTGCGACCGCAGGAAAGGACGGGACAGGGGGCGGGCCCGGAGCTGAATATGCGATCCACGCATGTCGAACACATTTTGTGGTAGCATTCTGGATTGATGAGGAATTGGAGGGAGGGATTAAGATAGCGATTAGATTTGCAGATGGGACAGATGTCGTCCGAGGGATCTGATGTGTCGAGTGGTTTAGGCATATTTTTGGTGGTAGCTGTTGCCCACTCTTGAATGCGTGGTTGTTAAAGGTTATTCAACTGAGGTGAAGTGGGGTGGTTGTAACCCCGGATTACCTTTTAGTGCAGCGGCGGAGTGCAAAGTGCCTGGCATTTTTGATGTGGCTTCAAATGTGGCTTTGTAAGCAAGCCACCTCAAAGCCTTGTCTACTTTTTAATAAATTATAAAGTAACAAGTTGAATTGACGTCCTGCAAAGCACAAATATTGTACATTAATTGGAAAGATGGCAGACAAAGGTGTGTGTCCAGTTCCCTATCCTTACTTTCCATATTTAAATATCAGAAATGCTATTTAGCTGTTTACCCATAACTCGCACTTCCCATCTGCTTCATCGCAGCTACCCCGCCACTCGCTCCCACCAACAAGTCTAACTAACCAAAACTCTCAGAGCCAACCCCCCAAGAAGAAGCTGCCGCACGCGCAAAGGAAGCAGCAGAACAAGCTGCCCTTCCATACAAATGGACGCAAGCGATTTCCGACTTGGACATCACTGTCGAAATTCCCGGGAACCTTAAGGCTAAAGATTTAATCGTTGATATCAAACGCCAATCACTAAAAGTATCCGTCAAGGGTCAAACTCCTATAATCGATGTATGTTCTTTCTCGGTCTCCTTCTCCAATACCCTTACCTCTCTGACATATTGGCATCAGGATGCACTCCCTCACCCCATTCTCTTAGATGAGAGCACCTGGACCCTGAGCAGTCTCCCTTCGGGCAGCAAAGCTCTTGAAATTCATCTGGATAAAGTAAATAAGATGGAATGGTGGGCACATGTTGTCGTCTCCGCACCAAAAATAGATGTTACCAAAATCACACCCGAGAACAGTAAATTGGGAGATTTGGATGGGGAGACAAGAGGGATGGTGGAGAAGATGATGTGGGAACAGAGAGATAAGGAGATGAACGGCGGAATCAGTAGTGAGGAGAGGAAGAAGAAAGAGATTCTAGAGAAGTTTCAGAAAGAACATCCGGAGCTGGACTTCTCGAAGGCAAAGATGAACTAAACGTTCCGCCTTTCAAGGTAGCAGGTGACAAAATGATTACAATGGACAAATTAAGTTGGAGGTAATGCAATACATGCGAGTGCTATAGCTGGTTGCAACACTCATGAGGATACCTATTTATTTGGCGAAAAACGAAACATAAAACTATTTCTCTACTGTTCATGGAACATACACGTTTGTGAATTGGTCGGGGTCAAAGCTTCTCGACACACATTGACCGTCTTGCCATCCTTTTTTGGTATTGTACATCCATCCTCATATATCACATGTTCTATTTGCAGTCCCAAACATCCTCCAAACTTTTATTCTTCAACATAACCGCAGTTCTATCTCTCTCCTGCCAATCGTCGACTTTGGACTTCGGACAGTGCTTTGCTCCCACTCAAAAATGCGACGAGCCCTACAACACCTGCAGCGGGCAAAGTCTGGAATAGGGTCCAGCTTGAGTAATATAAAAAGAAGATACCTTCCATAGCAATGATCGAGCCATAAAAGAGCGCGTGTGAAATCGGTGCGGCCGAGGTAGCTTTCGAGAGATGAGAAAGGTTGGCTCCAAGGTAAGCCCACTATTAAGAAAGTATTAGTACTCATGTCAAAGAAGTTGGCACCAGGAATACGCACGGCGCCCAGCAACGCTGGAATAGTAGCTAGAACTGCGAATGCGAAGGCCAGAGAGAAAACCTTAGGTCCACTCTGTGGATCGGGACGGAAAATATGGTGAATCTCGGGGAGTTTCCCATATCTCAATGGCTTCTCATATGTGGGAATTGGTTTGCTGGTATCGTGGGACAGGTCGAGGTCAAAAACATGGTTGCTGAATGCTTGTGCAGAACCAAACGATGCGAGAACAAGAGTGGCGCGTAAAGGTTTGGAGCTTGTGAGAAGCTGGACTGGAAGATCTTTTTGAGTCTGCATGTTCATTAGCAAACTATCCCATTATTCTCGCCAATTGTCTGTAATTTGAAAACGTACGAAGTCAACCTTTCCTTTACCAGACTCCTTCACGGAAAATGGGAAGGCGGTTTCAAGTCCGGTGTCTTGATCCCTGAGAAGTAAGAATGCTTGATGTGGTCGTTTGGCAGTGCGATCCTCAGTAGCCGTGAGGACGATTTTGAGGGCATCAGCTGCGCCAAGAGATACTGGTTTTGCAAGAGGAACATGGTCTGATAGTCTGCAGAGTACTCGATTAGCATCTATTCCAAAGATTTCATATCTTACACATCAGCAGTTCCCTAAAGCTACGTACTTGTCCTTAAACCCTCCAGTACCACCCTTTCCGCTCACGGAAACAATAGCTTCATCAAAGCTCCATGATGAAGTAGCGTTAACAATTCCGGCAACAGCAAGTACCAATGAAGGTACCAAAGAGCGTGAGAGACGCATTTTAAGACAAAAACAATCGTTAAAACTTTGAGATTTGTGAGTTCAAATTCACAGAGGGGAGCTCCGAGCCACGTAAGAGCTCCAATTGAGAACACATTTCGAGCGCCAAGTCTGGGATCCAGCGGGTTTATGTAATGCCGATCCGGTGCACGGACATTTTGTCAAGCAGCAATTATACTCCTCCATTTGATGAGGCGCTGAAAGGTCCTCGCCCGTCGTAACGCGAATATTAATTGATCCAGCTTTCCGAAAGGTATGAATAGACATGGCTCAAACAAAATTGAATCTTTAACCAATGTTAAGCATTGGAGGGTAATTTTCGAAAGGCATGCTACATTAGGCGTAGTCGTGGATCGATTCTTATACCTTAAACCGATGAAACGCATAGAGCGGATTTCATGTCAGCATATTTCCTGTGGATAGTTTGTGAGTTCCAAATGCCGTTTAAGTTTACTACATGTCGATTTTACTTTTCTGTATATCAGCGTCTTCAAGTGTTATATTGGTATTTCGTGGTAAACGTCCAAAGGTTGCGAAATATAATGATTTAGGCGAGTCAAGGCGCTCAGGTTATTGGCTTCAGATGGGCGGGTTCGATGTCCCAATATGTCAATTTATGCAGCAAGATTCTGCATGGCCACTACATCACACATCAACTTTCGGTGAGATCACTGAATGGTTAATTGCACTGGATAGGAAATTGGAGAAATTCCATGGCAATCTACCAAGACGTTGGCACCACTCATCATCTATCTGGATCTCAAAGCAGAGAGGACTTTCAAATCAACCTTCAACTACTTGTGACCATACGCCCGGACCATGAATTAGATTGATGCGCCCCATCTTTCCTCTCTACGCTGCGGGTACTCAAATTGCCAGTTTTGGTCCCGGATTCTAGGTTGTCGAGCAACCATTTCACATGAGCGATCGTTTCATCTAGTATGCTCAGGCAGTCGCCCAATTTTCTGCGGGGGAGTCGTGGGTTGACTCTTGGAAAATATTCTCCCGCTTGACGGCTACGCATTTTTATCATAAAGAAATAACCTTACTATAGTTCAGTTTGTTCGGGAAGTCGATTTGACTACACTATATAACGTTTAAGTAATTCTCTCGCTAAACATATGTAAGTGTCGATGTTGAGTCGAATATTGTGTCTGCACATTGTTACACATTTAAGGATCTAAGCGAATGCTATTCTTCAAATCAGAATGGGTTTGAGAAATCCAAGGATGCGTGAATTACATTCCAGTATCAGTTGTGGGATGACAGGTTAAGATTTTTTTAACTTCTCTATTGGCTGTATTGGCTGTTCTATATGGGCAACAGGGGATAACCTAGACACTAGATGAACATAAACACAGTCAGAATTATACGGTGACCTTGCAGGTTGAGAAATTCAAGATAGCGACAGAGCACATCAATTCGAAGTGTCCACACTGCCTCGAACGGTGTTTTTCGCACTATTACTAAGAACAGTCACCAAGAACGCACACTACCAAAACCACTGGGTGAACAGGCCATCCATTCATTACATATATAACGTATGGGACGAGAAGATTTGCTTTTTTGAGTGGAGAGGGAATCAATTATTTATTGGTGATCGGGAATCAGATTTGTCTATGTGAGTTTTATATACAGATGAAATTTTTAGAGATATAATATGCAAAAGTTTTGTATAATTGATGAAGCTTTTGCCGCTCGCAAGAATGCTGTGCATGAGATAGGGTACAGGTTAATTCTCGTGGCTGAAGTCTGGATTCATTTACTTGAGCTTGACGTATTTATCTAGCCGACAACAGTTCTTTTCATGAGCATTGGTATTAATGGCAATGAAATGAGTTTCCCGAGGTGGAAGTAGAATTCAGGCAGTAGAGGTTTGGTTCTGCCGCAGACGTTTCAGCATGACTGATACCATATTATACCCAGAAGATTTACGACTTTCCCCTAATTGGATGTGAAGATGTGCAAGATCAAGTGGTGATCGATACCCATGTCCGCTGGATTTCTCATCCTCGTGCATTGCACACAACTATCTTGATATTTTAAATTCTTATTCTTCTCTACAAATAATCCACTGGTATCAGCTACTGTATGCAAGCAATTATGACAATAGATAGCTATGCTCCTCACGCCATCTTATAGACCAATTCCCTTTAGCAAAGCTTGGCTCAACTACTGAGCCTTGCATCAAAGCTTCGCACTTGCGTCTAATGGGTTCCTTCGCGACGTTTTCCTCCCAGCTAACCGACTTTTTGTGCTTTGAACCCTTGGAAGCCTGAGATGGAACGGTTTCTAGAGGCTGGTCAGCAATGAAACCAAAGACAACAGCCCTTCTAGCTGCCCTTCGAACCATCTCCCTTTCCTCGGCCTGCCTCTGGCCATCATTCTTTTTCTGTATATCAGAAGCCGATTCCTCCGTTCTCTCGGCTTTTCTCCTCTCGCCCCCAATACTAAAGTTGACATCTGACTCTGTTTGAGGTGGACGTATCATTGGGCCGGTTCTAGTATCCATAGGCTGAGGAGAGACGTCCTCGCTCGCCGAATCCTCGCTACTTTCCATATCAACCGTTTTCCATTCTGCATCAGCATTCGCCCCTCCAATTGCTCGACTTTTTCGGTTTTTTCTCCTCCCGTAAACCTTCTCAGGGTCAAATCGACTTCCAAATACAATCTCTTCGATTTCATCACATGTAACAATAATACGATGATCACCTTTTACAAAACGATCCTTGGCGCCAGTCTTCTCCAGCCCGGATTCTTTCTCTTGATTTAAAAGTGCCACAATAGCTTGCTCAATCTTTTTGTCCAGTTTTCCTGGTTTTCGATTCCTGCATCTGTCTGAACAGTATTTGACTTCATTATTGGACTTTTTGCTAGCTTTTTTGGTGCCTGTTGAATGCATTAGATAAATATTCAAGGGAATTTTATCATGGTGCTAACTCATGACTCGACCACATGTTAAGCAGTAAGGGACACTTTCTCCTGCTGTTAAGTAGAGAGGTGGAGGAACAGCGGAATGTTTTGACGGGCGCGACCATGAATCCATCCAACTCATATTTGCTGATGTTGATACTATTTTTAGATTCCGGTGGGATTGGAAAAGATGGGTGCAGATTTTAACCTGTGCTGGAATTTTAAGACGGAGGAAGTTCATGTAAAATTGTTTGAGAGTGATGAAAGGAAGTGAGGGAGTGCGTTAACGTTAGTTTAACTTGAGTGTTTTGCAATAATTTGATCATCATTGAGTTCCGAGATCAATGTCATCATCGACTTCGACTTGGAGCCTTGTAAGGTTACGCCACTTGAGCTTCCTGTGGCTTTATGGTGTGGCTTGCACCAAATGACCTCGGCACAACAATGATAGAATTAGAGGTTCCTTTTTCTCTTCTTTCCATGTCACGTCAAATAATGACAATGACAAAACGATTCTCGGCATTGGGGAATGGCCAAAAGCCTTGCTACTTCTTAGTGGGAAGCCAATCGAGTGGAGCTTTGTGCTTATTAACCTTTAGCGAGAAACGAACGAGTGGCTGACCTGGCCAGGAAAAACAGATTTTTATAAGTACAGTAACCTTACAGAGTCCATAGTAATAAATAAATATAAAGGAATCTAAGAATGGTAGTTTTTGATTGAAGTTATATAGGTATGCTATGTTCTGGAATTGGATATATAAGGTTTCTACTAGCCAGTTAGGAGAAGCAGCCAGTGCCAACAGCATTTATTAATGCGGTGGCCTTCTCTTCATTAATAATATGTAGGAAGGTATTATCAGTGTTGATGACATTGACATACCTCAAATGAATGATAACAATAGCGAAGTCAACATGGTTGAGAGGTTGATAGTAACTTGATACACATCTTAGAACTATCTATAACACTAATTTAGTGTCTTGCGGCGAGTTCCGACTTTCTTATCTTCTATTCTGATAAATCCCTTCACCAATGTACTGGAATTCACCATTTACTCCGTACGAAATACCCAACAATGGCTTATCAAAATTATATCCCTCTACTCCTACATCGACTGGGGGTAATGCGTGGGAATCTCTTTCGACCTTCTATATTCATAAATTCATTCTTCTCCATTCGGTCGTTTCCGCCGCTCATACTTTGATACTTAAGCCATGGACTCTCCATAATCATTTAAAGCCAAAAGCTAAACAAAAAGTTGCTACAGCTTCCTTTCCGTATATTCTTACACGCTGAATATATCATTAAACTCGGACAATCAATATGGCCGTCAAGACCTTGGAAGTAAAGTCTATCTCTTTGCCAGGTAATTCCTCTCTCGACTTCGGGGCCGAGATCGACAAAGTCAATCTGGAGAGCCTCAGCCAAGAGGACTTCAAAGCCATTCGCAATGCATTATACAAATACCATGTCGTAGTTCTCAAGAACCAGGCTGGTCTCTCTCCCAAAGCTCAATATGAGCTCACTCGCAGATTCGATCCTACTGCCGGTAAGTTGTGTTTTCTATTGTATAAAGAACCGCATCTAATCATTTACCCAGAAACGTATGGGCATGGCAAAACGCTTGATGCGAAACGATCAGTCCTTCATCCAGATTTGAAAACCATCCCTCATCAAACGCAAGTCCAGGTCATTGGAAACGGATTTTATGAAGAATATGAAGGGTTGAAGAACATTACACTTAAGCACCCTCATCACAAAGTCTTCCACAAAACCGCTGTTCCCGAAGAAGATGATCTTGCATTTACCCGTTTCTACAGATGGCATGTTGATGCTGCTCTTTATGCCCTCAATCCACCAAAAGTAACATCTTTGATGGCTGTTAAGGTTCCTGCCGGCCGTCGGCAAACTCTTCGTTATGATGATGGGACTGGTGAAGAAATGGACGTTCCTCTTGGTACCACCGCTTTCGTCTCTGGTCAAAATATGTACAACCTGTTAAGCGAGGACGATAAGGAGTTCGTTCGCGAAGCAAAAGTAGAATACGCGCCACATCCATATATTTGGATGTCTCCTGCCAAATCTCGCTCTACTGGTCTCGGTATGGTTTCCGATGGAATCGAATTACCTCTGTCCGAACTTCCTCCGGTTGACGAGAAGGATATCAAGATTTTGCCCATGTGTTGGAAGAATCCTGTCACTGGTAATTTGGCACTTCAGATCCATCCTAGCGCCATCAAAGCCATTCATCTTCCGAACGGAGAGGTCATGACTGATTTGAAGGAAGTGAGAGATTTGGTTTATCGCCTCCAACGACCAGCTATCAGTCCTCAATTCGTGTATCCACACGACTGGGTCGAAGGTGACCTGGTCTTGTTCAACAACCAAGGAGTATTACATTCGGTAGTTGGCGCATTCAGTCCCCAGGAGAAGAGACTATTTAGACAATGTAACATGGCTTCTTCCGAGGGAGTTATGGGACCTGATGGCAAGCTCTACTAGGTTTGAGGAATGAGGTGGGGGTTGGTTATTTGATTTTTTTTATCTGTTTTGAAGATAGGTTACGAACTCGGCGTTTTTCTGCGTATCAAAGCCTCGCCATCATCGGGAGGAACTCGGCGTTTGATAACGTAACAAGCGTATACCCCTTTTTGCTTGGTTACAATAAATATAGCAACTTGGCAAGTAATCTTAGATTTTGAATATAAGATTCTTGAAGTTTTTGAATGCACCTGCAGAAGCTACAAGCTACCCACGTAAGTCGCATGAGTTGTCACGGTTTGCCTTTCACATGCTAAATATGATGCGTCATAATTTCACATGCTTTCAGATATTCTGATCTTCAACGAGCACAGCAGATGATGCATTATCATAGATGGGGTTAATAGAGAGATAAGGATCTGATAGGTCTTGTTCGAGGCTTGTTCTGCGTTGAATCTAGCCAGCTCAAGCCAGCTCGTAAACTGCGGAGTACTTGTACTAATTCAGAACAGATTCAAGCAAAGATAAAGTCTCATCTGATTTAATACGGAGTAAGCAGAAACTCGTGGAAGGAATAATATTGCCGATGTTGTTGTGTCGATGAAGAATGCAAGCAAGGCACCACAAAAATATAATATCGGTGATTATCTCGGCTGAAAATAATGATGATAGATTTATTAGCCTTATAAGTAAATAATCCGGCTTTAAATACTTACTTAACGTACTACCGAAGATCTAATGTACACACACGTAGGCCAATCTTCATCAATTATCGGTATAGTCGTGCATTACCATCACATTATTAGGCACTTCAGCTACCACATGATTCCCCCAAGTTTCCCCCAAGTTTCCCCGGGGTGCATTCAGTGTGGGGAAACGCTGTACTCAGCAAGCACAAGCATTTATTAGCGTTGCACGCTACGGCCCAGCTTTCACAAGCCAAGCCTGAAATGAATAATACAGAGAGCATAGTACGGAGTAATAAGATTGAACCCCCTTTTACCCTTTTACACAACCCGCAACCAAACAACAAAGGAATGATTGAGAAGGAGAGAGAACGGACAATTAATTCTTTACATTTCTTCCATACTCCGCTCCCCTTGTATTTTTTGGGGGAGAATCATCACATCAGCTGAGCCTGTTCCTTGTTTCGCAAATTTGAACAAGATCCATTGAAAAGAGGATTGACTCGTGCCCCGTGACAACTCCAACACTGCAACACTGCATGGACCGGCCGCATGGAGATCTGCAGGTAATATAAGATTACGATCGATTACCACTGCATCAATACTAAAGCAATATAAAATAATATAAGATTACCTACGTGTAGTAGACAATCAGAACGACAAAACTTATTCTTTTCAATTTGCTTTCGTTTTATTTCGTCTCTAACCTTATGACTACGGATATATCTCCGCAACCAGATCGAAGGCTTTGTTTGTGAAGGTCACTTTGGACAGTACGCGTCGGATGGCGGGCTGGGAGAAGGATGGTGTTGTTCGAATACCTTCAGAAGACTCCACAGTTTTGTGCGGTTGAGAACAATACTATCGATGGATCTGCCAACATTGATGATTATAAATATGAGAGAGAGAAAGTTTCGGAACTCTCGGTGGGCTTATTGGGATCGGCCACGAGGATTTTGAGAACCGGAGCCGATGTCCTCAACAATAAGATACGACAAGCCCGAGATGGGCTGACAGAGGAAGAAAGGCTAGCCTTGCGCAAGAAGGAAGAGAGAATGCAAATCTTGAATCTAAGGTTGAAGAACGCCGAAACGGTAGAAGATTGGAGGGCCGCCGCGAAGGAATTAGATATACTCGAGGATAACGAAGCATGGAAACTCGATTCATCGTCGGCAGATTTCGACGCAACGTTAATCGAAGCAAGGACCATACAAATGGACACGGCGAGGATTGATTGTGATATCAAGAAGATGCTTGCCTTGGTGCGCACAACCTTGTCGAGAGATCTAGGAGGCATGGGTAACATCAGGTTGTACAAGCATAGCCACATCGGAACGAAGGTTATCATAGAGAGGTATATTGAGTCGACTTTGGATACGATACGCGCGCTGGTGGAGACTAGCAAATACGCATTACCGGTTGGATTGGAAACGAAGGATATACTAGAGCAGGTTGTGTATGCTAGACAGGCATTTGGGAGAAGTGCGTTGCTATTGAGCGGGGGAGGAACTTTTGGAATGAATCACGTCGGGGTGTTGAAAGCTCTTTTCGACGCTCGTCTGCTGCCAAGAATCATATCGGGTGCTTCTGCAGGCAGTATCGTTTGTGCCGTTCTGTGTACAAGAACTGATGAAGAGATCCCGGACGTATTGAAAAGTTTCCCCCATGGAGATCTTGCAGTGTTTGAAGAAATTGGCAATGAGGATGGGGTTCTGGATAGGCTACGACGCTTGTTGACCGAAGGGGCGTGGATAGATATCAAGCATTTGACGAGAGTCATGCGGGAACTTTTGGGTGATATGACATTTCAAGAGGCGTACAATCGCTCTCGTCGCATTCTTAACATCTGTGTATCGTCCGCCTCGGTATACGAGTTACCTCGACTGCTCAACTATATTACTGCACCGAATGTCATGATTTGGTCGGCTGTAGCTGCATCATGTTCAGTGCCCTTACTATTTTCTGCAGCAGAATTACTCGTGAAGAATCCTCTCACAGGAGAGAAATCATCTTGGGATCCTACACCTCAGCGGTGGATTGATGGAAGTGTGGATAACGATCTTCCGATGACTCGTTTGGCGGAAATGTTCAATGTCAATCATTTCATCGTTTCTCAAGTCAATCCTCATGTCATTCCATTTATCACCAAGGAGGAGGAGGAGATTAAAGAAGCTGTAATGAAAGAGGGTGATGGGGGACCAGGCTGGGTTTACAACTTAACAAAACTGGCAAAGGCTGAAGCTCTGCATCGCATGCAAGTTTTGGCTGAACTAGGAGTATTTCCAAATCTGGTCACTAAATGCAAGTCTATTCTGAGTCAAAAATATTCTGGAGATATCACAATCCTCCCAGAAATCAGCTACAAGGACTTTCCCAGGATACTGAAGAATCCGACGTCGGAGTTCATGGTTCAGGCTTGTTTGGCGGGAGAGAGAGCCACTTGGCCAAAATTGAGTCGCGTGTGGAATCATTGCGCTGTCGAGCTGGAGTTAGATGCTGCTGTGCAGCAATTAAGGGCAAGGGTAGTTTTCAGTCCTAGTGAGGTGAATTTGAGGCGATTGACAACTGGTGATGATTCCCGAAAGTCTACAAGAATAATGGGAAGACAGAGGACTGATAGTGGAAATTTATTGCTGATGTCGCGGGATGGAGATGGTGAATTTTCAGAGCAGATTAGGGAACGCAGAAGCCCATCTAGCCTACCACTAAGAACAACGGCATCGGTATTAGACATTTCACAACGCCAACAGCCTTGCCTTTATATTGAGCCTCGATCTTCTCAGACTACTCCACAGCGTACGCCACGACTCGGACGAGAAAATGAGATGTTTCGCTTCCCTGTTCTTGCGAAAGACTTATTTCAAGCCAAGAGCCAAATTCCTGAAGTCTCATCCGCCGGAGAAACAACACTTTCACCTCCGAGCTCCGACGTTGATGTTGAATCACAAACCGATGAAAGCAGTACGGAACTCGAGACCGAGGAAGCTTTATATGGCATAGCAAACACCCGCGAGAGGCAGCTTGATTTATTTTCTAGGAATCAACCCGTTACTGCAGGAAGGGATCGGGTTCTTGCTACATCCCCCTCATTCGTAAGGAATGGACCTGAATTCACGTATTCAGCCGCGGCCATTTTACCAATTGAGAAGAGACCGAGAGGAGAAAGAAAGAGTGTAACCGAACCGAATAGTCCAGAGTTAAACTACAAGAGATTATTCCATCAGTGGAAGGAAGACGATTTGAGAGATGCTGCATAGATGGCGAGGGCATATGATACCATTCTCCGCGCAAACTAGCGTGGTGTTAATTTAAGTTTGAATTTGTTACGAATGATTGGATGAACAATGATTGGAATTTATGCATGGAATTGGGGTAAACGGAGTCTCTCTATAGACCAGCAGAGGTCTGTCTCAATTATTGAGTAGTGATGATGCACTGGATTGGCGTTTTTATATTCTTTGCATCAAGAGCGATTGGTTAGAAAGCATGGTTGGATTGTCTATTTAGAAAGAGCTAGCACAAGAGGTTGATTATAAACTTCCCGGAATCATGAATGAATACGTACATATACATAATCGTACGTTGGAGATCAGTATATTTAATATCTTGGTATAAATCGACCAAGTTTACCTACGTTTAGAAGATTGTGCTTACAATGTATTCTCTGGCTACCTACTCTAGTACCTCGGCTACAACAACCACAAGCTTATTGCATTACGTAACCGCTGACTATATATATGAACCACCCCACTACTAATAAATTTATGGTGGGGTGTTTCGTTTCATCATAAGGGAGTCAAGGGCTGAGTGTCAGTCCCTACACACAACAACAATCCAGCCCATTAGAATTACAATCTTTTGTTCCGGTATTCGAGAGGAGACATGGATTTCTATGCAACTTCTCAATACCCTGAGGGGGTCATCAGCTTCCTCGACACTGATCTTTACAAATTAACTATGCAATGCGCCGTCTTGAAATACTTCCCCAGCGTGCAAGTAACATACGCGTTCAAGAATAGAACGCCGGAGAAGAAGTTATCAAGAGCTGCATTTCGTTGGTTACAGCTTCAAATTAGTAGTACGTGCTCACCATTTCATTGTCAATTCAGAAAAAAGCTGACGAACATTAGAGCTGGGAAATATTGCGCTCAAGGATGAAGAATTCCGATTCCTTCAAAATACCTGCACGTACCTAAATCAACCTTACCTCAACTTCTTGAAGGAGTTCCGACTTGATCCGCGAAATCAAATCGAGGCTAGCTTTGTGGCAGATGACAATAAGGGGAAAGATGAGGATTTGGGAGAAATTAATTTAGTGGTCAAGGGTTTATGGGTTGACACTATCTTGTACGAAATTCCACTGTTGGCTTTGACCAGCGAAGCGTACTTTCGATTTATGGATACGGACTGGACATATGAGGGACAAGAAGAGAAGGCATACGAGAAGGGAATATCGCTTCTGGAGGCCGGGTGCATTGTATCGGAGTTTGGAACAAGAAGAAGAAGAGATTATCACACTCAAGCTCTTGTATTTCGCGGGTTGGTTAAGGCTAAGAAGGTCGGAGAAGAACGAGCATTGCCTGGAAATATTTCGGGTACTAGTAATGTTCATTTGGCTATGCGATTTGGAATTCCTCCCATAGGAACTGTCGCACATGAATGGTTCATGGGAGTCGCGGCTATTACGGATAACTATAGAACTGCCACGGCTACTGCGTTGGATTATTGGGTTGGATGTTTTGGGCAGGGTGTTTTGGGTATTGCTCTTACGGATACTTTTGGTACTAAAGACTTTCTCCGGGTCTTTTCTCAAAAAATCCCATCCTTCACAACCGCTACTTCAGGAGCTGCTGCTACGTTACCATCGGCTGACACGCTCACAGCTGAGGGAACAAGTAGTACTAAGCCACCTTTAAATGCCGCGGAACACAAAGCAAACGGAGATATCCCAACGTTTGCACAAGCCTTCACTGGTGTTCGACAAGATTCAGGTGATCCAGCAAGCTTTGTGAAAAAGATGCGTCAGTTTTATGATGAGCAGGGCATCAAGGAAAAGAAAACGATTGTCTTTTCTGATTCATTAGACGTTGAGCTTTGCAAAAAGTACAAGAAAATAGCCGAAGAATCAGGGTTTCAACCTACATTTGGTGTGGGTACATTCTTCACGAATGATTTCGTTCATCAATCTACAGGCAAAAAGTCGACGCCGTTGAATATCGTCATCAAATTAAGTTCTGCCAATGGTAAACCGGCTATCAAGATTAGTGATAATATTGGGAAGAATATGGGCGATGAAAGTACAGTTCTGAGGGTTAAGAAGGACTTGGGTTATGTGGAAGAGGAGTGGCAGGGAGGTGATGAGACAACGAGATGGGGAAAGGAAGGAGAGGATGTTGTGAAGCAATGAAAGGTGATGTGCATATTAAGCCATGACATATTATGATTGTGCTAATGGGCAGTGGAAAATATACCATCGGTATAGATGGCGTTTGTTGGGTGGCATTTTATTTTTATTTTTACTTTGGGATATCAAAGCACCTTTGGGGTAGAGAAGTTGATTGTTAATGAATGCTATAGATTAGTGGATGTGCTCTAATGAGAAATGATTAGGATACCAAAAATCCTTACTACTCGCTCCCACAAAGCTCTAGCCACTTATAACTATTTGGGGAAGAGATTTGTCTTGGGAAATAGTCATTGATATAATTGTCTAGTGGTAGAGAAATTTTGAAACTCTGTCCCCCTGGTTTCGATCTTCTAGGGAAGCAAACTTAATCATAACTTTCCTTCTCGATTTTTACCCGATAGGACACATCTGACCTAACTAATCTAATTTCACAATTCTTAACGCTCTTTCTCTCTCACTCCCTCTCTCTTTCCTCGAACCTACACAATGGATCTTTCAATTATCATCTTATTTTCTTTTGTATCTGATTAGAATTCAAATTTGCTTGTATCCTCTATTCTTTCTTAATGTTTTTTTTAGATCAGTATCTAGATAATATAAGATTTTACTTTAGCTGTTTTATAAATTTAAGTGTAATTATAGATGTAAATATACAATTTTATTCAAGTTATTCGTTTTGGTTTTACTGTAATCTTATAGCGATTTCAATATTAATTATAAAAATCAAAATAGAGAAAGAAAGAAGAGATCTGGAAATGAAATCTGGATCTCGGAATAATTATTCTTTTATAGAAAATATTATATACTACATGGGAGATTCAAGTAAAAGTTTGTAATTATATGCTTAGAAGAAATTTTTACTGTGAGATATGTACTTTGATACTTTGATATATGACGAGGAAAGTCATGGTGGTTTAGATATCCAGGACTCTAGGTTGACTATTAAGAATTGTTTTATCCCTTTCTTGACTGCGGTGGTTTTGGCGTCGAGCGTTGAGGTGAGTTTGGAGATGTGCGGAGATTCTCGTCTCTAGAGCTTTTTTCTTCGAAGATGGAGATGGGTTTTGTCTGATGCTTTGGAATGCATGGTGTGTAGGATTTTGGACGTGCTGTGTATTTAGATTCTAGAGGTGGTTTTGTTACTAGGATGTTTTTGGGGATCATTAGTGTAGATTTGGTGATTGTTTTGAGTTGGGGAACTTTGGGGAGGGGGAAGAAAGAGATATATTGTGTAGCTTTGCTTGTGGTTGTGCTTGTGGTTGTGCTTGTCGTAAGTCTTAGATTTCGAGTGGAACATTGAAAGATGTCCTTTGGGCCTTTTGAGATGGTAGGATCACTGCATTTGAATGAACTTGAGTGGTTTTGTTTATGACTGGATTTTGTGGTATCTAAAACGGATTCAGTTACTCACTCTCCTTGTTCAATGTGGAATATTATATAGTTATCGACTCGGGCAAGCACGAAAATTAAGCGAAATCCCTGGAATTCGGGAAATTGGAAGGGTTGAGACTTGAACATGATCTCGATGTGCTTCTTCTGTCTCTTGATCTGATCTGTTGTGTTCTGCGTGGATTCTCCACTTTGAATTCATGGCAAATGAAAGCGGGAGGTGAGCTAGCTGGTTTCTTCACTCAAACACACTTTGTAACTCTCTGGGATCATCTATCTACTCGTCGACTTGTCTGTTTATTACTGGATTGTGGGGAGAGTTATCATTGCATTTGTGGTGATATTTCTACATTGGTGATACTACTCGTATAATACTATTATAGGATATTGATTGATTGTAATTATCTACAAAGAAGAAGAAGTCTTATTTATATTGAAGAGGGAGGGGCTAGAACCAACTAGCCGTACGGCTCCCTTTGTATACGGGTCTCCTTTCAAGGTGAATCACATGATGTACCAACACTTATAATAATCTTATTAGATTAATAATAAAATAATATCAAGATTATAAAATTGTTTATCTTTTTCATTACCGCTGTTATTGTTACTGTCTTTACTGCTCTCAATAAATCTTTTTCAATGATTCATTCTGGATCAAATCTCATATACAAACTTCCTTTCCTGTTGACTTAATTCCTATCCTTCGAATATAAAATACCGAATACGCCATTGATTGCCTCGCCTCGCTGTGCTTTGCCTAGGATATACAGAGTAGAGTTTCCTCAAAAAAACACTTTTGATAAAATTCAATTATTTTCATTTTCTTAACTTCTTTCCTTTTCATGCTTCTTCATTCACAATCTATTAGATGTTCTTATAACTCCAAATTCTCGCTCTCATATCACCCGAACCAGTAGCGAAAGAACCTCCTGAAGGACTTGGTGCCACTGAAATAACAGAATTCTTATGACCTTGTAACATGAGTTGAGTGTTACCAGTTCTTGGATCCCAGAATTGAACACCCCTATCTTTTGATCCGGAAAGAACCCAAGCTCCATCTGGAGTGAGAGCAACGGAAAGAACAAAGTCCTATTATTTTGATTAGTATGAATATCAAATATGAACATGGAAGAAATCTCACCTTGTGTCCTTCAAATGTACGTAAACACCTTCCACCCTTTGGACCTGTGTTTGGATGACCACCTCTTGGTGCAACAAGCTCCCACATCTTAATAGTCTTATCCAAACTTCCCGAAACAAGATCTTTTCCATTTGGTGCAAATGCAACAGAATAAACACTGTCCTTGTGACCGTCTGGACCTTCAAGTCTTTCAACCAAGTATCCAGTAGCAGCATCCCAAACACGAACGCTCTTATCAAGAGAACCAGCAGCGACGTACTTGGTATCGGGTGAAATAGCGACAGTGGTAACACCATCTTCAATGCTAAGAGTCAAAATATTTTGACTAGCCTCAATGTCCCAAAGACGAACAGTACGATCACCACTCCCAGAAGCAATGGTACGACCGTCACGAGCGAAATCTAATGAATAAATATCTTGCTCATGTCCTGAGAAAGTGTTTCTAATTGTACGTGTAGCAATGTCCCAGACCTGATGATAATTAGCACGTGAAAAATTATAAGAGGGGAAAAACGTACTCGGATCAATTTATCCTCAGCACCAGTAGCGAGATATCTTCCATCAGGACTAAAGCACACGCTTCTGATGTAAAGATCACCAACAGAATCAACAGAGTCATCTTGAAGGACACAAACTTTATTTCCGGTGACAACATCATAGATTTGAGCAGATCTATTGCAACCAGTGGCGACAAATTTTCCATCATGACTGAAACGAACACAACAAACAACAGATTCGTGAATGAGAGTATGAACAAGATCAACGTCGAGAATCTTTGGAACATCTGGGTTGAAAATTGCAAACCAATCGGGTTCTACTTTCTTATATTGTGGTGGTAGGCGTTCAAGGTCCAATTCTGCCAAAGCGTTTCCCACATTACCCACAGGGTATTGCGGTCCCCGAGGGATACCGGATAATGGGTGACCAACTTGTGGTGATTGTCTAGGATCATTATTGTATGGTAACTGTTGTGGCATTTGAGGAGTCGCTGGGCCACCAGGGCCACGGTTTTGACGAGGGCCACCTTTGCCAGGACCAGGAGAAGCGGTTGATTGAGGAGGTTGAGCACCATATGGACCATTTTGTGGTGGACCTTGTGGGGGGTAACCACCTTGGAAAGGACCTTGCTGACTCGGTGGTGGTCCTTGAAGTGTTGGTTGTGGTTGTGGCATAGCGTGTGGTGGTAGTGGACCTTGCGCATCTTGTTGTTGTGGTGGAGGAGCAAGACCTGGACCTCCTTGAGAAGCTTGACCAGCCATTATACCCCCAAAAAGGTTACTTGGACCATGACCGATAGCTGGTGGTGCTTGAGATGGAGCAGCATGTTGTGGCGGACCACCCATGGCAGGTGGACGCGATGGACCTCCCCTGGCCTCTAGTTCGCGGTGAAGTCGTGAAATCTCTTCGTCATATCTTTAAATGTTAGCGAAATTGATATTGCCTGATATGAATTAATAACCCTACTTTTGCTTCAAAGCCAGATGTGTTTGTTCCATTTGATAAACTTTCTCTCTAACCATTTGCATTTCTTGTATTTGCTGTGCAACTAAGAAAGACATGTTAGCATCGCGCTGGCTCTAAGGTCATGATGACGGCGAAAGTGAATCTTGACAGAATTCCTCCCACACTCAGCCATTGACCATCCTCCATCAACCTCCAACCACCTTGCTGTGCGACTCACTATTATGCTCATATTCCCCACTTGCTCGTTGTTGAGTTTCGAATTCAGCGCGAATGCCATCCAACAGCTCATTCAATCGAGCGCTACCTGGGGCGGGACCCAAACCGCGATGATTGTACATGGACATTGTGTATAGAGGGAGCTTTGATGTCGTATTAAAACTGTGTTGTTGATATTCCTTCTGATGGTCAGCAAGCTTAAATTGGAAGGTTGAGTATATCAGCCTCTTTTGAGGTAAGCAATTTTCTTGCGTTGCGCCAAGGTAAAGCAAAATAAAGTTGAAAGGAAAGAAGGATATAAGGTTAGAGAAGGTTAATGGAAAATTTACTTATGATTGTGCGCCGCCGCAGTTTGCTTATAAGTTTGCAGTCCGTGATTTGAAGTGTGAAGTAGGTTATGAGGTATGCGCGCTTGGAACTTTTTTTCGGACAACCAGTCAATTCTGTCGCAACACCTATTTCAACGATGCCAAGTGAATACTAAATTAAAAAGCTTATTGATCGCATTCGGCAATTAAGAATTTGTTGATAAGAATGACTTGACAGTGATTGAAAAGTTATCATGTATGTGCGCCGGTGGTGTTTGGATAAGAGATGTAATAAGTTGATATTGTTGATGTGGTGGATTGAGTTGAGGTTGGTGGTTCGTGTACGGCAAGATGCGTGTAGTGTAGTGAGTGAGTGTATGTAGTGTGGTGCGGTGCGGGTGTGGGTGGAGGTCAGAAGGAATGATGAATCGATCTTCTTTCGCTTCACTCTCGGATTCAGTTAGTAGTACCGTTAGTGGTAGCAGTAGTAGCACTAGTAGTAGTGGTAATGGTAGCACTTAGTTGGAAGAAGAAGAAGCAGAAGAAGCAGAAGAAGCAGAAGAAGCAGAAGAAGAACTAAATCTCCAGCTGTACTTGAAAAAGTAAGACGATCAGAGCAAGTGGATTTTAGTTCAAAGCACAGAAGAAAGCGATGGTTGATTTTGGGGATGTTGAAGGAGGTAGAAAGTAAGTTGTCGAAACCGGAGAAACGGTAAATGACAAAATGGTAAAGAACGGCGTATAAACCCTCCTTCTTTTTTCCCTTTAGCTGGGGCTTAGGTTTTCTTTGCCTTCTCCTCTTTTTCTCATTTTTACTTGAGAAATTGATCTTGTAACGAATCAAAATGCGTCGACGCACAAAATGTGGCTAGATCATGTGATGAGTGTCTAAGCTCACCTAACCCATATGCTGGAAAGACACACTAACTTTAAACCTGGTCTCTCATGTTGGTCCGTCATTAGATCCCGGTCAAATGTGGATACAGGGATCACTGACAAGGATAAAAGTGGGTACAAACTCAAAAGTGCAGGTGGATATGCTCTCGCTTCTTTCTCTTTTTCGTCCAAGGTCAATTCTTGGACCATTACCTAGGTATTGAGATCTTCCGCAAAGAATCCAAAAGATCCTTGATTGGGAAATGAGATGAGATATAATGAAAGGGAATACTACCTAATTGATCCTAGTTATTCTTCTTATCAATTTGTTCTTTATGAAAATTAGAGGGAATTTCGAAAGTGACACCGGTCTCATCTTCATCATTGAAGCAAACAGAATTCCTACTGTTTCCAAACAGTTGATATCAAGGCAACAATACCTACCTAGTTGTCTGACTCGTCATCAATCAAATGCGAGTTCATCAAACAAGTATAACAACAATTCTCTAACCCAAATAGGATTCTCACCACCTCAATATTAAGTTTGCTGAATCATTTTAGCATTCCAGCTAGCCACATGTAACGGACACCATAACAGCTTCAATTGCTTGCATACGCCACCGAGGTACTTAACTACTAGACAGGTTCAGCATCTCTTTTCTCCATGCACAATCAACACGTTATACTTGATGAGGTATAAACAGTTCTCGGAATGAGCAAGACGTTATCGTCAAGAATTACAATCAAGGAAGATACTAATAAATACCAGTTTCAACTTCTCATCCATCCATCATGGATAAGCTAAAGTTGAGATTAGATTAGGCAACACTGACCACTTTGAATATCCACCAACGTTGGGGAACTCAAAATACCTGTACGTGAAGTTGAATTGAGTTTGCGTCAACAACGACTCAACATCACTGACGATCAACTGATTTGCCATCCCATCATTAAGGGTTTTCCTTATATACCGGTGTATCAAGATAGACTATAGATCAACAAAACTACTCGGTCAAAGCGCTTCGAAATTCATTATCGATAATCATCTAAAAGAACATTAGAGAAGCGCTCGAACCGCCCAGACTTTATCTCCATACAGTACTTCTCCAACAAACAAACAAACCTAGTTCTCGGGTGCATATATACTGCGTAGCCATACCAGTCATCGGGAAAAAAGAACACCAAACATGGCTAGTAATGCAAGAGATAATATGTGCATCGAACCGGATAACACATGCGTAGCATACGGAGTAATCATTAAAGTTTGATCGGCCCCAGAATCATTTCTCAACCGAAAATAACCGATCACGGATATGATGAAGGGAAGAAGAATTTGTGAGGAGGTGGGAAATAGGGGTTCGGGATTGGGGGGTTTCAGATGCCGTGATTTAAACAAGTAGGGTAGAGTTCTAGAAGGGGCGGGCTGTGGATGTGTTATTGTTGATATCACCCATATACTATTTATCACCTTATTCAAATATCTGGAGTCAAGATAATGTGTACAAAAAGAACTATAGAGTAATTAGAACAGGATTCTAAGATTCGTAGGTATATCAACGACACATATTTGATATTTGATATTTGATATTTGACACTAACCTACCTATCGAAGAAATTACATTCCTTGAATTAAAAATTCTACAACCCATATATTCCAGTATCAATCAATCAATCAACCATATCACGACAGGTAGGTAGTTAGATGGCTAGATAGGTCGATAGGTCGATAGGTCGATAGGTCGATAGGTCGATAGGTCGATAGGTCGATAGGTATTGATTGATTATATCTATCATGAAAACTTTAGATGATGAGAGGATGATGGATGGGATGAGGACTAAGATAGAATGTGACAAGATGAAGAATGAGATGAGGATTAAGATAGAATGTGACAAGACGAAGAAGATGATGAGATGAGATAGAAATATTTCAACCGTCAATCTCACAATCTGATCATCCACGGAGATAAATTCTACAATAAAGAAACCGATAAACCAATGACCGTAAATCGCTTAAAGAAATATCTCCGTACCCGAACACGAGATTTGGATTGGAGATCTTCTGCGGAATTCGGAGTGCGAGGGACTGATATTTCAGGTGAGCTGATTTCAAGAATTCGGAATGGAACATTGCCGGGGAGGTGGATGGCATAGGAGGGGATGGGAAGGGAAGAGCGGATGTTAATGTTAGGGACATGGTAGGCGGCAGGTGGTAGGTTCAAAGCTTTGGGTGTATAGAGGAGTCAGCAGGTGGTAGGTTCAAAGCTCTGGTTTATAGAGTAGTCAGTCACATAGCCATTTATACCAATGATGAATCTCGGTCTGCCTGGTTCTTTTGTACCTATAGCTTACCTGCTTACCTAGGTAGACAGGTAGATATGATAGATAGCTCTAACCTTCCAGATATCAAGCAGATATCAAGCAGCTCATAAATCTCCTCACTCACCAATCTCCTCACTCACCAATCTCCTCACTCACCAATCTCCTCACTCACCAATCTCCTCACTCTCACCCTCGCTCATAAACTCGAATGTCATTCTAATCATTCCCATAGACGAAAGATTCTCATCTTTCTCGTAAGAGATTCATTTAAGAAATTCAATTGTGGAGCCTTTGGAGACGGAAAGAGTAGGCTAATTTTATCAGATCGAATGAAAAATGTTCTTGATATCTTTGGATTCGTCGGGTGTTCGGAATGGATTGATAGCTTATACCTATTGTGTAGATAAAACTTCTAAAAGAATTCTAGTCAGTCTTTTTCTTCTTTTGGCATCCCCTTAGATCTTAGTTTCTTTTTATCCCATTTCCCATAACGTTATCGATCGATTGTTTGTTCTATTGATACAATACGTACTAATACAATCATCGGTGGCTCGGAAAGAAAAAAAGAGGGTCTATCGATTGGAGAAAATTGTTGAAATATATACAATATCAGTCTCCAGCTTTACTCCATTCTCTCCAAACTTCCGATTGTCGCATTAAATCATACCGCCACTCTCCTTTTTGTGCTATCCTCTCCCTCTCTCCCTCTCTCCCTCTCTCACCAAGTCTTTCTTTTATTTCAATTTGTGCAATTGCTTTACTCAGGTAAAACATAAAACAACAACATTCCAATTCACCTCAAAGGAAAAATAGAATCCATTAATTTGGCTTTCTCTTGATCCCATCTCCTCTATCCATCATCCTTCGAATAGCTTCACCAACCAAGACAACTGTCAACACCTCTACGACAAACGATAATTGCTTCCATACGAGAAGAGACATCTCGCTGAGATTGAACCATCAATATGGATATCGCTTTAGAACTTACCGATAAATACTTCTTCGATCATTTCTATTCAGCCTTACTCCCTGCGAAATCTACATTGTTGAATGCGATTGGGGAACAAATCAATGGTACAACTCTCAATGCGAAAACAGCTTCAACATGGCAATATCATCCTTCGAATTCTTTTTTGCAATTCGAACCTACCGATGCTGCATATACAAGTCAATGGGATAGAGATAATATCTATCGACAAGCTTTCTCATTGTTCTTAATTACTTGGTATGTTTATTCCTTTCGACGGGAATCCAAAATGTCTATTACATATCAAATACTAACTGTTAAATAGGATCGCAGGTGCAGCCATCTACTTTACAATCTCTACTCTATCCTACATCTTCGTTTTCGACAAAACTACCTTTCAACATCCTAAATTCCTTAAAAATCAAATTCGCATGGAAATCTCCCAAGCTTGCAATAGCATGCCATTAATGTCTATCCTCACCACACCCTTCTTCCTCGCAGAAGTAAGAGGTTACTCCAAACTTTACGACCTCACATCTGAAGGGCCTGGTTCATGGTATAATTGGTTTCAATTCCCACTCTTCCTACTCTTCACCGATTGCTTCGTCTACTTCATCCATCGAGGTCTTCATCATCCTTCCGTCTACAAAACTCTCCACAAACCACATCATAAATGGATTATGCCAACTCCATACGCCTCAATTGCTTTCCATCCCGTTGATGGTTGGATGCAATCACTTCCTTACCACGTCTTCCCTTTCATTTTCCCACTTCAGAAGTTCGCCTACTTGGGTCTTTTCTTCTTTGTTCAGGTCTGGACGGTTTTTATTCATGATGGTGAATATGTAGCCAATTCTCCTATTCTTAATGGAGCGGCTTGTCATACTATGCATCATCTTTATTTTAACTATAATTATGGTCAATATACAACATTGTGGGATCGTCTAGGAGGTAGTTACAGAAAACCTAACGAGGAACTTTTCAGAAGGGAAAGTAAGATGGGTCAAAAAGAATGGGAGAGACAAGTTGCGGAAATGGAAAAACAAGTTTTAGAGGCTGAGGGAGTGGATGATAGAGTTTATGATACCGAGGAGAAGAAAAAGAATTAGATGAGGTACGAGGTATGAGGATGATTAATTTGGTGTATTCTTGGAGATGTTCTGGACGGTCATTGGATGGAGTTAATTGAGTTGAGATGGAGTGGGTTGTATATATCGCATGAATGGAATGGAATGGTATGGCACCGAATGCAAATTCATGTCAGTTTGAAAATGACGGGTGGCTTGAAATGGATTAATACGAAGATAGATGGATGTACATGATCTGCATATAGCGTTTACCTATTTACTCACTTTGTAGTCTTACCTATTACGATCATCACGGTGTATATAGATTAGATATACATATTAATATAAATAATAGATCGCTAGATCGATAGATCAATAACCAAAAAAGATTATGAATAAAGAATAAAAGAAAATTTTTGTCAATAATTTTCATCTATTAAATATTTTTTCTTTTAGTATATATAGATATTATAGATAGATTCTAATCAGAGGATTCAATTGCTAGATTTGAGGGATTAAACTATTATACGGCCAACCGGATAACAAGTATCTATCTAGTCTAGCTAGATAGATAGATACAGAGTACATCAAATCGATTTAACAACAAGAACAACAGACAAAACCCAATTCATAAATCATCACTTTCATTTGATTGCTTGCTATCAATCCTATAACGTTCCTCTTTTGATCTTATTGATCCCATTCCATCCATTCCTATCCCCTCAATCCCATACCATGGATCCCAAAATCTATTTTTTATTTCTTTCTTTTTTTATTTCTTTCATTCTTCTCATTCTCATTTCCTCTCTCCTTCAACCATCTTCTCATCTATTTCCCATTGTCCTTTCTTTCAGTCTTCACAATTCAATTTCGAAACAAATCCGAAGGAAATGAAGAAATGGAGACATCAAATTAGGAAAAGAAGGCTTCTATCCCCTTCATCGAAAAATCGAAAGACCTTCTCACAACCTATCTAAGCAAGATGCCAACAATCAGTCAAAAGGAACAAGCGAACATTTTCTGTTTTATGCTGATGATTTCCATTCCATCCATCTTAATTTTTTTCAAGTTTCTGAAATAGAGATGAAGTATAAAAGAGGAAATGGAATAGAGAAGTAGAAAAGGATAAAGTAGAGAGGAAGAGAGATCAAATAGGGAAACTACTTTTGTTGAGGAGGAGCTCTAGCAAAGGTAACACCCTTAGAAATGTTACCCTTGAGACCTTCCACACAGGCAGCCAAGAGTTTCTTCTCGGCATCGTTAATGTTGGTGAGTGGGTTTTGAGCTTTATCAGCACCGTTGGTCTATTTCACCGTCAGTTTCCATAACCCAATTTAAAAGGAATGAAAGGCAAGATAAACGTACGCCAAGTTCAACAGGAACAGAGAAGAAATCAAGACCAGTCTCCTTAGCAATAGCCTCACCACCTGGTACACCTGGAAGGTAGATGAATGTTGGCTCAACAATACCCTTCTCACCGTTCAAGGCCTTGAGAACCTTTTCGGCGAAACTAATTTTTGTCAATACGAATTGTCATATAGATATTTTAAAACATACCGGAAACCAGCATAAGCCATAGAAAGAGTAGCTGAACCAGCTCCATCCTTAGCTTTAACAACTTCATCACCACCAAATTGGACTCTCTTAATCAAAGCTTCCAATTTATCAGATGGGATTTCAACACTTGGTTTAGCTTGACTGAAGAGAGGAACAATAGTCTCTCCAGAGTGACCACCAATAACTGGGATTGTCAGTTCTTGAGGATTTGCCTTTCCAACAATCTCAGCAACGAATGTTTCAGCTCTAACAACATCAAGAGTAGTAACACCGAAAAGACGTTGAGCATCAAAGACTCCCTTAGCCTTAAGAACCTCGGCGGCGATTGGGACTGTAGAGTTAACTGGGTTGGAGATGATGAGGATATAAGCTTTTGGAGCGACATCGGCAATGATCTCGATGAGTCCCTTGACGATACCAGCATTGATATTGAAGAGATCATCACGAGTCATTCCTGGTTTACGAGGAATACCTGCTGGAATAACGATAATATCGGCGTTCTTGAATGCCAACTTTGCACCATCATCTTTTGGCAAGTATCCGGTGATTTTCTATGGAGATAACATAGGTTAGCCATTGCGCATCTTTTATTCCCTCTATACCGCTTCTACAACTCATCCTTATCCTTATCCCTTCAGATTGTATACGTACAGCTGGGCTTGAGATATGCGAAAGATCAGCGGCAACACCGGGAGTGTTCACGACATCGTAAAGAGCCAGTTCCGTAATGAGAGAAGAGGTCTTGAGGAGAAGGGACAATGGCTATAGATATGGCCATAACAAATTAGCAATCTCTTCATTAAACTCGTCCGCGAAACTAAATCAAGAAAATCAAACTCACCTGTCCGATTCCTCCAGAAGCACCAGCGACAACTAACCCTCAAATCAGTTTCTTTTCCAATGTCAATCTTGCATATTAAGATACCTACCAGCTTTGAAACCCATTTTGAGATGTGTTGAGATGTGTAGATGTCGATGAAGTGTAGAAAAAGGTATTTGTGTTTAGATATTGAGGTATTGAGATGTCGAGGTATCGAGGTATGTTTTCAGGAGTGATTATTTAGACGGTAGGTTTCTGCGAGATCAATAATTAGTATGCTTTGTTACTTAAAATAATCAGCTCATACCCCGCATCACTCATCACTCATCACTCATCACCCACCACCCATCCAATTTAACCCAACTCGCAACTTCCCTCTAACCCAACACAACAAATTGGGACCCTCTCAACAATCCATCTCACCCAGTCATATATCTCTTTTCTGATCATTCATCACTTTCTCCCTTTGATATCTCCATCTTATTCAAGTAAAAATAAACATACCGTGTATAAATAGCGTTTCTATCAAAGCCAAAATCAAATTTTCAATTTCTATTTCTAAATCCAAAACAAACAGCGGACTTGTCAATCTTTTTATCCCTTCAGTCGGTGTAGTCTACTAGAAGCTTAAAAAGGGGTCAAGAGGTCAGAAGCTCAAACCAAAATCTGGTTGTTTTGCTGATCGCTTTGGCTTACTTCACTTCTTACTTGGAGGGGTAGAAACAGCGGGGCAAAAGCAAAGTTATCATAGAATCCTCCCTTTTCATTTGTTCGATTGGAAATCTATGCGGGCTGTACAGTGTAGAGAAACTCGGGTCTTACCTTTTTGTCTCATTTGAGAAGAGCCGAGCATGAGTGTTACACCTGGGCAGGCGTGCGTTTCTTGGTAGACTTGGGTAAATTTGGTTGGTCGGGGTAAACACGCGTAAAGTAATATAATATGGATGAGTGGAGGAGCACACCTTATCGATTGTGAATCTTTGAACAACTAGACTTCAAGAGGATGGATATTGATTCTTGTAGGGCACATCGAAAACACGTAACCTTGGCTCAGTCTAAGGAAATAAGTAATGTAGCATACAATGGTCCGTCCCATGGCCCAGGTACAACATAATATATTCCCCTCGGGTTCGGAAGTCTACGGACGTCTATCATCTATAGACATTTGCATCAGGGAGGTGAGGTCTACATATCCTCGCTTGCCATATTCACATGTCTATACGTAGCAATTCAGCTTTTGACTGGCTGAGCTCTGCCGTGGTGAAATGTTGAGCATTCATGCTTGATGCCGAGTTTCCGTGCTTGTGAACATTCAATCAACTCCACTGTCTAGTCTCATAATCATTTCATAACCTTCACTTGAAATCCCATCGACATCTCGAATCATCATGATGTAACCGATTCATTGAAAACTAGTTTGTATGCCCGTCTCAAATGTCATAAATAGACTACTCCACTCATTAAGAGTACCTGAGCCACAGGACCAGACCCAACCAGTTAAACAATAATCAATTCCCCCTGATCCCCAACTATATCAAATAGGTATCCTTTACTCTTCCTTCTCAGCAGCCTTGGCGGCCTTGGATCCTCTAAGCTTTGGTGCTGGGGCATCTTTCTTTGGAGTTTGGGATTCGAGGATAGCGGAGGAACGGGCGACAGCTTCAGCACGGAGATCAGATCTGTATCCATCCTTGGCGACGGTCTTTGCGACACCAGCGAAGGTCCTATTTTGAGGAATCATTAGTATCATAATTCATTCCTGGGTTCGAAGAGATTCTATAGCCGAGTCAGACGTACTTTCTTCCGGACTTGCTGAAGGTGCTCTTGTTCAAAGAAGATGCTGGCTTTTGGCTAGCAGAGGTCTTCTTGGTGATCAAAGTAACACCCTTCTCAGCTGGGACAACACCAACGGCCTATCCATAGATTAATCAGTACCCTTCACCTCAAATCATAATCCCTCATGTGTTGTTGTCATAAGCGGATCGAATTCGTATCGTACCTTGTCGTTGACGAAACCAGCATACTAAAATCCAATTAGCTTATATACTTATTTGGAAGCATTCCATCTAATTGTGGTAAAAGTATTCCTGAGAAATCCGTACCTTTCTGGAGTGCTTGTTGGTCAAGTTCAAAGGGTCTCTTGAGAATGTGCTTCCACCACCAGTTGTGCGCTTGACCAAGAAAGCATTCTGGGATCCTAAATAGATTCCAAACCATCAGCGATTGTCCCGTTTTTATTGCATTCCTTCCCCATCATCCTATGATTTTAAGAACCAAAGTCCCAACTTCAATTCTCAATCCTCCCAAGTCCTATCCAAACACCTTCAACCTCCAATTTCCAACCCTATGCCCTATTCCAACAACAAAAAGAGGTAAACGTACTGGTAACCTCCCAGATCAAATCAGCGGAAACGTATTGAGACATCTTGACGGTGGGTGAGTGAGAATTGAAAGAATTCTTTTGGTCGTTGGCGGTAATCGAAATATTGTCTAAGTATCAAGATCTTGTCGCAGAATCATTAAAATTCACGAATCATCGAATTTGTGCGTCCAATCAGATTTCGTCTCGCTTATCCTATTTTAGTCATGTCTTTTCTGCTCTGCCCGCGAATTGCAACCTTAAAGCTGACTCATCGATAAATGAGGCATCAAGAAATTATTCGTCACCTCAAATCGCATGCGGAAAGGTGGCTGTGGGGGATGGACGGTTAAAGAAATTCAATGCAATCATTTCGGATGAAGCGGGCATCATCACATCAACTGATGAGCTGACGTTGTTTCTAAAAGCGAGGCTATTGCCAGTTTTTTCTTTCCTTTCTCAATAACTACCTATTCTACCTAAGTCTCTCTTTCTTTACTTCTCTTAACTAACACCTTTCTACCTACGAACACGATTTTGTTAGGAGACTCAGTTGGAGATTGGTAATCTTGAATTCTACAACTTTTGTGTCTCCAAAAGCCAGTCTGCGCATAAAGTTAGATTCCCTCGGGATTAAATGTCAAGATGGCCTACATACTATATACAACCGTCTTCATATTCCTCGTTATCTCTACTAGTAAGTTTTTCACCCTCAGAGCTACTTTCCATTGTCGGAATAGTTGGGTCATTGAATGGCTTGGAGACAACCGGTTGCTAACACCTTTCCTAGTCGCATTCATAACCCGAGATCGCTGGTCTCCCTACATCCCCGAGCATCTTCTCGAGCGTCTCCCAAGATTCATGTACACACCCTATCATGCTCTCCCTCATTCCTTCGAAAACGATATTGAATCTGGATTATCATCTTCGAATTTCAATATTTCCCAGAATCTATTAGATTCAGACCCGAGAAATGGACTTTCGGATAATGGAAAAAGGGAGATTCAAATGATCATGAAGAAAAAGAAGGTCAATTTCGATGAGGCGAGAAGATTATGGATGCAGGAAACTTTCAAGAAGGAAAATATTGGCCCGGATGGAAGACCCAGAGATCCGAAGTTTGTGAGCTTTTCGTGAGGAGAGGGAGAAATAGGTACATTTCTTCGACGTAGAATTCTTTGGTGAAACGAGGTAATGCGGAGCATGGTAGTGTCGATGCCTTTCTTCGCAGCTCAGATGCACAGAAATTCGAAGATTATAGATTTGGAAGAAGAAAGGCAACATAAGATGAAACGGGAATTGGATTGGAATACGGATTAGCGAGATATACCCAGGTGGGTGGGGCAGGACAGGAATCGAATTGATTTGGACGGGACAAGGGGTTTTTGGATTTGAAAGGAGGGGAAGAGGTTCTAATATTTCAGCGATGGGCCTGAATTGGGCACCGGATTTGTTCAAGCAAGTAGAGCATGGCGTTTAGGGATTTGATTCCAGGACATAATTATCCGAGAACTTGGTACTGGGTACTGGTTCTCTGGTGCAAACTTTCCTTTCACACCTACACTCTTTTTTTCCTTGAGTCTTTTCATTTGTCAATATCAATATCAATATTTGTAAGAAGAGGATATAACACATAGGCGTGTATAGATAATCAAGAAGAAAGAAATCAATTATATCATCCATTTGTCGTGAACTAATACCTTACTTAGTGCTACTACTAGCCTGAGTGAGTTTGAAATGTTCAACATCATCCGAAATATCAACGACACTCAAACTTTTCCATTGACCAAGACATTTTGTATCTAGTCTCCTACTCTGCCCTCCTGTACTATCTTATTTTAAATCCAAATCAAATATTCAATTCTTCAATTCTTCAATTCAATTAAATCAAGTCTCAAGTATTTATTTCATATCTTTACTTAGTCATTTTTTAAATATTTTTTTATGATTATTGTTTGTAGATAGCGATAGGCAAATAGGAATAGGAGATGGGATAAAATTAACTTTATGGCAAGTTCTTTGTATAGGAACATGAGGAAAAGAGTTCAGTGCCATTTGGTGTATATCTTCTTTTTTTCTTTTTCTTTTCTTTCGTCTAGGATTGAGAGTGTGAAAATAAGGGCATTAGATACGAGATATGAGATACAGAATATGTCATGTAAGAAACACGGTTAGGTACATGGATGATGATATGATATGAGATGTGGATCAAGGTAACAACTGACTTCAATTTTAGTAGAGTGTGATATCAAAATGTCCTGGTATTCTCATCTATTAAGCGCGTTTAGATTCTCATATCGTATATGAATATCAAGTCTGCATTTCAGGAGTCATCTCTATCGCTGTTCCACCCCCAAAACAAAGCCGTAGTACAGCGGTGACATGTCTTTCTATCCTCAGTGACCTTCATTTTCTGATTTGTCCTGCTCTGTCCTATGACTCCTTGCTATGAACCCCTCATTCCATGCCAGGACATTTCGCCAAGTTGCCAAAATTACCGTACTGTGATGTGCATTATGGTATTGGACATCTTTCTTTTCCTCGTTGTCTTGGCGTTCGTGACTTGGCCATTTCTGCACACTAGGACTCGTTGAGCCCGTCCCCTGCTTCCATTGAAGCGGCTTGACCTCATGCTGTTTCTGATGGCTCCGGCAGATGTATTCTATCTTTTTCCGGAGATCCAACGTAATCATCATTTCCCAGTGGTAGTATTAACAATACTCTTAATCTGAAATGTAGCACCCGGCAACTCGGTTGTTTCCGCTTGAACGGTGGCATTTATACCCATTGAAGCGAGGGCTCCACGAATTATGCCGCAGGGGAAGTATAAGAACTGTATTTCGGATTGTTAGTTGATTATTTATATGCATTTCAAAGCAACGCGGGAATAGCGTAGAACTAACAGGTTGTGCCCGTAAAAGTGCATTTCCACCTGGCTCCGTACTCATGCGCGCAAAGGGACGGAATGAATGGTCTGTTAGGACATAGACTCCCTACAATGTGTTAGGATCAACTATCTCCCGAAAATAACATAAATGGTGAAAGTAGCAAGGAGCTAAGTACCCGATGATTCGTTTTCAAATTATCAATCTGTTTCCTAAAAACCAACATCCATAAATCTTTACACAAAAACTTAATCACATCCAACGTATCCGTGAACCGCGGGCGATCTTTGCTAAATCGCTCGACTAAACCTAAGCCAACACGATACCCGAGACTTTCCAGGCGGAAAAAGACACGATCCCTTTCTTCGTCTTCTTCCATTTTTGGAGGCTGCGAAGGATTGGGAGAAGAGGAGGAGGAAGAGGCAGGCGCATCAAGTGCGTGAACAGTACGATAGGCTAGAGGAACGAGTTCGATAAGGAGGAGGTCCAGACACGAGGAATTGAGAAAGGTGGCTGTAGGATCGGAGGCATTGTAGGGAGGCAGCGGAGACTCGAAGGACATTTTTGTATTGGGTGTAGGTGGATGAGATGAGGTGAGCTGAGGTGCGACTGATCTGGGTTTGCGTCAAGAGAATGGAGGATTGAATGGATATAGTGGTTCGAAGAATTCTATGAGAATACGGGAACGGGTTTGGGCAATCTTGCAGAGAATGAGCGTGAAAGTTAAATGATCGTGGGATTACAGAAAGTGATCAGACTGTCAAGAGTGAATTTTGGGTATATGGTTGTGGAATTATTGAAGGGAAAGCTGTTTGGAGTGATACGGCTCAGAATAAGGTCCGCACGCAAAAACGTATTTCCGGGCCTTTTTTGATGATGACGATGTAAGGCTGTCACTGCTCCCGTAGGATTAATCGGTAAAACAATAATGAAAGATGCGATATTTAATAGTCTTCTTTAAAGTAGGCAGACAGGCAGTTCTAAGCCGGGCAAAAGATAGGTACAATCCCCGTGAACTAACCGCCGGGATAGAAATATCCATAGGACTTTTGGTGAGGGGTGAAAGTCCCTTAAGCTTTCCCGCAGCACATGTCTTGTCTAAGACTTAAGCTGCATTATACAATGCATGCTTGATACACATCTTTCTGATATTCGTATTGCTGTGCCATCATGGCGAGGATTATGTGAATCTGAGTGTATTCTGGCATGCCAACTTGTTTTCGTGCTGCGCAATGGTTATCTTTACCTTGGGCCTTTACACTTTCATATAATCCTCAATCACCGTCGTTTATTTACTTGGTAAAAGGGGGAAAATGAAGATATTGTAAATTGCGGTTTGAGTTTAAGCAACACATTTGAAATTCCCTTTGGAAGATTAGCTGGGAAAGCTCGAGAAAGTAATAGCAAAGGCGAGTATGCTATCTTATTCTGTAATTATTAGTTTCTAATATGAGAATTGGCTAGTAACGGCCAAAATCATATCTCCCCGTTCGAACAAGAGGCTAAGTAGGCTCTAATATTATAGAGCGGTATTGTTCTGTTGCAGCATCAATTAACCTTCCTCTAGCCTGACCACATAATCTACCACCAATTCCTTTTTCTTATTCTATGCTTATCTCTCTCTTCTTCAATATCACCAAACCCTTCTTTCCTCCAAGCTTACAGATAATCTCTTCCTTGTTGTTACCACGTTGTTCTCTCCGCGCCTGAAATTCTTGGTATCGTCTTTCATACACATCCACCAGTTCTTAGAATTGATACCGACGATTATTCCTTCACCTTCACACTATTCGAAACATTTATATTTAAACATGAGAGACAGCTAACAAATGACTCCCTGCGCGCTTGAAACAAAGTAAATCTTTCTTTGCCGCGCCATAATTTGTTTGAGCAATCAGACATCGACAACCTATAAACTACCTAAGTATTCCTACTCGGAGAATCCCTTCATACTTCACCACATACCAGAACTTTATCACGACTTCGCAGTTTCAACAATTTCCAAATTAACCCCCGGAATTCCACGTCGATTTAGGAACTAAACAAAACCATAATGGCGGCTAGTTTGAGGGAGTCGTATGAACGGTTTTCCCTCCTTCTCTGGACACTCTCCATACTTTTCAATACCAGCAGACAAAAATATCTTGACGAGTATATGGAAGTCAGGAAGAAAGCCCGAGAAACTAGCGAACTCACACGGTTCATTATTCCAAATGATGAAGCATTCGATCTGGAAATCACATTGAAGTGAAGCAAGGCTCCAATTCATAGATACTATGATGATGTCATGATCAAATTATTAGATGTTCATTCCGGAAGCTTGATCTAGCAGACGAAATACCCAAAATCTTATGCCAAGGAACCTAGTTAGAAAGATGAGGAAATCTTGATTGAGTCTATTGAATACGATATAATCGATGGAGGTTTGAGGTCTAATGTGCACATAAAACTAGCACCGCTAATCCCAGGTATGTGCTTTATCTTTCAAATTAGTAGTCACTCGATTGAGTCGACCAGAAAAGATTTTTCAAAACTGGAGCTAAGGGCACGCATTGCTATCCACGTATGGTAGAAGGACTCTGCATTGGCGTATGTAAGTACAAGGGAGCCGTGTCCAGTGCACCAAGGATGAATTCAACACAAAGCTTGAAGAACATACGCCGAAGTTGGAGAAATATGCCATGCAGGTTGATGGCAGACATTTACTGGGCACTTTGGGAGGGAAACTTTTTCATGGTAGCTTCTACTAGAGACAGAAGATAACACATAAATAGAGATAGATTTTTATTTCACCCAGCGATGATGCATTACTAGTCTTTTTCAGATTAGAAAATGAAGAAGCCGTGCTGGACGAAGACAAAAAAATACTTAACCCCTCGAACACATACTAAAAAGCTTTTCAGGTACAACGATATGTAAGATTTCTTTCACTTATAGCGTAGAGAGAGAGAGAGGTTCGATGGATCCGTGAATTTGATACCATTACTCACCGAACCAAAAGTTTCTTTTAATATCACAGCGAAGAGCTCTATCGCTCCAATCCGACAATCTTGGGGCTTCTCGACTCCCACAAAGCGAGAGACAGCCTATGGAGAAATTTCAATGAGCGGACCCTTCGTAGCATTTCTTGATGTGTCATACTGACCTTTGTACTCAAAAACATGATTTCCAGCAAATATGGTCGCATCGTCACCAAGCACTTGTCCCGAAGCCTAAGAAAGCAGCTACCGATGCACTTAAAAATGAGCCCCGCAAGAATCTACCAGATTACTAGCGCTCATGGGCTAAACGCTGCTCGTATGAAATACGGAGAGCATTTAAAAAGTTACAGGTACGTTACAATGGATATCTGGTGTTATAGACCATAAACTCATTTAATAATAGGAGAGGCGTCGATATCTTGACAAAGGAGAGATACCCCAGGATTTAGAAGTTGCCAGCAAGTCTGAGAAGGCTGCTGTAGATTTGTAAAACTGACCTGAAAATTGAAGAGACAATCAGGAAGCACACGAATCCCGTCTTTCCGTCGTGGTTCAGGATTAGTAGCGCCGGCCTCAAAGCCAGAAGGAGCTGTAGGGCATAGGCCAGATGTTGCTTCTCAAACTTAGACTGATCAAACTTCTTAAAGCATGAATTCCTTTGCAGGTGAATCGGACAAATTCAACTCGTATCAGGAATTGCCAATTGTAAGACACGTCTCGAGCTCAGCTCTTGGTGAATTCGGACCTTAGTATACAGAGCCTGTCTGTCTACAACCTAGAACTTTCTTGTCCCCGAGCATTTATTAGCCATCTCCAAGCTACTCATGGCCGTACTTTAGAGAATATGTCGCAACGTGCTGTGGTTGGGAGAAATCCTGGAGCTGCCAGCGAAAAAGCGCCCCCTCTCATAGTACGTTTGCGATAGCTTTCGTCGTCTATCTCCATGTTCAGGTACTGCCGAGACTTTTCACACGACCAGAAACATGCTGACTAAACTATATTCATCGGGTGAAACTGCTACAGAAGCTCTGAATGCTTCTTCATCCATATGTTCTTACTTCGAGAGACAGATTAAAAAGGTGGCAGAGAATGTGCATCCACCAAGGCCGGCAATCTTGAATTATTCAGCTCGACCGCTACTTTGCAACCTAAGATAAAATTTTGAGCACACTTCTAAAGCACCAAGAACAACGTCCGTCAAATCTTATGGATTTCGATAATCCTGTAGCAGCCAGCCCATTCAAGTTTTGTAAATTGGCACAGGATTTAACACTTCCATCCGCTCAAGCACTTACTTCCGTCTCGATTACTTCATTCGCTGAAACTGGAAATTCTTAGATAACACCTAGTCCAAGCTTCCAGGCGATGGATGCTTCTGCTCAGCTGCTGTTCAACTAGTGTCAAACACCCAATCTAAGACCGAAAACCTCTATATCCTATCGCTACTGCCCTTCCATATTAATGAAGCTAGTAAATCCCTAAATATTCTATTTATCGACATGGATAATCGGGTTCTCCCCTTCGCTTTCACTACTACTTATCTACTACTACATCTATCCTAATGTTAAAATCTGAGACCGATCCGGATAAAAAGCTAGATTTAAATGTAAATAGAAATTTGAAAATCCAGACACAGAACTCAAGATGCTACTAGAAGAAGCACGTAGAAAGGAGATAGAGCTTGAGGATGCGTTGAGGTTACTCAGGGGCAAGGAAAGAAATGAATGGAGTGAGGAGACGAATCGAGAAATTGAGGTCGTGGGAGTTGTGAAATGTTATGAGTGAACATTATCTTGATTTTATGCAGTGGTCATCAGGAGATATTTGGAGAGTGCTAGCAGCAGTTCGGAACTTCAGGATGCTGTAGCTAGTATTGGGTCATTTTATCATGATGAATTTACTTGGCGTCTTGACTTACATTTTCAAGTCCTTATTGATTTATTTATTCTCCTTTTTGTATCCTTGGGCTCTAGTAATAACATATCTTTTTTCGTATAAACATTAAGAAATCGTTCGTGGGATAAAACAACATACTGATATATCTTAAAGGTTATATAACTGTGCAGCTAAACGGCCGTTGAGAAGCTACCGAAAGAGTACTTCTGGACGAAATTGAGAAATTAAATGATTCAGACATTCATAAATTAGAAGACATCTTTCTCAGCTATGAATTGTTGAAATAATGATTTGATAAACAATTATTCGGTTGGTAAAAGGGGAGACAAGCTTCTCCCCACATGCTGACACAGCCCTACCGTGGCGGGGCCGGTGTAATTCCGAGTCTAGTGGGAGAACTACTGATCACGTGCTAGCGTGAATTATGCGACTGAGATGTTAGGAAAGTAACGTCACTTTATTCGTACCACAACATGATACGAACCCTAAATTTTTACGACTATTTACGAAATGCCAAAGTAGTCCCCGATTATTCTTTGGTATCATAGCAAATACTCTTGACTTCCACGTCTTAAACGCTCGAAATGCTTCGAAGAATTGGGCTCTGCAGGCCCTCGAGTGCTTTTATCCTTTCCCGCATCACACCAATACGATGTTCATTCAACAAAAGGGGTTTTAAATCGACAGGGTTTTTAAGAAATACCCTCGATCCTTCGTCAGAAAGTTCTAATATCCCACCCCCACCTAGCCCTCCCGTCCATACCAACCTCACTGCCATGACCATATTTACCTTGTTAGCAGTTGGTACTATATACACCACATCAGCTGTATGGGAGAATTTGCATCTCAAGAAGGAAACTCCCAAATTCATGGATATTTTCACTAGAGACAGGGAGAACGTGTACGATGTGAGACGAAAAATTCATGAGATGAAGTACCCGCCTGGGATATTATGGGCACCAACCACATGGCCACCAGTAAACCAGCTTTTCAACCCCGAAGGACGCCAAATGTTCTGGGAGAAATTAATGCCATCCGAAAAATTTACTTACACAGTCATGGCTACCAATATAGGAATTCATACTCTAAGTATCTTCACACCAGCATTGTGGAGTAATATCTTCATGCATATTCCTGGTACAAATCGAAACTTCACGTTACTTACATGTATATTTGGTCATGGATCTCTTATTCATTTAGGTTTCAATATGTACGGATTCCATTCATTTATGCCAACCCTAGGACAAGATCCGACTTTCAAATCGAGTATTGCTCATATGACGGCTTTCTATCTATCGACGGGTGTCATCAGCAGTTGGGCGCAAGCTTCAAGTGCAAGACTTCGTCCTAACACACCGCCGGTACCATTCCTGGGAGCGAGCGGTGCTGTTTTTGCCCTGATTGGTGCTTTTGCCTTACAGCACCCAGAAGCTCAATTTCAAATCATGTTCATCCCATATCCTTTTGCGGCCCAAGAGTTATTGGGTGCAGTTATGTTATTTGATCTCCTTGGTATGTTTGGTGCATTCAAAACTCTCAGATTGGGACATGCGGTAAGAATTCCTCTAGATTCTTCGGATTTTGCACGTGACTAATTCCTCATTGTATAAGGCGCATTTAAGTGGTGCTCTTTTGGGCTTAGGATATGTTTATTTTGATGGCGAGAAGAGGATTTGGAGTCCTCTTTGCAGAAGCGTATATAAGTCGTTTGGAATGAAGAAATGGGAGAATAAAGTTTAGCGGATTTCCGGAGATGAGCGAAGCACGAGAGACGTATATAAATTCCGTTTTCAGGAACGGCGTGGATAGGTCAAGAGAGAAAGGGGGGGTCCACACGAACAAATATTCACGAGAAATGCCACTTGTGCCGATTTAATACTTGCTTTAGAGTTCAGATTTTGATATTCGTAAGCTGTTAGCTTTGCGACACTTCGTCAGTGTTGAAAAGCACAACACTCCTCGTTCTCTTTCTGTCCATCCGGTATTTTAACACGATCAACGGTCCACAACCAGGAAGACTGCAGGCTCAGAGCAGAATAGGAAGTCCAAAAGTCTAGAAATCCCTGAGAGCCTTGGCAGGACATGCTGTTGCGCGTGGATGGCGCATAAATGTTAGAGTCTTCAGAAGGACTTGTACTGCAATGGTTTTAAACAGGTATATTCATTCTATTTACTTTAAGGAAAGTGGTGTATAAACACCTCTTTATCCTCATAAATCTCATTACATGTGACCGTAAGTTACTCCTCTCGCCAAATGCCCTCTCTTTCAAATTTCAAAACACTTGTCGCCTCACCCAACCATATCACGAACCAGATTATATCCTCGGAAATAAAACCACATTACAAATAGTAATCCCTTAACAATAATACCCCATTTGATCACCCACACTCCCCGTCTCACTCTTATCCTTCTCTTTCCCCTTCCCTACAAAATGCCTCGTAGGGCTCAACGCCCTCGCACTCCCAACGCCTTCTCTCAACCCAATCTCCTTCTCCTTCTCCTTCTCCTTCCCCTTCCCCTTCCCCTTCTCCTTCCCACCATCATCCCTCGAAATCTCAGGACTCCGAATCTGCGAACTCGGTACACCAGAAAGTTCAACACATTCACCTCTCTGCAGCTCTCTCTTCCCGGCATTTCCATACCCATCAGCCCCCTCATCCGCAATCTCAGGAATATCAACAGCAGCTTTCTCATCAATAGTGTGGGTACCTCGAACAGATCCAACATTAGATTCTACATCTTTATTTGCGACTTCGGTGATTCCAAACAAGGAGTCCATTTTTTCAAGTGAGAGGCCTTTGGTTTCAGGGATGAGGAACCATACGAAGAAAAACATGCTGAAGCAGAAGGAGCCGAAGATGAAATAGGTTCCATAACCGGCGCGTCCGACGGTTACTAGCACTATTTTTGTTGTTATTAAAAACATTTTCTTGAGATATTGGGCGACGAGGACATCAAAGAGATGGGGAATGAAAGAAACAGAGAAAGAAGAGCAAAGACTCACTAGTAGGCACGGCCTTCGCAACGACAAAATTAAACAACCACTGTGTCGCCGCCGCAATCGCCACATTAAGAGCCCTCAACCTCGCAGCCGGTATCTCACTCACAATAATCCAACAACACGGTCCCCACCCAAACTGAAAAAACCCCGCAAACAAATAAATACACGTCAGAGCGAAATATCCCACGGGTGGTATAGTGGCCCCCTTCAGCGGCGGATCAAACCTCACATAGAACCCAATCACAAACATGGCGCATCCCTGCGCAATACTCGTCCATAATAATGATTTTCTCCTTCCGAGAGAGTCGGCGGCGACGAGGAGGAATACCGCACAGGTGGCCATTTTTACAATGCCGTAGATGCCCGTTGCGAAGAGTCCAGCTGTTGTGGAGTTTACCCCCAGATTGAGGAAGATGGTCGGCGCGTAGTAGTTTATGGCGTTTGTGCCCGTCATTTGTTGACAGATCATCAGTCCGATGGATATTAAAGCCCGATTACGGTTTCCGGATATCGTCCACATTTCTTTCATGAGGTCGAGGAAGCTGGCGCCGCCGATGAGGCGACGTTCGTTTTCGAGTTGTTCGTACATCTGGAATGGTCAGTGTATTTTTCGGGTTGATTTAGTGGTGGGAGTAGAGTTTACTTCTTCTAGCTCCATACGGATGTAGGGATGATCGGGCGGAAGACTTATATATGTTAGCAGTTCCCTAAAATGCTTGATTAATAGTAATCTAGTAACTTACTTAGACACCTTTGATAAAACTGTAGTAGCTTTCTCCCAATTATCTTGTCTTGCCAACCACCGAGGAGATTCACGACACAAAGCAATTCCCAAGAATAGTAAAATCGCGGGTAACATCTGAAGAGCAAGAGAAACTGGAGAAATAAAACATAAGTATCCCACTCGTCAAACGCCTATATCGGGGAAGGGGCGGTTCAAATTACCAATCCATGGTGCATCGCCTTTGAGATGCAGTAAAGAGCCATAGTTAATCCAAAAACTTAGCATGGTGCCGGTGGCAATGAATAATTGATACATCCCAGTAAGAGCACCTCTGATCGCTCTAGGTGCATTTTCACTAACCTGTAGATAATCATTAGATTAGTCGAAGTTTCTAGTAGATATAATACCTAGTTACTTAGTAGAACTTACATAAAGTGGCGTAAGCATACTAGCAGCTCCTACTCCCAATCCAGCAATAAATCTACCAACATAGAGAGCAGACCTATCATCGAGTTAGCATTCAGATTGGAAGGGAGAATTTGGTACTTCTTACAGATAACCATGTGTTGCACATTGAATAACAACTCCTATAATTGTAACACCGGCTGCAGTGAGCAACGCCGGCTTTGGAGATTTAGTAAAACACCTTGTCATTATGAATGTAAGATAGAAGAGTCCGCATACCTTTCGACCCCATTGATCCGCAACATAATATGCGATTAATGATCCAAAGAAACAACCCGCTTGCAATGTACTGACAACTGTTTATTCTTAGACGTAGACTCATTAAGTAGTATGAGTGAACTTACTATTTGACAATAGATTCGCGCGGGCGGTGTCGCTTAGGTGGTCGATATGATATGCCCTATCTATGTCAATCCTGCATCGGGTGTTACATCAGAGGGAAAATACTTGGTGAAAGAAGGCATTACAATTACACCTCCTATTGTACCAATATCTTCGCATACAAATTAGTATGATTGTCTGAACTTTCGAATGGTAAGTCCCAACATACCCCAACCAAATAGCATACCGCCGAAACAAGCTGTGTAGAAGTTTAGTACACATGCAACAGCTATATTCATTTCCCCTCTCTTGCTCGGCAGGAATGGTGTACGTACCAGAACTTGCTAGGAAGAAAACTCTCCATCCATAAATTTCCGGGCTATTTAGATGTTCTAATTAGTCTTGAGATATTTTTCTCACAATCTTGTGAATGCTTACGGGTCCCTGTCGCAGTAAAGTTAGCATCATCTTTAGCTACATAGTTCCAAGTACTGTACATACGTCTTCATAGACTCATTCCTCACAATCTTCATCAGAAATCTTTGCCCAAGTCCGACGGCCATCTTGTTATTTGTGTTCGGTAATGTCTACGAACACTCGAATTGTTAAAGACAGCGAAGTGTTTCGCATCAAAACTAAGTAATAAATCAAAGTCTCGAGATGTAGTTCAACAACAAACGCGTAGGAAGAAAAGTCATACCTTCGGATACTTAATCTCATATCAAAAATGCAATAAAATACACCTCTAAACAACCCCTCATTTACCTACACCCCACCACCACAAAAGGAAAAAAAAAGAACCATTCTCCATCTAGCAACCGAGACCAGCATCTTCATATCTCCATATTTCCTCCATCTTACCCAACAATTAACCAACACAGCCAAAGACATCCCCTCTCAAACTCCCCGAAGCCCCGCCCCCAGATTCCCGACACCCTAGTAACCTTACGTTACATCGGAAAATCCCACCTTGTATTCAGCCAACCAATCTTAATGTCGAATGTAGGTTCTACATGACCATCTCCGGAATCAATAACCGGCTGGGCGCATATGCATCTCTAACGTTTTCGTGCGTTTTAATCTGTTTGGAGTTTGGTGTGCGGAACCCCGCATATTGGGAGGAGGGGAAAGCTTGTTGTGTTGGGCAGGGATTTGGATTGTGAGTACCGGAAGGGGCATTTATCCAGCAATGGTTGATGAACAGGGTGTTTGGATAGAAGAGTAGGGACTTGGCTTAGAGATTCGGGGGATGTGCATTTTATGTTTGATATCTGTGGAAAGATTGCGTGTAAATATAAGACTTAAGTGCGGTTTACACCAAGTGAGGTGATAGATATTGTTGTGCTATGTAACACTGTTTTCTGATAGATAAAACGAGAATTCGAGATGGTCCAGGATTGCATGTCTCGAGTACAAATAAATACTTTGAGTCTTCTTCACTTACAGAGCTTACCAAGTCTACCAACTAATATTCACTCATCTTTCATCTCATTCATCAGCCACCCAGGAAAAACAGGTCTATTTTTCCACCCATCAAGATAATTCCTTGCTTCCCCAGAAGGCTTAGCATATATACCGGCGACAAACCAAGTCACAGTTCCTTTTTCCAATGTAATCTGTAAGGTAGGTATTACCGTACGGCTTTCAACCAAATTGGAATTTGGATCAGCATTAACGAGCATTGCCGTACGCTTACTTTCACCATTATCCTCGAGCGCAACTATCCCAACAGCACCCTTAGACACAGCAAATGCACCTACTGAGCCTGGTGAACTGCCTTCAGGTGTATTGAGATCGTAGTTTCCGATGATCTTGGGAAGTGTACCTTCATTTTTAGCCGGGTCATAAAGATCGAGGTAGCGTCCATCAGATTTTCGCTCATTAGAAATTGCGAATGCACCATCTGCCGTCATAACTTTTCGACCAGCTTCGATTTTATGAACCCGAAGATGCCAGTTTGGAGTATCTTCGATAGGTGGAATGAGATAAGTTTTGATAGTCACATCTGGGAAAGGCTTCCAGATTGATTTCAACACTGGTTGCTCAGCATGTGTCTCGATGACTGCTGTCTCGCAAATGCGACGTGTCTTCCAAAATTCACCGCCATCATCAGATAAGCCAAGTTGTGAAGCTAGTGCGAATTGTTCTAGCGAAAAGCATCCTGTAGGGACAGAATAACCATATGCGCTACTGTATGCAAAAGATCCATATTTTGCATGTGTTCCTCTCATAGGATATGAACATGCCTGACCCGACGAAAGAATCATCTTGTGGCCTCCTAGATAGCTGATAATATGCCCAGGATGTTTCAAGACTATGGTCTTGGGAATTAGATTCGTCGGGTAGGGTTCCTCTTTAGATGTCCAGAACGGATGATCTTGGGGAACAGCCAAACAAATGAATGCCAAACATGCCCAATATGGACTTCCTGGTGAATTGTAATTTTCCGACATGAACATGTTTGGAAAGGAATACCCTATAGTTAAAGTTCCAGTTGGACTCCATATTTGATCTTGTGTTTGCCACCATCTAAGGTTTCTCAAGAGCAATCCTTTAACAATACCCCATGTCAAGGGTTCCGGTAGTTCAACATCGGCATATGCTAAAGCACCCCAAAATGAAGCCATGGCGAATCGATATCCAACACTTCTTCCAAAAGGTGTAGCTCTTCCTTCTTCATCAAAATAATGAACAAAGTGCAACGCATAATCTTGAGCTCGTTTTTTGAACTCCGCAGCTTTAGTTGGGTCTTCATCGCCAGCTAGCTTTGCATACAAGAGTTGAAGAAATTGTATCGCAAAACTTCCACTGTAATAATCTTGTTGCCAAATCCCCTCAGGTCCATCGTTGGACCATCCTTCCCCTCGGAAAAAAGAGTTTAAATGAACAATATCTTGCTCAATCTTCTCCTGTGAATATTTCCCTCCATTCTTCTTTAATCCTAGGTTCGCAAATACTCGAAACCATAACCAATTTGTGTTGGGCATACTAGCACTGATCAGCACCTTGCTCCATTCCACTGTATCTCTATGGAAACTCACTTTTTACTATTAATCGAATTGCCCAACCACGTCTCCACATTCCCTTTCTCTTTCTCACTTAACTTCTCCCAGAACACTGGCGCAACAGCCAATGTGAATCCCAATGGACACATTTCCACCATCCTTTGATCATTATCTCTAGGCTCTCCCCAATATTCCTCACTCTCCGGATCTGTACCTTTCTTCAATCCTTCCACCCACCATTCTGTCCCATCATATTCTCCTCCTCCAGCCAAGAGCGAACTTAATCCCCATAGTGGTCGACAAAATCCTTCAATCTCAGCAGCACGCGCATCGAAGCGGACGGCAGTGGAGCCAGGTACACGAACCAAGGCTTTTTGCGGGGAAAAGTGGGGTTTGAGGGGATCAAGAAGGCTTTTCAGAAGATTTTGAACAGACGTTCGATCAGTGAGAGATATGAGGGAGAATGGATGTTTCGTGTCATAGCCTAATGTTAATTGTTCTGGCGATGCCATAATGAAGGAGACTGAAGTGAATATGAGATAGAGCCAGCAAACACAATTCAAGACGTAGGTCAAGAGGAAAAGGAAAACATCTACATTATAATTTGGTAGATTATCATGACTTATTCACCTCGTGAGAATGATCTGCCGACAGCAGATATCCATATTGGGTTTCATGCATCGTGTTGAGTGGGAACGCGGGGTTAAATCGAGGTGGGGAAAGTGCATCTAGGCTAAATTGAGTTACTAAAGTCACACCGTGAGTGCATTCAAATTTTGATACTCCTTAGCTTCCCAGGAAGACAAATTAAATTGCTTAGGTTTGTTTTTATGGAATCTCCCCATCGACAACACCGAATTACCATGTCAGATAATCCATTGATGTAATGTATGTAGACCGTTTTTACTTCGTACAAAACAGAACGGAAATGTTAATACAATGAAACCTACATGTCCTAAGCCATCCCCATTGTGAAGCTCTAGGCCCTGTTATGACTCAATAAAGCCTCTCTTACGAGTTGCTGCCAAACTTTTGGTCTCCTTGAATAAAAATGATCAAGTGTAAAAATCAAACCCCTCCCTGTCTGCCTCATCGACAAACGGTAGAACTTCCTTCATAGTATTTATATCATCGGAACCTTCGTCCTTGACAGCTGGAATTGGAAATGGCGCTGTGAGTATAACATCATCATCGATCTCTGTTGGATCATATTTGATCGTAGACTCCTTCTCCAGAACAATGGTGTTGTCAGCAATCGCATCAACATCTGTGACTTCTTGTTTGATTTTAGTGTGCTTGATTGCGTCGACTTCAGTAGTTTCTTGCTGAATCCTAAGTTTCTTAGCTGAAGGTCTTCGAATCGTGGAGGCGAATGGAAAATCGTCAATCTCGATTGGTTCTTCCTTTAAACCCCGCTTCATTGTCATACGAGAACGATGTAGAGCTTGCTCTCCGTCACTCAGGTCGATTAATTCCTGTTTTACTGCTTCTTGTAGTATCCGTGTTTTGCCTTTGACCGAAGGAAGTGATCGGGCTCTTACCAAGCTCTGTACCGTGCCATCATCATCGAGGACGATGATTTTGTTAGCAGGTATGTCAGAAAGCTGCTGCTTTGCCTCTCCTCTTTCAAAAGCCTTATGTTCTTTCTGATGGTCAAGTTATTAAAGACGAATGTTTATAGGACCATGGAAAGGACGTACCTGCAGCTTTCAAAACGCAACCATTCTCTCTGATGGTTGCATATCTTTCCAAGAGCGCCACTCTCTAGGTTGCCGGGCACCGGATAGGATATTTTTTACGACTGGTTGGGCTTGGAGTTTGCTGAGACTTTGTAGCTCTTTCAGGGCCCACTGACGCTCCATAGGTGAGAGGGACTTCCAGGGGTTATAGTAAAGTGGTGGAGGATACGGGACGATGTCTAGATGGTCAAGAAATTCTAATAGTCTCGTTAGAGCCGTGGCTAGTAAAATAGAGAATCAAAAGAACTTACCAAAGGTACGGTATTTGAACTTGAACTCGAGAATTGTTGATTTACTACAGACATGATTTTTGACAGACAATCCCACTGTTGGAATCTATTTTGACCCAATCTTCAAACGTCAGATAAAGAGTTGTAGTCAATGTAGCGGACTCTTACGTAACAGAGCTAGTAATCCCATGTTTTTTTAAGTTTAGCTGGTCTACTTTCTTCGCATTCCATAAATTGATCGAGGGCATCGATGGGACTTCGGCTCCTAGTTCCTCCACTTTCTGACGGAAGATTGTGACAGAGAAATGGCTAATATGGCTTGGGTCGACCCCAATTACATCGGTCTCATTCGAAAGATCTTCATCGACATCGAGAGAAGAAAAGACAAATGGTGCACCAACAAGGCTTTCACCGTACCTCGCCAAATTGATGCAGTTAATTAATGCATTGTAATCCTTTTTAGTGCTAGCATATCCTGGATCGCTGTCATGGAAAACATGTGCCGCGCAGGAAGTATCCGACTCTCCAAAGTAGAGGTGTGCTTCTGTGTCATCAAAGGGCTTGAAACAGAATCCAGCCATTAAAGTCACTTGAATTTTGAACTTTGCTCCAGGCAGGGCGACGATGTATCACTCGCACTTTGAATCTCCATGATTTTCGCGATCTCCAAGTTTAACATATTCTCTGAATGGTTCTCCTGTTGCAGTATTGATGACCTTGACTTCGTATTCATTGTTCCTTTCTGTCAAGATAGCCATGATGAGACGCTTTGAAGTGCGATTTGTTATGATTGTTGATTGAAAGAAAAAGGAAAAAAAAATGAAAATGAGCGAAGAATATTGTTGTAGAAGATGGAAGAGATTACCTTTAGCGCGATTTGCCGACACGTGGAAAGTTGAAAAAAGAAATGAAGATAAAAACAAAATTTACAGTCTCGATTTCAAAGATACGAGTTCTATAGAAAGAGAAAGGATGGATCGTAGATAATATTTTATGATGGGCACTAGAAGAGGTGATTAGAGGCGCCGTTTATCGCTAGCCTACAACTAGTGTATTGCTAGTGTAGTATTTAATAGATGTATACCTGAATGAAATTAGTCTGATTGTAAAGTAAAATCAAACTCTAGTATTCGAATAGTAATATCACTTGACAAATTTACTACTAGGTCTCTTTATATTAGATTTATAAACTTTTACTATTGTAGAAATCTTATCTAAATATATCTTATTTAGAGTATAATAAAGTTATTTGAAGAAAAAAGTACTCCTAATTATGTTAATTAGATGATTAAATAGAAAACAAAATATTCCTCTTAGATTGATAATAATATATTGAATATATTAGAAATATTCACCACTAAAAAGATATACGCATTAAAATTGTCTGAAACCAGGTCTAGAAAACGCCCCATACCAAATTATCATTGAGAAACGCCTGGACCCATCATTTATCCCGTCTTGATACGCTTCTCACTTCTTGCCGCATCAATTTTTTCCTGCAAGGCATCCCGCTGTCGCTTCATCTTAAGAACTCTCTCCTCTTGCGCAATGTCTTCCTTCAATCTTTCTAGTGCAACTTCTTCCTTTATTAGCCCCTCATCTGTGTATTCTGGCTCTTTCTCCCTCGGAGCTGGGTTTAGAATGAGATTCTTGGTTTCAGAGACAATGATGATATCATCATCATCATTACCGATGGGTTCGTTCTTGATGACTTGCGTACTTACGGCCTTTGGTGCATCGACACTGTTTGCCGCTATGCGTTGAGTCCCTTCATGTTTAACTTCCACTTCCCAATTGTTAGACTTGGCGTTCTCTTTTCCCTCGTCATTACTATCCCTATTGCGAGCTTTCGAATGTGGCATCTCATCTTCATCATCTAGAACAATGATCTCGCCCACCATATTTTTATACTGACGCTGGATGATACCTCGCTCGCGAGCTTTCTTCTTGTCCTGATAGGAGGGGATTAATGATTATCCCTGGGATGATACAGACAATAAAAGCTTACTTGAAGACTCTGGAATGCTCTTTGCCTCTCAGTAGCGTACATTCTGTCCCAATGGCGCCATTCCCACGGGTGCTCCTCTGCCCTGACCCTGCCAATCATAGGTAGTACCATGCCCTTTCCCTTTTCTTGGTCTTCATGCCATTGCGTCTTGCTCAGATCCTGCAATTCCCCAAGAGCTGCTTTTCTTTCGTTGTCACTCAAGACGAGCCAGGAATAACAGTGAAGAGGCGGGGGATACTTGATGATACCTGCTTGCTCTAAGAATTCTGCATGCCAAATTAGTTCAGTACATCTAAGTCAAATTTGGGGAGAAGTGACATACGAGAAGTTCTACAATGGAACTCAAATGTACCGAAGCAACAGCCGTCGGTATACTCTGTAGTGTAACGATTTGGCTTTTTGGGAAGCATGAAAGATTCCACGCTGCCCCCCACAAAACTAGAAAGATAAGCTATTGCTACATATAAGCAATGGAAAATGTAGTTACCCAAGAGCCGAGCTGATCCCGCGTTTCTTGTAGCTATCCAGATCAACCTTTTTTGCATCCCAGATATTTTGTGCCTTCGGCTGATCGATTTTGACGTCGGGATCCAAACTAAGCTTATCTTTCTTCGTACTGGTAAATAGAGCTCTTGAACACTCATTTTCCCAGTCTAATAATGCACTTTTGTAATCATTATCCGATAGTGTGGTAGTGCACTTTTTCCACAAGTACAGCTTGATTTTAAAGGTAGCAAGATCATCCGGATGAATGCCCATGATATCTGTTTCGTTGGAAAGTGTCTCGTCTATTATAGTAAGCTTTAGACAATATTTAGTTGCAAGGATCGAGCTGTTCACTCACCAATCTGAATATTCCGAAATGCAAATCTCGCCCCAAGAAGTTTTTGCCCATCAACTTCTACATTGGCGTACTGAATCTTCCTGATGAGGTGTGTCTTTAATTTTGGCCGGTCCTCAGGTTTCGCATTAATAAAAAGTGTAGAAATCGCTTGATCTCTGCCGGGAAAGAACAAAAAAACATTGATCAGATTGTAATCGCCGAAATCAAATCCGTTTTTCAATTTGAATTCGATATAGTATTTGGTGCCCGGTTCTGCAACGATATACCTCTTACGATTTTCATCGGAGTCGCCTTCCTTGCGTTCAACTTTGATGTATTCGTCATAGTATGTGTTATCTGGGTGCCTCTTGATTCGAACCTCGGCGTCGCCTTGTTCTGTACTCAGGATAGCCATACTGAGCAACACTAGAAGCTTGCAAGTTTTTAGTTGTTAAAGATGAAGATTGAAGTAATGAAGATCGAAAGATTTGTGACCCGAAACAGTGTTGATTCTGAGTTTTTTTGGTCTAGAAACTTCTAAAAACACTGAAAGCTAATGGAACAAAACTAGCTGCAAGAAGTAGAACAAAGTGAAGCTATTGCGAAGACCCTTAAAGTTGCCAATTAGGTTGCAGTAGTTGGAAATTGAGAGAAAAGAAAAGATTGACACTGCAACACGTGCACGTGTATAAGATCTGTTTGTTGTGTTTCCGGAAAAGGATAGTAGTCGACTTAATAAACAGAGAGCAGTTAAGGTTTTGAAAGTGAAGCCTACTCGTAGAATCTCTTCGTTTATGAATTTCCTGGTAGGTGAGGTAAAGTTAGAAACCGATAGCATACCCAAGGAATTCATTTGCATTGGTGAATATTATGTTGTTCCTAGTTCCATATACTACCCTCTGCAGCCACGAGGGTGGGGGGGATAATATCGTCTTGTTCTCACCTGTTTCACACGCCGGTATGGATTTATTAGTATGTCTCTGTTCGCTGATCATCAAAACTTCCTCTCTGTAAATTCGATGAAGGCTTTGAAAACCTAGAAGGGAGAACCATGACAGATTACTGGACTGTACATTCTTACTTGTTTGAAGGGCCAGCATCTTGTCCTCCTTACGTTGCCTATTATCTACTTCTCCGACCATATCAGGAACAGAATCCTTATGGTGATTAACTGAGGCGCTCCTAGTAATGTTCTTATCGAACTCTGTGTTTCTGGCCGTTTCGTCTGCGAGTTCTTTGTCCTTCCAGTACTGCTTGATATTCTCCTCTCGTCGCTCGAATGAAAAGCCAGGAGGCACCGGAAGTGAAATGAATTTCCTTGAGGGCGGAGAAGCTTGGCTATTGTTGGCTTGTTGAGATGCTTCTGTCATTGTGGAAGATTATAAGAGGAGAATGAGTCGCCTTCCTCTTACTCGAGGGAGGGAGAATGTGATTATTGTTGAATTTTTTAGTATATGATTAAGAGAAATGATTTTAATTATCTAAAGTCGATAATTAAGGAAACTTTAATGGAGTGTGGTACAGTAGACTAATTTGGTAATGCGAGGAATGTATGGTGAAGGTCATCCAGCTTTACATCGTGCGTTTGTCGCAATGTGATGTTGAGCGCATGTTATCCCAAGGTAGCGAGCTTTTCGCGTATATACTGATATATTGTAAGTCTAGTACCCCCTTTATTGATAACTTTTACATTTAATAATCCAATTCCTTGAAATTTTAACTACAAATTTATTATTTAAATAATAATAAATTCTGAAAATTTTAGATTTTTAGTGATTTTATTAATTGAGATATTAAAAATTGGGGTTATAATTTTTAATTTATATAAGATTTGTATATAAATTTGAAAATCTCAAACATCTTAAATAACTTTTGAATAAAAAAATTAAAAATAAAGTATAATTTTTTTGAGAATGATAAATTATAATCGATTGAATAAATTGAATTTTTTCAAAAAGATGTTTGAGGTTTTCAAGTTTTTAGAATTTGTATATAAATCCTGTATAAGTTAAAAATTTAATTAATATTATTTATTTGTTATAAAGTTATTAACAAATAAAAATCACCATTTCTAATGTAAAAGAGTGGCCCCAAAAAGGGGTGGCCCAAAAAGGAGTCCTAGACTTAATACGAGGAATGTATAGTGAAGAACTTCTTAACCCGTACATCCTGAATTCGGGGTAAGATATCGCTAATAACCTGACCGCTCATTGTTGAAAGAAAAGAAAAAACACATTTCGAATTTTAACCGCATATTATATTTAGTTGAAACCTTCTTAACTTTCTAGACATATTCTATTTTTTACTAATCGAATTGCTCTTTATTTTCAATAAGTATATTATTCGAAATCCTACAACGATACAAGTATATTCATTTGGATTGTAGAAAAACATATTATATTTACTAATAAGCTAATCTTACTCTAATAATTAAGAAGCTTTAATATCATCAACCAAAAACAACAGCAAATGAATAGAGTTGCCTTCATAGGTACAACCGCAACTATATTATTGTAATATGCCGACTCTCAGAAAATCAATACTCATATGCCAGTACTCCATAAATTGACCAGTAGTCATCTATTCTGCCTTGAATCTCTTTGACCTGGCCTTTTCCTCCTTATCCTCGATCTCCTCCGTGACCTCGTCAATTTCCCTCTGCTTTTTCAACAGTTCAGGATCTCTTTTAAGCTTCTCCTTTTTGTCCTTTAGCTTCTGTAATTCTTCATCTATGGAATTCTTTTCGTCTTGCTTTAGGGCCTGATCTAGTCCGGTCGATCCTTGAGCTAATTCAGGCTTCACATATATAGCCTCACCGTCAAAGGGAGATAACATTGGCATCTGGGCTCTTAGCTTGCGGAAGAAAATCACCAGCTTCGGGCATTGGTGTGGTAGCGGCTTTTGGTGTCTCTTCTGCTGTATCGGCCTCCATATCTTGTTCCGGCTAGATGACTGCTGATTGTTCCCGCGCGACAATTTTTTCCCCATTATCCCCGACGGGAACGGCGGCAGGCATCTCCTCTGCTGGTGCCAATTCGCGTCCTATAGCCTCTTGGACCAAGGGGATGATTTTTCCATCTAAGGTAGTGTACTCAAAGTTCGTTTCCCCCCGTTCACGAGCCTTTAATCTCTCCTAATAATAAATGTCAGTGGCATCCCACACGCGCCTCTAATGAGCTGTAATAGAGAATCTTACCTTCAGAACCTTGAAGGCTTGACGCCTTCTCATTGTGATACATTTTCCCCCAAGAACGCTATTCTTGGGTTCATTTAGTGTAAGATAGTTCTTGCGTCGGCTGTCTTTTGATTGAACACCCTGCCCGTTTTTGTTCTCTTCAAATTTATCTTAATTAAGCTTTTCTAGAGCTTGGAGCTCTTTCACCGCACTCTTCCTCTCTTCCCTAGTGAGATCGTTCCAATCACGAAGATATGACTACAGTAATGGTGAATATTTGACAAGCTCAAATTTTTCTAAGGAACGCAACTTTCTCTGAAAGCATGGTACCAGTAGATCTTGGATAAATGTGAACCTCTCGATACATTCACCACACTCCCAACTCGTTTCAGTACGTTCTAATTTCTTAGCAGCGGAATTATTAGACGCAGGATGAAGTCTAAAACAGTTTTTTTCCCGTTTGATATCGCTTCTTTGTGTTCATCGTCAGGTAATGGGACTGTAACACTCTCGTAAAAGGGATGTCGACTGTAAGCGTCGGAATACTCTGCCGAAGAACATTTTTGTTAACTATAATAATAAGCTTTGGATAATAATATGCCGGTTTGTCCACTGACCTATCTCCATCTCCATTAGTATTTACTCTTAATAGAATATTCCTCCTTGCATCATCTACAAACTACAAATTACAAATCACTCTCACTTCTCCACCCTCACACTTACCCTCAAGCCCCCACGCTCCTCGCACCCGCCCCTCACCGGGCCTCACACTCAACCTCCACAATACGCCTAAAGACCACAACATCCACCAATCACACCAAACACAAAAAGAAAAAGAATCATACGTATATAGTTGACACAGCTCATCTCATTGTAATTAATTAGAACAATGTATATGTATACTTTCATCACCCACCCATCACTATGCACACAGGCACTACTAAATACTCCGCACTCCATTTTTAAGGATCCTCACGGTCTTCTCTCATCCGCTGGTCTATCTCCACCCATCCATTCGTCCAGTCGCCCAGACACAAATCCAGACTTTAATAATCTTCGAGCTATAAAAAAATGACAGAGAAAAAGAGAAACGGCAGTACCGATAACCATTCACCACGCACGCTATGCAGAAATGAGGATTCTCTTAACTCCCCTCCATCCATCCTTCCCTTATCTTTCCTCTATTCCATCCATCCCCACCATCCCTTTCCAGACCCCTTCCAACCATCCACATCCGAAGCCATTGTGGCATCATCCCCTTCTCCCATCCAGACCAGTCAAGAAAATAAGGTACAAGAAGCATCCTACTATAAAAGGATCCTCCATTGAAGCACTAGACATTAAAAAGCCTTAATTCTCATTTCACATCTCATCTCTTCACAATCCACATTCAACATCCACATTTTAATCATCCAACTCAATCGGCTTTTGTGGGGAACCCTCCGCTTCCGTAACTTCAGGCGGACTAACAATCATCGTAGGAGTAAGTATTCTATCACCATCTTCCGATAATGGTGAACCTGGTACAAGGATCGTAGTTTCCTTTGTTTTTACTTCGTCAGTAGCCGTATCTTCTTCTGCACCGGGTGTAGCAGCTTCAGATGCACTAGTAGCCTTTTGTCTGCGCCTTCTTCGTTCAATTCTTTCCTCCTCTGCATTATTTCTTCGCCTTGATCTTCTAGCATTATCCCTTCTAGTGGTATCTCCATCCCCTTCATCGGCACCATCTGCTCCACGCATTCCCTGTAATAGTTGTGCTGCTCTGTCAGCAACATCATCGGTTTCATTATCAACCTCTTTCGGCGGCGGTAAATCAGGACTTAATAAGCCTTCTGTTTTGACCGATTCAACATCATTATGTCCTACTTCGGCCTCTGGGATTTCATCTGGATCAGGAATTTTCTGACCAGATGCAACGCGAACTTGGTGACGATTTTGTAATCGTGCTCTTCGTCTTCGATCCCTTTGATCACGAGCTTGTGGTGCGGCAGCTCGTAATTTCTCAAGTAAGGAGTCCATAGCACCTGTGGAACTTGGTGAAGGTGGTCCAGCAGCAGCTGTAGCCCCAACATTTATCTGTGCTCGCTTCCGTTTCATCGATTCCTCGTTGCGCTTGCGTGTAGCCTCCAGAGTCATGTTCTTTTCTTTCGATTTCTTCCACTCGGTTACAAAAATAGCAAGCTTGGCGAAGAATTCTCTTCTTGCATTCTCGTCAGCAGAATCTTCACCATAGAAGACCATGATATCATCATAAGTTCTAATCATCTCTTCCAAGAAGAGCTGCATCTGTTCGGCCTTCCTTCTCGCATCCTTCATTGATCGTTGAACAACTTGACTAACACGATCCTGTGGATGGAATTTTTTCGGGTCACTGAGATTACCCGAGTCAAGGGACATTTGAACGTTCTTGACGTTGTCAATATATCGCTTAGCATCCTGTTGTAATTGTTCAACGTTCAACTTTTGTGCTGTGACAACGCCACCAATGTCATCAGTGAAGCCTTCCCATTCAGAATATTGTGTACGGACAATACGCTCCACCAGATCAGCAAATGTTGACTCATTCTTGTCATCCTTGACCATTCCTAATCTTGCCAAGGAACTCAATTTGAAGCCACTCGCTTGTTTGTTGGAATCGTTCATGTAATTACCAATGTCAAGAATCAATCCCAAAACATTCATCAAGGAAACCGAGTCTCTCAATGATTCGGAAACAGCCACAACTTGTTTGAGCTTGTCGGAGATCTCGTCATATTCTTGTTCAAAAGTACGACTTAGAGAAAGTGCTCTTATTCTAGATTTCCAGTAATGACGTAACTCGAAGGCTGTTTGTAGATAGATTTGATCTTCGCGAGTTAATTCGCTCGGGTCTGATTCTCGGTTCTCCTTATTCGCATCAGGTCCAGTCCAGTCCTTGCTATACGGCGCCATAAGCTTGGCAGTATTTTCAGGGATATTGCACATATCATCTCTTATCAGGAATTCCATCACCACAGGATTGTCCAAGACGTCTTTGTCGCAATGAATAATCATTTGTGCAATTTTGTCTGGGCTTAATGAGGAGAACTTTGACAGGCAAATTTCTATGGTACGTTAGCTTGGCTGTGAGTTTTGTTAGTATTGCATTGGACTCACGGAATGTTTTCGAAAGTTCATTTGAAATGATCTGTTTCTTATCTGGCTTGGCCTTGCTGCTCTTTCCAATTTGTTTAATTTCCTTTGCCAAGAACAACTTTTCAACTTCGTCAAGAACACCCTTACGAGTAAGTTCGGCATACTTCGCTTCCTTCTCTGCTGCTGTAGGTGTATGAGCAGCCCAATGCGTTGTCATAGGAGTATCGACCTTCTCCCAATGAATAACCTTGAGCTTCTTCTTCGATCTCGCAAAACCCATACCAAGTGTTGGTGCAGCATTGTAAGATGGTTGTGCTAAGAAGTGTCCACTCATCTTGCCAGGCATTCCAGGTGGCGGCGGAGGAGGTGGCGGCGGAGGCATGCCAGGCATACCAGGAGGTGGAGGAGGTGGCGGAGGAGGTGGAGGCCCACCAAATCCGGGGGCAACTGGTGCATTCATACCTGGAGGAGGGAGGAGGGAGGAGGCGGCCCATTGAATCCTGGAGGACCTTGTCCCGGCATAGGTGGAGGTGGTGGAGGCGGAGGGGGTCCATTGAATCCCGCGACTTTTGGTCCATCGACCTTTGAAGAATTCTCATCACGTGGAGTTTTGGGTGAGCCGGACTCGAGACTTGGGTGCGAAGGTCCCGTCGTAATTCCATCATCCTCTTCATCTTCATCATCGCTAGCATCATAACGCTTGACTTTCGAACTCATCTCGTCTAAGTAACCCTTGGACTGCTTGGGTCTTCTTAGCTTGACAACACGAGGCTTTTCATAAACCATCCCGTCTTCGTCTTCCATGTCAGAGCCTTCAGAGAAACCCTCGGCGCCAATTGGTTTTCTGGGTATCTTGGTTGATCTTGTTACGTTTCCAAGGATTCCGTGACTGTAATCTCCAGGTGGAAGTCCGAGACCTCCACCCGACCTACGATCTACACCGTCCATTTCCTCACGAAGTGCTCTCAATCGATCAGAAGGACCGGCTGCGTCACCCCATACCCTACCTTCAAGCTTATATTGGGTCTTTTGTCTCTCGATTTGCATTTCGAGACGATCCATAAGTCGTTCGCGATCCAAAATACCTTTCATATGTGAAGGATCGGTCTCGCCCAATCCAGCTCCACCCTTCGAAGCATTGGATGCGGCAATGTCTTGTGCATCGCGGAGCATGAGGTACAATTCTCTGGTTTCAAGCTCATTCCTTTGAGCTTCCTTAGCACGAACCGTTTGAATATTTTCCATCTCACCCTTTAGTGCATCTATCTGTCTTCGCTGGACCTCTATGATTTGTGCTTGTTCATCTAATTGTTTTTGCAATTTCCCCACAAGTCCATCCGCACCAAGTTCAATTCTAGCTCTCATTTCATCCCTTTCAGCCATTGCCGAATCGGCAATCTGGCGAGCCTCAAGGGCCTCATCGAGTGCTTGTCGTGCTTCGGAATCTGTGTGTAATTTATCCAAAAGACTTTGTACCGTGAAATTGAGACTCTGCTTTAAGTCCATGTCAGGAAGCCTCCTATCCATAGCGACATAACTGAGCATAGAATCCACGAGTTGGAACATTCTTAATCGTTCCTCACTGTCGCTATCTCTGATGAGGAGAAGATGTTGCAATGCAGAAACGAAGTAATCTTGAGTTCTACTTCCTTGAACCTTTTGCATAATAGCATCAACTATTTGAGCCGGGTCAGTGAGATCTTTGATATCCCCTTCAATACTATCCTTTATGCTACTATTCTCACGCTCGAGAAGATCTTCATAATCAATCGCCTCATTTGTACGGAATCTTTCAATTTGCTTGTCGAGGACATCGTATTGGAAACCTTCCATCTTCGTAAGGATCCGTTTAATACCACATGCCGTAAATTGAGCTCGAATGTGAACACGGAGTTGCAAATCCCTCTCGGGAGCATCAACAATCATGTTAATCAAGAACATAGTCGTCAAAGCATATTCCATGAGTAGATTCTCCATGCCCGCACCACCACTTCTAACCTCCTCGCTGGCACCCACAAGACTCCCCATCTTTCCTCGCCCATCAACTGTGACTTCAACAACACGCATCCATGCATCGAAACGTCCATTTTCACCCTGTTGATTCTTGACATAGTCCATGGCCTGAACGACCTTCAAATGACCCTGTCCATCTGCCCAATGACACAAGAAAGTCAAAACTTCACTAGCAACCCTTCTCGTCGGGATCCTGGGAGATACCAGGGATGTGGCCAAAGCCACAATGACCTGTTGATGTTGTAAAGCATCGTCGGCACCGAATTTGTTGTTCATCAAGGCCTTTAGACACTTGCAGATATCATATTCCCTATCCAGATCCTTGTCACTAATTGAACCTTCTGGCCCAGTTGGTCCCTGAGCTTGTCGCCGGTTAATTTTTCCGAGTACATTAGTTAAAGCAACTTGACCCTGACATTCCACAAAGGTTTTTACCCATCCAATTGGTTGCGTCCGAAGGCTTACTGCGAGACTTTGTAATTGCTTTGCCGAAATGCTATTATCCATGACTTTCCTTACAAACCATTCTGGAGTTCCTTCCTCCTCCGCATTGAGGAGCATTTCCATAGCAGAACCATATTGACCAGTGTGCTTCGCGTTTGTTCGCCTCCTTTGTTCTCCCTGCCATTCGGTTAAGCGATCTTGATGTACTAGAGTCCATTTCTTCGCGGGTGTATATGCCATCATTTGCCGGCGCGCTTGATCTGGTAGGTTGTGCCATCCTCGTTTCTGCATCAATGATAAGAATTGCTCTTCGATAACCCTGTCATCGCTTGGTTTGTTGAGTTTAAATCCATCCGGCGAAGCGACCGTTGGCGAACTATATCCTGTGCTAAGATGTTGAGGTAATTTTGTCAGACGTGGAGTGTCTTTTCCGGCACCTGGTTGATATGACGGCGATAACGAACTATTCGAATAGGAACCTGGTAAAGCTGTTTTTGAGGAGCTCCCTGATGAAAGAACGCTGGATCTTTCCGTCATCGAATCCACACTTTGTTGATCGAAGGATACGCGACCGCCATAATTCGAGGATTGGTTTGTAGAATAGGAATCGTATCTTGAATTGTGACTTCCATTTACTGTGCTTGCAATACTGGTCCTATTAGGACCCCACTGCTGTAATTGAGCTGTACGATTTCCAGTTGATGCCATTGTTACATTTCCCACCGGTGGAGCTCGCGGACCTGTGGGATGTGAACTGCCATTAATAGATGCTGTATCTGAAGCGGGGTACTGATGGAAATCCATTCCATTCATATTCAAATGATGTGGGAGCGGTTCCCTTCTTAATGGCATCTGATCGTTCCTGGGCAGATAATCCACTGGTATTGGTGATCTACCATCCGCCATTACACTATCGTATGGAATCGAAGTAATAACACCCGCCATCATATTAATCCCCGTCAAGTCTGCACTAGGCGATCCGGGAGTATCTTCCGAGGCAACAGAGGACATTCTAGCATGTCTTGATGATTGCGACCCTCTACCACTTGCCGCATCGTTGTTTCCTGTACCTGCAGAAGAAAGTTGTCGTCCTTCGTCACTGGCATTTCTCTTATCCTTCCTATTCCTCGAAAAGAAGGAGGATTTGCCAGATGATGACATGATTGATTGTCGTTGTTCGCACTTTCGTCGCACTGTCTTCTATCCGTCCCAATACTTCAAAGTCTTGTTGTAATCATCAATGTCTTTAGGTATTGTGAACATTCACATCATGCTCTTTGCCAATTGTTGGAGAAATCGATCCACTGCGAGAGTAGGTCCAGTTCGAGAGGAGCCGATCCAATATTAGTATTACCCTGGCAGGTCCCAAACTCGATCGCACTACCGAAAGAAATGATTAGCATGAGTTTGTACTGAATTCTGCGACACTGGCAGGTTCACTTCCCCGATGTACGTACGACCCATATTGCATATTCAAGAGAAAGCTTAGAGATGGTAAAAAATTGGACGCACTTACCAGCGGAACTATGGATTTCTTCAGCACCACTTTTGAAGCTAAGGTGTAACTGAATCTGTAAATCCAGCAGAAACAATCTGGAGAACCCAACGACTGCCCACACTCCTGTCGCAAAACTCTATTCGCCCCTGGTCGAACCTCAACGATCGTTTCGAAAGGCTGAAACTGACTTCCTCACTCGGTGTTGCTGCGAGTACATCAAACACTTTGCCCTGGACCCACAGACCACTGTATGAATGGATGGCGATAGAAGCCAGTATTTCAAGGAAAAGAATCCTGTGCGATTTAGCTGTGGAGCACTGTGTGATTGGGATTTGGGGTATCAACAACAATAACAACAATAACAACAACGACAAGTCGCCAAAAAGAGAGAAAAAAAGAGAAAAAGAAGGAAGAAAGAAAAGCGATGGCAAAGGGAATGAAGTGAAAGCAAATGAGTGTTGAGTATGTTTAAATGATTAGATTAAAAATCTAACAATCGAATAAACAAGAAAGGTAAGAAGTTGAAAGAAGTTGATAGTGTGTACGTGAGTGTGGGAGTATGGGTAGGTAGGTGTATGTACTAAAACCCCTTAACACAAAAGAGCTTTAGGGTGCAAGTGTCGTTAGATAGGTTGGATGGGGAACTTGATTGAACGAGTGGGTGTTAATTGTTAGTGCTCTGACCTATTAATTGATTTTCCTGTCCTATGGAGCACTTTGTGTCTTTTGATGGTGGGCTTTGGGCTGGCTGGGCTGGCTGGGCTGGCTCGGAAGATCGGACTTGGGTTAATGTACGGATTGATAGACGAATAGCTGGATATCTATCGATCTAACCTATGTAAAGAATGAATGCGATAAGGATAGTACACCTCCTCCGACCCGGTATGTACTAGGGATACCTCTCTTTACGATCTCACCAAGATGGACGATGAGAGATAAATGGCACATCGGAAAGAAAGAAAGATTGAAAAGTTATACGAGACTTCTGACGCCTCAAAGACACCAGCTAGACTATAGCATTCAATATGAGACATTGAAGAATGTTATGATCTAGATACAGAGGATTAGGATCGGATTTTGGTGGGTATCACTCAATCAAAGAACAGGAACTCCGACTTACTTTATTACTACCCAGGTACTTTACCATATGGCCTAATAATAGCACAATGAGCCCAACACGCACATCAGTCATCCATTGATTTGTCACTACCAAATGTTTAAACGGCCTGTAACCGCCGAATGAATCTTACATTCCATTCATTCCCACAACACCCTCACTGCCAATTGAAAAGAAAGGAGAGCCAACGGATCGTAACCTTAAGGATCCATTCATTTATTAAGCAATTGCGGATGATTTACTATTTCCACCCATTCCCGTATTGGACCTTACTTCAATTTCGGTAGGGTTTAGTATCGGTAACTCTCTCTCTTTACGGGAGAATCTCCAACCTCATCGCTTTATCGATTCCGCATCGAATTTCTGGGTAACGGTAACGGTAACGGTAACGGCAACGCTACCGAAATACTCAAATTGTGCCATTCGTATGACGAACGCGTGGCAATCTCGTGCAGCCTTAAACGGGGAAGCATCAGTCCCATATATACCCCATCCTGCACCTAATTCTGCTGGAAACGAAGATACTCCAACTACAACTTCAACCATGGTTTCCACATGGTCATTACTAAAGGTTATTAATGACTTACCTCGGACCTCCTTCTCTACTAACCAAAGCTGACATTCGTTTTCGCAGACATTATTAGTCCCGGCAATCATTTCTCTTATTCTTTACCTTCTGATATCATTCGTCATTGTTCCCGTATGGAAACGTTATCGAGCGCGAGCTGGTCAATACCTGCCATTGGATACTATCTCAACACGAACTACAGGTTTACGACAACGCGCACAAGCTGCAGTGGTCAGAACAATATTTCCCAATTCATGGAGAGCGGACTTCAATCGAAATCGAATAAGCGCACAGGATAGTGTTGAATTTGATGATGAGGATGGGGAGGAACTTTTTGATGTGGACGATAATCGACGAGAAGCATTATCGCTTGATGCCCGAAGAGGCAGAGTTGAAGATGGTGGAAGATTAAGTCGAGATTTAGAAGAAGGGTTTAAGGACGACAGTAGTGATGAAGACGATAGAACGGATAGACGCTTGAGTGGAGTGATAACACGATGATACAAATACGGAAGATGGGTCTGATGAGCTTCTATTTCTCTACAATTAATGTCTATTCTATTAATCGACGTGTTGAATTGGACATTCTCGCAACATTCTCGCATTGCAAATAACGATTATCCTCCAACCAAAAAACCCTCGCTGATGATATGGAAAGAGAATGACTGATCCGGGATATCCGGATGCCTCCATTCGCGGGAATCGATTGCCATTGTTTCTCTTTTCGGCTCATTCGGGATGTAAACATTTATCGCACCACGCACAGAATCGATCAATTAATTCGTGTTTCCAACCTCGAGATATATCCCATATATATATCGATCGCACCATTCCCAGGAGTAAATCACCATTGCTCCCTATTTCCACTCTCCTCATATTTCCGGCAAAGCCGTTCAATATCTCGCTTCAACACTTCCTTCGACTCCTCCACTCTATTCCCCACAGTCCGCACGGTCTCTCTACACATCTCACCCCAAACGCCTGGAAAATGCAGCTTCATCGCCCTCAAAGCTCTTTGCTCCGCCTCGGCCCGCTTTAATAACATCTCCACCTCAGTCTTAAGTTCACCCTCTAGACCTCGACACGCTAAACACCTTTTTGGCATATCTGCCACCTTCACACACTTCGGAGCACTGGTCACCTCACATGGTCGTATCAAATGTCCACATTCCGTATAAACCATTTTTCTTCGACATTGTGGACAATTTTGATGTGGCGAATCTGTTTCTAGCCATCGCAAGATACATGTAGAACCGAAGACATGTGAACAGGGAAGTATAAATGCGACTTCGACTTCTCCATCGCCACGAGAGGAACCAATATCTTCATTACATATTGTACAGCGCTGTGAAGAGGTTTCCGTCGAATCCGAATCAGAAGCTGGCGATGAGGATATGATTGACTGCGACTTTGTTGAGCACATCTTGATAAATGGAACACCCATAGAAAAAAAGATACGCGAGGAAGACAATGATAGGAAATGAATAAACATAAACATAGATAGATAGATTTCATCTGCCCACTCAACAAAAACAAAAATTACTCATACATTCTCATCATATCATATACATATAGAACAACCAAACCAACCAGTAGATCATCCACACACCAAGTTATTTAAAATCATTCCTTGAAACGAAAAAACACAGTCATCCTTACGAAGCAGCAGACTTTCTTTGCATCTATCTATAAACTTTATTTAGTATATGTAATACATGTACTACATATAATACCTAGTAACCACATAATATCATAATATCAAAATGCAATCTGACTCTGACTCTCTCTCTCTCTCTCTGATGACCTTATACCAGCTGAGATGGTGGTCTGCGGATGATTAAGCGGATGATTAGATAGTATGTAAATGATGTGAATGATGGCTTTTTGATTCATGTTCATGTATGGGGTGAAGGTGTGTTACACGTACTAGGTACTAGGTAGATAGATAGGTAGGTGGTTTGAGGGTGGTCATTAGGATGCGAAGGGGATGTGGTAGAGTGGGGTGGGGAGTGGTGTCACGTGTGCGGATTTGAGGATTGGGGTCATGTTATATGGTTTGTGTTTTTTTTTTAATTGGGTGGATGAGTATAAGAATCGGGATGGGGATGAGGGTAGGGGTAGGTAGGTAGGTAGGTAGGTAGATGAGTAGATTAGTTAGTGTTCTTTTGAGTAAGAGTTATAAGAGTTATAATATAATAAAGTTGAAATTATAAGTCAAATACATAACGGTTTTTAACCAGTCAATTATATAATATTTTGTCTTTTTTTTTTATAATAATCAACCTTTTATATATATACATTTAAACCTATATAGTATTAACTTTACAATTATTATGAATTTCGTTTTCTTTATAAGTGATGTATTATAATATAATCTAATTCAGTTTTTTCTTTCAATTCCCTTGTCACGATTCACAGTTTTCTTTATAATAGTATTATTGACATCGGTGATTTATAGGCCGATTACAGGGGGGGTATGATTTAACCATTGCTTTCGGGGGTCCTGATTACCTAAGCCTAAAACCCCAGGATTTCTAGGATAAAGTATTCTAGACAATTATAATAGAATAGAACAAATATCCTATTTAATTGATTATAATAGAATTATCACCCTAAAGGATATCGTATCTTAGGGCTATGATTTCTAAAAGGAAAGCTTCTAGAATAAATGTTCTAAGAAAGGAAAGACCTTGGGATATGAAAGGCTTTAAGATCAATTACATAATATACTAGCTCTACTAGCTAACTAGCAAAACTAATATCACAAGAATGCTAGTTGTACTAATCAATTAATATAATTAATATAAGAAAAGAGATTAGTATATAATCAGAATAATTTCATAATTTAGAAGCTTCATATTCAACTTAGTTATCAATTAGTTTATTTATATTCCAATTGATCTAATAATATATTTACCTTTGAATAAATAATCAATGATTATTAATCTTAATTTACAATTATTAATCAGATGAAACCTTGAAGTAGTCATTGCCTTAATTAGATTGTTATACTTTGAGCATTATTACAATTAAACTATATATAATATAATAACTTCTAATCAGCAGTCTACCGAATCGTCTTCATTCAACCCAATCAGGGCCCCTATTCAGGTCATTATCATTATGGAATATAGATAAACGATTTAGATATCTATCTCTAATTTATTCTATAAAGATTATAACAAATATCGAGCTTTTATTATACAAATTGATCTCTATTATACTTTTAACAAACAACTTTTTTTAACTTTTATATAAAGAATCTTATAATTGATTTTCTTTTTTTATAGAACTATATTCAATTAGATTAAATCATTTTTCAATAACCTAATAATCAAGATTACTAATAATCAATTGAACAAGAGTATGAAATTTGAGACTCATTATCTCTTCCTTAGCTATAAATCGTTCAGATAAAGATTTGATAAAACATTCGAGAAAATAGATCTTGATTATATAACTGAAAGAGCATTACAATAATTCAAACAAACCAAATCAGTTACAATTTATACTACCAAATTTCAATAATATATTAGATATATTATATAGAATGATGATTATCTAAAATCATAATTCTATAAAAGATTGAAAAATATCATTAAGGATAAATTAACGAAAGCTTCGAAACCATCTAACCTTTCCGAATTAATCGAAACCTCTATTCTTATTAACAATCGATTCTATAAATAACAAATGAAGAAGAAAGGAATCATTCAAGAAAGCAAAAAATTCCAAAAACCTTATTGTTAGAATAGATATTATAATATCAATGATTCAATAAAATTAAATGATATCGAACAATATTATATAAAGTTAAACAATTTAAATACTGATAAGAAAAAAAGGTATAAAAAAAATAACTTATATTATATCTATAGGAAAAGCGGATATATATCTCAAGATTGTTTTCAAAAGAAGAAATTATTTATTGCAAAAAATGGGAAATAGATAAGATTTGAAAACAAAAGATAGGATTCTCGAGAAACAAAGATTTTGGAAGGAAACTTGAAGGAAATAGGATTATTGAAAAGAGATTTATTTCAACCCAACTTTAAACAATTAGAGGAATTGGGTATCAATAATCAAAACCTTAAAATTAGTATTGAAAATAATATCGATTACAAAAAAGAATTTTCAAAAGATTTTGAATCAAGAAACAAAGAATCAATCAAGGAATTTGAGAAGAATCAACGATTAATTGAGTTCTATTAATTGTTTCAAAAAAATAAATTATAATATCTAATTAGTTATTTAGATAAGAAACGGATATAATGTTATTATAAAGAAAAGAAATCTGATTTCATTGAGAAATATAGAATTCATAATTATCCTACTTTGTTAGTATTTTATATAATAATATACAATAATGTTTATTATATAATATTTAAGGAAAATACTGGGGCAAATAATGCTAGAAGGTATGTTACGGATATAGATTCTTTATTCTCCAATAAAGTATAAAAACATAATGAATATAATCTGGAAATTAGAGATATATAGGAGATCCTATTACAAATCGGGATTCATTGTATTTAATAAAGGATTGATAGGGATAATAAAGAAATATCAAATCAAAATTATTATCAAGATTTCCAAATAGAACCAATAGAATTATTGTTCATTATATTCTATCGATTATTGAGTATAAACAAACATTAATAGAAATAATTGAATCTCTTCATCAAAGAACAAATCATCGAATCATTATCGTTAGAATTCAATAGTATTATAAGAATCGGGTAACTGATTATAGAAATCAAATTAGAAAATCAATAAACCAATATTTTGATTGATTTCGGAGTTATAAATATATTTATAAATCCTAACTTTGCAAAAAAGAATAGAATTCCTATAGAATTAAAACAAAACCTTTATTAGTTGATACTATTAAAAGGAAAGAAAACTGGAATTGATGATTGGGTATATAGAAAAACCAGTGCTATCAAGATGATTATACCAGATAAATATATTAAGCAAATTAAAATAAATTTAGTGTTATTGAGCAGATATACAATTGTTCTTGGTATCTTATAGATTAAGAAATATAATCCAAATATTGATTGAATAAAAGATACCTTAATATTCGATTGTTGTAATTGCGATAATAAATGATTATATAATCCAAAGGAATAGACTTTCAAAAAGATTGGATATTATATTATGGTAATAATGGATTCTTTATTGATCGATAGAATTAATGAAAAAGAAATTCTAGTACAATACAAAAGATTCATCAAATTTTTCGAAGATTTATAGGATTTGAGGGCTTTATTAAAATATAAACTTTAAAATTATAAAATCAACTTCAAAAAAGGATTTGTATCTTTTGTTGAGAAGTTGAGGTTATACAACTCTAGTATTATATAAGTATAGAAAGAATATAGGATTAAAACCGAAAAGAAAGAATGAATTAGAAAATCTAAATCCCTTTATATATCTAATATATTATTGGTATTCAAGAAAAACAATTTAAATAATCGGTTTTGTAAAGATTATTACCGGATTAATGATAGAACAATCAAAAATATATATCCAATATCGAAAATCTAGGAGTTTAGGGATAAATTGAATAAAATAATGATTTATATAAAATTAAATCAAAAGAATATTTTCAATTTGATACAAATAAAAAAAGATTATAAATAAAAGATAATCTTCATTCTATTATCGGATTTATAAGAATATATAATTATATTATTCAGGCTAATCAATATATTAGTTATATATCAATAGTAAAACAACAAAATACTCAAAAAGTTCAACTTATTCATAATCTATTATCTAAATGATATTCTAGTTTTCTTTTAGAAAGAGAAGGAATACAAAGGATATATATTGAAAGTATTCGAAGTATTCAGAAAAATAGATTCAAAATTCAAATTATCGAAATACAAGTTTGGAATACAAAAAGTAATATTTCTAGGATATATTATTCAATTAGAACAAATGAATATAAATCCTAAGAAAACAAAGAAAATAAAGAATTGAAAAAGATCCAGGAATATCAAAAATATATAATCTATATTAGGATTCATCAATTTCTATTGAATATTTATAAAAGACTTTTCGAAAATAATGAAATCTTTTATCGAAATAATCAAAAAAGGAATAACTTTTATATAAAATGAAAAGATAAAGCAGGCTTTCCAAGAAATCAAGGATAGATTTATAAGGGAATCTATCTTTTATAATTATTATAATGATTGAGAAAGCATTATCGAAATAAATGCTTTTAATACCTGTATAATAGGAATCTATCTACAAAGAAATAATAATAGGAAATTATATTCTATTACTTATTATTTAAACAAGATGAACAAAATAAAACAAAATTATAATATTTATAAAAAAGAATTTATAATTATTATAAAAACATTAAAACATTAAAAGATTTATCTTTAAAAGGCTAAATTCCTAGTAATTATTTATATTGATTATATAAATCTTCGAATCTTTATTATTATTAAAATCTTGGATAATTATAGATTAGTTAGATAGGTTGAGGAATTAGTAGGGTTTGATCTGATAATTAAATATATTAAAGGAAAAGATAATACGAAAATAGATATTTTAAGCAAATCATTAAATTACAAAGATAATAAAACCTATTAGGAAATAGTGATC